GACACACTGCATAGTTGAGTTTTCTTGTGAATGACTTGTAAACGGATTTTCTTTGTGAAAAGGGAATTCCTTGCAGTCGACATTATTTATGTGATGCTTGACTGACACGTAAGAGATTCGTTTTCATTTGAACACAAGTGTGGGAAGTAGAATTTAAATAAGTATAGGGAAATTACCTGAATGTCGTCAACATAATAGACACCGATCTTTCAATGTCAATATGATTAAAATGACAAACCGTGCTTGGAATCATGATATGTTTTTATTGCGGATATTTCATGATATATGATACAGTGAGCTGTCTGATAGCTGTATACGATTACGTACCATTGCTGGTAAACTCCAGTTCGTATTTTTAAATAAAATTGATCTGAGTCATGAAATATGGCAATTGTCAAATAAAGCATCACCGTTTATCTTCGATTTTCGAATTATATTAATAAATATACAATCCTTATTAGACTATACCCTTCTCCTTATTAATATAAAAAATAAATCGAATTTCGGTTCAACTTGATCCTCCTAAAACCGATGATGTCTGCCTATTCAGGCCAGTGTAAGATCATCCAACCCTATATACTACTACAAATATGAAGTTTTTAAATTCAATAAAGGAGTGGTATCGATATGGTGAACTTTTTGAACACGCGTTTTTCTTAAAGCAGTCATCAAAACATTCTGAAGATTTTACAAATCGTCAATTTAATGGTCATATTTTGGATGGTAACATTATAATTTGAATATATCATTTTCTCTAAATTGTTTTTGAAAACACATCAGACACATCTTTTGTTCTTGGTATAATATGTTCGGAATGAAATGAAACATCTAGTTTGGTTGATTTTAAAAAAGTATCTTGTTAATGAAATAAAATGTTTATCTTAATTTTTATCTATTTTTTGGGGGGGAGGTAGTTTTAAGTTTTTGCATACATTCTGTAAAATCAACCAAACTTTCCTTTGTATAACTGTTATATCGAAAGGTCTAAGAAAATGTTGTACATTATGTATATGCTATTTTGTTCCAACAAGGTTCGGAAAGACATTTTATTTCATTCTCAAGAATTGGTAGAAAGAACAAAAAAAAACAATTGAACTAAAAAAAACAAAAATTGTTAACAAAAACAATTATTTAAAATATATATAAATAATTTTCGCATTAAATTGTTGCCAATCAGTCAACATTACATAAGGGACCGTGTTTTCTACAGAATGTTTTCAATGATTGGTTTAAGAGAAAAACATTGTTGAAATCAGTTCACCATATCGATACCTATCCTTTGTGAAATTGGTGATGATAGAAGCTTTAGTATGTAATCACTTTTGGTTATAGCTAGCATTTTATCACCGCCCCTTAAATGCACCATATTAAGTTTAAACAACGTTGGCTCATATTGCAGTATTACCAAATGTTATCAAAATGTGATAATAATTGATAATTTTATACTTAATTAAGACTATCATACGCACATGCGTTTTATGATAATCACGGTCACGGTGAAAACGTAATTGAATGAAAAACTTCAACAAGGATAGAACAGATTAAATCATTCCGTTGATATCAATTCTGGAATTGTTCACTTATCCAATTTACTGCAGAGCCAAACTATTTCTGATACTTATTTCTACGTTTCCTTCTAATGTCACCTCCAATAAGGTAGGATACTTTGTTACAGCAACCGTTTCTGTGACTGGCATTTAGAGTATGTATATAGTATTGGACTTTCTTTAAGCAATTACAAAAATGACGAAAACAAGCTGTAAACTTACCGTTTCGGTAAATTTCCAAAACGTTGATCGAACGCAATCTATGTCGCTTACGTGGAAAATGTTAAAATAGAATAATTGCAATTGAGAAAACAAAATATACATGTAGTACTACACCTGACACGATGGCTTGGTTAAATATTGAGCCCAAATGATCAGGTAACGTTGTTCATACTCTAGATTTTGAACGAATTGGCGTACTTGGTCCATGTACTCAGGCCCAGCTATTTTTGAACCTTCGGTACTTTCTTGTTTTAACCGGTGCGTTTCTAAAATGTCGTCGATTTGGGTCGGTGCGTTAACATGTTAACTAATGATCAGATACAGTTCATAGATAGAAAATATATCTAAAGAAGTGGTATAGATATGGTGAACTTTTTGAACACGCGTTTCTCTTAAACCAGTCATCAAAACATTCTGAAAATTTTATACATCGTCAATTTAATAGTCCTCTTTTGGATGGTAACATTATAATTTGAAATATATATATATATACTTTTCTCTGTACTGTTTTAGAAAATACATCGGGCACTTCTTTTGTTCTTTGTATACCCTGCGTGCAGAGTCTAGTTAAACTACAGACGAAGACGAAGCTCTCTTTTAAGAAGTGAAGTCAAACGAATGCAAAGGGTATTCTTTGTATCATATGTTCGGAATGAAATGAAACATCTATCCGAACCTCATTGGAACAAAACGACATAAAGACAACATGTTTAGGTCTCTCAATATTGTAACTGTACAAAGGATAGTTTGGTTGATTTTAAAAAAGTATCTTGTCAATGAAATACAAGCTTTATCTTAATTTTTATATATATATTTTTTTTTTGGGGGGGGGTTGTTTTAAGTTTTTGCATACTTTTTGTTAAATCAACCAAAATTTCCTTTGTATGACTATAGTATTGAGAGGTCTAAGAAAATGTTGTATATGCTATTTTGTTCCAACAAGGTTCGGAAAGACATTTTATTTCATTCTCAAGAATTGGTAGAAAGGAACAAAAAACAATTGCACTAAAAAACAAAAAATGTTAACAAAAACAGTTATAAAAAATATGTATAAATAATTTTTGCATTAAATTGTTGTCAATCAGTCAACATTACATAAAGGACCGTGTTTTTTTACAAAATGTTTTCAATAATTGGATATAACCAAAGCAGGAACTCATCTAGCTGCTAAACTCTATGAATAGAGATGCCAAATCTTACTGATTATTTTATTGCTTGCATAAGCGTCAAGTTGCCCTAATATATTTGCATAATACGTTTTTCGAATTCTTACTGTTACGGTTTTGGATACGAGGTGGTCTTCAACTTCCTATTAAATGGATCATTGACCTCCAAGAAAATTAATTTGTAACGACGTCAACTTGTTGGATGGAGATTTGTTTTTGTAATCTCTGTTTGCTGATCGAATAATGTAATTAAGAAAGATTTATTGATTCCTTAATCTAATTAATCAAGCTATTGAACGCGATTCAAATCATTTTAAAGACAATTCGTAAATAAACTACCATATTGATTCAAACGCACGCAAAGTGACACATTTGCAGAGTGACACATTTGCAAAGTGACACATTTGCAGAATGGCACATTTGCAAAGTGACAGGAGTTTCAATTTATTTGATGATTCGAGTCAAAAACAGCAAACGTAATGTTCGAGAATTTCTTCGTTTAAATCTATTAAATTTTATCTATTTAGGATATGCAGTCGGGATACGGCACCGAGACCGCATATCATAGTTGCACTCTGCAGGTTTAAAATGATAATTTCCTCTTGATAACAAAGATACCGTTTTATTTTGAAGTAAGGCATAATACAATGTACCTCATCTCCCATGCCATACTAGATCAACCATAAAATTTCTTTACTATCCTAAATTTTTAAGTAATGTAATGCAGATTAACAAAACGTTTTTAAGAAAAGTGAATCAATAAGTCAAAAAACAAGTGACAATAATTGAACCAGCTGATTGAAACAAAGGCTTAATTAGAATTAATAGCAAAATCAATCTGATTTTGAGGATCCGAATATTGATATAACCTAAGCTTGCTTACGTCATAAATAGTCAAAACCACATTTATCATAGATTAGAATAAATCTATTCTAAAGGAATGACCGTTTACGGATTCCTCAAAATTTGAAATTTGACCTTCTTCAGATATGTTAAGTGAATTATCCTTTTGTTTAACATTGAAAGGCTATTTCTAAGGATCAATTGGCTGGTTTTGACGGACAATGTCAATAGCAATGGACAATGAAATGATCAGCATCTTATTGTTACTTTATGCCTTTCCTTTTATGTAACATTAATGGTAGAATTGCAAAAAGAGAATTGGCATTAGAAGCATAAAGAACATGCTTACGAGCTTTAGAGTTAATACCGTCAGAGTAACGAGACTATACAAAATATAAACGACATTTAAGGAGATGGTATAATGGCAAGATCATGTTTTATTGCATTATTATCACGTTAATTTGGAGCAGCTATAACGGCGTCGTCCACAACGTCGTATAATGGTATATCGGAGTATACCTTGTCAGTCGTCTGTCAAAGTATAAGCATTTCATATTTTCAATTTCGGGATGCGACTCTCCGTAACGCCAAATCATAAGATATTTCAGACAGAGACCGCATATTAATCAAGGTCGAGTCATATAGTTTGAAAGGGATTTGGTTAATAACTAATGCCTCAGTCACATTTGATCTACGGCAACCGTACGGCAGTCGTAGCGTACCAAAATCTAGAGAGGCGTGTAGCATAAAATATAAGGATAAGCATTACGAACATAGATTTTGTGAAGCTACGGTCGCAGTACGCCCGCCGTGGGTATAGATGGTATAGTCCAAGTTGGAAATGTCCTATTTATAGCAATGATATAATAATTAATCTTATTATGTCACTATATGGTGTTGTTTCCAACTCATATTGTTAGTTATTATATGCATATGAGTTTAGATCGAATGCAAAGTTTGTAACGATAAGACAAACGATTCTCCATTTGTTTTTTCAATTTTTGTTTATCACCCTGGCCCATGGGATGTTCTTGATTAGGGTATTAGAAATAAATATTAGAAGTACCCATATTTCTATTTCTTCTCAAATCTATTATTTCACTTATGTATACATTGTTGTAAAATATTGTTGCTATTTGTGTATTTTATTTACTGTATGTTAATTATTAGAAATAAATTGACAACATAAAATATAGTGTTAAACGTATATTTTATTTTCAAGGTTTCGACAATTGTGGAAAGAAAGATAGCAACAACTGGGTCACGAATAGGGGCAACAGTTACAAAGTGTTCTCTGACAAAAAGAACTTGTCAGAGGCTGAAAATACATGTTTGAGACATAATGGCCACCTGACAAGTGTCACAGATGCAGAGGAGTTTCACTTTCTGCAATGTATCACAAATGAAGCGAAAAAAATGTAGGTGATCTTCTCTAAACTGAATATTATTCATGTTGTTTAAGATTTAAAACTGTTTCGATTCTTCAAAATAAGTATTTCTTCCAAACGCTGAATACACTGCTCACACCATCGAGTATACTCAGAAATATCATAATACATCTTGAATCTTGCTGAATGTCAAGTCTTGCGCTAATACTTTCACATCAACCTGCAGTCAAAATGGTGTTACTCCGGACTATCATCTGGTTATGAATGTATGAACAGTGTTTTGCAGTTTAATACAATGATAAATATTATCTATTATTCGCCTTTAGTCCAGTATTGTTGGGGATTACAAAGAATGCCTCGGTGGAAGTTGAAAAATGGACTTGGATAGGAAACCCTGACAATATTCTTAACAACACGGTGTTAGAGCCGTTCTGGACGATTTACAAAAGTCACCAAGAAGGTTGGTATTCAAATAATTATTCTTAGTGATATTATCAAAATCAAATTATTAAAAATGTTGTATATTGAAGCATTAAGATGAAATCCATTTTCATAAAATAGCAGGAATTGCCTTTTTATTCCAGGAGATTGTGTGGAAATGACAGTCAACGGGCAGGGATTCCATATGGCAAAAACAAAATGTGGGGAGAGAATTCAATTTATCTGCAAGGTAACTCCTATGATCAGGATGGAAGATAATGGTAGCATTTCATCACCCGGCGACCTGTTGGATGTCATGGACAACATGCCAGAAATAAAAGCAGGAAATATTTCAAATTCAGATTTAACCAAAATAGGCTCCATTTTGATAGGTTATGTGGATATAATGAAGGAGTTTAAAAACGTCTCCAAAGAGCAAATGGTTAAGTTTGCAACGACAACCTTGGAGATTGTAAGTGACCTGTTTGACCCAGGGAACGCAATGGCCTGGAGCAATAATGATGATCTAAGTGAATCCACAAATCTTGTAGCAAACTTGGTGAAAACTGTTGATGATACTGGTTCTCTGCTGGCCCTCAAAGTTGACGAAGCCCTTGAGATCGATACGGCTGAAATAATAATGAAGGTTAAGAAAGTTAAACCTGATAGCAAAAGACAAAGGAGAGATGTTGAATTTGTGAATAAAAGAAATGAAAGTATATCACTCCCAAATGAGGTGTTCGACGCCCGTTATGGGGAAATAGGCGTGGTAAACTTTGAGGCAAGGGATATAGGAGATATATTGGGTGTGAATGAAGAAGGTGCGTCTGTCGGAAGTGTGGTGAAGGGTATGTCGGTGTTTGATGGAGCTGGGAATGCTATTGTAGTCAATACAACCGAACCAATAGTGATCATATTCAGTCACTCAAGACCACTTGGAAAAGAGGAGGAACCAGTTTGTGGCTTTCTAGTCTATGATGATAAAGGCAAGAGGTGAGACATATCATGTAAACATTTTAACAAATGGGCAGTGCATGTCAAATGTGTAATATAATAAACACAATAATTATTTAAACCAATCGGCACTGTCTGTAATAAGTGTAAAGACAATATACCAATTGGCACTGTCTGTAATAAGTGTAAAGACAATCATACCAATTGGCACTGTCTGTAATAAGTGTAAAGACAATCATACCAATTGGCACTGTCTGTAATAAGTGTAAAGACAATCATACCAATTGGCACTGTCTCTTATAAGTGTAAATACAATCATACCAATTGGCATTGTCTGTAATAAGTGTAAAGACAATCATACCAATTGGCACTGTCTGTAATAAGTGTAAATACAATCATACCAATTGGCATTGTCTGTAATAAGTGTAAAGACAATCATACCAATTGGCCGTGTTTGAACATTTATACCAACAAAACACATCGAACATTTACCGTAAACCCATGAGTGATATTAATATAAAAATCAATGTCATTACCAAATGTAATAATTGTAAATATTTTTTTCAGAGGTTGGTCTACTGTTCAGTAGTACTTAAAGTCATTTGACACTGATTGCGATTGTTTTGTTGACACCCGTTGACGTTATTTTACAAAGTGCCTCATAACAAAGCTTTCGATTGAAAAATTGATTAATGCAAAAGTTGCTTTAGAACAACTTGGTATTGGTGAATAGTGATACTACTGTTGAAGATAGTTGATATGCTCCTCATTGTAAAGCTTAGACTCAATTATATCAAATTGTGTGTTGGGAATGAAACACGATCTTTGGGATCGACTTTTAAAGGATCAAACCTTCTTTTATTCCCTCCAATATATTAATAATTATTGGAATAAAGATTATTAACCCATGGCTTCTCCATGGAGACTTTTATTGCCAATTATTACTCCACTAACAAGCAAGAATAATTTGTTACAATACAATGCAGGCATTTGATGATGGTATTCACGTTTGTAATTATTTAAAAAACAAGACACGGAGTGAACAATATCGCACTCTTGAATAGAATCACACCGGAATACCCTGACAACGGTAAAGTCAGATACCGTTGTCACAAATGGCGGCCGCAGGTTCCAATTCGATTCGATTTTCATTAACTGCATCTTTAATAGAGCACATCGATTAAATTCCTTTGGTAGAACGATAAATCAAGGTGTTTTTCTACTCATTGTATAGTTAGATACTCGTATGTTCTACCATCGAAATAAAGCCTTTAATTTTACCGATCAAAATATGACACGGGACAACGGATACTGTATTTCAGATCTATCCTTTCTATGTTAATTATTTGAAATTCAGATTCTGTTGTCATTGACGATATGGAAGACGGCATATTGAGGCGATTCATGAGCACATTTGATAAAAATGGGATTTCATATTATCACAAGAGCTTAATACATGTACAGAATCAGCGACGATAAGGACCCATGAAATGATAACGAACCGATTAAAGAGTTGAAGCAACGGTTACGTCCGCCATTTGTGACAACGGTGTCTGACTTTACTTTTGCCAGGGTATTCCGGTGTGAGAATAGAAAGTTTTCGGGACAGAAGTCGAAATTGCGACCTTAACATTAACCAGAATGCCCAGAAACTAATCAGATAAGATTTTAGGACGGAATAATGACTACCTAACATTTACCCAGGATCTCCAAAAAACTAAACTCTAAACTCGGGTCTAAACGTTTATCAAAAAAGTATCCCTCATCATTCCAGATCAATCCATCAAACGGTTTGGCTTGAAACGTATGGGTTTACGAAAAAGACCGACCCCACCGATCACCTACCGGTTATTGTTTTCCACAGATAGCCTCAAAACAGGATTTGAGGAAAATGTGTAAAAGACCGACCATTGTAGCCTTAAATTATTTATACAATTCGATTTTGAATTCATGTCAATCGTTTTGTTACCCATTTTGTTCTCTTCAATTAAGTTATTTAAAATGGTTAAAACGAAAGACAAGCAAACACTTAAGTTCCCGACCTGCCAACATATCGTTTCTACGGGAATCCATCCCATTTTTAAACTGGAATTCAAAATTGGCCTATATTTAACGAAAATTACGCTTTTCTAATAAAAATGATTTATAATTGACATACTGATTATTGAACACAATGTACAATGATGTTACGTGTGTTCTCTTGTCAGGACCAATAGTGAATAAACATTTAAGCACACCATTGGAAAGCTATTGAATGTAGTTTTTACCAGATTGATGACGACATATTTTAATCACCACCTTGTGGAGGTACTTGTAAAGGATTCCTAGTTTTTAGTTTTATTTTCCTCTTCTAATTTTGCATCTAATATTCATCTTTATGTAAACGACAAGCCACCGATCACGTGTACCCAACTATGGAGAGTGACTTATCGGTGGTCGGCGGTCGGTCTTTTTGTAAACCCAAAATTAAGTGCGACGCTCGCCGATCCACGAGTTCGCCCATCCACTTGCCCGACAAACTAATCACAATATAGCACTCCCGGATAGCACCCATGGATGCGATAATGAAAAAGGCTGTTCTCTTGACTTCTCTGGGTATTTCCAAACGCAAGAGGGCTCACGATGAGGAGCAAGATTAATGGATATGACTTCTACATCATCATTATTATGCGCTGTTAGTTATAAATAAAAGTTTTTAAACACGAGCATCAGGGAAATCAGTGAAATATTTTGTTTAGTTATCATATTGTACATGTTCCGTTATGTTCTAGTTCATGGTCGTCATCTGGATGCAGAGCACACAGCTCAAGTGTCAGCTCCACAACGTGCCATTGTAATCACCTAACTAGCTTTGCCATCCTTATGCAGACATCAGATGTCAAAGTAAGTTAACAATAACATAATCATGGTTTTGAAAACAAACAAAGAACAAATATTATCATTTTATGAGCATAAAATCATTTATACAAGCGTATAAATCAAAATTCAAAAAGTGCAATAATATGAAAATAGTATGAACAGAGAGCTTGATAAACATGAATCAATTTGTATATTTATGTTTTAGATGAGTAAAATGGATGATACTGCCTTGAGTATTATCACGTATGTAGGATGTGCGGTATCCCTCCTGTCATTGCTCCTCACAGTGGCACTTTATTTTATATTCAGGTGTGTTACCTAATATTCAGGTGTGTTATCTAATATTCAGGTGTGTTATCTAATATGCATGTGTGTAATCTTATATCCAGGAATGTTATCTAATATTCATGTGTGTAATCTTATATCTGCACAGTCGTATATATAAGGGTTGTGTACTGGGAGGTTTTGGATATGGGGTTTATCCAATGGGAGATATGCATATCTACCTGAGGGACCGCAGGGACAGAAGGTAGATATGCATATTTCTCGAGGGATAAACCCCATATCCAAACCGACGGTACATAACTGCTTTATCCTATACCAAAACAAAAACAGCAAAAATAACAAAACAACTTCATCAATTCATGTGGATTTAGGTGAATGTTTAGACTAATCCAGGGATAAAACAAATCTTGCAGTTGTAAGATGTCATTAATCTTCGACCCAGTCTTCCATAATCACGAATTCTAATGCTACAATTTATAATTACGTAAAATTTGGGACGTCTACCAAATATTATCCAAATTAGTTCAGTGCAGAAATCATTTCTGAAATAATAACAGCCAATATATTGTATGGGAAATATTGATATCAGATCAGAGTGTGACACATCGGATCCAATCATTTTCGTCTAGCCTAAGAAACAGATAAAAGACAGTTTTGGTTGTGGGTTTCGTTTTCGAGATTTAATGCCCCAAACTCAACTAGTCGTATTACTGCATCAAAAAGATCATATTATTATTAGAGGTTTATGTACATTTGATCTTTTATAACTGGAGTATAATTAATTGACGATGCGATTTATTGTCATTGTTTAACACATTATTGTGATTGCTTGTGAAAAGCAAACACAATTCGGTTTCTGATCCCGGATTTCTGATATACAAAATATTTTGACCTTTCCTACAGACCAAAGAAAATCTGATTGTTTTGACAAGCACATGTTTAAAAATCCATAATAGCTAACTATTCGTGTATGATGGGTGTACCCCTGATGATGCGTGCAATAATTTGATCATTGTCTATAACGAACGGACGGACAGACGAACGGACGGACGGTTTCTCTATATCCCCCTCGAACTTCGTTCGGTGGGATAATAATCAGAGAGTAAGGCAAATATGACAAATCGGCAGATGGTCATAAGGATTTTACTTTAGAATCAATTGTTACATCTGAATAAGTTGCAATCACGTTCTGAATGTTTCCTGCAATGTTTCAGATTGTACAGGTCAGACAGGGCCTTCATTTTGTTGAATCTGGCCGCTGCTCTTATAGTGTCTCAGACTGTGTTCATAGTTGGGGCGGATGCTACCCACAATAAGGTATGATACAAGTGTCGTTGAAATGCTAGTCAGTCACGAGTAAATATATTCAACAGTTGTAATAATCGAACATGAGTCAAAACGGCCCAGTGGGGCAAAGTGGCCATGAAAACATGTTTTGAACGATCATAATCATCCTTGAAGCAAGGGTATATAGTATTTTATATAAATTTGAATGAATTTAAGCATATAAAAAGTCCTTTGGAGAAGGATGGATCATAATATGAAAGGAGTGGTATTAATAAGGTGAACTATTTGAAAACGCGTTTCTCTTAAACTTGTCATCAAGACATTCTGAAAAGTTTACACATCGTCAATTTAATGGTCATCTTTTGGATGGTAATATATAATTTGAATTATATATGTATACTTTTCTCTAAATTGTTTTAGAAAACACATCAGACACTTCTTTCGTTCTTGGTATCATATATTCGGAATGAAATGAAACATCCATCCGAACCTAATTGGAACAAAACGACATAAAGACAACATGTTTAGGTCAATATTGTAATTGTACAATGGAAAGTTTGGTTGATTTTAAAAAAGTATATTGTTAATGAAATAAAAGGTTTATCTTAATTTTTATCTATTTTGGGGGGTTTTGTTTAAAGTTTTTGCATACCTTTTGTTAAATCAAAATTTCCTTTGTATAACTATAATATTGAGAGGTCTAAGAAAATGCTGTATATGCTATTTTGTTCCAACAAGGTTCGGAAAGACATTTCATTTCATTCTCAAGTATTGGTAGAAAGGAACAAAAAACAATTGCACTAAAAACACATTTTTTAACAAAAACAGTTATATAAAATATTTATAAATAATTTTTCCATAAAATTGTTGCCAATCAGTCAACATTACATAAAGGACCAAGTTTTTTACAGAATATTTTCAATAATTGGTTTAAGAGAAAAACATTGTTGAATTCAGTTCACCATATCACCTATCCTTTATGGCATCTTGTCACCGCCATTTTAACCTAGCTGTGTCTCGCCTTACGTAAGAGGTAATTATTCTCTTTACACTCTTTTGCCCCTCCACTAAAGTCTTTCAAAATGCGGTAACAATAGAGAATCGTTTTGAATTAACATTTTACAGGGAGTACACAGGGAGATATGCCGAGTACTAAGATAGTACTCATGGCATTTCAGCGCTAATTGAGTACTTATTTAAGCAAATATTTGTACTCAAATGAGCACTTATGACATGAGTACTGATTTATTGCATGTTTTAGTACTAAATGAGTACTCATATCATGAGTGATAAAATAGTAATAAAATTGTTCTTCAGCACCAAATGAGTACTCATCATGAATTAGTACTAAATTAGCACTCATGACATGAGTGCACTTTTGCCACAGTTCTAATTTAGTACTTATTTTGTACTAATTGAGTAATCAGCATATCTCCCTGTGCTATTTCTATTTTTATTTGTCAAAATTTCGAGCTTCAAATGTTCCAGGAAATTAAATGGCGTGATTTTGAAAATTCACATGACTGTCCGCATAGCTTATAACACACAAAAATCTTAATACACAAGAAAAATTGATTTTGATTTTCAAATGATGATTTTAACATCTATTCGCGATGTGCGCGTATGGAGAAACATGCTCGGGAGAGAGGAACAGGTGGTCCGGAAAGTCTAGACCTGTATTATGTACAAGTATATAGTACAATCAATTCAACGACTGGAATGTGAGGACGATGTTTTTCTCTGTATGCCCTTTAGAGTGCCCATGTTCGGCCTACAACATGATTTTATGAAATAGGAGCGTCTGAAACCTTAAGATTTACGTTGATTCGAATGATAATAAATGCATTTGTAAGATTAATGATTAATATTATGTCGAGAAACAGTTCTATGAATCGTTTCATGTTTGTTTCAGGTAGCTTGTTTTGTTGTTGCGATATTACTTCACTATTCATTCCTGGCATGTTTCTTCTGGATGTTGAACCAAGGCCTGTTCCTTTACATCAAGTTACGCACTAGGAGTGCGGCAAGTCGTTTACGCATGAGTCACTTCTCTGCAACTGGTTGGTTTCCCCCAGCGATTATAGTAGGAATATCAGTGGCTGTTAGGCATGAATCGTACATCAGCGATGTACAGTAAGATAATTTTCAGTTTGACAATATTTATGAGAAAAAACTATCAAGCTCACAGAAAATGCTCTCATGTCAAGAGTTTTTCATATGTCTTTGTTAAATTATATTATATTTTAATATCCAAAAGTAGTAAAGCAACAACTGTTTCGTACACCGGGGTCCGTTTTTGGAAACGATTTGGTCACAAGTCGTTTGCACTGTGAATAACATTTACTGTCTGCATGATGTATTTCAGTTGCTGGCTATCGGATCGATTCTATCTGCGACTCTCCTTCATCATACCAGCGCTGGCTGTTGTTCTGGTAGGCATAAAATTATTCACTAATGGAAATGTACCTTTTTATTAGTTATTTTATTATTTGCAATGGGTTTTGTATACAAAGAACTATTTACATCATTTTTAGTGTAAATAGTTCTCTGTCCTTTTGTATAACATAATGAGATACATCTTTTTCTGTAAAACATTTGGTATAGATTACCTTTAAAGTTGAATTATGCCATAGGTTTCTCCCCCAGACAATCAATGATGTCCTATTGATATTGATCATATAATATCTCACATACCATGGATATATCTTGAGAATAACTTTTGGGTATATTATTGCCGAAATATCGGAAATAATCATCAGATCAACCAAACTCCAGAATTAAACACAATCGATTCCTCGGCTAGCGAGGGGAATCCCCATTGAGCCACACAAGCGCCCACAAGCGCCTTGAACCAGGCAGCCAATCAGGTTTAACAAATTCAACAATTAACAAATTCAACGACCAATCAGATAACAGGAGGACTTTCCCGGTATATTCAAACTTCAGATTGAATTAATTTCTTCGAAAATAATTAGATCGGCCAGCACAATCACAAAATTAACACTGAAAGAGGGGGATTTGGGACTTCATTGGTAAGTATATATGTGGTGAAACTCAATATGCAAAAAAAGTCCAGAGGGGTCTTGATTGTGCTATCCTATGCAATGGCATAGAGCCTCTTTAATTTCGTCATTCCTCAAAATACATTATAACAATAAACGGAATGCGACAATTAATCTTTGATTTGAGGATGATTAGCGTGCACTGACTATAAGAAGAATATCATCAGGATATCCTAGGATGTTAGTTGAGTACATTTTAGCTCAGTGTTTCTCATTAAGCGCATGTACTATTGAGATAAAAATAAAATACAGTAGCTAGTAGATCAAGCTGGTGTTATGAAACCTTTCAAATCTAATACTGATTTTTATGTCCCCATTGTTACTTAAAATAAAAAGGACATCATAAAAATTGCTTTTTATTTACCAAGTCAATCGTTCCTCTCATTACCAATCATCATGTTATAACCGTCATTATCCTGATTCACGCGTTGTTTTCCATTTGAACTAGTAGAAGCAGACATGAATATTTAATGGATAAGCCATGTAATACTGCAATTGGTATTAACCAGTTGTATTGCTGGCTGCTACATGAAAGCAATATTTCCTCGTGAGATTACTTAATCAGAGATAATAGAAACAGATTAACAATTGGAAAGTACTTAGACTCAGATGAATTAATATTAGAGCGCTTTCGACAAGGAATTGTTTTGTATCTACTAAGTGACATGTGGTGATGACCAAAGTCCCGATGCCCAATATAATATCCGTAGATTTATTATATGATAGCCTAATTACATCATGATACACTATGACATCTCATTAATTCTCAACCATGAAATGCCAGCATATTTCTAATGAAACAGAAAGATATGCCGAATGAGAATCAGATTAGCTTTGTTATTATTATAACATACATTATTGAAGCATACATTTATGTCTTTAGGCTATAAAGTTCTTTTTATTGCATTTCAAGTTTTTTCCTAGAAGAACGCTTGATAAACGTATACTTTAGTAAATAACCTTAGAATGAAGAAAGGAATCCTAAAAATAACCGTACTCCTAAAAATTATATTATATTATACGATTATCATATTACTTAATACTATATTCAGCTAACTTAATATTGCAGGTTAATTGTGTCGTTCTTGGATTTGTCATAAAGACCTTTCTGTCTGTGAAGAGAAATGCAGAAAAGAATCTGGTTGATAAAGTCAGGTACAACAACAGACTTATAGATTTTCTTCATAAAACGTAATGTGTGTAAGTTGTAAATTCTATAATATTTAGGTATAAATTAATAGATCTGTTTTGGGAGAAACCATATAATCTTAAAGGGACGTCATCTCCAGTATGTTTTTCGTATTCAACTCTAGGGCTGGTATACGTACAAGCGTTGTCTTGCTGCCAGTAATGGGGATGACATGGGTGTTTGGGGCACTTGCTATTCAGGAGGGAACAGTCGCATTTCAGTACATATTCGCTATTCTAAATACGCTCCAGGTAGGTCAGTATGTGGGAACAGTGACCATATATGCCCTTATACATCGTGTAACAATGCGGGTGAACTTGTGTGAAATTTCCTTGATATATCTTACAAAATCATAATTTCTTGAAAATTATGATTTTTCAAGATTGAGCCTATAGCATTTTAAAGTTTTGTAACATTTCTTTAACAATTGATAGCCAATGCGAAATAATCTTTTGTAAAACATATACATGAATTCAAGTTTCAGAAAATCCATCTGATGGTTGAAAATTCCATTAAATCATCCAATTCATTATTTTCCAGGGTTTCTTCATCTTTCTATTCCACTGCATGTTTAATGAGGAGGTGAGTTGTAAGTTTCCGGGAATACCATCATGTTACAACCCATTCCTTACTTGCTCATCCAAATACTGTGGTTCATATACGATACATTCGTCTGAGGCTAAACAAAGTCAAGGTGATTCGGACATAATATATGTGGATGGACACACCAATAGCGGGGTCCAGACAAGACATATAAGATACATACATACAGATGCGTACGACCAAGAAAGAAGAATGATCACTGTAGATGGCTCAATCACAACCAGACTCTGAGTGCAAAGCAGACGTGCATGTCGTTTGGTTGCTATTCTCAATATGAGGTCATTGAACTATGTCAGGATATCACAAACAGTGATAGTGAAAAGTCCTTTTTCAACTCTGCAACTATAAAGTTGCGATATATGTTAATGGTATCTATGTCTAAACATTCACGGAAAAATAAAAATTTGTGCTGTTTTATAAGCTTTTGTCCATCCAAATTAGAATATAAAAAAAGTTCTATTAAACAAAAAAATCTGAGATTAGCCCGATCATCATATTGTTTTGATTGATCATGTGCTTGAAAACATATTACTGTTGAAACATTTTACATAAATGTTCAAGTAATAAAGATCAACGTATTGGATGTTATTTCTAGTGTTTGGAGGGACAATCGCTTCCCGTAAAGCTTGCACAGGGCAATCGCATAAGTAAGCCCGCTGTATAAGAATTTAGATGGGACGAAAGCTCCCTAATATGTATAGACTCCTTTTACTAATCCAGAATAAATAGGTAGTTATTTCTCACCCTACAATTAACCCTGCACTAAATTTTGCGAATGACCCCGTTGTAGGCATGGTCAGTAGGGAGGTTAGGCAATATGTTTTAAGATAACTAGCGTTAACGTGTGGAATTGTGGTACTCTATGGATTAGCTCTACCCTTCAAAATATTTGCTTGCCTGATTGAGTATAAAGGTATAAGGAAATTAATTGTAATACGGTTCCTGGAAAAACAATTGAGAGGGGGGCATTAATACGTGTAGTTCATAATATTACACGTTCGCGTAGAAGTTCTCTTAAAACGTGTAGCTTAAAAACTCATTCCTTTTGGAATTTATAAGGACAACTGTTTACTACAAGGACGATTGTCTTCTGTTATCGTATTTGTGTAATATCTGTTGCATTTTTCGCAGAGTCTATCTTGTGAGATAAACCACTGATTGTTTGCGTCCTGGACATTCAACATTCAACTAAATATTTTGCTACCTATCGTAGAGATATTTTGATTATTCCAAGCTTGAACATTTTATCATATCTAATTCTATATCACTTTCTTCTAAGTAAGTTGATATTAAGTATGTTTGCTAACTATACTAATGATTGATTGTTGAAATTTTATGATTGAATCATGAGTATAATTCTTTAACCTATTCAATGTATAGTTATATTGCATGGGTGCATGACATGTATGGGGCATTAATACGTGTAGTTCATAATATTACACGTTCGCGTAGAAGTTCTCTTAAAACGTGTAGCTTAAAAACTCGTTCCTATTGGAATTTATAAGGACAACTGTTTACTACAAGGACGACAGTCTTCTGTTATCATATTTGTGTAATATCTGTTGCATTTTTTGCAAAGAGTCTATCTTGTGAGATAAACCACTGATTGTTTGGGTCCTGGACATTCAACAAGCAGACTAAATATTTTGCTACCTATCGTAGAGATATTTTGATTATTCCATGCTTGAACATTTTATCATATCTAATTCTATATCACTTTCTTCTAAGTAAGTTGATATTAAGTATGTTTGCTAACTATACTAATGATTGATTGTTGAAATTTTATGATTGAATCATGAGTATAATTCTTTAACCTATTCAATGTATAGTTATATTGCATGGGTGCATGACATGTATGCATGACTACTTGGTGCATGTATATGTAACGTGGGTGTGCCCTTGCTTTCAGGTACGTGGGGCTTTGGTGAAGTCATTTGGGATACAAAAGAAGAAAAAGAGGTCGCAGGGTTCTGGGTACGACACAAATGGCACTCGTGGAAGATCAACGTTAAATACACCAGTTGATATCTAGGAATAGGGAAGAAGCTGATTGTTGCACATTAGGGGTGTATTACTTCATATCATTTCACTTATTGCTACACATCATGATGATGGAGTATTGCTACACATCATGATGATAGAGAGTATTGTTACACATGATGATGATGGAGTATTGCTACACATCATGATGATGGAGAGTATTGCTACACATCATGATGATGGAGTATTGCTACACATCATGATGATGGAGAGTATTGCTACACATCGTGATGATGGAGTATTGCTACATTTCATGATGATGGAGTATTGCTACACATCATGATGATGGAGTATTGCTACACATCATGATGATGGAGTATTGCTACACATCATGATGTTGGAGTGTATTGCTATACATCATGATGATGGAAAGTATTGCTACAAATCATAATGTTGGAGTGTATTGCTACACATCATGATGATGGAGTGTATTGCTACACATCATGATGTTGGAGTGTATTGCTACACATCATGATGATGGAGTGTATTGCTACACATCATGATGATGGAGTATTGCTACACATCATGATGATGGAGAGTAATGCTACACATCATGATGATGGAGTATTGCTACACATCACGATGTTGGAGTGTATTGCTACACATCATGATGATGGAGTATTGCTACACATCATGATAATGGAGAGTATTGCTACACATCATGATGATGGAGTATTGCTACACATCATGATGATGGAGAGTATTGCTACACATCATGATGATGGAGTATTGCTACATTTCATGATGATGGAGTATTGCTACACATCATGATGATGGAGTATTGCTACACATCATGATGATAGAGAGTATTGTTACACATGATGATGATGGAGTATTGCTACACATCATGATGATGGAGAGTATTGCTACACATCATGATGATGGAGTATTGCTACACATCATGATGATGGAGAGTATTGCTACACATCGTGATGATGGAGTATTGCTACATTTCATGATGATGGAGTATTGCTACACATCATGATGATGGAGTATTGCTACACATCATGATGATGGAGTATTGCTACACATCATGATGTTGGAGTGTATTGCTATACATCATGATGATGGAAAGTATTGCTACAAATCATAATGTTGGAGTGTATTGCTACACATCATGATGATGGAGTGTATTGCTACACATCATGATGTTGGAGTGTATTGCTACACATCATGATGATGGAGTGTATTGCTACACATCATGATGATGGAGTATTGCTACACATCATGATGATGGAGAGTAATGCTACACATCATGATGATGGAGTATTGCTACACATCACGATGTTGGAGTGTATTGCTACACATCATGATGATGGAGTATTGCTACACATCATGATAATGGAGAGTATTGCTACACATCATGATGATGGAGTATTGCTACACATCATGATGATGGAGAGTATTGCTACACATCATGATGATGGAGTATTGCTACATTTCATGATGATGGAGTATTGCTACACATCATGATGATGGAGTATTGCTACACATCATGATGATGGAGTATTGCTACACATCATGATGTTGGAGTGTATTGCTATTCATCATGATGATGGAAAGTATTGCTACAAATCATAATGTTGGAGTGTATTGCTACACATCATGATGATGGAGTGTATTGCTACACATCATGATGTTGGAGTGTATTGCTACACATCATGATGATGGAGTGTATTGCTACACATCATGATGATGGAGTATTGCTACACATCATGATGATGGAGAGTAATGCTACACATCATGATGTTGGAGTGTATTGCTACACATCATGATGATGGAGTATTGCTACACATCATGATGATGGAGTATTGCTACACATCATGATGATGGAGTATTGCTACAAATCATGATGTTGGAGTGTATTGCTACACATCATGATGATGGAAAGTATTGCTACAAAGCATAATGTTGGAGTGTATTGCTACACATCATGATGATGGAGTGTATTGCTACACATCATGATATTGGAGTGTATTGCTACACATCATGATGATGGAGTATTGCTACACATCATGATGATGGAGAGTAATGCTACACATCATGATGATGGAGTATTGCTACACATCATGATGATGGAGTATTGCTACACATCATGATGATGGAGTATTGCTACAAATCATGATGATGGAGAGTATTGCTACACATCATGATGATGGAGTATTGCTACACATCATGATGATGGAGTATTGCTACAAATCATGATGATGGAGAGTATTGCTACACATCATGATGTTGGAAAGTATTGCTACACATCATGATGTTGGAATGTATTGCTACACATCATGATGTTGGAGTGCATTGCTACACATCATGATGTTGGAGTGTATTGCTACACATCATGATGTTGGAGTGTATTGCTACACATCATGATGTTGGAGTGTATTGCTACACATCATGATGATGGAGTGTATTGCTACACATCATGATGATGGAGTGTATTGCTACACATCATGATGATGGAGAGTATTGCTACACATCATGATGTTGGAGTGTATTGCTACACATCATGATGTTGGAGTGTATTGCTACACATGATGATGATGGAGTATTGCTACACGTCATGATGATGGAGAGTATTGCTACACATCCATGATGATGGAGAGTATTGCTACACATCATGATGATGGAGTGTATTGCTACACATCATGATGATGGAGTACATTACTCAGGATAGCAGTCAGCAGAGTGAACTAGATAACAGCAACACCAAAGCATAGCAAATCCCATCGAACAGCCATGGCTGTCATCTTTACAAAATCCTCCTACTACTTTTTCAGTTATAGCAAAAACCATAAAATAACACACATGAAAATGGCCACCATTTTCAAAATGATGCTCACTAGACAAATTGTCATAACCCATATAAAACTTACGTACATGTAAATGGCTGCTATTTTACAAAATGGCTGCCTAAGCCAAAGTGTCATAAGACAGTGTGCCATGCTTATGAGTATTCACATAACAAATATGAACAAAATCGCTGTATTACTTTTCGAGTTATAATCAAAAATGTAAAATAACACTAGTAAAATTATCAAAATGGCCGCCTTCTTGCAAAAGTGTCATAGAACAGTGTGCCTTGCTTATGGGTATTCACATATCAAAGGAAAAAATGCTCCACTACTATTCAAGTTACAGCAAAAATTGTAAAATTGCGTGTAAAGGTTTTCATTTTTCAAGATGGCTGCCATGTTTTTCTTAAATATCTACATCTCTAGCATTATTTATGTCTTATATAACTTTTTTACATTAAAGACATATTACTATTACGGTTTTACATATTGTACCTAGATTACTGTAAAATCTAGTAAAATGTCCACCATATTTAAACGAGAGGCCATTTTGAAAGCTTTCAAGCAGAACTTCTTAAAATCTACTGACAGAGTATGCTAGGGACAGACAGAGCGATGTACGGACAGAGGTGTTCCTTATATCCCTCCAAACTTTGTTCGACTGTATAATAACTGCAAATTGTGATGGCAGAGTGTATTACTGCACATCATGATGGTGGAGTGGGCTTACGGACAACTCATCGCCTATACAGACATCCCTGGACAACTCATCCCCTAGACAACTCATCCCCTGGACATCTCATCTCATGAACAACTCATCCCCTAGACAACTCATCCCCTGGACATCTCATCCCATGGACAACTCATCCCCTAGACAACTCATCCCCTGGACAACTCATCCCCTAGACAGCTCATCCCCTGGACAACTCATCCTTTATCGCATGAAGCCAAATTAAAATTGTTTCTTGAAAAGAAATATTTAATAACACATTATTTTTCACTCTATAACAGTCAAACGGTGCCATCAACACTTTCTTATCCCATAGTTGAGGTCAAATCTGTAGAATAACACGTATATATATTTATGATATTTTGAAAATGCGTGGAAATGTGTATTCTTTGGAATACGGAGAATATTCCACAGATATCACTTTTTCCATGGATTTGAAAACTCCCACCAATGTGACGTGCATTGTTACAAGAGCTTACATGGTGATTTCATGACGTCACAAATATGGAGATGATTAATGTTTTGACAGTTCAAATGACAAAATAAAACTGAATGTTGTTTTGCAATGCTTTGTTAGGTCATGGACGTATACCAAATAGGCCTACATCCATGGTTAGGTGAACTATGGGATAAATAATACATCCTATGATTTTTTTCGTGATGTCATTTTAATCCACACGTTGATATCAATATCTGTACTCATTCGTGACGCTCATGAACTTCATGAACATGAACTTCAGTAGCTTCATCTGTGAATGCTGTGAAAAAATAATCTTTGGATTAAAGAATATTTGAACTATGAACAACAAATATATGATGACATCAAAGGAGCTTCTTCAATCAATGTTAACATAATATTGAAATTGTATATTTAAAGTAAAATTAAAGGTAAATATTTACAAAACAAATTACAGACTAATTGGTTGATTATCTGCTTGACAATATCATAGTTTTTTAAACAATTTTCCAGATTTCCCCTCCAGAAATTCTTTGTTCATCACTTGTACTCCACTCAATTATGCTTTTTACTGATGTGTGTCAGTATCATATGTTTAAGACAAAAACACAAATGTGTACAAAATGTCCCCACCTATGGGTGATCCCATCAAATGGTTATCCTAACCAGAACAAGGGTAACGCCAAAGTGAGCGAATCCCATCGAACAGAAATGGCTGGCATTTTTACAAACAAAATATATTGCAAATATCATAAAATAACACCAAGGCCATTATTTTCAAAATGGTTGCTCACTAGCCAAGTTATCATCAGAAGAAGTAGCCACATATAAAATTTTAAAAAATCACACACACGTACATGTAAATGCTGGCCATTTTTTAAAATGGCCACCTACTACCCAAAATGTCATAAGACAGTATGCAATCCTTACAAGTATTCACATATCAAATATGAACAAAATTGCTCTATTACTTTTTGAATTATAATAAAAAATGTAAAATAACACACATAAAAATGGTGGCCATTTTTCCAAATGGCCGACTACTCCCCAAAGTTTTATGTACCATGTGCCATGCTTAAAGTATTCACATATCAAATATGAACAAAATTGCTTCAATACTTTTCGAGGTTTAGTAAAAATGTAAAAATGACAGCCATTTTTTAAAATGGTCACCTACTACTCGAAGTGTCATGAGACAGTGTGCAAGGCTCATAAGTAGTCACATATCAAATATGAACAAAATCGCTCCACTACTTTTCGAGTTATAGTAAAAAACGTAAAAAATGGTGGCCAATTTTCAAAATGGCCGCCTACTACCCAAAGTGTCATTAGACAGTGTGCCATGCTTATAGTATTCACATATAAAATATGAACAAAATCGCTCTACTACATTTTGAGTTATAGTAAAAAATGTAAAATAACACACGTAAAAATGGCGGCCATTTTTCAAAATGGCCACCTACTACCCAAAATGTTCAAAGTATTCACATACCAAATATGTAAAAATCGCTCCACTACTTTTTGAATTACAGTAAAAAATGTAAAATGACGTGTAAAGGCAGCCATTTTTCAAGATGGCTGCCATGTATTTCTTCTTTTTTACATTCTAGCTGAAACAATGTCCTATATAACTTTTTACTTTGGAGCAGAACTTCTACTCCCATAGGGTATATGTGTACAAAATATGAACAAAATCGGGCCAACGGTATTTGAGTTATCGCCCGGATGGACCGTACGGACGTACGTACGGACGGATGGACTGAGGCGTTCCCTATATCCCTCCGAACTTTGTTCGATGGGATAAAAATGAGTAGACAAGACTTTACGGACACAATTTGTAGACGGAAAATCCAAAATGGCCACCTTAAAATTTACCCAGAATGCCAAAAAATAGTCAGTTCTAGATTTTCATACTAAGAACCACCCCCGAAAATTTGAAATTGATCCGTCACACAGTTAACCAGAAAACAAGACTTTACAGACAAGATTTTAGGACGGAAAATCCAAAATGGCTGCCTTGACATTTATCCAGAATGCCAAAAAAATAATCTGGTCTTGATTTTCATACTATAACAATCATCCCTGAAAATTTGAAATTGATCTACCAAACGGTTCACCTGGAAATGCGAAGACAAGACTTTACAGACAAGATTTTAGGACAGAAAATCCAAAATGGCTGCCTTGACATTTACCCAGAAAATCCAAAATGGCTGCCTTGACATTTATCCAGAATGCCAAAAAACTAATGGAAAGAGTTAGAAGTGCAGATCCTAAACGTTTTTGAAGTTCTGTTTATGTAACAGTAGTGAGATATTAAATCAATGATTCTGTTGTATTCTGAACTATTTGTTCACAAACATACACATTTTCTGAGACATATGATACTGACACACATGGAATGTTGGAATTCTACCTACAGCTGGAATGAGGAAAAAAGATAAATCATACCTTTGAGCTGAGACTAACATTTAGAGTATATTAGTCTCAGCTTTGAGGCTCTGATATTTTGTTACCGAAACGATCCTTTTCTGTGACAACATAATCGAGTGGAGTTCCAGTGTTCATGTAATATATGTTTTTGAAACTTAAAACTGATCATATTGACAACCGAAACATTTAAAAATCATTTTAATAATAACATATGAATTGGTAATATAACATTGAATTAGTCAAACATACCAAAGGATGAGTCGTCCAGGGGATGAGTTGTCCAGGGGATGAGTTGTCCAGGGATGAGTAGTCTAGGGGATGAGTTATCCGGTTACCATGCGGTCACATTGAAACCTTTCAAAAATGTGCAATATTAACATGTTTTTTGCCAATATAAGACAAAAAAAAAACAGGCAATTATTTTGAATATTTGCGTTGCAATAGGAAGCTGCTTCCCTTTAAGACTGGTTTGGGAAATACAAGTATAAAGATATTATGAGTTAATGGGACAGAGGTTACATGTAATGTTCTAAAATTCAAGAAACAGATACATACAAGTATCTCAAAAAATGCAGGTCCATTATAATATTGAATACGAACTGAATATTTTACAATTAGTACTAGTATTAGGTGAATACTGTCTATGGTGTTTATGGGTGAAGAACTAAACCTTTTTACCACAATTTATGGACCTGAGAAGCAGTAAGCACTTCACATAGCAATTGGCATTCAAGATATATTTAATTGTGAACATTGTTTCACATTGTGACCACCAATCGCAACTAAGGCGTTTGGTTGTATAAAGTTTCTTGGTCTGTTAGAGTTAGAAATATTATTGAAGAACTAAGCTTTTTTATAGTTTTACTCTCAAATAGCAAAAATATGAAATTAAAGTAAAACCTTAAAATCATCAAAGGCTTGACTTGCCAGATATGGGTGGCCTGGTTAAAGATTGTAATGTATGGATTTAGGAACAGATGGATGTTTGCAAGTACAGTACATGATGGTCTTAAAATTGTATTTTTCTTTCATATCATCCTATTCTGCCTTGCCATTATTCTATCAAATAAAGCCCTGAACTTCAAAATATTATTTGATAAGTTCACAAAATGTGGTGTCAAAGTAGCACAAATGTATTAAATGTTAGTGCCAATTTAATGCTTTTAATGTCAAAATGACGCCAAATTGCATTGGTATGACATTTTTCTTGTACTTAGAATAACATACATTAACAAGTATGGATATTTTATGTAATTTTTTATTCCATAGTTAGTAGTGTTATAGGTGAATAACATGCAGGAATATAATTGATATCTGAAGTGAGCGGGTGATATCAGTGGGTGATATATTTATCACCCGCTGATATCACCCGATCATTGGATCTAAGACATCACAAATTCAGAGAGTAGATACTGAGCCAGGGAACTTGACTATAAATCCTCATAATCTACTAAGTATAGAATAAATCAATTATTAAATGCTCGATTTTTGATGCAGGGTATATCCCTCAGTAAATACAATATATCAACTCTCAGTTCCTACAGTCCCTCGGATTGATATATTGTATTTTCCTCAGATATACCCTGTATCAGAAACCTCCCATTCCATAATGACACAAGGGAATGGATTGGTTGCATGGAAACATGTTTCACTATTGGGAGCTGTTAAATAATCAATATAATCTATATGAGAGTAAAACAATGGGGAGGCTGCTGTTTGTAATATAAAGTGATGGCAAACAGGGTCCATGAATGCATGTAAGAACACAGGGTGACACAAAAATGCTACCAATAAATTGAAACATCCATGGCATAGTTGCACATTGAAAGGACTGCTGACCATATTCACTACATCTAACCAGTGATGCTTTATTTGAACCTGTACCACCATGCAGTGAATCTAAATTGCATAAGGGTATCATTATCATTAAAATACAATGCATAAGACATTGTATGAAAGCAATCCACAAATGACTTGCTTATTAGTAGTGGCGCAGTGAAATAGTCATAGAGTCGAGTTATTGACACATTGAGGGTCTCGAATAATCGTGTTGATTCCAGTTTCCATAATCAGGACTTGACTAGCTAAAAGAACGAATTTCAGATCTTCGTAGAGAAAAATACTATAGTGCAGTGAACATCAAGAAGGGTTGCATTATTTTTGTCACCCTTCAGAAGCAAGAGCAATTGAATCAAATGTAATACTCTGATGAAATGTATATGTTATTGTTTTATTTTAAAATTAATACAAATTTCATAAAAACTGTATACTAACTATATGAATAGTAGGACAGAAATATTACATGTTGTGAACCTAGAAAATATCAGTGTCATTACTGAATGAATGGTATTCATTTCACATTTCAGAGAGAAACCATGTTTGACAATTTTTACCAACAAAAGATCCCACCAACAATCCATTTTAACAAGATCCATAATTAGAATAGAAAATGAAAAATTCCAACAATATTTGGTAAAATTACTTTATATAGTATAATAACTTTTATTGACATATTGTATCATTACATGATTACATTAGTCACAACTACTCACTAAGACTAACTAAAACTACTTCTACATTTACAAAGTAATGTGTACAAAATGTGTACAAAATTTTGTAATTTTGAAATTTAACTAAAATGTGTAGTCTTGAAAACTTATGTAATGTTGAGTATCAAAAGACTAGTCTCGGTTTGGAGAACCAAGTTCATCAGTCTACTGCATGTTACGCCTGCTTTGGACAATTTTGATATTTTTACATATTGTAGATTTCAACGTCCCCTTTTGAATATCCATAATTAATTTGGGTGTTATTTGTATATTTTTCATTAAAAAATGAATAGAGCAGTAGACTGATGAACTTCATTCTCCAAACTGGTACCTGTCTTTTAGTTATAATATATTTAACAGTGTATGTATACTTTAACTTTCAACATCATACATGTAATATGTTGTAACATGAATAAATGTTTATTTTCAAATGTCAAATATTTGACATAAATAAATCCTTTATGTTTACATTTGTATTTTAGTCCTGTAGTCTGGCTGGGAGAAGGTATTTAATCAAATGATTATAGTGCTTTTTACCTTTTGCACCAACCAATTCAGTATTTTGTGCCCAAATAACTTGGTTAGACAGCCATGTTTCTCTGGTCATCTGTTTAAATTCCCAGATCAGACAACAGCTACTTGCATTTATGAAATACCGAGAGAGAATTTGGCAGAGTGGTCCACAACTTTTATGTGAGGCATGTATTACACAATAAAGAACACAGGGAATTCCAGGTCTGTCTTTAACCAGTTCATTATGAGCCAGACACAAGAGTTCAATAAATAACTAAATTGCCTACTATTGGCTGTATTGTCCTAAGGCAGCTGCTGTATATCAGGCTCCATAAACCTACAATGAGAAAATGGTTAATCTTCTTAGAGACTCCGAGAGCTTTTCAGAACTGTTAGACATGACATGGATAAACAGTTGGCAGCAGTTAAGTTGGTCGGGCTATATTACAGAATTCACAATGGAAAGAACTTACAAACGCCACTTTATTCTTTGATTCATTAAATATCTCCAATTACATTAATGTAAAACTCCATTGGCATACAGTAAGTTGATCTTGTTGACATGCAAAGGTATAGCCTTAAAATGGTAATCCTTCATTAAATAAAGCAACTTTTAAAGATATTTCAGCATTGTGTCATTGGGGATTTAACCTGGATAAAAAGTCTTAATAGATTGAATAGAACAAAATAACTGTGGTAACTATAGCAAAGCCTCTTTTGAAGAGATATTGGCATGCATTCAATGTTAAATGTTCATTATGGTAAATGGTAATATTACTGAACATATAAACATTACAAACATTTTAATGCTGACTTTGTGCAAATTGAACAAAACTTGTCAAAGTTATACTTTACTTCACATTACAAAACCAATGGGCTTTCAATATCTCTTGAAAGCCCACGACATAACCAACTAAATGTTCTTACACAGGAGAAACATTATTAGACTGTACTCACTCATTTGCTGCATGCTTACTGCTGATGCATTCTTTTGTGTAATATTCAAACAACAGATTGCGGTCTGTAAGGTATGGATGCTCTGTTAAGAATTCCTCAAATGTTATATCTGGGTTACTACTGATGTTTATTGCATAGGTGACCATGTGAATGTAGAACTTTGTCACTGTTTCATGGTAGCCTGTTGATATCTGAAACAAAACGAACAATCACAATACAATACTGATTATGGGCCATGTGAGGCAGAATGAAATATTAGTAGACCTGAAACAGCTTGAGATGTAAAAAAATCTCCAGAGTAGCAAATTCCAACGAACAAATCATTTTTTCTCATTTTGAACATGTCATAATAAAATAAAAACAAGGCATTTGACAAAATGTCACCACCTAGTTGCTCACAATATTATGAGTTCAATCTTAAGTCAGATTTGAATTTCTGAGAACTAGTTGATTTTGAAAAATTAATTGGTCAATTTAAAGCAAGTTGATGAAAAGACCTTTTTGACTTTTTTTTACCTTGAAAAAGTCATTCGAGGTCAAATCTTAATACATAGTCAGATTTGAACTTCTGAAAACATTTAGATGATTTTGAAAAAAATGAATTCAGACTAAACAGTATTTGTTAAGTTATTGGAAATTGTAAGAATTTGTTACAGACCTTACAGACGCCAACCACCAACCGCCGTCAAAAAATGGAGACCATAACAATATGTCACCACTTTTTGATGGTGACATAATAATAACCAGGCATAAGTAGTTGAGTCTACTTTGGAAAAAGGTACATTAGTGACATACAAACATAAAACCTTCTTAATATTAGAAGCGAAAACCAAAATTAGACATGTGTAGATAAACTGAAAGAGCAATTCATTTACATTAGCTACAATTCATACTATTTGTTAAAGAAATTATATTGTACTTACCAAATGTTTATTTTGCTCATTGTATCTTTGTATTCCATTCCTGAAAAGACAAAACATTCATTCTAGAATATGTAATTATACTGTAATAATATTAAATGATCACATAAAATTGGTGTTGCAACAAGGTTGATTAATGATAATGAATTATCATTTCTTTTTCCTTATCTTTTATACTCAACTACTCTTCAATTTTTGAATGGTTGCCATATTGCGCAAATAAAGCATGTAGTGGTGTGGCATACTTTCAACGAAATGACTTGAACATGATTACAATACACAATACACACAATGAATGTGCCAATACACAATACACATTATAAATCTGCCAATACAAAATACACAAAATGAATGTGCCAATGCACAATACACACAATGAATGTGCCAATACACAATACACACAATGAATGTGCCAATATACAATACACACAATGAATGTGCCCATACACAATAAACACAATGGATGTGCAAATACATGATACACACAATGAATGTGCCAATACACACAATGAATGTGCCAATACACAATACACTCAATGAATGTGCAAATATTCAATACACGCAATGAATATGCAAATAGACAATACACAGAATGAATGTGCCAATACACGATACACACAATGAATGTGTCAATACATGATACACACAATGAATGTGCTGATACACACAATGAATGTGCCAATACACAATACACACAATGAATGTGTCAATATATAATAGACGCAATGAATATGCAAATAGACAATACACAGAATGAATGTGCCAATACACCATACACACAGTGAATGTGTCAATACATGATACACACAATGAATGTGCCAATACACACAATGAATGTGCCAATACACACAATGAATGTGCAAGAACAAAATGTGCCAATACACAATACCCACAATGAATGTGCCAATGCACAAAAAAATACACACAATGAATGTGTCAATACATGATACACACAATGAATGTGCCGATACACAATACACACAATGAATGTGCCAATACACACAATGAATGTGCCAATACACAATACACACAATGAATGTGCCAATACACAATACACACAATGAATGTGTCAATATATAATAGACGCAATGAATATGCAAATAGACAATACACAGAATGAATGTGCCAATACACCATACACACAGTGAATGTGTCAATACATGATACACACAATGAATGTGCCAATACACACAATGAATGTGCCAATACACACAATGAATGTGCAAATATTCAATAGACCCAATGAATATGCAAATAGACAATACACAGAATGAATGTGCCAATACACAATACACACAATGAATGTGCAAATATTCAATACACGCAATGAATATGCAAATAGACAATACACACAATGAATGAGCCAATACACACAATGAATGTGCCAATACACACAATGAATGTGTGAAATACAAAATGTGCCAATAAACTATGCACACAATGAATGTGCCCATGCACAATATACACAATGAATGTGTCAATACATGATACACACAATGAATGTGCCGATACACACAATGAATGTGCCAATACACAATACACACAATGAATGTGTCAATATATAATAGACGCAATGAATATGCAAATAGACAATACACACAATGAATGTGCCAATACACGATACACACAATGAATGTGCCAATACACGATACACACAGTGAATGTGCCAATACACAATACACACAATGAATGTGCCAATACACACAATGAATGTGTCAATACACAGAATGAATGTGCCAATACACAATACCCACAATGAATGTGCCAATGCACAAAAAAATACACACAATGAATGTGCCAATACACGATACACAGAATGAATGTGCCGATACACATAATGAATGTGTCAATACACAGAATGAATGTGCCAATACACAATACACACAATGAATGTGTCAATATATAATAGACGCAATGAATATGCAAATAGACAATACACACAATGAATGTGCCAATACACGATACACACAATGAATGTGTCAATACACGATACACACAATGAATGTGCCAATACACGATAAACACAATGATTGTGCCAATACACAATACACACAATGAATGTGTCAATACACGATAAACACAATGAATGTGCCAATACACAATACACACAATGAATGTGTCAATATATAATAGACGCAATGAATATGCAAATAGACAATACACACAATGAATGTGCCAATACACGATACACACAATGAATGTGTCAATACACGATACACACAATGAATGTGCCAATACACGATAAACACAATGATTGTGCCAATACACAATACACACAATGAATGTGCCAATACACGATAAACACAATGAATGTGCCAATACACAATACACACAATGAATGTGTCAATATATAATAGACGCAATGAATATGCAAATAGACAATACACACAATGAATGTGCCAATACACGATACACACAATGAATGTGTCAATACACGATACACACAATGAATGTGCCAATACACGATAAACACAATGATTGTGCCAATGCACAATGAATGTGCCAATACACAATACATACAATGAATGTGCCAATACACAATACATATTATGAATCTGCAAATACACAATACACACAATGAATGTGCCAATACACAATAGACACAATTAATGTGCCAATACACACAATGAATATGCCAATACACAATATGTACAATGAATCTGCACAATATGTGCAATATATACAATATATTTATTCCATAATACTACTGTTTTCCCAGGGAAATATGAAGGAATAAAAATCGTATTGAATCGTATTACATGAAAAAATCGTATTGTCCCCGGGAAAAAAATCGTATTGGAGCGTATTACATGGAAAAATCGTATTGTCCCCGGGACAAAAATCGTATTGGAACATATTAACCTATTTTTGGTTTTCCCGGTTATTTTTAACCTTGACTAATTGATAAAAGCATTATCCAAATGTAACATTTTAAGGAGGAGTGCATTATGGAATAAATAGGTTATTTCTGGTCGGTATTGAATATGGGTTTTATTCCTCGGAAAATATGATATTGACCTTGGGAAATATGATATTGACACTCGGTCGCTGCGCTCCCTCGGTCAATATCATATTACCCTTCGGTCAATATCATATTGTCCCTCGGAATAAAACCCATATTCAATCCCTCCCAGTAAATAACCTATATATACACAATACACATTATGAATCTGCACATACACAATACCTACAATGAATGTGCCAATATACAATACACACAATGAATGTACCCATACACAATACACACAATGAATGTGCAAATACACAATACACACAATGCATGTGCCAATACACACAATAAATGTGCCAATACACAATACACACAATGAATGTGCTAATACACAATACACATAATGAATCTGCCAAGACAGAATACACACAATGAATCTGCCAATATACAATACACACAATGAATGTGCCCATACACAATACACACAATGAATGTGCTAATACACAATACACATAATGAATCTGCCAAGACAGAATACACACAATGAATCTGCCAATATACAATACACACAATGAATGTGCCCATACACAATACAAAAAATGAATGTGCAAATACACGATACACACAATGCATGTGCCAATACACACAATGCATGTGCCAATACACACAATGAATGTGCCAATACAAAAAGTGCCAATAGACTATACACAGAGTGAATGTGCCAATACATAACACACACAATGAATGTGCCAATACACAATACAAACAATGAATGTGCCAATACACAATACACACAATGAATGTGCCAATACACGATACACACATTGATTGTGCCAATACACAATACACACAATGAATCTGCCAATACACAATACACACAATGAATGTGCCAATACACAAAATGAATGTGCCAATACACAATACACACAATGCATGTGCCAATACACAATACACACAATGAATGTGCCAATACACGATACACACATTGATTGTGCCAATACACAATACACACAATGAATCTGCCAATATACACAATGAATGTGCCAATACACAATACACACAATGAATGTGCCAATACACAATACACACAATGAATGTGCCAATACACAATACACACAATTAATGTGCCAATACACACAATGAATATGCCAATACACAATATGTACAATGAATCTGCACAATATGTGCAATATATACAATATATATACACAATACACATTATGAATCTGCACATACACAATACCTACAATGAATGTGCCAATATACAATACACACAATGAATGTACCCATACACAATACACACAATGAATGTGCAAATACACAATACACACAATGCATGTGCCAATACACACAATAAATGTGCCAATACACAATACACACAATGAATGTGCTAATACACAATACACATAATGAATCTGCCAAGACAGAATACACACAATGAATCTGCCAATATACAATACACACAATGAATGTGCCCATACACAATACAAAAAATGAATGTGCAAATACACGATACACACAATGCATGTGCCAATACACACAATGCATGTGCCAATACACACAATGAATGTGCCAATACAAAAAGTGCCAATAGACTATACATAGAGTGAATGTGCCAATACATAACACACACAATGAATGTGCCAATACACAATACAAACAATGAATGTGCCAATACACAATACACACAATGAATGTGCCAATACACGATACACACATTGATTGTGCCAATACACAATACACACAATGAATCTGCCAATACACAATACACACAATGAATGTGCCAATACACAAAATGAATGTCCCAATACACAATACACACAATGCATGTGCCAATACACAATACACACAATGAATGTGCCAATACACGATACACACATTGATTGTGCCAATACACACAATGAATCTGCCAATATACACAATGAATGTGCCAATACACAATACACACAATGAATGTGCCAATACACAATACACACAATGAATGTGCCAATACACAATACCCACAATGAATGTGCCAATACACAATACACATGTAATGAATCTGCCAATAACAGGTGAATATTGATTTGTACTTCACATCAAATTACACCTTACTTCGCATCTTAGATTGCGCTTGACTGAAGATAAAACGCATCTCATTTGATGCATTCTGCAGACACATCACTACGCAAAAATCCAACTTAAATGTTTTGTGATCAGAAGTTAATGAGGTTCTGGTCTACTTCCTGTACTTCATACACTAAGACTAAATCTTACTTTATATAAGGCTCTGCCTGCTCCCCATATTTCATGATGTAGTTCCAAGCCATCCTGAGATGAGCCTCATGTGTCCAGTCTTCAAATGGAAGTGTCCTCTCCTCAAATGCATTCATAAATGCTTCATCCCCAACAGAACGGAATGACCTGAAACAAAAATAAATAAATTTTGTTATGAACTCATAACAGTTTTCAAGATCAACAAGATCAATAGATAGAGGCAGAGTGTACACAGATTAATGAAATAATTACCAAGGTACCAGGAACAAGTTACCAGTTTCACCATAAGTTGGCTAATATGGGTCAGATAACATGGCAGACCATGTGGGAAACATAGAAAATCTCCCATAAACTTGAATAACATATTTACACATAACTTTTTGATAATTATGCAATAGTCCAATTTGCAAGAAGAAAATACATGATCATTTACATGAATATCTTCCACAATGCATCGTGTTAAGAAGGACAGATTTTCATTGGTCTGTCGATCGGTCATTGATGTAGACCAAAATGGCGAAACAAGGTTGGGAGAATTCGGGTGTATTTCAAATTCAAATTTCCATTATCGATGGATAGATTCAATATCGCGAAGCCCCAATGTATATCTAGGTGCATGATATTGTTAACTCGCAAAATCCAATAGTTCAATATCGTAAAATAGGATTTTGAGATCCAAAATAACAGAATGAAAATTGGATTTTGAACATTATGATTTGCTTGCAAAATGACAAAAATGTCTATCGATGTGATTTAAGACGAGAATTAGTTTCATCTCAGATTTCAAATCTTCTACAATTAACGTTATATCTGCTGTGGATAATATATTTAATTATTTTACTTCAATTCCTTTATCATAAGTCATTATTTAGTGATTTGCAGTATGAGACAAATGTCAAATAGGGCTGAAATATTGCATTCAGACCCTGTATATTCCAATGGGTTAGAACCTAGATGTAAAGATATCAGTACCCGAAATGAGAGATCTTCAACACAATTATGTACTCGAACACATCTGTTTGAAATTATTATCTTCAATACGTGAAGATATTTCAGTTTTCATGATTTTATAACATGGGCTCTATCATGTCTATGGGGAATCTACCTGACTTAGAACATTTTCAAAAAGAAATTTAAAATTTCCAAATTGATAAACAATTTCAAAACCACATCACAAGCTGTAATTTTAAATGTAATTTTATAATCTCACTTTGATTAAATTTTAATTCATATTTAGCCTTATGATGAAAATCAAGATTATTTCTACTTATCTAGTCTATCAATCAATTATTTAATAATTATGTTTGGAGAATATGAAAATGCTTTCACAAAGTAGCTGCCATTTTGAAGAAAAGGTAGAGGCACTGTCAAGACAGACATCTGATGGATGAACTGACAGATCATAATGGAGGACTTCATTACTGTATATCTCTCTTATTCATTGGAATAATATAGACTGAATGATACACATGTACATAAAACATTGAACTCTTGTAGATTCATCATAAACCAATAGTCATTACAAACCTTTTGAAATAAAGCAATGGATGAATGTCTGATTGGTGTACATTAGTTTGTGTGACACTGCCGTACCATACAGCATGGTCCCCTACATTGTGTACAGAGTGAGCCATACAGTGCAGAACACCAGCAGCACCACAGATCACAGGGATGCCCTGACAATACAACAGTACATACGATTACTTAATGTATTATCAATAAGTTCAAAAAGATTGTTTTTAATGATTTAAACTAGAAAACGACAATTCCATGGAGTAGCAAATCCCAACTAACATTATAACATGTATGAACCTGCATTTGTCACAAAGTAATATGTACCATCTACATCTTATCCTTGAAAATATAAACGGTAGATATTAAAATACATACATTAGAGATATATCAGAATTTCCACGGATTTAAGTATTTTGGTGACCATTTAAGAGTTTCAAAGGCACAAATAATAAAGACAGTATATTTCAGATCTAATAAAGTATCATGTAACCATGCCTTAAAGAAATCTCTAAGTAACAGCTAATTCCTCATAGGGAGCCATTTTGAATTTTCTGAGGCACAAATCAGAAAAACAATACCATAATTGTGATCTACCCCATATTTCCTTCAATTTGAGTATAATATAGCCTGACTTTGAAGAGATCAGATAATTATCGGAAATCCCATATGAGGTGGCCAAAGCGTAGCAAATCCCATCAAACAGCTATGGCTGCCATTTTTACAAAATCCTTCTACTACTTTTTCAGTTATAGCAAAAATTGTAAAATAACACACATAAAAAATGAGACCCCATTTTCAAAATGGTTGGTCACTAGCCAAATTGTAATACGAAACAAAATCGCATACATCGGATTTTCAAAATGGCCACCATTTCATAAGCGAAAGTGTAATAAGACAGTGTGCCATGCTTATGGGTATTCACATATCAAATATGAACAAAATCGCTAAATTACTTTTGAATTTAAAATAAAACCTGTAAAAACGATTTTCAAATTGGCAGCCTTCTAGCCAAAGTGTCATAAAACAGTGTGCCATGCATATCATATCAAATATGATCATATATGGATTCACATATCAAATATGAACAAAATCGCTCTTCTAGTTTTCATGTTACAGCAAGAATTGTGATGCGTGTTAAGCCCGCCATTTTTCAAAAGATTTTACATACTCACAGTTTTCTTAAAAAAAAGTAATATGTACTTAAAATTGACTTTATTCTATAATATTCAACAATGGTGAATTTCATGTTTTTCATGTAAGCCAATGTGGCAAGGCACTTCAATTTTACACTTGACTCTAAATATTAACATCCACCTGGGGCTACTGTCGAGTGGATATGAGTCATCATTTGACCCACACTGGTGTACAAAATATGAACAAAATCTGGCCAACGGTATTTGAGTTAACGCCCAGATAGATGTAAGGACAGACAGAGGTGTTCTCTATATCCCTCCGAACCTCGTTCGATGGGACAATAAAGACTTCTTATATTAGTAGTGGCATAAAAAGGAACATTCTGTACCTGTGGAGTAAGTTCATGTGGAACTAAGTGGAACTGGTTTATGTCATCTTGCACTGGTTTAGAAAAATGTAAGCCATATTTCACCTAAAAATATTTATATTATATCAGTGTCTGCCTTCCCCAAAGAGAAAGGCATGGTGATTATTACATAAAATAGCAAATACATAATGTACAATGAACATCCTGGGTTAAAAACTATTTTGTCAATTTGAAACTGGAATGACTTTGCTGTTCATCCTTATTTTAGTTGAGTAAGGTTAGAAGGCAATATGCCTGGTGTGTGTAAGAGGGAAAAGATAGAAGGTAATTGGAATAAACTGTCATGAAAAATATATTTCCCAAAAACTTATTCTTTCAATAATTAAGTGTAGAATGTAAAGTGAAACATTTGAAAGCAGACCTCTTACCTGATTCTGGTTGAGAACATGAACAGCAAACTGTTTGGTTTCTTGTAATAAGTTATGCATGCGACTGAAAACAAATTGAACAACTGTGCAAAAGACTATCTGCAAGTAGAAATAATCTTTTTTTTAGATACATTTTCAAACATTTGAAATTGGATATACAACAAGGCACAGGATGAACAATATTGTACCAAAAATATATCACTTTGGGCTTGCTGACCCAGAAAATTTGAAGTATTTCTGTTAAGTGGTTTTCCTGGAATTGTCTGTTAAGTGGTTTTCCTGGAATTGTGATGACAAGAATCATCTAAAAACTTCCAAAATGACCGCAAGAGATGGTCACTAAAAAATTAATCAGCTCTAGAACAATCTTACCATGTAACGTGTGTAAAATTTGAAATAACTGATTGATTGGTTTTCCTGGAATCACGATGAGAAAATTTATCTAAAAACTTCCAAAAAGGATGCCAGAAAGCAAGATGGCCACCAAAAAGTTAATCAGCTCTAGCACTTCTTACCAAAAGAAAGCATTTGAAGTTATTCCATTCAGTGGTTTTCCTGGAATCGCTAAGACAAGATTTATCTAACAAGATTTTAGGATTGAAAATCAATAGATGCCTGAATTTATCCCGGAATGCCCAAAAAATAATCAGTTCTGAACTTCCATAAGTAGAAACTTCCCTGAAAATTTCAGATGAGGCCCTCAAATGGATTAGCTGGAAACCTGTAGACAAGCCTTTACCAGGTCATCCAACTGTCCCGCAATTTGCATATTTGTCACGCATTTGCTGAAGAAATTGGAAATCAAAAAAGTTTAATGAGTTTTGGTCAGCCATAGATAAACTTTCCATGTATTGTTGCCTTGCTTCAAGTGTAAGAGGGCAATGAAGTATGAAATGTACCTTTGTCTGATTATTATACCCACATGGGCATTTTGGATTTGAAACATTTTCAAAATTATGTCTATAAAAATCTGAGGGTAGGGATAAGTCACACCTCTCTGTTTAATTTGATTTCTAATGGTCTCTAAGTTTAACTTTGATATTTTCATAGCTGTATTAATGTTATAGCTAAAATGATCTTCAGTTTTGGACCAAGGTATCCACAATTTGAAGGAAGGTGTTCAACATTTGTAAGTCACTCACGTCAGGTGTTCCAAAGTTGACAGGACTGCTTTACAGACAAAATTTTAATGTGGAAAATACAAAATAGCCACCTTAATATTTACCCAGAATGCCCCAAAACTAATCAGATGAATCCACGAAACTGTTTTGCTGGAAAGCTGTAGACAAGCCTCACCAGACAAGATTTTAAGACGGAAAATCCACAATGACCACCTCAACATTTACCAAGAATGCCCAAAAACTAATCAGATCTAAACTTTCATCCTAGAAACATCCCTGAAAATTTCAGATGAATCCCTCAAATGGTTTGGCTGGTAACCTATAGACAACCCCCAACAGACAAGACGGAAAATCCACAATGACCACCTCAACATTTACCAAGAATGCCCAAAAACTAATCAGATCTAAACTTTCATCCTAGAAACATCCCTGAAAATTTCAGATGAATCCCTCAAATGGTTTGGCTGGTAACCTATAGACAACCCCCAACAGACAAGATCTTAGGATGGAAAATCCAAAATGGGCACCTTAACATTTACCCAGAATGCCCAAAAACTAATATATAACTAATATATACCTAGAAACATCCCTGAAAATTCCAGATGAATCCTTCAACCAGTTGGCTGTAAACCTGTAAACAAGCCAATAAGTGAAACACTGCCGCCTGCCTGCCCACACACCCACCAAGCTGACAATATTATCGTACATCTCTTTAGGTACCGTAGAAGTTAGACCTAAGAATGTGACTTTAAATGTTGTTTCACAATAATACCTTGATCTTTTTAGCAATCATTCTGAAAATTATTTTTGAGTATTTTTTCAATGCTGAATCAAACATACCTAAAGGCGGACAAAACCTCCTCATATTATAGCCAGGTGGGTACATAAAATATTTTATTATTTCCATGCCGTGATACTCATTCTCTCATTGGTCAATTAGATACCATGTGACTGAAAATATATAGAGGTATTCCTTGTCTCCCTGCTTAGAAAACGTGTGAAGAGTGTATTCACTAAAAATGACGTCATTTTAATTGAATAAATAGTGGTATTCACTAAAAATGACGTCACATCAGTTAATTCCCAGGAATTTAGTAAAAAGTATTTTCATCCGACGGGCTGCGGTGAATACACCTTCAGAAATATATACAGATATTCAACTCCACAGAATTCAATATCTGTATAGTATTCAATAATTCCTCATAAAAACAGAAAATATTTAAAGGGTAACGCATATCATTTAGCAAATCGAATACTCATTTCTGGTGATGCTCACCATTTAGTATAAAAGGCAAGATCACGAAATAGTACTCAAGAGTGCAAAGGTTGAAGTCAAAGTGTAGAGAGCTCTGCCTGTTTATATAGCAATAGTGTCGTATAGATCGCCATGTATTTATGAAAGGTAAATTTTTGTTTTGATAAATCAGTTTTACCCTTTGTTGGTGAAGTTTCAGGATCTTTTGTTTGTGTTTAATGGGAAAAATTTACATATCAAGTATAAGTACAAAGCATGGTCTTACGAAATGTCCTATTCAAATAAAAGTAAATGAAAGAAAACGTTTTGGACTCATACCAGGATTTATATGCATCCTTTCAATAATTCAACCTCTAAATGTTTACAGATTGTAAACTTTCTAATTGGATTGCTTTATCTCCATGAGATGATTTAAACTGGAATATACCTAACTCCCCTAATTTCTTAAAAATTGGTTGATCAAATAGATTCACCTGGAGTCGCTATGATATTGCATTTATACAGGAAGGTATACATAACCCTGTAAAACTACTTGTGCACAATATGATCATTGAACAATTTATATCTGGACTTACCTTGGAATCTTCATACAAAAGGAGATGATAGGAGGATTTATTGAGACACTTGTGAATGAGCTGCATGTGATACCTCTTTTTAAGTAGCCCTTTCCACCATCTATCATATTTGCTGTTGTAACTACCACCACTGAAGAAGAATGCTTCATAATGAGTCTAAGTCAGTGTACACATTAAGATTCCTAGTCAACTCAGACCCAAGTTAACTTGGACCTATTTGTTTTTGTTCCATAGTATGAGCATTAAAATAAAAAGTAATATATAAAAACAACATTAATCATATGTAATTGTTGATAATGGTGAAAAATAATTCTGACACTTTTTAGTCAATCATAAACCATTCAGCCTGATTGTGAAATCATCTTCAGTAAGGATCATCATGGGCTTTCAACTCTAATTGAAAGCCCATGGGATCATTAAATTATATTGCTTGGAATATATTGTCATTTTGTATCTTTTGAGTGTTATTGTATAAACTATTTTGCAATGTCTGAAAAGAATTGAAGCCCAAAACTCAATGCATTGTGGCTGATTCATTCCACTCAGGCGTTGTTTCTTTAGCACTTGATGCTGCACATCTTATGCAAAGTTAGAAACAACACCTTAACGGTAGTTGCTCTAACATCTTGCTAGCCCGATTGATATGATAGCATTTAATTTTATTAACTCAATCTACTGTACGGCTGCTTTGTATTGGATGAACACCAATTTGACCTTAATCTTACCATATTTTGAGATAAAATAGTAGATTTTTACTTTTTGTTTTTTCATTTCTGATTGTAAACTGTTTTATTACTTCAATATATACTGTAATTGTAAATACAATACATTTTCCACTGACTGGCATTATAACAGTCAATAAATAAATTGAAAATGAAGATATTTTAATTAATCATTTAAAATAAACGTGCATGGTCTATTATGTCATAATAATGCAGAAAATATGAAACTGCCCATTTGGAAAAAGGTCAATCTAGAAAGCCAAGGGTAATACATCCGGAATACAGACCACATAGATATGTTCCATTCAAAACTTTTCACAAGTGATCAAGAGGAGTCTCTTGATTGATTAAAATGATTATTGCCGAATATGTTTGGTCATGAGATGTTAGAGCAATTACCTTTAAAGGATAGGATCAGTCCACAATGCACTGAGTCCAGGGCTTATATCCTTAAGCATTCCTACCTGGTTGTGGTACATGTCTCATCAAGGAGTGGAAGTCTCCATTATGTACCACCAGCTTGTCTTTAGAAGCACCAATACCTCCTGACAAATAGAGATTGATATGATCATATTTGAACATCATATACTCAACAAAGGGTCATTGGAATTATACCTCTGTGCCACAAGAATATTCAAATTGAAAACAAGTTTTTGCTCCACTGAACCAAGCTTATGAAGACTTGAACAACATGGTTATACACAACATTAGCCTTTCATCTTGAAGAAAATTTTAAGAAAGGACTAGAGAAAGTTGTGGGACTCAAGGGAGGTTAAGCTACACATTCAGATAACTTGCAGGAACATGTAGGATTATACGCTCTCTTAGAATCAATTCTCTTCTTCAAACCAAATGAAGATCAAGTACCTGGACGGACAGACAGATGGACAAAAAAACTTTGTTCCATGGGATAATAATCAGTGATCTCCCCAGTGTTAAAGCAAGTGAGTGCAGCACCCACCTGAGATCCTAAAAAACAGGCTTGTCTCCCACCTGAAAAACAATGTGCACCCAATTGAAAATGAGAAAAATCATGAAAAATGGGCATTTTTACTCTGAACTTTGAAAATGAGTTTTTTGCATCCTCTTGAGAAAAAATCCTGTGGAGATCACTGATAATTTAAGTATGTCTTACCTAATCTTGGAGGCATTGTATGAAAATGTATCCCAACCATCTGGGGACATCGTCTTGAGAACAAACATTTCAGCTTTTCTATATCTTTTAAGAACTTCATTCTCTTCATCTTTTATTAACTTGTGCCCATTGTTAGTTTTATATTGCACTTTTATTGTTAAATCAGTTTCATGGGTTGATTCAAGGTTGCATTATTTCAAGGTAAAATCACCTCATCTGTCAGGACTGCAATGCCCCTTTTGTGTAGATAAATCTGAAAATAAATATAATGTGTTATGTTTCAAAAACATGTATATGCGAAACTAGGTAACAGCAATGCCAAAGCGTAGCAAATCCCATCGAACAGCCATGGTTGATATTTTAACAAAATCCTTCCACTTCTCACTTTCAATTATAGCAAAAATCATCAAATATTACGCACATACATGTAAATAGATAATCCATAATGAATGAATGTTTCGATAACAATTTTTCAGTCACATTTTCAGAAGGTTGAAAAAGCTTTTTCATCATGTCTTTTACAAAAGATCTCTGAAATCACCTAGCTATTCAGAGTTCGTTGTCGAAATACGGCTGACTTTTTACATATGGTAATTTCCTCTGCGAAAAATCAGCGCAATGGTTTTGAAAGGATCTAGGAAACAGGCTATCATGGCCATAGGCCGTGGGGGCGGGGCTGCTAAACTGTAATATAGTCTATACTAGACAGAGGGTAGTTAACTAGACTCTTCACGCTGGGTATGTGCAGGGTCAAGAAACAGCTGATGAGGAAAATGGCAATCAGGAAAAAGGATACAATGAACAAAATATATAGATGAATGACCAAGTAAGGCTCAACATATATATTTATTGATATCAAACCAAACATTTTGTAACATCCGAGAATAGAAGTCATAGTAAGAATTCAAAGATCATTGAGAAGCATTTTAATCCATGGCAAAATTAAAATGACTGAAATTATGTTTTCTTCTTCGCCTTCTTCGCAGACCTCAGAGAAGAAGCTTCTGGTTAAATAATCTGTGGTTTAATCGATCAAAAATATTTATTTTATCTGCTTAAAGATCTAAAAGCAAAGGTATTGCAAAAACGAATCAATGTAGTATAAAACAAATGTATGTATAATGAAGAAATAAATAGCCTATATAATGAAAAAAAATAGATATGTGTTTGTAATATTGGTATTAACTTAAGATTAAAAATTGTTACTATCTCTTTCATTTTTCAACAAATATAGGGTCACGTCTCATGTGACACGTGACGTGGGGCAGTCAATTTTGATCTATCGTAAACCAGTACTTTTCACAGGGTGAAAGATATTAAAGTGATATCTTATGAAGATAGTAAGAATATAAAAGGGTGAAATGTAGCAAAAAACATGATAGTTTTGGACTATTTAGAAAAGACTGAACTTTTTATAAAATCTTTTAGTATGAGAACTAGTCAGTTTTGTCATTAATTAGACATAACAGTAGTATTTCAGTAGACTATTTCATAGACCAGTGTGTTGGTTTTTGAGAATTCTGGATAACGTGAATCGATTTTAGAAGAATATCAAGAACGATTCTATAATGATCAAATTTTGGTTCAAATAACTTGTGATGAATACCACATCAAATATATAGAGATATAACAGATGTAAATTGGTAAAGGCTGGTCGTTTCAATCACTCAGTTTGAATGCACAGTCAGTATACAATAAGTATATAAATATATGATCTCACCTCGTCTTGCGAGGCCGTTTTAATTTGAAACATCTTGAATTTGGTGTAAAAACTAGAAAAACAGCAACTCCACGGAGTGGCAAATCCCACCGAATAAAACATGTTTTGATAAATAGTGTCCATATAAAATTTGAGCCAAATCCATCCACTGGTATTTGAATTATCAAAGATTATGTTTTTACATGTCCCAAGGCATCAGAATATACAATTTAATCCGAATCCGTCAACTTGTACTTGAGTTATCAAGGATTACATGTTTAACAAAAAATGGCAGAGATTTCGATAAATAGCAGCCACCTTGAAAATTTCTACTCAAGCAGAGCTCCTTTACCTCGTCACACCCACTTTCTATAGTTATCAAGAAATCATACGACTACTATATTCATTCAGGAGCTGCAATCAGAGAGACAATTGTTCCATATATGGTAGTTCATTAACATATTCAGTGTTCACTACTGCTTTTCGCATCTTGACAACATGAGTAAAACCAATCAAGATGCTTTATTTTATCACGTGAGTTCAGAGTGACATGCATACAGTCTCCGATCGCAATGTTGCATGTTGACGAATCTTCTCGGAATTTGTCCAGAGAAATCAGTGATTCTAAATTAGGTAGGATCTGCCATTTCTTCCTGTACAAGTTATAACTTATTCTTCATCAAATCCTAAAGTTTTGGATGAAGATATGAAGCATACGTTTAAAAAATGAAGCGATTAATTTTACAATCTGATTTTGCAATTTGCAATGGCCAATTTATTGCAATTCTGTGTGTATTTGACAAGAGATAGCGCCTAGTCTTGTATCTACAGGGCGTTCAATAAGTATTGCTAATTTTGTTATAACTTTTCTTATCTTGCTTTTTTCATCATGAAAGTTTCACAACATAAAAAACACATATATGACCTACTTCTATCCAAATTTCCGGACAACCGACTTAGTATTGACATAGCTATGGTTTCTGTGGTAACCATTGTCACGGGTACATGAGGCAACCTTAAGGGTTTACATGATGAATTATTGTTATACATCAAATAAACACTTTGATGAATAAAAACTGTTAATATGGTCAAATCTTGATGTTGTCAGTTCGAATTATATGTATTAGCTAACAACGGTGAAAATAGATCTGAGAGGAACATCACACCAGAATCTCAATCAGCTGGTGTATGCAGTGAACACCTCCCTAGCCACACACTTCAACATCCTCAAATAACAGTATCGACCATATTTCAATCTAGTTGAAAGCCCATGCTATACCTGCACATGTCATTTTCTGGTACACTATAAAGTATGAAGGCATGTGTTAATTTCCTTGCTTTTTGCAGGAAACTATCATTACAGGGCCCCATTACATTGTCTTCTTTTAGTATATCTGGTAAGAGGTCAATGGGAACTCCCAAGAAATTATGATAGTCTATCTCACACTTTCTATTTTTCCAAATTTTCTTTCAAAGTTTCCAGACAACACAGGATTGTCCTGTTTCCAATGAATTGATACTTTAATGAAAAAAGCAAGGAAATATACACATACCTTCATACTTAATTTTGTACCAGAAAATTTCCAGCTGAACCTTAAAGATGCATTATGCCATAGGTTTCTCCTCCAGACAATCAATGATGTCCTATTGTTATTGCTCATATAATATCTCAAATACCATGGATATATCTTGAGAATAACTTTTGGGTATATTATTGCCGAAATATCAGAAATAATCAACAGAACAACCAAACTCCAGAATTAGACACAATCGATTCCTCGGCTAGCGAGGGGAATCCCCATTGTGTCAAAAAAGCGCACAAGTGCCTTGAACCAGGCAGCAAATCAGGTTTATTATTAACAAATTCAGGAGGACTTTCCCGGTATATTCAAACTTAAGGTTGAATTAATATCTTCAAAAATAATCAAACAGGCCAGCACAATCGCAAAATTAACACTGAATGAAGGAAATTTTGGATTTCTTCTTTGGTAAGTAGATGGGTATATATGTGGTGAAACTCAATATGCAAAAAAGTCCAGAGGGGTGCTATCTTATGGCATAGAGCCTCTTTAATTACATTTACTGTAAGGCCCGGGCGATAATAGAAAAATTTCCACAACCTCTGCAGTTTTACAAGTACCTGCTTCAAAGAAACAGTCATACCCACACTAAATGTAGTAACACATATGAGCAACATCACCGCCGATATAAATTTGATGAAGCATCATCAAATACGATTAAAATAGAGTAAACTTACCAAATGTTGCAATATTTTTTTTTTGAAGTTCAGAAAAGACATCGTGCGCATGCGTTGCAAAAAGAGACTTGAATTTTTGGAAAAAATGTTTGGAAAATTTGGTAAGTTTTTATAATTGTATTATTGCAACATTTGGTAAGTTTACTCTATTTTAATCGTATTTGATGATGCTTCATCAAATTTATATCGGCGGTGATGTTGCTAATTGTTATACATTTGGCGTACTCGTGGTTATAAAATCATACGTATTTGTGAAACTAAAGCTTTTTGCAAGGCCTGAGTGCGCCGCTAACATGCTAAATAGAAGAGTTAGCTGACGTTTGGGAGTCTGACTTACCTTCTAAAGGTTAGAACCCGAATCTTAATGAAACCATATCACCTTTGTTCCGTCAACCATGGAGCATTTGCCACAACATCCAAGAGGTAAATCATGGACCGATAAAATGATGATTTCCTTGTAAGTTCCGGAAGTTTCAATACGAAAAATTACCGAACATATATGAAAACCGAATATTTGTTCGTTGTTTTCACGATTTACAGGTCCGTATGTTCTTCAATGTTTTGGTCTAAATTATAAAGCATCACCAACAGGTCTTACTCTATTAATCGACTAATACAGCAGACGGCTCATATTTCTACGTAGCATTTCGTTCAGACCAATAGTGGGACTGTAGATCACGCAGTTTCGTTCGTTGCGTACTTCACTTGAAATTGGTAATTTTAAATATTGACTACTTCACTTAGCTTGGCGGATGTAGAACATTGCTTAATATTCTTTTAATTTTCACACCAGACATGCTTGGTTGACACGTCAACAAAGTAAAGTTCAAGGGTCAATGCGTTATTTCGTGATAACTACAACGCCTTCCCGGAAGTCAACATTGATGAAAAATGAAAAAGTCGGAAAAGTATTTACACTAATTTCTATCAAATGCTATGTTTATGCATCATCATCGACGCAACAAAGGTGATATGGTTTCATTAAAATTCGGGTTCTAACCTTTAGAAGGTAAGTCAGACTCCCAAACGTCAGCTAACTCTTCTATTTAGCATGTTAGCGGCGCACTCAGGCCTTGCAAAAAGCTTTATCTTAGCGTTTAAATACCAATCCATAAAAGACACTCTGAAACCTAACGTGTACAGTACAAATTCAAATATTAGGAGCACATTTTACCATTATCACCCACCAACCTTATCCCGTTCCCGGACTATGGTCCTGTACGGAGCCCATACATTTGCCTGTACGATTACAACATGGGAGAATTTTTTACTGATCTTACACTTCAGATACCTACTTCAATAGATTCCATGGTAATTTAGCATTTTTTTCGTGTAGTTGAATCCACAATTGTCTGGGTTTATCGGCAGAACGAAGACATTTTCGTTTTTGATCGCAATATTTGCGTGTAACATTTAACCTTTTTCAACCGTCAAATTCCTCCATATTGGTACTTCCGGGCTACATCCGGGACAGCCAAACGGGGGATTCCCCGTTTAAATCCAACCGCCATTTTGAAAAGTGATGGAATCTCTCTCGATGAAAAAGAGAAAATGTTCTCGTTCTACCGATATACCCAGACAATCGGCGGTTCCAATATATTAGAAGTTACATCTTGAGTTCTATAATGCATTGAGGTAGGTATCTTAAGTGTAAGGGGCGTAGATAATTCTCCCAAGTTGTAATCGTACAGGCAAATGAATGCGATCAGTGCAGGACTATAGTCCGGGAACGGGATAACACCAACCAATCAACTTTAGTTCAACAAATCCTAGTCTCTGGGCATTGGGAGTAAGCCAACCCTCCTTCTTATATATTCTTTAGCCTATATTAGAATAATATATGCAATATCAAAGGGGGTGACTTACTCCCTTTGACTGGGCTTGTTTCGACATAGTCCAACAAAAATAGCCGGGGCCTCGTTTCTTGTCTTATGGCCCAGGCTAGGTCTAACCTCCATGATCATTTTGCCTTTGATGCGTTTATTTAATCATTCCACAGGTCTCAACAAGCGGAACTAATTAAACCCTGAAAACATGGTATATTACATAAAAAATGTGATTCAAGCATGCATAACCTACATAACCTGTAAGAATACATACGCACCATCCCATATCCCCCTTAGACCCTATTGATGCATAGTTACGAAAATATCGGAGACAGGTTTGGAATATAACTAAAATGACGGTTAGTTCATAAAACATCGAAATTGCAAATCGTATCAGAAATTAACCGTCATCGCGGCACTGAATTACAAACAGTAGGTTTGCAATTAATAACTATTTTGCGTGTATACATGAGCAATATAAATCAATCAAAGATACCTGTTATCCTCAAAATTGATCTTTTTATCTTGAGTAATCGCGTTAATAATTATCAATCTATTTGACAACAATTTCGTTTCGCTAAAAGTTTAATTTTACAATCTGGGACACTCGGACGAATAGACACAATGACGGACATGCAGAAATGTCATTTTAGAGATTGGTAAGTGTAGCCTCATTCTTCTAGTTCAAATGATATTGTGTTAAATCGCTTGATGTTATGTGTTTTTGGCTCAGGCATCTGTCCGTCCGTTGGTCTGTCTGTCAACATTGGCTGCAAGCCTGCACAAATTAAAACTGCTATTCGGATTGAGTCATATCTATATTCATTTTATGCATATCCATAATGTCTATTTGACCTATCATCGCCATTTCCCAAGTTTACGAGAAATTGCTGACTTTGACATCAAAAAGTCAAATTTTCTGTAAATACTAGACACTTGTTGAAGTAGAACTTTCAAAAAACTTGTAGTAGTTGCTGTATATGCAACTTATGTTCTCTGAAGATTTCAAAGCTCTTGAAATTACAGTTTTTGATGTTTACTCTATAAATTTGACAAAAAGTAGGACTGTCATTTTCAGGGAACTTTCTCATGTATAAAGTCAATCATCATTGGCTGCACAAAACACTGTGTGAGCACAGGACCGTGGGTCCTTTATTATATTATTGTCAAGTATCAGTTGCATGTTATCGCGGAAAATGGTTTCGATGGATCCAGAACTTGCAACAAAGGAAAGAATAGAAAGGAGGTTAAACTCAATAACAGGCCAAAATAATTCCTAATAGTAAAGAATGCCGTTATTGAGTTTGAGGTCAGATTTAGATTACTGAGTTAGCTGTAGGGGCACTCTGTGTCTATTGTGGCTTGATTTTTATGATAATTGCTCAGGAGTGAATAAAATCACTTGATCGAATCGAATATATAAACTTATCTGATTGGTTTAAATCCCGCATGCACACAACCCCGCACGCGCATTTGTGCCAGATATTTTTTCTAGTCTTTTTTTCATTCTATGGGAATTCATGTATAACACAGGTTGCATAAAACTAAAAAAGTACCGAAAAACAGATGGCAGAAGGATGAAGATTTAACAGGTAAACTCACATTCATATTTTAAGAGATTTTTTGGCTATATTAGCAAAACTTTGGCTTTATTTGTGCATACTATCCTGGAGATAAGAGTATTATGTGTCTTTAGGGGAAAACATTCCAGAAGGAACACTCTATTTATTTTGAAAAACCAATGCTTATTTTTTAATGTTTAGACTGTACAAGGGTTGTTCCAGAAGTAATGCACTATATGCTCTTACTTTCTTTAATATTCTTCAATTCAGCTGAAATTTTGTGTATATTGCAAGTGTTATCAGGTTATATCCCGAAGAATCAATACGTTAATGTTAGTATTAAAATGATTGGTATAGCAACATCAGGTACCAATTTTTCTATAATCATGAAAAGCTCTAAAGAATTTCTTTCTTTTAAATGATCAAAATACTTGGGAAATGTGGAAATTTATTCAGCTTGATGTTCACAAAGCACAAATAATGACATTTATTATTGTGATGGCATAATGTCTCAGTTCAATAGTCACAAATTCAAATCCAGTCACAGTCAAGAAATTGAAAAAATGGCCTCAATTCTCAAACCTGATAAGAAGGCCTTGCGTTCGTTGGCCCAATTTCATACTTCACAGCCACACAAATGTATGCTACCATGAAGAAAGTATGTAAGGAGTATACAGCAGATAGAACTACAATTATGAGGTGGCAGAAGAGATTTAAAAATGACGACTGGACCCTGGAACCTGCTGAATGAATGATTAATCAAATATGATTTATTTATATTAAAACCATGTCTAATATATATATATAATATATACTGTACTTCCAGAGGCAAGAGATGCTCTTTTTGGCTAAAAGGGCTTTAAATTTCTTGAAGACTTGACCTTTAACCTCTGAAGGGTCAGTTGCAACTGTGAATCGCTCCAATCCAAAATCTACCATGGCAAGTAAACTGAAGAGAAAAGGTATATCATCGTTTTGATCCATAATGAACATTCATGAAAAGATATACATAAATGATTGAATGATTTAAATTGACAACATATTACATTATATTATACAACCACTGGGTCTGTGTAAGATGGCTTGCCTTCCTTAAAACTTGACTTGATATAGTTTAGGATCATAATAACTTATTTTTACTTCTGGTTTACAAAAGGTTTAAGAGTAAATATTTGGTTGATATTAGGTCTATTTGCATAGACCAATGCCAATGGCTGTGTGATAAATTGAGTCAACTTGCTTAAAATATTGAATGTTTCATTTTTTTATGGATCATTTGGAAGCTCCCTAATCTTTCATTGCACTTCAGATGAAGTAAAACTATTTGATTATGCATTTCGGGTTTTTCACTCTTGATAGTTGTTTATGTAGGCACCTTCCTGTTCATTTTCTGGCTGCACAGAAAGTAAAATAATGCAATTTTCTTCTTAGTAACCAAACATTGTATTAATTATAAAATCCACCAAGCATATTATATTGATGGTATTGAGATGCAATTAAAAATCTTGCTTTCTATTCATTGCATAACACATATTCATAAACTGATTTCAGGTCACATGCATCCAGGCGAGATGATTGCACTTGGTAAGTCTTTTCATTAATTTCTATATATTTCTTTGAACTACTATTCATCCCAAAGAACATAGTTCAGTAGGGATACTGTGAAGCCCTACATTCGTTAGTCCCTCTGTCTGTCCAGAGCATAACTGGAATATTAGTGGAAGATTTGGTGGAAAGGTGGATATTGATAAATAGTTTTATACGAAAGATGGTCACTGCTTTGAAAACGGCGGGAATTTTTCGCAAAATAGTTTTTCATTTTAAACCAAAGTAATGAGTATTACTGTTTGAAATTTGGGCAGTTTATCCATGAGATATATCTATTTGACATACAAGGGTGATCAATAGGTAATGGACACTGTTTTACATAGATGCTTTTTATTGACCAATCTCTTTGATATTTTTGCCAGTAATACATCATTCAATTATCTATCAACTCTGAAGATTTGAAGACAAAACATAAAATATATTTTTGATACATCTTTATTTCTTTGGACCGACATAACATCACATATTCTGAAGTTATTTGAGCTCATTTAAAACACACAATGTAGTTGGATGCAGGTTGAACAAAACATATCGTGAAGGTCATGAATTACACCATTTCAATACACCATAATTGGTTTTGAATATTTTGTCATCACTATGTGGCATTCATGCCATCTTCATTCCACAGGGCCTACATAGGTTCAATTAAGTGATACAGATTTCATCACTTTTCATTATCCTCTTAACCCAGGATTGAAAGACAAGGCTGAATCCATTCTCTGACATGGTAGCAAACTGTAGTTACACAGCTTGTTTTATTTCATCAATGTCATTAAAACCTACAACCTTTCTCTATAGAAATATGAAGTATAGAAATATATAAGTCATGTGTGGCCAATCTGGACTAAAGGGTGCGTGGGCCAAGTCTCCATGTTCAGGTCCAGGGATATTTAATCCTGAACAGTTTGAGATCTGTAGGCAGGTGCATTCTTCTCTCACCAAACTTTTCTTCCATAATGCTTTCTCAAATCAACCTTACTACCATACGACCATACAACACCTTGACATCACAATACTTACCTTTTATATATTACCAACAACACTTTTGGCATATCAAAAAGTTCAGATCTAACTGAAATATGCCCAACTGGCTTTAAATAACTTGAGAATATGTGACGTAAATGTTGGTCCTGGGGTACCTGTATCTCCTTCACAGAAATAAAGATATATCAACATGTATACATAATTTGTCTTCAAATCTTCAGAGTTGATAGATAATTGAATAATATATATCTGGTAAAAAAATTAAAGAGATTGGTCTCTAAAAAGCATCTGTGTTTAAAACCGTCCATTACTCGGCTTAAAAATTCTGTGCTTGAAGCTCAATATCTACAGTTTGCAAGCAATTCTGACCATGGTTTCATTATCAATATAATGCTATAATCATCTGAAGTTAAGAAATAAGATGAGGTACTCACCAAATCAATGATTACGACCAAGTAGAAAGCAGAGTCAAAACTGGAAGTCAAAAGAGTTACAGCACTTTCTGTCTAATAACTTAATTATGTATGATAGTGCTCAATGGGTGTCACCACCAGAAGTGGTCACATATTGTTATAATCTCCAACATTTTTGTGGATGGTGTTCGGCAGTTTTTGTTTGGAGTTTTGCAGTTGGTATCCGTAACATATGGCATTTTGCAAGTTAAACTTTGCTTTGCCTTGCTTTTCTAATTCATGCCTCAGAAAATTCAAAAGTTGCTGTTTAAAGCAGGAATTCTATAAAGATCTCTTAAAAATATGGTTACATTATACTACGTTAGATCTCAAATATTGTATTGCCTTTATGTTTTTTGCCTTTGAAACTCCTAAATGATCATCCACCAAACGCTTAAATTGGTGGAAATTCTTACATCTCTAATGTACTGTATGTCTTTGTCTCCTATATCTTGTAATTTATTATCTGCAAATCAAGAGTGGAATAAATGGTAAATATTCTATTGTGACACATAGTATTCATGAATATTTGGTTCATTGGGATTAGCTACCTAATAGAGTTGTTGATTTCTAGTTATTGTTGATTTTACAATTAGAATTTGACTGAAACATACTGTAAATGTACCAACATACTGTAAATGTCTCTACATTTTTCAGTTATATATTTAGGTTATAATATGCTGCTATCCTTTTCAAAATATTTCCTGTGTTAAAAAAGCTTTTCTTAGGGTCAGTATGATAATATCATTGATGCTCTATTGAATTGAAAATATAAGGAATTGAATTCAGTTTTGAGGATGTTGGAATAAGTACATGTACATTCTTGCTGTAAAGTCAGATCTTTTGCAATGTACATGTACCCTTTACTAATCTAATGAGAAAATAACTAGAATGAGTTGTTCAAATATTCAATGTTTAATACAGTAATTATGTTTTGAAGGGAGTAAGCCTAAACAAGATGAGAAATCCCTTGCAAAAAAACCTGGATTGTTGCCCAGCGACAGGAAACGAGAGGCACCCCCAGGGTCTAGTCTGGCCAGTAAGAAAGCCAAGATGTCAGTTCAACAGTTCACCCCCTTGGGTCGACCCATGGATTCAGACAGAAGGGCATCCCCATCTGTAATTCCCCAATGGGAAGAAACTGCTGCTGAAGGTATAAAAATTCACCCCATTATGCAGTTCAAAACAGCTGTGTCTATGATGAAACTAAAATCAAAAAAAAAACACTAAATTTATTATTACAATTATTAACAGTATACAGTGTACATTAAAAATGATCTTCACAGCATCACACAAAGCCAAAGAAGGTTCATTAAAAAAAATTCCTGGGGGAAAAAATCCTTAAAGGCCAAATTATACCCTAAAAGGCCCATTTCTTGAGGCCCTACAAAATTTTTGGGGCCCTAATATTTTTTCTGGGCCAATAAAAGGGGGGGGGGTGGGTCCAATGCCCCCCCCCCCCACCCCCTGGATCAGCCAGTGGGTTCACTTTCGACAACTTTGGCCCAAATATGGCCAAAATCACTTGGAAAGTGCTCAGAATGGTGAAAAACTGCATGATTTTGAAAGAATTATTGGCCAGGGCCTGGATTTATATGAGGATACATTTGTATTGTATCTAAGAGAAAGGTCATGTTGTACCTTGTTAATTCCACTTTTCATTATTCAGTTGATGCCAGTGAGTTCTTGGAGTCTATCACAGAGGCAGAGAAGCAAGACAATGAGGAGCAGTTGGAGAGGTTGCTGTGCGGGGCAGTGAAATATCTACGTAGGCAGAGGGTTAAGCCTGAGCCAGCCATGCATGTAGCTCTCATGCATATTGCCAAGTCAAAGCAGCACCTCTATACTAACAGTGACATGGTTACAGAGGTATGAGAATAATGGACAAAAAATTTAGAAAAATTATTAGTCAATATTAGCAAATGAAGTTATGTGGAACCAAAGTTGTAATTTTGCCAGTATAATTCATGATATCATATGTTTGTCCCCAGGTATTTTATTTTCCTCAGAATAATCCCAGTTTTCTGTAGTTTATAGTTATGATAATTACTATTTCATTCATGTGAAGTCACACAAACATCTTCCAGGCACTCTGTAGCTTGCTGAAGCGTGATGTAGCATTGAACTTCAAAACTAAAGGTAACCCACTAGTGTCTGTACTAGTGTGTAATATACTTGTGGCTGCCTTTCAAGATGAAGAGAACTGGCCTGATCATTTTATCAAGGTGAGCCAGCATTATCAACTTCCTTCCTTTCTATCTTTTTACATATTGATGAGTGTCATTTAGTTGTTGATAGCCCCAAAAATACTTGTGGACCCATTTTTATATTATTAGTGGAAAAATGTATATTGGTAAATAGTTTTACGAAGAAAATAATTTTTTCGAGATGCAGTGCCACTTTAAAAATGGCAGTAACCAAGGTATTTAGTATAACTGTTTGACATTTTGATAGCTCATCCATAAAATATGCCTACATATTTGACATACATTCTGTATTTTTGATCGGGAAAACAGGACTTTTAGATCTGTTTAAGATCTTTCTGAAGTAAAGCTTTATTACACTCAAATGAAAATGAGTTCGCAGTAGAATGCAAACATTGTATTTTTTTTTTTATTCTGGCTTCGAAATATGAAATGGCTGCATAATGTGGGATTTCCCAATAATGTAGTGATAGTTTGGCTATAATATAATACTCAAAGTATGGTTGCATTATCCTACATAAGATCACCAGTACACATTATAAGTTATGATATTTATTATGATTTCAGGTGTTCCTTGAAGACTCTATAGGAGAGCGTGTGTGGGTGGACAGGGAGGATTGTAAAGGATTTGTAGAGAATATACAGACAGCATTCAACACAAGGATGCCTCCTAAGTCAACCTTACTAAGCTTTGGGGACATCAAAGATCAATCTGGTATATTGTGCTGCTACTTCATTTAATAACCAGCTTGCATTTCAATACTATTTTATTTATACATTGTGGACAAAAAAATACACAAGTAAGATAAATATTATATGATATATATTAAACCATATGTCATATATTATATATCATTTTAAAGATAAACATTTCCTAATAATACGACACCATCATAAAAAAACATTTCGTTCCCTATGGAGTTAGAGGCAAAAATTGACACCAGGTTTGTCATGAGTGACCAAAAGTCAAAAATGAAAATTTCCGAATTTCTATCCATATTGCAGTCACACCTGCACTCAATATGCGTGACTGAATCTTCCAATTGATAGCTTATTAAAAAGATTAAGTATTATGGGTGAATTTTACACTTGAGTTGTATAAATGTACATATTTTGAAGGTGCCAAAATACAAATTTCCCTCCATTTTCCACAATTTGGAAATCCGCAGTGAATAATTTCTTGGTTGCTCATGACACCCCTGGTTTCGATTTTAGCCTCTTAAGATTTTCAATTGAATGGTCTCATATTGTTAGGAAATGATTTTTTTCTTTAAAATGATATATATGTATAATACATGGCATGGTTTAACATATATCATATGATATTCATCTTTAAACTTGTTTATTGGTTTTCTTCAGCCCGCCCTGTATATTAAGCATTTCATAAGCTTTCTGAAATCGATGTAGAATTATGTTCTGGATTCAAATTTACTTAATGCCCATTGATAACAATGTTTGACAAAGTGACAATTTAGTTGAGACATAAGATTACTGTTTTCAGGCAGTCCATCTAGAGTAGGCATAGAGGATGACGATGATAAGAGTCAAGACTCTGGAGATGTTAGCCACAAACACGAGTCATTGCTTCCTGAACTGGAAAGTATCATTACATTCCCAAGGTAATATTTCCAAGGCTTAGATTATAAATGAAGAAACATTTTATAATTGAAAAACATATAATTATTTGGATTAATTAATTAATTTTCATACCTAACCCTCATTAAATGAATATCATACTACTTCACTTCATTCTATCAAACTTGCTAAGATATAGAAAAGCCAACCCTCCATCCGTTTGTTCGTCTATCAGGGTGATTATTACTAGATTATGGTGGGTTGATGAAATTTGATTCAAATTTTATAGGTTGATGCCTTATTTTGGGTAAAATATGTAATTTTAGATTGATTTAGTTCAAATATTATATGCTGGTGCCTTAGAGACATAGGACCTCTGCTCAAGAAGAAATTTTCAAGATGGCCACTGAATTTCAAAATGGCCACCATTTTTCATGGAAATTTTTTTAATAACTTTAAGGACCAGTTACAGAAATTATGTCTTATGTGCAATTAGGAAAAAATATAATGTATTATAACTTTAAATACCAGTCACAGGATTTGATCCAAATTCTATAGGCTGCTCTCAAATCGTCAAAGGATTTCTGCACTGAAAGGAATTTTGAATATTGCTGCTCAATTCTAAATGGCCACCATTTTTATAATAAATGTAATCTTTGTTTACTAAAATACTAGATGACTCATTTGGTTCAAATATTTTATGCTGATGCCTTAAGAATATATGAATCTGCTCAAGAGGGGGTTTCCAAGATGACTGCTGAATTCAAAATGGTCACTTTATTTCATAAAATATAGATTTTGATAACTCAGTTTTATGTGCTGATGCCTTATTGTGTCATGACTGATCAAGAAGGATTCTGAATTCAAAATGGCTGCCATTTCTCAGGAAAACATGATTTTTATAACACAAATACCAGTTATCCTAGTTGGTCCATATTTTATAGGCTAGTGCCTCTACTATAGAAGGATTAATAATATTGCGATAAAGAATGATTTGTTTGGAAGAATTTGCTAATCTTGGGAGTTGCTGTTTGTGAAAATTATAATCCAGATATGTTTTCACTATTTTTGAAAAAAAATCTTTATTTGTTATCTGCAACATTGCTATGCACATCAGAGCAGAATATAATTTTGCATATTTATGTCACCACAATAAATAATATAACATAACATTTGGAATAACTTAATTTTTATGACAAAAATCTTCAAGAGAGTTCTTCAAGTTTGAGTGTGTTTTCATTGTGCAGATACAGTTACCAGCAGAGTGGTGTTGAGAACCAGGTGTTAGATTGTGTTAAGGAACAACTGATGCGTCGCCAGGCTACAGACAATATCTCTAAGAATGTGCTTAGACTTCTCCTAGCAACATGTGGCTACAGTGAAGTGAGAGTCATGTGTGCACAAAGGCTGGAAATGTGGCTGCATAATCCTAAGGTATGCTGTTATCAGTGCTTCTTCATTCAAGAAATACCATTATATTGTAAGGAAAACAAGAAAAACTCTTTGTTATCCCATCGAACGAAGTTCGGAGGGATATAGGGAACGCCTCCGTCCGTCCGTACGTACGTCTGTACGTACGTCCGTCTGTCCGTCCGTCGGTCCGTCCGTCCATCCGTCTGTCCGTCCGTCCGGGCAATAACTCAAATACCGTTGGCCCGATTTTGTTCATATTTTGTACACATATACCCTATGGGGGTAGAAGTTCTGCTCGAAAGCCGATTTTCAAAATGGCCGCTCATTTAAAAATATTATTATTATAGAACATTGATAAAGCTAGAAATGTAGATATATAAGAAGCACATGGCAGCCATCTTGAAAAATGGCGGCCTTTACTTTTTATTTTACGATTTTTGCTGTAACTCAAGAAGTAGTGGAGCGATTTTGTTCATATTTGGTATGTGAATACTATAAGCATGGCTCACTGTCTAATGACACTTTTGGTAGGAGGCGGCCATTTTGAAAAATGGCAACCATTTTGAAAAATGGCCGCCATTTTAACATATTTTACCATAACTCAAAAAGTAGTGGAGCGATTTTGTTCATATTTGGTTTGTGAATACTTTAAGCATGGCACACTGTCTAATAACACTTTTGGTAGAAGGCGGCCATTTTTCAAAATGGCCACCATTTTAACATATTTTACTTTAACTCGAAAAGTAGTGGAGCGATTTTGTTCATATTTGGTATGTGAATAATATAAGCATGGAACACTGTCTAATGACACTTTTGGTAGAAGGTGGCCATTTTGAAAAATGGCTGCCATTTTAACGTATTTTACTATAACTAAAAAGTGGTGGAGCGATTTTGTTCATATTTGGAATGTGAATATTATAAGGATGGTACACTGTCTAATGACACTTTTGGTAGAAGGTGACCATTTTGAAAAATGGCCACCATTTAAACGTATTTTACTCGGCATTTACTTGTTATTTTACAATTTTTGCTGTAACTTGAAAAGTAGTGGAGCGATTTTGTTCATATTTGGTATGTGAATACTATAAGCATGGCACACTGTATAATGACACTTTTGGTAGAAGGTGGCCATTTTGAAAAATGGCCACCATTTTATGAAGTATTTTACTATAACTCGAAAAGTAGTGGAGCGATTTTGTTCATATTTGGTTGTGAATGCTAGAAAAAAAAGCATATTACTTCTGATAACAACTTGGCTAGTGAGCAACTATTTTGAAAATGGTGGCCTTTCTTATCTGTGTTATTTTATGATATTTGCTATATATTTTGTTTGTAAAAATGCCAGCCATTTCTGTTCGATGGGATTCGCTACGCTTTGGCGTTGCCGTTGTTCTGGTTTATATTGTTGGCTCGTGTAGTGAACCTATGGAATCACCAGTAATCAGCCAATTAAGAGCTGTATCTGGCTGAGACAATACTTGTATCCATTATATGGGAATCCATACGTATCCAAAAATAAACACCACTTGTCCCAGTTCCTACTTTTGCATTGTTTTGGACAAATCAGCTTTTTTGTCAAAGTATCACATTTTTCAAAATATAAGAGTCTATCATTTATTGTGTTTCCAAATCATATTAATACACATGTTGCAATTGATCTTGAGAAGTATCAGTGTGAGTTTCATTTCGGAGTTTTAGCTTCCCAGGTTTTGTATGTGCATACTTATATCTGAGTATCAGTTATACTTACCCAAAATACACTTATGCATACCAAATTGTTGGTGATTTATGAATGAGGACATCAGTTTAAGGAATTGCCATATCTACCCACTGATGCCATTGTTATGTCTGTATGACCCTTGTTCCTAATATTAACTATTATTCTATCAAATGCTACCTAGAATCTGTTGCTGGTGTTGAACTGTCCCTTGTTTTTTAGCTGTCAAAGGCTGCTCAGGATCTGTTGATGGGTGTGTGTATTGACTGTGTTCCTTGTTTTTAGCTGTCAAAGGCTGCTCAGGATCTGTTGATGGGTGTGTGTATTGACTGTGTTCCTTGTTTTTAGCTGTCAAAGGCTGCTCAGGATCTGTTGATGGATGTGTGTATGAACTGTGTTTCTTGTTTTTAGCTGTCAAAGGCTGCTCAGGATCTGTTGATGGGTGTGTGTATTGACTGTGTTCCTTGTTTTTAGCTGTCAAAGGCTGCTCAGGATCTGTTGATGGATGTGTGTATGAACTGTGTTTCTTGTTTTTAGCTGTCAAAGGCTGCTCAGGATCTGTTGATGGGTGTGTGTATTGACTGTGTTCCTTGTTTTTAGCTGTCAAAGGCTGCTCAGGATCTGTTGATGGGTGTGTGTATGAATTGTGAGCACCACACAAGTGAGGATGGGGAAGTGATCAGTCACTTGATTAAGATCAGATTGAAAAACAAGCCTCTTGTCAACCACTTCATGCTGTGTATGAGGTGAGACTCACCGTATATCATAGTGTGTTAATATCAAAGTGTTAATTAATGTGTGTATTGTCAAGTTAAGTAATATTTTAACTGTTTCATCTACATTTATAGAGTAAAACTGTTTTGTCCAAGACCACCCTAAACCAAATTGAGTTATAATTACAGCAATGAATGAACACTCATCTCAGTAAAGATTTCATCCTTTATAGGGAAGTGGTGAGCTTGAATTCAGAGAACTTGAAAACAGTCATGACACATACAATTTATAATGAGCTGTCTAATTCACGCAACCCTAACAATATGACCATACTTGGTGTGGCCTTTCAGCATGCACCTGATAAATCAGCGAGGGTAAGTCACATTTAGTACACTTACCTAATATTACCAATAAGTGCTAACATTTACAATTGCTCTCTTCAGGCCAATTCACAGAAATTTTGAGTGCATTTTGTACAGTTCTACCTCCAGCACTTCCAAAATCCCCAGATGTCTCTGTTTCAAAAATCATTTTACTATGATAAGCTCATTTAATAGAACAAAATACATGTATTGCAAAATACATTTTTGGAAAAATGTATCAAAAAATATGCATTTTCAGAAAGTCTTTCATTAGATAAAAGAGTACATGTAGAATTTAGAAATAAATCAAATAACTGAGGAATTAAAAAGTTTTCTCAAATTAAATGTTTTTGTTAATTATAAGAAATAATAAAGATTTGATTGATCAAAAGGAAATGTGATGTTAGTAGCCTCATTCACTGTATGGGGAGTTTAAAATATTTTTATCACTATTTTATTTATTACCAGCTTCTAGCTGAGATATTTCAAGATCTGCTAGCCAACAAGGATGATTATTTGAGGGCATTGAGGGCTTTGTTGCGGGAGATAGGACGCCAGTTACGTCATGACATCACATTCTCTGAGTTTGCTCTTGGCCTGATGCAGGAGAGGCTAGAGGCCAGATTCATGGACATGGAGCAGCAATTTAAGGTTAAACTATGATTTCTCAATGGAGTACATGTGGATTTGTAAATCATCAAATTCATACTAATCAAAATATTTCTGATTTCAATCAGCCATTTGCAATCATGGAGCATTGAAATTGAACAATTATATATTTGAATATAGAATTGAAATGTTGAGTAATTTGTTATTGCACATTTTGTATTTCAGGAGCGTTATGTTCAGTCTATATCAGACCTAATTACCCTCAGTGCTTTATTATGTGTGGGACCCCAAGTGAGGGAAGCATCCGCAGCATACACCAGGGGTGACTATAAAGGTAGAATATATACATGTCTCACATGCATCATAATGACTTGGACCTACTACTCATTCAAATCGTTTTCAATTACCATGTTTTCTTTTTTACATGCTTGCTCAAAAAAAACTAGATGGCCATCTTCAGGATTGCTTCCAATGAAGCTAAATGATATATTTTATTAGTTGAGAAAGTAAAATGTTTTAACTGTAGAAATGTATAATTAGTATCTTTTGATATTCTAATAATCTCTTACAAATGATATAATTTCATGTTATTTGCAGATATAGAGACTGTACGTAAGTTCCAGCGTCAAATCTCTGTGATTCAACGTGATGCAGTATGGTGGCTCCACACGGTGGTGCCCAAGATAACAGAGCTGAAGACAGAGGCCTTTGTACACTGGTAAATATTATTTCTTGGACCTTTTTGTAAATGAATGTTAGGGATAGAGATAGTCCATTTATCCATTAATCCAGATTTATATTATAAATGGAGGATATTTAAAAGAAGATGGTAAATATTATATTATGACATATTCCATTTTTTATGAAATCCCTCAGATTTAAGAATAATTTGTTTGTTTGGATTTGCTTTTCAGCGATGCCATTTCTACTTAAAATAGTCTAAGCTCAATGTATAAGTTCATATAAGCTGTATTATTTGCAAAGTATTTGTATGTTATATACCATTTTGGCATCACAGTGGATCTATCACTCAAATCTTTTTGAATCTGTCAAAGTAATTGCAAGTTTTTTGTACAGTGTAATATCAAATTAGGATGTTCATCATATTTCTCTTGATTCATGATTATCCCAAGGGAAAGATCAATACCCGGTGATTTCAGCGGGAAGTGGCGTTTCGTTCAGTGGATGAGCTGCGCGCGCACGCATAAATGTGATTATCAATATTATTTAGGGGAGGGATATTCAAGCTTATTTTCGTCATAGGCGCGACCCAGGGCTGTTGTCTTAAGGACATTTCGTTGAAAATTAGCCATTCGGCTGATAATTTGTAAGAGTTTGCGATCTTATAATGCATAACTGTTATTCAGACACATATTTTGACACGATTCTGTTGGAATTAAGCTTTGAACCGAGAGATATTCACGATTGATATGCACATTTTTGATTGTGCCATTGCTTTTCCATTGCACAATCCATGTATTGATAGAAGTAACAATAATGCAGATTGTTTTACCTTCAATACATGGCGGATTCACTACATATCGGTCTATTAAATACCATTTTGTGCCCTAAATAGTTTTATATTTCCATCACGGCCTCTGGAGCCTGGGTGTGTTTGTCTCATTATGTGTATGCGTTTGAATTGGTGGGGCTGGTAGGGCCACCAATCCCCTGGCTCCGCCCATCCTTTATTCTACTTCCCACTTATTATAATTTATACTGTAACATTTAGACTTCGCTGGAAAACAATAGGAATTATTTTTCTTGCCAATCAATCGTGAACGCAATCAAAATCTGTCTCCAAAAGAACGTTTACATTTGACACAATAAAAGACTGAGGCTTTGAAATCTAGGATTCCCCAGGAAAATATGACGTCATACTAATTAGCATAAGGATTTCCCTAGTGGTCTGGGTCGAGCATCGTCCGAAAACACAATCCGATAAAAACATGCTAATTTCTAAGGAGATGGGAAGTGTATGACGTGTTTATCGATTTTGTTTAACGATTTAATCAATTATCAAATTGTTTAAGTGGATAAAGTGGTCACACTTGCTTCGATTCATAGCTTAATCGACGGATAGAAACTGCACCGAATTCCCGATATCCTACCCCGTATTATGTAGGCTATAACCACAGTGACCTGCAGATGGCGCTATCACAAACAAGTACTGCACGAACCGATAAATTCCCGGGTATTGTAACGCCCTTGATTATCCTACACTTAGTGTACTAAATGTATAATAACATTAAAAAATAAATTTGATATTTATTGGCGAAATGAATAAGCAGAGGATATCGTAACGATATACTCCGGGCCGAGGATGATGATGGGTTGATTTCCCGCCAAATTGACTCTATTTGGCATAATGGAAAAATGATATTCCTCAAAATCATAGGATATCCTATAATTACGTGAAATCACTGAAATATTTCAGCCTGCACAAAGTGTTGTTTGTTGAGCAAGCTGAACAGTATTATAACAAAGACAACTGGCCACCTGAGGGCGAGAGAGGGTGAGTATCAGGAACATAATACATTTATACCATGGTCAGAGCAATATCAGGTATATAATAGCAAGTGATACTTTAGATTTGATTTCACCTTCAATTACCTTCTCATGTTCAAAAAAAGGTATTTTTTCAACTTGCTTCAAATTGACCGAATTGTTTTTTCAAAATCATCTAAAAGTTCTCAGAAATTCAAATCTGACTTAAGATTGAACTAATAATATTGTGAGCAACTAGAGGGTGACATTTTGTCATGTTAATGCCTTGTTTTATTTTACTATAGGCCCTTACTGAGGCTGGTGAGTGAGGTGGCTGTGTTGGAGGATACATTAATGAGAATCCTGGTTATGGGGCTATCTAAGGATCTACCATTGAATGCATCTGATGCCTTGGAACTGGCTGACCAGATAGTAAGGAGAGCTGCAGCCTTGCATGCTGATGGTATGTAGAAAACTATAGACTACATAAAGCTGTTATCTCCACCTCCTTGTCTTAGTTGTTTAATGGCATGTTATATTTTAAAGACATTCACCTTAAATAAAATAAGTGAAATATCTATCATACAATTGTATACATTGGGGTTCTAGAAAGTACAATGTTGTGCTCAGAAACATGTCTGAAAATGAATAATGAACGTTGTTGTACATTTTGTACTTTTATCATTATTTAATTGCCTTATAAGCAGACTGCATGTTTATTGCTGCTGCTAAATAATTTAATTTTGTTGTTTATTGTTGTTTAGGATATGAGGTGCTACATGTAGACAGACTTGAGCTTATAGATGCCTTACTGAACCTGTGTGCCTATCATCACCCTGATAACATTGTACTGCCTAAAGGGTAAGTTATCAAACAATACAATCTCCTTCAATTACTCAGATGCGAGTAGGTAGGTACCAGTTTCGCCACCAGGTGGCTGATTCGGGGGAAATAACATGGCAGGGTATTACAAAATTCCCTTAAACTTGAATATGCATCAGTTTTAGTGGTTCACTTTTCAAATTACCCTTATGTATGTGATAGTTATACAAATTAAAATATGTCCAGTAAAAGAAAATATTATCTGCCCAACACAAGAAAAGATATTTCACTTTTTGTAGTTTTACAACATGGGGTCTATGGGGAATCTCCCCGACCTAGAAGTCACATTTTCAAAGAAAATTAAATTTTCAAAGTTGATAAACTCTTTTCAAAACCACATTTTTAGATGTAATTTTATATGTAGATTCCAAATATGACATCAGTGTGACTGAATTGTCAATTTTTAATGATGTAAATCAAGATTATTTCTACTCGCATCTAGGATATTGTACAGATATTATGATTTTTCGCATGTAAATATTTAAATTTAGATTTATAATCTTCTAAAGCAATTGAAATTTGGAATTGCAATTGCATTGAAAAAGCATTTTCTGAAAGTTTGTGTAAGATAAATCAGTGAGTAAGAATAGAAAGAGACTTTCTTGTGAATTGTATTTTGCATATTCACATATTACACTTGCCCATGCAGCACATGTATAGCATATGATCACATTGCAGGTACCAGCCCCCATCTCTGGCTATATCCAACCTCTACTGGAAGGCATGGGGGCTTCTGCTCATCATAGTTACCTTCAACCCAACAACATTTGGTGAGTACACAATGCACTAGTATTGCTAATATTATGCGAACAAATATAGTATAGCTGTGTCATACAAAATCATTTTTACAGCAGTATGTGATCAGAACTATGTCCATGTCTGTATATGCTTAGATTGTTCATATTAATGCATTCAGTTATTTGCCTCTCTTCAGGGTCAGTTGTGTGGGAGAAATACCCAACACTGAGATACATGATGGAAATGGTAATCACTAGCAACTACAAGTTCCCCCCTGAGACTGTTGCCAGGGACGACAAGACTGTGGATGAGATCAAGGCACGTGACAAACAAGCCAGAGAACTGGAAAAGCAAAGGATTCTGGACTTTGAGTCTCACTTGGCTGCAGCCACCAGCAAAGTTGCCATAACAGAGCAGAATAGTTTACTTATACCACAGTTAACCAGCATGGACCCAAAGTAAGAAGTTATTATATGATTTCTCACTATTTATCTACTTTCTAGTACAGTATCTCGGTAGTCTGATTGTCACATATTTCAGTTGGACAATTATTTGTAGATGATGGATGGAACACTTTAAAGCACATGGTATGAGTTAAGGTTGTAACTCACATACTAGTTAAGGGAAATTGTCCCGACGGTATGAAGGTTTTCTAATGAATAAGGAATAATAAGCTTTAATTTTTTGTTTGTGAGTGCTTATTAAAATGAAGCATCATATTTGATGATATCAATACTGAATTGACTGTCTACACATTGGCAGCATGGTTCTTGAGCAGCTTCGACTTCACACTAAGATATTCAGATATTAATATTTTGATATTTGGTTATATATATTTGTAGTGGTATAGCCAGGAAACCTGGAAGCAAGGTTCTTGAGCAGTTGAAGTCTCTCAACTCCACATTAAAACTTGGACAAATGCTGTGTCGCAGTCGCAAACCTGACTTCCTCTTGGATATTATACAACGTCAGGTATGTGAATACCTTAAAGGAACATTGAACAGCAATGACTAAACACTGCAGTTTGATTAGTTTGAGACAAGAACATCTGACTCTCCAAAATCATCAGAGAAAGTTTTAAACCATGCAATCAGCTCTAAAGCCAGAAAAATATATTTACCATTTTATTGTCTCTATAAATGACCCATTTAATAAATTAGTATGTTTTATATGTAGAACAACAACTAAGAAAGATTTGTGACTATATGATTTAACTTTATCATGTTATTAATAGGGTAGTTCCCAATCCATGCCTTGGCTAGCTGACCTGGTTGAGGGAAGTGAAGGGTCCCTAGACATACTGCCAGTGGCTTGTGTGTGTGAGTTCATGCTTCAACATGTAACTCTACACACAAACAGCACAGAGGAGGACAGTGATGCCAAAGAAAGCCCCACCACATCTCAGGTACAAAGAGTAAACATGGCAATTTTTGGGGAAAAGGACTGAACTACTTAACTGACTGTTTGTCAGGGCTATTGCGAAACCGTATTTGTTAACACACACTGACATGAATGATAGCACATGAATTCAAGTTGATCAACTAATCAATAAGCATCTCAAAATTAGATTAATGTGTATGCACTAGAATGTAAACTTTGAATTAAAAGGTTTTAATGGTTTTATCAGATATTTCTTCTGAGTACAATATATTTTGCTGTTAAATGTTCGTTGAGAAGTGAGTAGTCATGAACTTATAAAGGGTGGTCTAAAAAGTGAACCCTTGCAACAAGCTATATCCCAGTTATAACCCGCATTAAAGGCCCCACATAAAGTTTAAACCACTCTTGCTTATATTGTAGTCTTACCCAATGTTATCAAAATGTGGTATGTGGAACTTTTTTTTTAAAGGACGATTCTCGGTTTGGAGAACGAAGTTCATCAATCTAAATGAGCATTATCCCTGCTTCGGACAACTTTGAATTTTTTACATAATATAGATTTGAATGTATTCTTTTGAATAGTCATAATTTAATTTGGGTAATATTTCTAGATTTTTCGCAAAAAAATATTAGCGCAGTACACTTATGAACTTCTTTCCCCAAATTGAGACTTGTATTTTATTGAATCGGTCAAATTGAGCTTTATCCCTGCTTCAGACCAATTTGTTATTTTTACATCTTGTAGATTTAAATGTCCTCTTAATAATATTCATAGTTTAATTTGGGTAATATTTCTATATTTTTCATGAAAAAAATTATTAGCCCAGGAGACTGTTCTCCAAACCGAGAATCGTCCTTTCATAAGTTGGTTTTTAAAGGACTTTTTGTTCAAAAATTCATGAATTTATTTTAAACTAAATTTTAGAGCTCTTTTAATAAATGATGATGGACACCAATGCATTCATCCTTATGTGTAAAAATTAAGAAAATTGTTTGATAAATAAGCGATAAATGAACTCATCCATGCATGAAAGTGGTTCAGAGAAAAATGCATTTTAAAATTTTAGTTCTCATAGAAACCAGTGGTTCAGTAATATTTAAAACACAATATATTCTTCAATCTAAGTTAGACAATCATCAGTTTCATTTCACTCGTGAAGCTTTATTAAAAAAACAAAGGGGACATGCCATTAAGAGGCCATTCTCTGACTTAGTCATTTTTTCAAAAGTGTGAAAATAAAAAACCTCATGAAAAGTTCTTAAAATATTCTGAATAACAAGTTGAATATATATATTTAATGATGACCTAAGCAAAAGTCTGAAAATTAACTTGAAATGAGGGGTTTTGACAGATGCAAAAGATGGTAGATTTGTGATGAAGAAATAGAGGTTTTTGCAGTAACAACACAATTACCTCTAAGTTATCGGTTATGAGAGGCTGAGGACTAAACTTGACATAATTTTCAATCTCAGATTAACAGTAGTATCTAACTTAAGCCGGACAGCCACATAAAATGTATATGGAGCCCATAAGATACATTTTTCTCAATTGAAGTCACTATTTGTCATATATGTGGACATGGTTTTGGTTGTGCTGAATTTGTTTCAAAATAACATTTCTTGTATACCTTCGATAAGTGAGATAGGCATTTGAAATTAAATACAGATAGTATACTTGACATTTAATGCAGTAAACAGTAATACAAATCATTCTTACATAATAAGTGAGTCCAGACAAAAAGTTGTTATTGTGTTAGTTTAACTGGGCATAAATTACACTCATTGGCCTTGGTTTTCTTAATTGGCTTTGATAAAATGTTGTTCTATTTATTCAGAAAAGGAGTATAGTTCAATATACAAGTTCACAATCATTCCATCCTCTTGTAGAAATGAATCTCATATTATTTCATCTCAAATATAGAAAACAAAAATATAATAAAAACAAGTTTCTATTAATTGCAAAAGTTAGCTTCCATGTCATGACTGAGTTTGGGTTCCGATTCTAGAGAAAAATGATATTCCCTCTGGAAATATGGTATTGACCATTGCCATACACTCCATATTCAATCCTCTCTGTAAATAACATTGATATACAGTATATATATATGACATCGAGGATCTGGGGTTTGGGTAATGTGAGACATGAGTTGCTACTTTTTGAACCCTTATATTTAATATTTTTGGAGTGGTAATTCAATTATTTACCTATTTGTTATTCTTTATCCCATAGTTGAGCTCTGTTCCGCTCTGTTAGGTAACATGAAAACATATTTATGATATTTTGCAAATGCGTGGAAAAAGTGATATCTGTGGAATACGGAAATTATTTCACAGATATCACCTTTTGCCAGGGATTTGAAAACTACCACCAATATGATGTGTTTTGTTACGGCATAGCGATTTCATGATATCAAGGGGATGAATGAATGAATGGATGTTGTTTTGATATATTTTGTTTAGTTTTATAGGTGAACTATGGGATAAATAGAACATCCTGTGAATTTTCGAGATATTGTGTTAATCCACTCATTGATATCCACTCATTGATATTGATATCAACTGGGAGATAAAGATGAAATCATTTAAAATCATATGATATCCTATACATATCCTTTACTGTGCCACAACTTTCTCATATGTTATTTCTTGGCACTGGCCATCACTTCTTTTCCTTGAATACATACTTTGTTCCTCGTTTTAGAAATTTGAGGAAATCTTTGATTTTTCTTGTATTTAAGTTGCTTAAATGTTGCCCTGTGATGTTGATAAAAGTCAATCATAATCCATTACAGTCAGTCGAAATGTACCCGTTGCTAGCCCAGAACCTATGCCCTATGTGCTTTTCAATGAAAATAGTTTTAATCATATCTTTTCTTCAATATTTCATATATTACATTTTAATATATTTAAATTGGTTTATATATATACATTATTTACTTAGACAACAATAAACAAAGAATTTTTTGTAAAAACACCAAAAATGGTATATGATCTTTAAATGACAGTTGTGTGAACATCAAAGGTCAAAATTCGCTGAAATTGTATTTTTTTAAAGCACAAATGATTTTTCTTCAATATGATATGCATTATTATGAGATATCTTTGGGGGCTAAAAAGGGCTCTTAATGACACCCGTCCTTCGGTGACCTATAATTATGTCCCCACCACATAGTATGGGGCCATATTGTCGGCCTAGGCGCATCCGTCTGTCTGTACGTCCGGCAGTTTTCTCCAAAACCGCTACAGATATCACCTTCAAATTTTCAGGGATAACTTATGAGTGCATATAGATGTGGATAAAAAAAAATTAGCTCGATACCTACTTCCTGTCGGCCATTTTGAAGTCATATTCTAAAATTCTTGTCTGCAAACTGAAAAACGGCTTCACAGTTGCTTTTAAAACTTTAACATCTTGTTCAGCTCACTTCATTCTAGATCTGATTAGGTTTTGGACCTGTTAGCTCAGTCATGTCAGCCATTTTGAATGTTTTAAGAAAAGTTAGCGCGCGATAATACTTTGTATCATATTGAATGGTGTTTTTCAGTTTTCATACTTTAACTTTTTAGTAGCTTTATAAATCATTTCAGGTGTACTTTGTTGTAAAAGCCTATGTTATTGTTAACAGTAGTTATATGTGATAATTTTGTAAAAAGAAATCAGCAAAACTCATAATCACTTTTTTATTGTCGGCCATTTTGGATTTTTCCGTCCTAAAATCTTGTCAGTAAAGTCTTGTCTACGCGTTTTCAGGTGAACCGTTTGGTAGATCAATTTCAAATTTTCAGGGATGATTCTTAGTATGAAAATCTAGAACAGAACAGTTTTTTGGCATTCTGGATAAATGTCAAGGCAGCCATTTTGGATTTTCTGTCCTCAAATCTTGTCTATAAAGTTTTGTTTACATGTTTTCTGGTTAACTGTGTGATGGATCAATTTCAAATTTTCAGGGGTGGTTCTAAGTATGAAAATCTAGAACTGACTAATTTTTTGGCATTCTGGGTAAATTTTAAGGTGGCCATTTTTGATTTCCCATCCTCAAATTGTTTTGGTAAATAAAGTCTTCTCTACTCATTTTTAGGATAACCATTTGACAGGATCACCCATTGGTGGGGACATTTTGTACACATTTGTGTTCTTGTTTATATTTTTTTGAAATTAACTATGGGTACTAAAAAAATCTACTAGTTGAGACTCGATCAACTCGAGTTCTGAGTAAATGAGGATTTCAGCAATGGTGTATTAAAATTGACATGGACCTGAGGATATACACAATTGACTTAAATATCATCATGTCATCATGCATGGGGACAGATACAAAATCATCATATTTTGTCATTTTTCACATTTATTTTTTATTTTGTCAACAAAGTATTTTTTGTTTATTCTTCTATCGACAGAAATGTATGTGGTATCCGTAGAAAGTAAAATCGATTCCCTTGAGCGTGTGCTGTACAGTATCGCTGTCTGAACTTGTTATGAAACATAACCCCCATTCCAGTAGGATAAGGTCACAACTTTTGATAAAATGGTATGTTTTATTCCAGATATATGTAAACAAAACCACTACGGAATGATATAAAAACCAGAGTGATAAAGTTCTAATATTTAACTGGACTGAGACATAGATTTTCTCCATTATAGAAACAGGAAAAGCAAGAACAGTTACTAAGCAGACTACAGACATTGTTACAAGATGATACAAATGAGACAGGGGTGTCTGAAGTGCTCAGTTTCTTCATGAAGAGACTTGTCAGCCATCAGGCATCGCAGAGACAATTGGCAGTGAAGGTACAGATGCATAATCATTATATATGCCATGTTCAATGGCCAATATAAATACCAAATACTGTATATGATATCTACAAGTGCAACTTTGAATTCGAGGTCATACATTATATTTGACATAAATCATAAAATCGAGGTCTTTGTTACGATTCTAATATGATGACCAGATTAGAAACAGAACTGTATTTATGTATTTTGGCGGTCATACATACTCCAATATAGAGCAGTAAATCAATATTGTTCTAGCTATTGTGACGTCACGTATCATAGTAGAATATATAGTACGCAGGAGTTTCATTGGTGATGTGTTTTTCCAGGGTCTGTCATTGGTATTGGGGAGACAAGATGACATTACAGATGTTCAATCAGCCTCACTGACACCATCTCACACGTGGCTCTTGGAACAACTACCATCCCTCCCTCTGTTCCACACTGTTAAACAGACAACCTGTGACTTCTTACGTCAGGTGAAGCTAAATCTTTTTTCACTATTGAATTGAAACATTGTAATATAATGATGGTTCTGTTGCATAATACTGTTCTTAAGTATTTGTTAGATGAATGTAGAATCTCCTATTTTTAAATCTGCCAGCTATCTTAAATGTGTTGTTGTGATTAGCAGTGACACAGAGTTTATTATTTGCATATCTACTAATCCTAATGTTTATTTTCAGGCATGTTTGGTTAGCAGTGACATAGAGTCTATTAGTGCCTATCTACTATTCCTAAACCATCACTCAGAGAAGGATGATATTCGCCAGCTTGACACTCTTGTCATGGTAAAACTTTTTCTCTGTATAAATTGAATGCCTTCTCTCTTATAGACGCACATACTCCAATAAATGCACATTAAACTTTTCCAAGAAAGACTGGGAACTAAAATGATGGGTGAAAATAGTGTGAATTCACTTACTGCTATGATTGAGCCATTTCTGCGCACAATGCTGTTACAGGCATGTTTCTGGAAGCTTTCAAACTTTTATTACATTCATGATAGCCTTAAAGTGATGAGTTAAATGCTATAATGAATGTTAATTCTGACCTCAGTAATTTGGAAGATGCTATCACCTGATAGCTGGTACAAACACTATGGAGGTCTCATCGCAGAGCTGTCCAAAATGACGAGATATTAAATAAAGTATGCTTTGTTCAGTAATATTTCTTTGGTGGGATTTGCTACTCCATGGAGTTGTTGTTTTCTAGTTATTATATTTAATAGATTTATAATTGACTTGTTGGCCACTGCTTCTGTGTGTCTGAGTGTATAACACCATTCAACACTGTTGTCAGTTCTCACTTATACTACAATTACACATTAACATTTGTTGCATATGTTTAATTGTTTCAGGATATTGGTCAGTTGATTGTAGAACGTAGTACTGTGATGAACCAAGTGTTACCAGTGGAGTATGAGTTCAATGAGAGAGCCCAACTTGTGCAGTGTGCAGTCATTAACATGTTCTTCTCTTACCTCAACAAGGCTAGACAAACCAAGAAGGACACATACACTTGGGTAGGTGTCTAACTTATATCTGGCAACATCATTTATTCTTCGCCTCGATTATTACGTTATGTTATGAGGTTTTGGGAGTTTATTGCCATAAACAAAATTTTTTTAATGTTCACCCAACAACATTTGACAATAATTTCTAAAATATACATTTGCTTAGAACATTTGAAAAATGCATTGGCAGTTCTTTCATCATCAGTTTCCTGATATTTTAAAGTTTATCAAGTGTGTAAAATAAGTGTGTCTCCCTATGGGTAAATAACTCACTGAGTGCTCCAAAACTAGCATATAACACTATATGTGGTACTTCACCTTTAAGTTGACTTTCATTGCAGTGTAATACCCAGGATCAAGTGCTGCTACAATGGCCAGGTGGAGAGTCTGCTAACATGTCAATCCTTGTAGTACATGCCATCATCATACTGCTCACATATGGCAGACCTCTGGGTAAGTGTAGTTCATGCCATCATCATACTGCTCACATATGGCAGACCTCTCGGTAAGTGTAGTACATGCCATCGTCATACGGCTCACATATGGCAGACCTCTGGGTAAGTGTAGTACATGCCATCATCATACCGCTCACATATGGCAGACCTCTGGGTAAGTGTAGTACATGCCATCATCATACCGCTCACATATGGCAGACCTCTGGGTAAGTGTAGTACATGCCATCATCCTACCGCTCACATATGGCAGACCTCTGGGTAAGTGTAGTACATGCCATCATCATACCGCTCACATATGGCAGACCTCTTGGTTAGTGTAGTACATGCCATCGTCATACGGCTCACATATGGCAGACTTCTGAGTAAGTGTAGTACATGCCATCATCATACCGCTCACATATGGCAGACCTCTGGGTAAGTGTAGTACATGCCATCATCATACCGCTCACATATGGCAGACCTCTGGGTAAGTGTAGTACATGCCATCATCATACTGCTCACATGTGGCAGACCTCTGGGTAAGTGTAGTACATGCCATCATCATACTGCTCACATGTGGCAGACCTCTGGGTAAGTGTAGTACATGTCATCATCATACTGCTCACATGTGGCAGACCTCTGGGTAAGTGTAGTACATGCTGTCATTTTACTGTTCATGTATGGCATACATTCTTAATGCATTAAATTGGAAATATCTTAATGTTCTTCATATTGTGTAAAATTATAAGTAGGTTTAGTATAGGAGCAAGTTTACAACATAAATATAAAAGAATATCTAATGTATGGTAATGTTTTTTATTCTGATTCTAACAGTTTGCTGTCAGGGAGCCTAATTAGTACAATTAAATGATAATTTAACTAGCCCAATTACCCAAATGCGAGTAGGTAGTTACCAGTTTCACCACCAGGTGGCTGATTCAGGTGGCTGTTTTCAGTAGTCATACATCTTTGAAGTTCAGTGGAATAATGAAGTCCTAGTTACCTCGTGACCTTGACATCAGTCATGTGATCTTTATCCAGGGAATGGATCATTCTTACTTCATTTTTTCTATACTTTCATATGTACTACTCCCCTCAACAAACTGTTTATAATTTCATAAATCCAGTTATTGCGTAATTATTATTTATTGATGTAATGTTTATAAATGGATTTGTTGATTGAGTATTTAAGTGTTTTATCATTCCTGTGCAGGTGACTCTCATTTTGATGAGTTGTTAAAGATCTGGTTCCCTGAAGGAGGTTCTCCCCCAACAGCCTACCTGGTTGACACTTCAGAGGAAGCCTTGCTGCTTCCTGATTGGCTGAAATTAAGGATGATAAGATCTACTGTAGGCTCGTTGGTTGATGCAGGTAATTTGAAAACTTCTGGTTTGTAGGTTAATACACTATAATTTTAATTGTTGTGTTGATTATGCTAAAGGTCCTCCTGAACAGTGCCTCCTGAACAATTACATGTTTCAGACCACTCAATAAATGTCTGTATTGACTTGATGGGTTTTACACGAAAGCTTTACATGTACTCTGTTCTAAATTTGAAATACATGTATTTGATATTGATACACTAGATTGATGGAGGAAGAAGCATAAATTAGATTATATTTGTTTAGCCCTACAGGACTTGGAGCCAGGAAAGCTGCTGCTGTTTGTCCAGTCATTTGGTATGCCTGTCGCCAGCATGAGTAAGCTACTCTCTTGTCTTGACCAGGCTACCGAACTAGGCCCCTCAGCCATGGAACAGGTACATACATTGCCACTATGTGGAAGGTTAGAAGATGTAATATTACTTACATAACAATTAAATATAAGGTATTTCCTGAGGGAAATATCTGTATCTCTGTGTAAGATAATCTTAATGCATGTATATTAGGGCTCTTACAGTTAACCAAAAATGTGCTGTTAAACAGTTCTCAGCATTATTGATCCTCCTAAATCTTATAAAGCTCATTGTTGGGGCTATTTTGACTTTCCAACAATGGATGATGTTCCAATCGCAGAAAAGATGATACACAAGTTGTGCAAAGTTGTTGTATAGGAGAGAGATACTTGTAAAAAAATGAATGGAGCAAGTCTCAACGAAAATGTTTTGGTTTGAGAATAAAGTCAATAAAATGGTGGCTTGATCACAGATAAGATAATTATCTCATTGTTTCTCTAAAACACTGCTGATTATCTGCCTATTATGCTATTAATTTACCTTCATGAGGTATCTGTTGGGGGTAAAATCTGTTGCAATACTTTCTGTCCTCCTTTGCTGACTAAGCTTTATCTGAATTTTTCATTAGGCCGAAAAACCAAACAAAAATCAAACCGGGAAACAAACAGAGGAATTGTGAACCTGTTGGAACCCTAATGTAAATCCTTTTGATAATTTTGCGTTCAAATATTATGTAAAAATATACAAGGTAGTAGGTACAATGTAATAATTGTTTGATCGTGTTGACTTTTGGACCAACACCGACATTTTTTACACTCTTAGGTTGATACTGACAGATCTGGTTACATGGCCCAGTTGATAGAGGTCCAACAGATGAGGGGGGCTATGGGAGGAGACAAGTTCCGTGCAGTGCTCCTTGGGGGTAAAGAACCGACTCCAGACCCTGGACTCGGCATCAATCTCCCTAAGATGAGCACTGAGAGACCTGTAGTTGAGACTCACAGAACTGATTTTGACAACCTTCCGAGTGATCAGAAAAAACTTCAACACTATATACTGCAGGTTAGTGATGCACTTCATCACGTATGGCTCAGAGTCACATTGTCTGTCTTGTTACATCAATTCACATTAAGTGATTAGTGGATTATGTTTTTATTCTTTGTTTCTTATTCAGATGTTTAATGTTGATGTCCCAAAGGATGTGTGTAGTGTACACAGCAAGTACCGCACCCTCCAGCTAGCTATTCTGAAAGAACCACTTCTATGGGAGCATGTAGTCCTTGCACTAGGGACACTTCTACACTCAGGCTACCAGGACAGTCTACTAGCTGCAATGTACAACATGCAAACTGTCTCCTGTCAGCTTATTAGACTTCTCAATGCAAAGCAGGTACACACTGAAGCATTAGTCATTGTCTAACCCAATATATTCAAATTAGAACACATTGATTTCAAAACAAGTGTCAATTAATGTGACATCTGATCAGGACATTTACAGGGGAGTACCTCATGTATGATAAAGACAAGTTGCGTCCACTAAAGAGTGTTCCAAATATCTATCTGCATATATAAATATATATATGAACATTACCAAAAATATCATATTGTATAATATATTTTGTATAAAATTTACTATCTGGTGCCTATTTTTAGAGTTCTAAGGGTAGAGAGGACAACACCCTGGCCCCCATACTGCAGATACTGCAACAAAAGGGGCCCACATCATCACTTAAGTCATTGGTGGAACAATGTCAGAAGCAGGACAAAGCTAGAACAAACAAGCACTCTCAGTCCAGTGGCTCAAATACACAGGCAAATATAAACAAAGGTTTGTATCTTCATGTTAAATTTAAAGTTGTTTATAAACCCTTTAAAATGTAGAGTTTGATATTTGTTGTGCGTAATACATGGTTACATATTCTAGCAGTAAAAGCCTAAAAATAATTTAAGTGAATAAGTGTTTCATGATATAATTGTAGTACTAACTGAAGGGAAAAGGTTATTTGGAGCATCACTGGAGGAGTTTGTTCACAAGCATTTCAACTCAGACACTTCAGGGTAAGATATTCCAATTGCTGTATTAGACTTTAAAATTATGGTAAATGTCATGTACAATATGGTACATAATGATGGTACATGTCATGTACAATGTGGAACATAATGATGGTACATGTCATGTACAATGTGGAACATAATGATGGTACATGTCATGTACAATGTGGAACATAATGATGGTACATGTCATGTACAATGTGGAACATAATGATGGTACATGTCATGTACAATGTGGAACATAATGATGGTACATGTCATTTACAATGTGGAACATAATGATGGTACATGTCATGTACAATGTGGAACATAATGATGGAACATGTCATGTACAATGTGGAACATAATGATGGTACATGTCATGTACAATGTGGAACATTATGATGGTACATGTCATGTACAATGTGGAACATAATGATGGTACATGTCATGTACAATGTGGACCATGATGCTTATGTAATGAAAGTATCAGCTACAATGGAATGACTTATTTATACATTCTATATATCTAATTTGATAATTTTGATGTCACTATCACAAGTGCTGACATGTTGTTATGGTCTCCAACTTCTTTTTTTTTATTTACTTTTTAGTTCGGAGGAAAATATGTAAAGCAATAACAGTACAGTTACATGGAAAGACTTACATTTTGCAATAGTGTTTTGAATACAATCTAGTTCAAAGGATATTGAGTACCTTTGTCATTTTAGGGGGAAAATCATGGAAGTTAAATTAAAAAATGATACTTAGTCTTCAACTTTTTTGTCGATGGTGTTTAGCGTCAGTGTCTAACAAATGGCAGGTATTGATATTTTACCTGTTATTGCCTTGTTTATTAGTGTTTGTAACAAAGGCTGTTTACATTCGTGTAACAAATATCATAATTCTTTCATTTGGCCAATATATGACCAGATTGAAGTAATTCTGTGGTCATATAATGAAGCTAGAAATCATTGAATGTGAATATTTTCAACAGGTCTGGTAAATTGTTGGATTGGTTCAGCACATTTGAACCAGAGATTATCTCAAATCAACCAGAGCTGAAGGAGAAACTACTTTTCTCTGCCATTGAGGCCAAGTCTGGAGATGCTAAGTCAGGAGAGGCCATGTCTTGTAGGCCCTATCTCTTAGCTCTACTTACACACAAGACCAACTGGACCACCCTCAACAGATGTATTGATACTCTGTTATGTGAAGAACAAATTGCAAATAGGTACATGTTTAAATTAATCAATTTAAGTAATATTGTAATAAATATACAGGAGGCCTGCTGTCTAATGTGTTACAGCTTCAAACCGCATTTCAACATAAACCTAAGCGATGATATTTTTGTTGCGCATTATTTCAGAGATCACGAGTCTGTCTTAGACTTTCTATGGGCCTGTATACACATACCAAAGATATGGCAAGGTAGAGACAAGAATGTTTCTAAGGTAAGTTGATTTAATGGGGCATATAGGTTGCAACTTTTTATGTGGCTACAATTGCAAGAACCAATCCAGGCCATTCATACCTGTAGATGTTCCTGACAGGTTTGGGTCATTCATAGGTTTGGAAGTCAATGTCAAAATTCACATATTATATTGATGAAAATAATATACTAGATGCGAAGAGAAATAATCTTGATTTACTTCATTAAATATTCAAAATTTAGTTTAAATGATATCAAATTTGAAGTCTACATGTAAAATTGCATCCAGAAATGTGGTTTAAAGAAGTATTTACCAACTTAAAAGTTAATGTTCTTTGAAATGTGACTTATAGGTCGGGGAGATTGTAATATACAATCAATATTGCTTGGTATGCAAATTATTTAGGAAAGTGTTCACAAGACATTTTCAACAAAGTTCGAGGGGGATATGATAGAGAAGCTGTCCATCCATTGATGTGTCTGGGCGATAACTCAAATACTGGTTGATGGATTTTGTTCAAATTTTATAGGCTTATACCTTATGTGTGTAGGACCTGCTCTAGAAGGAATTTTTAACATGGCCACTCAATTTAAAATGGCCACCATACTAAAATTTAGAGACAATGGAGCTGTGTCGAAGAAGAAATTTTCAAGATTTCCCCTATTTATCAAAACATGTTTTGTTTGGTGTAATTTTCTACTTAGTGGAGTAGCCGTTTTCTTGCATTGTTAAATTGTTCTGTTTTTCAAGTTCCTTGTGTCCTTGTTTTTACTTTTATTTAGAACGCAGTTGTGGAGAAAGTACTGAAGGTATCGCCACAACAAGCACGAGTGATTACCAGGTACATTGTGTCAGAGCTGATACAGATTGATGAGAAGTCAACGCAGCATTTGTTAGCAAGGAGACTTCTCCTGCTCCTACACTGTCTGCAGGGAAGCCAGGAGTGCACCAAAGCTGTGGTTCATTACCTGGCTTCCTCAAGAGACAAGTGAGTTTTTCGGCAATTGCAAAATATTTGACAATCTAGCAACAGCAAGGCATGGATTTTTTCTTTTCTTATTTATTTACTTGAACGAGTATAATAAAGCTCCCAAATATCAAATCCGATTAAAACAGATGTTTTGCTTGTTTTGCAGACCAGAGAAAGAGGGAAAGGTGTGTGAGAGTTTGCTATTGAGTCTGTACACAGAGAAGCCAAATATAATTAACATGTTGGATGACTGCAACTTTCTCTTCAACCATTCTATGCTGGCAGCCTCAACTAGTTCCCAGGTAATAAATATTACCATCTGAATAAGTACATGTACTTGCTGCAAAAAATAATACCAAAATAATGTAATATTATTTTATCGCATTTTAAGGTTAGTGTGGATAATTAAATAAATTAAAAGTAAACCTGTCTAAGATTTCATGGATACATTATTTTTGCTTCATCTAAATTACCTGTATAGCCATACAAGAATTACCATAAAGCCATACATGGCATACCTGTATAACGATTCATGATTTACAACATAGCCATACATGAATTACCTGTATAGCCATACAAGAATTACCATATAGCCATACATGGCATACCTGAATAACAATTCATGATTTACAACATAGCCATACATGATTTACCTGTATAGCCATACATGAATTACCATAAAGCCATACATGGCATACCTGTATAACGATTCATGATTTACAACATAGCCATACATGATTTACCTGTATAGCCATACAAGAATTACCATAAAGCCATACATGGCATACCTGTATAACGATTCATGATTTACAACATAGCCATACATGAATTACCTGTATAGCCATACATGAATTACCTGTATAGCCATACAAGAATTACCATATAGCCATACATGGCATACCTGAATAACAATTCTTGATTTACAACATAGCCATACATGGTATACCCGTATAAACATACATGATTTACCTGTATAGCCATACAAGAATTACCATATAGCCATACATAGCATACCTGAATAACAATTCTTGATTTACAACATAGCCATACATGATTTACCTGTATAGCCATACAAGAATTTCCATATAGCCATACATGGCATACCTGTATAACAATTCATGATTTACAACATAGCCATACATGGTATACCCGTATAAACATACATGAATTACCTGTATAGCCATACAAGAATTACCATATAGCCACACATGGCATATCTGTATAACAATTCATGATTCGCAACATAGCCATACATGAATTACCTGTATAGCCATACAAGAATTACCATATAGCCACACATGGCATATCTGTATAACAATTCATGATTTGCAACATAGCCATACATGGTATACCCGTATAAACATACATGAATGAAGCCATACAAGAATTACCATAAAGCCATACATGGCATACCTGTATAACGATTCTTGATTTACAACATAGCTAAACATGATTTACCTGAAAAAAACATTGAATGATCTCAATCAAATGGTCTTTCTTGCAAGGCTAAATTATTTGATACCTACTGGAATGCCATTAAGCTGTATGGTCAATAGAACGATAGATATTCATTGAGAATGTGTTCACATTTCTTCAAAAACTAGAATCTTGTGAATGAAAAAACCTTGAAACGTAAATGCCTCCAAATACTCTTCTAGCGTTGATGTTTGAATTTTTACTGTATAATGGGATGCCTGTATTTTACCAGATGGACAGAGCTAGCCACCACTTGTTGACATCACTAGCTGATACTGGGAAGGGCAAGAAGTACCAGAACAAGATGTATGATGCCAACATAGCCCTGAGAAAGATAGCAGCACACCACCCAACTTTGCTCCTCAGGTATTTAGAACAATGTGAACTGGATATAGCATTCAGGGATTACAATTTCTATTTAATGGGTTCAGTTGTGAATCAAATAATCAGTTGGCCATCTCTTCAGAGTTAATTGAATCGTCATTCTGAATATATCTTAGAACATATTTGATGTTACTGAATACTGTTATATGATATCATATTTTAATGTTGCAGACAACTTCCCCTAATGGCCTCTCTACTGAAGGGAAGAACCTATTACACATTTGGTGAGTTTCAGGCCAGGAACAACCTCCTGCTCTTCACTCACGTCCTGGGCATCATGGATGCTCTACAACCTTATATATTCAAGAACCACTCTACAGCTTTAGCTGAAGTGTTGGATCGCTACTTTGAGCTCATGAGGGTAAGGAATGATCTACAATACCCAGACAAATAGAGCCAAGAAGTATTTTACGTATTTACATGAAATACACTCTTTGATCTCATTATTTTATGGTTTCCTTCACTAAAAAGGGATATGCCATTATTTTCAGGTGCATGCAACAAAAGACCACCAGGTGGCTCCACTAGTGAACAAATATATGAGGTTCCTGAACTCCTTCATCAGCGCAGACCCCTTAGAGGCATCACAAATACTGCAATCACATCTCTCAACTCTCAAGTAGGCAATAACTTTTCTCGCTTGATTACCTTGCAATTACATATTATATGTGCATTCCCAAAATATTGATTTACTCTTAGGCAGTCTAAAAGACTCAATTTTATTACCTCCCATATTGATATAAAAAGTATTCCAGATGAACTAAATGATTCTCTCAATTTCTTCAACAGCTTGATATCACAGACCTACCCCGATTTTGCTTTGGTTCGTTCCATTATTGCAAGTGTTGGCTTGCCACGTCAACAGACAGAAGCCAGTGAGAATGGAGTTGAAGATGATTGCCCCATTGAACAGCCAAGACCAAGCTCACCATGGCGACTTGCCCAACTAGCACCATTCCTTAAGAATATTTCTGCTGGCTCATCACTCGCCACTGTAACTAGCGTGTTGATTGACTTAGATGAAACTTCAAAACGCAAACTGGATGTTCTTGAGCATTTCTTGGTATGCAATCGTCAACCTAGTTGATATTTATATGCTTCACTTTTGAATATAAATTGAGTTTTTTATATCATCAACTAAGATAAAGTGATTGTGCTAATTGTTAAGAGTTTGTGACATTCAAGATGACATCTTGTCTGTGATAGGGAAGATTGAATGATGATGTTATACTATCTCCTGTCGGTGACACCTTCTAAGATTATAAATTATTGTGCTATATGTCTCCAGGATGACTTGAAAAGATTGCTGACTGTGACAGATGAGAAATGTAGGAAGCTGTCCTTCACCCTGGTCATGAGGCATATCAGACAGAACCCAGGGTAAGCTACTATATATCTTATATAATTCTTCAAGTTGGGCTTTACTTCCTTTCTCATGTAATTACTTTAACAAGGATATAATTATTTTAAACCAGGAATGTCTCCTCTTCTTTTTTAAGGTTAAATCTCTTACTCGGAATCATTATGTGAAAAGATTGAATATTGATTAATGTGAAACATGTCAAATTAGGGACAAAGGAGCTCTGCTATAGAAGAAATTTTCAAGATGGCAGCTGAATTCCAAAATGGCCACCATTTTTCGTAAAATAACGTAATCTTTGATAACTCAAAAACCGGTTGTCGAATTTGGTTGACATTTCAAATGCTGATGCCTAGAGACAAAAAGCTCTGCTCAAGGAGACATTTTCTAGATGGCCACAGAATTTCAAAATGGCTGCCATTTTTCGCAAAAAAACATAATCTTTAATAACTCAAATACCAGCGGACAGATTTGGTTCAAATTTTATATGCTGATACCTACAGACAAAGGAGCTCCTCTCGAGAAGGAATTATAAAGATGGCAGCTGAATTTTCAAATTTGGCGTAATTTTTTGTAAAAAGACGTGATCTTTGATAACTCGAATACAAGTGGACAGATTTGGTTCAACTTTTACATACTGATGCCTTGGTATGAAGGAGCTCTAATAAACCAAGTGCCACTTGATGGATTTGGTTCAAATTTTTTCTGCTCATGCCTAGTGACAAAGGAGCTCTGCTCAAGAAGAAATTCTCAAGTTGGCAGTTGAATTTCAAAATGGCCACCGTTTTCCGTAAAAAACATAATCTTTAATAACTCAAATAGACAAATACTATTTGCAATGCTGTTTTCAAGTTGTAGTGTAGTTTTGAATTGTTGTGTTTCATCATTGCAGGAGTGGCAAGGATTTTGTACCAACAATTCTACAGTGTCTTGATAGCAGTAATTACGAAGTAGTCAGCTCTGCACTCACCAACATTGCAGAGTTTACTTTACTATGTAGAGGTAAGAGACAGATTATTGATAAATTAAATTATGACCGGAATCCTAACTTACAATATAACCTAAGAGTTGTCAAGGAATTTGGCTTATCCAGTAGTGTGAATACTTGTGTATTAAATAGAGGAGTTGCTATATAGATGGATAAATAGATTGCAGTAGGGGTTTTGGATAAGCCAGAATAGTATTCATAATATGGGGACATATGATACAAATCACTTTATTTCTTGATTTATCAAATATTTCCAATTGGAGTAATGTAAAACATTGTTTGTCAGTGGGAATTTAGCCTGACCTTTTTCAGAAAACTTAAACATTTAAATTGGTTTAATAGGAAACTACAGATAGAATTCAAATAAATTATCAAATTGAAAAAAATTTAAGTTTTTAATGGTTAAAACTTCGGATCTCCTAAAATCTCATTAAAAACGAGACTTCAACAAGATTTCAGAAATATGTAGTAAACCCTCTATTGCCTCACAGAATCAAACAAATTACTTTATTTCAACACATTTGAACAGAACTGAGTTCTTCATTTTGTCAATTTGCTTTTCTTTGAATATTTAGAATCAGAGATATAGGGCTGGCAAAGGTGCTACTAGAACATCTACATGTATAGTATATAAATCCATGTATCCTATATTCTTACAAATAAAAAGAATTCTCAAAAATAATTGGTGATATCAAATTGTGAAGTTATTTATGTTTTTAAAATGTGTTCAATAACCCTATCACTATTCAGATTGGTATCAATGTTTGCATCCACATTTAATTCAATATGAGATTTAAAGTGTTAGTGTTTCTCGAAAGTAATGTGAAAGTTGCTTTAAACCATGGCCCATGTTTAAACATACCTTTGATTTTTATTTCATATTTTCAGAAATGGCTGATGTCTTGTTGGAAAAGGTATTCATTATAGGTATTCGGCTGAACATTGACACACATACATATATCACTGAAGCTATGCAGCTACTAAACATGGACAATTCATTGCATACCACAGTCTAAATGTTTCAAAGCCTCTACTGATGGAGCAAACTATTGATTTTAAACATATGACATTCTTATGAGGCATCAACAATTGTATGAAGAAATGCTGTAATTTGTATATCTACCATGTATGAAGACACCTTTATACAACATGTGTTCAAAGGGAAATTTAAAGGAATATTCCTTGTCAAACCATCTCTCTCCTCATATGGTAGCTATAACCACATATATGCTTGCCATGTTTAGCAAAACACGCAAAAATGTTTTGATATGGTCAAATTTGATCACTTAGAAATGTGATTCTCAATTCCAGTAAGCTGCCATCTTTTAAAATTTCACACAGGAAGTGATGTCATCGACTCTCAACTTTGCATATAGCATTAGGTGAGGAGCTATTAAGAATTACAAAACCAGCTAAATATTCTTTTTCAACTTTGTATCTTATTTAATCCTTCTGAAAATCTCTTCTTTTATTCTAAGTTGACAAGCCCTGAAAATATTTTTGCACAGAAAGTAATGATCACTTGTCAAGAAGTGATTCTATGCTACTTTCCTATACTGTTATGAGCAAGGTTATAGAAGTTGAGAGTTGATGACATCACTTCCTGCAAGAAATCTTAAAAGATGGCAGCTTACTGGAAATAAACACTAGCTTTTTAAATGATCAATATTGACCATATTAAAATATTTTCCCATGTTTTGCTAAATATGGAAACTATATATATGATTATAGCTACCATATCAAGAGAGAAAGGGTCTGGCAAGGAATATTCCTTTAAGCGAATCTTAAACAGAGTGCAAAAATTATACCACAAGCGGGACCACAAGGACATTTACATGTTTCCTTGAAAACCTTGGTACTAATTTCATTAATTGTGAATGTTTTATGGACTTGGTATGGATGTCTGACTGATTGTGAACATGAATATCCCATCTGTCAGTTGCTATGAATAAGATTAGTATGTAAATGTATCCTTATTGTATAATATTAACATGATAGCTAAGCAGTTAATAAAACAATATAGGCTTAGTAAAGACTGTTTCGTTCAGAGTTACTTAAGATATAGTATTTCAATATGCCAAATGAATTTAATTAATGTGGAAGTAACTTATCTGGCACTGCTCATCAACTTGTTTATCAACATGTAGGGAAACATAAGCAATTACGCATGTGGATGGCTTGAGCTTTATATTTGCCCTAAGCCATCGATTTACCCTTTTATTGAAAAAAATGCACATGGTATGGGTGTCTTTAAAAGTATACTAAGTCGCAATGGCAATATTCAATACAAGACAATGATTTTGGATTGCTTCTTAAAACACTTTAAAATTCAATCAACACATTTTATTACTTATTATTTCTTTTTTCTCTTAAATATAAAAATATATGATATAAAAATATATGACAACTCTAGTAATCTGATCAACAGCTACAGTGTGCTCCGGAGAGTGCTGGAGGCTTTTTGGCACAGTGGCACCATTCATATGCGTTCAAGAGCCATTGGGAAATGAAACCCCATGGTGAATTCCATAACAATTGCGATTATATTGCTATAACATAATTAACTTTATTAAAAACCTTCAATCTGTTTATTGTTAAACACTACTTATAATAGAAAACCTGAAACTTTTTAATGGTGAGTTATATGATTTAAAGCTGATCCGATTTAGATGTTAAGACGGTATATACCTCAGTAGTGGTATGCATTCAACTATATTTAAAGTATAAGTCCCAATCACTTTGCTGTATCCTACTAGATGTAGAAAGATCTCATGTTTTTGAAAATTAGGCTTAAGTTCTGCAATAGGAGCCATATATGGACAACTGCGCACAAACCGAATAGCCTCGGACAAGAATCGTACAAAGTCTAGTTAATTTGCATGTGAGTATAGAAACAATGATGCATAATGTTTCAGGGAGTAAGGAGGGCCAAGGGTGTAATACTTTCGTTTCTTAAATCGTAGGTCCAATTGACATAAATGTATAGCGTGTCAAAGAGCGGGGGTGTTAAATCAATGGGATGTGGCCCAGTACAGACCAAACCTTCTTGACATAACCGCTGCATATGGTAATGAATGGTATGAATCAAAACGTTTATTGAAATGTGCTCGACGATTCCCATAGTTATAAGTATTGACGGAATTCAAAAGTGATGAGGCCGATTGTACTTGATCCGCCTTCACAGTGCCCACGTTTCTGTTTATGTAAACGAAAACACTCGATCTAACCTGCACTGGTCACACTTAGTTCCAATTTAATTACTTGAATAAATATTTATGGATCTGTTGTGATTAAATCGTTTCTCCACAATAGAGATCCTTGTTTTGAGAACTACTTAATATATTTTAGAGCCCTCCCAAACTAGCCATTAGCATGCTTACCAGTGGGGTCAAATTGTGTTTGAACATAACAACCATTGTGTCGTTGTGGTTAGAACATTTAAGAGTGTGACCGCCACAACGTTTTCTTAATTAAAGGGTTATGTTGAACAAATTCGAAAACATACTTGACCACTGTTGGAATATTTTAGAGTGTGTCTTATATTTGTTTGAGAAAGATTTCTTACGACACAAGTAGAGAAGGTGGCTGTATGGCTATTGTGTAAAGAGCAAATATGAACAGAGCAGAAGTTCATGATACACTAAACAACGTGTAGGTATGTCCAGCTACTGGAATCATAGAAGGCTAATCGGTAAGCAATAGAGATGTACCTGTAATATCGATTGAATGAAAAAATACACTCTTTTAAGTCTTTTGGGATCAATTTACTAAACTGCTCGAGACCGTCAAATTATAAGACTGGATCAATCATCATCGGGATGCATAAGTCATGTAAGTGGACTCTAGCAAGTATTTTGGGTCTGCAACGAGGAACAATGCAATCTTCTGAGTGAAAACCATGAAATTGCTTGATATTTCAACTACCTTGCGTGTTGGGCACATTGTTAATCAACTTGAACATTTAGTTCTTGTAGAAACAAACGTATATTGCTATTACACGCTACAGTTGATAAACTAACCCAAGCCACAATGCAAATATTTAGCTGTCGATGTTATCTCAGAAAATTGAAGAAATGCGATTTGAATGGAAACAATATCCAAGAAATATTTGCGGTGCCAGAAACGTTCACAGCCATACAAAGAACATTGGACTTATGGCTATTTAGTATATACTGTGTTTATTTATTTTTCAGAATACATGATTAACTCAAGAAATTGGAACAAGAAGTGTCAAAGAATCCCACATATAATGTTATATAGCATGATGATTTTAAGTACAACGGGAATTATCTGATTAACAATTAACGACGTCTTTGATTTAGAAGGTATAAGAAATGATGTGAATGACTGTATTAAAGATGTAAGTGCGGATTGTATAAGTACGGACAAGGTACACCATGTCTAGTCAATTTCTTGAGGAAATAAAAAATGGTTCTCAGCCAAAGGGACTCTACCAGACGAAACGTTCAAATGGAATCCCTCTTCAAGATCCCAATGTTGTACGACACTTAAATACCATCTACATGCGTGCAGCTGACGGCAGGATATCTTCAATTACGTCAGAGTTTCATGACGTCACGAGGAGACGTGAAAGTCGGGGTCCACCTATTGGTGCAACCTTGGAGGAAACAATAGATGCTTACAATAAGAAAATGCAGATGAGTGCGTTTAAAGTGAAGCTGATAAGTAAGGTAAGAATAAATATGATCACAATGTAGATTCATGAAATGCTTCTTTCGAGCGTTAAACCTAAGTTTTTACATATATTTACGTAGCCTGACAGACTACTGCAATAATTGCCGTCGAAAAATATATTAATTTCACGGAGAAATTACCCATAAAATCCTATATTAAGAATTGTATAAGGGCAATGCATTTCTGTATAGTCTCTTGGTCATTACTATTTTCCTTTGGGATTTAGGTAGTTAGTCTATTGTGTTATTGAAGAATTAATCTGTAAAAGTATAATCAAACAGCACAGAGGGCAATAGTGCTATTCCATGTTCGACCAAAGGTCATTTAAAGTGTATTAATTGGCAAACCGTGTTTAATATTCAAATTATATTTTAAACCTGTCTTCTCAAACGTGCAGATTCATGTTGATAGCCGATCTTTCCGTTCATTCCAACGTTTCAGCAATGATACGATTGATTTATTCATGGGCTTTTTACTATGATAATAATATATTAATTCTTCCACTACATATCTCTCAGTTTAACTTTTTATACGATTGTTCACATGCTTGACCCTGGTCTGAAAGTATTAATTGAATACTTCGCCATATAATCATTTGCTCAAACTTTCAAGTAGTTTACTGACAACTTTTACCAATGGGTGGATATTTAAATACTCCATTGTGTAAATTAAATAGCTACAATTTCAATAGTATTTTCTTATGGGTTTGTTTAAGATTGATACCTTTCAACAATGTGATATAGGACATTGAGAGTACCTGAGAGTAAATAATGAATTAAGCAACATACTTCAGCTCAAAAGAATTTGAAAAATAGATTAAATATATTCTTTGGGTACATGAAAGGTCCCCAAGATTGTAAAGGTAAAATCCTCTTGTCATTTTAATTAAAAAATATAATTGAAACACCTTTTGACCCCTGATCGTGATATAATACAAACACTGGTATGTATTCCATACTTGATGAGGTTTCAGGTACATAATAAATCGGGTATATATTCCATATCTTTACGATGGCTATATGTCCCGCCCCGGGAATTCACGTCATAACTATCTCCGCACTGCTAAAAGACGAAGGGTCAATTTCTACTGTTAACCATCTTACTGTTCAAACATTTTTTTGTATTTATACCTTCATGAGAGAAATACATGTCAAATAGCCTATTTAAAAATGATTGCATATTTTGCAAGTCAACACACCAGAGCATATTTGGATACGTCCTTATTATTTCAAACCGAGGTATGGAATACAACAGTTATGCACGGTCGGTTTGGATACAGGGAATACCCTTTGAGATATACAATATATCTTCCCTTGGTCCCCTCGGGAAGATGTATTGTATATCCCTCGGGATATTCCCTGTATCCAAAACCTCCCAGTGCATAACCCCTATTTATCCGGATCAGAGGGATATAGATCGAGTATCACGTGAAGATATATTTGATATGTGGATCAAGATATAAAATTTCAGCAAAAAATCCCCAAACCATCGAACATCTCTTTTGAAACGATCGAATATCACTTTGAAACCATCGAATATCACTTTTTAAAAGGTGATATTCGATGGTTTCATAAGTGATATTCGATCGTTTTGTTTTCATTTTTTCAATTTTTTCATTATTTAAAAAAATTCTATTCAAAACGAAAAATTGAAAAAATGTTCAATTTAAAAAAAATTAAATTTCCATAAAAAAATTGAAAAAAGATTTCAACATTTTTAATCCTAAAATATATTTTTCAATTTTTTCGCTGATGATGTTTTCCCATTGGATAAACGGACAACCCCATGGATATAAATAGCTTTACTCACTCGCTGCGCTGACTCGCGAAGATATCGATATCCACTCATGGATATAAATGATATTTTTTCGAGGATATTTTATAGGATATTCCTATAGTAGCCTATCTGATAGGAATTTTTCAATGAAAAAGAATGTCCTTTCAATCATACATGTGGGAAATTGCATTATTCAAGGATAACAGCCGATGCTCATTCAAAGCACAACTGAAATAATCCATTCACGAAACCAGAGATAACAAGTTTTAGCCATTGTCTATCCAACTCCAGAATCCCCCGTTGCATTGTGATGAACATAATTTTGACTATGGATTTGTTTGTTATTTTTAGAATCCTGCTAAGTACGAAGGTGTGCTCAGATTCTTCTTGGAGAATGGCCACCACAGGTTGACGAAGGCTGTGCGACTGCAGAACGACACCTGTGTACGGGACTTGCTAACCCTGTTGCTCTCCAAGGTAGACGTTGAGAATAAGCATGATGTCGGGAGGTGGGGGAAGTCACTTTACCAGGTGGTTGGACGAGGTGAATATAAATATTCATATTTTTGATTTACTGAGAATAAAATCAGGTCATCTAATCGAGATCTGTGTGTTGGTGTGTATACAATTCTTGGCGATTGATAGTAATCAAGATAGCATGGGCGTCGCATTATCCATGTTTTTGGATGATACCAGGATTAAACATTATGCAGGACAGTGTTGTGGACATTGCAATCCATTGGGTTCACGAATCGTCAAAGTACAGCGTCAAAATATAACGCAAATATAATATTGCTTTTATCAATAATGAGTCAGTTCACCATCAAGTAGATATTGCATTCTTTCGTCATTGAGGTGTATTGGACATCTACTTCAAATGATCCACATCAACATAATAAGTTCGTTGTACATCCACCCATCCCGTCATCTATCTCTCATTGTTGACTGAATTTCGCAAAATCCACTCGAATTTGTGTTTCACTGTTTATATATAAGCAACAGTAAAACAATCGTAAATATGAGTTCACGAACATATATCTAGAGTTTATGTAAAGGTGCTTTACGTTGTTATTACAATCAAAGAAACTGTACGTTGACCGCATTGCAGTACGTTGACCAAGTGATATTACTCTCCTTTCAATTGACGGAAATGTTCTTGCCATGATCAACATACAGACAACCTCGTCAATGTACAGTTCTGTTTTATATTATACCAAATGAATGATCATATGTTTAATTTTCAACTGACGTAATATTAGTAGTGTAAGCTAGTTATTTAGAGAGACATTTTCAGAGGGGAAGTAATAATAAAACGGACTGCAAAAAGAAGCAAAATTTTCCATTCGGTCAATTATGTTAATGCGCTCAGAAAAAAATTAACCAGTGCTCGGGAAACTGTACGATATGACGGTATTTTTGACGCTTTACGTTGATACCATCATGGGTAGGCGTGACCGGGGCCGATACTTACTGGCCGTGCCTATACATGTTATACTATTCTGTAATATATGAAGCAATAGTTTTTCTTGGTTATTATTTTCATATAACGCGACCTCTTTACATCGATCACAAACGGAAATATCCAATGCATAAGTTACAATTATATGACCATTATACATTTTATAAATGATCCGCGATCAACCGCTGTCTTAATAACCACTCTACTATACCTTGAATTTGGTATTGATGAGCAACCCTTTTGGCTTATTTGTAATCATAAATGATTATGTTATTTGTTTTTATGTGTCTGTTCCTTATGAATGGTTTATCGGATGACTGTTAGATTTTAATAAGGTACTTTCAAAAATATACTAAACAATACAATCAGACAAACAGAGTATCTTATGCATTTCTAGAGTATGCTTTAGCCAAATTTTGAATTAACGCTGTTTACTTGTTTGGTATCAGTGGTGCGTGGAAGAGGGCGAGACTCAAGTTCTTGCTTTTGGATTTTGATTTTCAAATTGATAAATAAGTGATAACAGAAAGGTGAGGCTATTTTCTTGAGACATATTGCTTGAAGCTACCTTGAATTTTACCTAAAATGCAAATTATTCATTTGACAATAATTAGGTTCCCTATAGCTTCAGAATGCCCACAAAGCCCTGGACTTGTAATACTAATTCTGAAAAGACAATAGTTGAGTAATTATCCTGTCCAATAGGCTATGCCTTATTCTATAAACTTGCTTCATTCACACGCTAAATGAATTGCTTTTCATTTTGAAATAGTGAAGAATGCATATCCCTTGATAAATTTATGATATTTGCTCTAAAGCAAACAAAAAGGTCAAAGAAAATACATTAAAACTTCAGAAAAGAAATAACAATACATGGTGCCGAAAGAAATGCTTGAATACAGCATTGTCAAACTTAAGATTACATTGCTTAAAACTTTCAAAGAAAAAATCTAGGAAATTATGGGGATAGGAAAACCTTCAGTAAGCCTTTTGTAAAGAATCTGAAGCTTAATGAACTCTAATAATAGTTTATATATCACTTAATCCGCAGTGAGAATTGGATCAAACCTAAAGTTATTCTTCATAATCCGCTGATCAAGCTTGTTGTTGTAACTAATGCTGGGGCTGGAGGTCCAATTTTGGAGAAACTATCAGAGTCAAGCGGCTGCCCAACAGGGTGTCTCGGCTTAATGTACTAACAGGAGGGAATTCCTAAACAGCATGGCTATTCTTTTTTCAAATAGGATTCATTGTAAATTACCACACAGTGACATAGAATCACAGAAATAATGTGCGTTTCAGGTTCAAAAGTATTATTGGCGTTTTGCATTATGAAGGATGCAACAGTGTTATCAAACAATTAAGGTCTATGCATCGCCTCAATTAAATTGATACTATGTAGTGAAACAAGTTTCATTCATATTTGTTCATAGCAATAATTTGATTGTGTTTTTAGACGAAGTCAAACTGGACCAGGACGACAAGCCACTCGATATCGCAGTTAACGCTAGAACTACACCACATTTCATACTCCGAATGCAGAACACAGGGGCCCCGAGCGGCCAAACTCCAATTCTCAAAATATCGTCTAAGAGTCGAAGCAAATCAGCTGAGCGACCAACAAGAGGACGACTAATGGAGGAGAAGCAAAACACCTCATATGAGTGTGCCTTGAAAGATCCGCATGATAATAGCGATTATGGATTTCTAAAAGACAGTGAAGTAGCACCCTCGAGAAGGAACCCAGTGCAATCTTCATTTAGCTCGAGAAACAGTCGACTGTCTGTACGATCAGTTCATGAACAACATGTTCCTCAAAACATCACTCAGAAAGGCCCTGGTCAAGAGCCACGTGGTACTCTGAACAACCCAAGACTTGCCAAACTTGAAAGTGAACCAATTCAAACAACCATGTCAAACCGCTCACCTTCCGCTCAAGTCATCAAAAGTCTGAAAAAGAAAAGACAAAAAACACCTAGAACTAAAGACAATGGGTTTAGTAAGTCATTTAGTCTTAGAGAATCGAAGGCCAGATCAAAATCAATGGGTAATTTAAACAACCTTGATCGAATGAGTCTTAGGAAAAAGAGGAAAGGGAAAGAGAATGATGAACTTGATTCGCCTAACAGAACTGAATTATCAGTAGAGGAGACATTGCCAGGAATCCTCAAGATATTTGGAGAATCTATCGCTCCAGGGGCAAATTATAAAAGTGTTCTTGCCTCAAGCCGTTCTACATCTCAAGAGCTTGTGAAAGAAGCTTTAGAAAGGTATGGCATCTCCAAATCAAAAGCCAAACACTATGTACTCTGTGATGTCATTGGAAAATTCGGTGAAGGAGATAATCCTGTTTGGGAGACTCAATATGAACGAACCATTGGTGATACAGAAAAACCATTAATATTGCAATCATTCTGGAAACCAGGAGAAGGATATTCTAGAAGATTTGAGGTTAGAGTGAAATCTGAGCTATTAAACAATGAGGTAGATACTGTGACATCTGGACTTAATGCCAACGCTAGGAGAATGTTGATATCTCAGACCAGAAGTGATGCTATTCCTAACTTTGATAGATATGCAACTAGGAGTCCTAGCCCAATAGATTCAGACCAGGTGCATACTATGGAAGAAAGTACCAGTTCTAAATACTACGCCATGTCCAGTGGTAAAGCTCAGGTGTTGGAGATGTATGACTTTCACGATGGTGTACAATCATTACCATCGTGCTCAACAAGTAGTGACGGCGCCCCTTCCATTGTGACACTAAGCAGTTCATTTGCCATACGACCTCCAACAGAATGTCCGTATTTCCTCACTCTCCAAGGCAACGATACTAATAACGACAACATTATGTACATCCTTGCAGACTCTGTAGCACTGATAGGTCGACAAGGTGATGCAGAAGCAATGCCTGACATTGGCCTAAACGACCTCGATATTTTACCCAAACATTGCTGGGTGTGTAAGAAACCAATTCCTCAACAGGAGATAAATGAAAACTCATATTATTGTATCGTAACTTTGGACCCATTTCAAGGGGCATACGTTGCAGTAAACGGTATCCAAATTACATCGATCACAGAACTGAAACAAGGGGACATGGTCCATATTGGTGAAAAATATGTTTTCATGTTTAAAGACCCGACACTCCCGTCTTCAACTGCCTCTACTGCTACATGGGTGTCTGCTAAAGGCATCCAGCATGTTGATGATGTCATTGATGTTGCCTCGGATGAGATATCCATACCAGTACAGATGGAGCATGCAACTCCTGGCTCAAGGAAAGACGAGGACTCAACCAATGCAGAAGTTCATGAATGGAGAAGGCATCGTCGAGATGAATACAATGCAGACCATAATAAACTGAAGCTGTCCTACAGGCAAGAACGTGAGGACGAGCTCCTTGAAAACATAATTACATCCTATGATGCTGTCAATACAAAGTTCAAACTCTTGCCAGCATATTTACTACCTTTGTGTGTGGAGTTTTCATCAATCCGCTTTGCCCAGGAGTCAACAAGGGAGCTGCTGCTGAAGATAGCTAGCCTTGTGCAAAGTGTAGTTTGGGTGAGTAAACTAACAATTTAATATGATTAAGTGCTCACTTTATTTTAATAATTATGATTTTATTAGATGGAGCTTCTCAATTTTAATTCATAGTTGGCTCTTTGTTCTGATTTTAGCAATTCATGGTGGGTGTTAAGTTTTGACCAGCTTTTCATAATTATTCTTAGTATTGGGGTTCACATTTTTTGTTTTTCAATTCTTAAACGAATGTATGTAGCATGGTTAAGATTGTACGAGTTGTTTTCGCTTTCGCTTTGAATCAAAGGGATACAATATCATTGACTTATTTGAAGTTCGCCTTTACCAAGTTCAACTATATTTCCACATCTCTTACTAATGTTGATTGGCTTTGTCATGTGTCAAGTCACATGGCATATATGAAGTTTTAACCATTGCGGATTTTAGCTTATAATTTATGTATCAGATTAAAGATTTAGTTAAGTATACTGGATTCCCGCCAAGCATAATTCTTAAGATAAACTAATAAGAATACCTACGGGAGTCCAATGAATTATTGCATTATTCCTATTATGAGATATTACTCGATAGTGCCATACCTTCATGCAAAATCTTTCTTGTTTGTTCCATTGTCTTGTCAGCCTTCAGGTGAGAACGGGGTGAGAACGTATGGCATACTATATGTAGTATTGACGACATTCATAATTTAGTTGTAAAACCAGATTTACTTTATTTTATTTCAGGACAAGACTAGTCTTTTATCAAGCAAACATCCTGAAAAGTAAGTGCCAGATTACACACCATATAAATCCAATAAAGTATATTATCAGATTTATATGTAATGGGTACCCATTGCGCAAGGCCTATTCATTAAGTTATTAATCGTTTTTTGTAACACCTTGTAATAAACTACTTTATATTAAGAACCGCGTTGGTATTCATGATATGGCACCTCTACCGCGGTGATTGGCAAAAATATTTGAGTAAATGACATCATCTTGAATCATATTATTCCATTTCCAATAAGTGTGATTTACTGTTGTGCAAATCGCTATCCATGTGGCCCTGACATTTGCAGGGCATTGCGGTCTAGAAATACAATGTAAATGTAAGGGAATCTGTGTGATATTTCATGACACCACTTTTGGTTGATGTTGTCTTTCCTTAAATATGCTGATAATTATAATCTCCAATTGCCAGCGTATGATATATTAAATTGCTTAAATCGAAATACGTACTCCAATAAAAGTAAAACTCTTGGTGAATTTACAGACCTCTTCGTGACTCCAAAACCGCAATGGAAGGGATCATTCCGGAACTAAAGTACATGGCCTCATGGATGGCCAACAGTATCGAGCTCCTGCATTTCTTCAGGTAAAGCATAAAACAACGATTTTTTGATTAACCAGTGGAACTATGAAATACTAGTAGTCGATATTATTACTTTTGTGAGGGTTAACTTGTCTTGCTCATTTGTGTTTTACCAAATTCGGATGTAGAGCACTGTTCATTACAGGGGTCAACTACCTACAGTATTATTGGATGCCAGCAAGGCGTTACCCAGAGGGGCTCGGATGACATTAGTGAACGCTGACAGCGAACTGTTGGCTGTTCTAGAGGAGGCATTTATGTACACCTTCCAACAAACTGTATACCATCTAACAAAGGTAAGCCGACAGTAATCAGGTAATAGATGATCAAACATTGACACATATAAACTGATGAGATTATGTGATTACTAAACAAAGTTTAGTATTTCATTTTTAAATTCGACATAAATTTGATAATAGTGATTGATGATTTCAGACTATGTACGCATCCTTGCCATCTGTTTTGGATAGTAACCCTTTCAACGAAGATGAGTTGGAATCCAAAGACCCATCAAGTACTAAACCAAGAGTGTCAGAGTTGATATATATCTACCAAACAACTCTAGACATCACCAATGTGGCACAGCTTCACAAGAATGTTGTCTCCCAACTGTTCAGCTATTTGTTCTTCTTCACCAATACAGCAGTGTTCAACTCTCTTATGACTAAAGGTATGTGAAAATGATTTTTTTCTGAGTTCCCCTATGAGACAGGTGTGTATTGTTTGAACATTTTGCCAATAGAATCAAATACAAAACATTTTTTCAACTGCACACCCAAAATCTGTGACATTGTACAGGGTGGTCCAAAAAATTGAAACCCTAATACCATTTTCCTCAGATATTTGTCATTTTAAAAAATAACTCCTTGATATTTTACACTTTTGTACATCATTCAATTTCCTACCAGCCTACTTTATTTCATGACCATCAGATTGATAGTCACAATGTTACAGTACTTTAAAGAACATGCCCAGTGGCCACTATTGCGTTGTGGGGAGACCTGTACTCATCGTCTAAAATGTCCCTACCTGGGGGGATATGGCTGAGACAGGGTATATGAGAATGACCTCAGGACAATTGCAAACCTCAAAAGTGAGATCATTGTGTCATTCAGGGCATACCTGCTGGGGAATGCGTTCGGTTCATTGACAATTGTGCTGTTTTGCCTACAGCGCGATGATGGCCAAATCTGAAGCATGTTATTCAAAGTGCTGTAAAATTGTGACTATCAGTCTGATGTTCATGAAATATGGTAGGGTGGTAGGAAATTGAATGATGTACAAAAGTGTAAAATATCAGGGAGTTAATTTATTAAAGTGACAAAGATATAAGGAAAATGCAGGGTTTCCATTTTTTGACCACCCTGTATTTAAAAACCTATATTCATCCGAATTTGACAACTATCTTGTAGAATCATTATTCAAATTGTACGCCGTTTCATGCACTAGTGTTTACATTGTGAACTGCTATTCTAGGATCTGGAATCAGATATTATAAATGGTCAAAGGGTGCTTTAATAAGAGGTAATCTAGACAAATTGGAGTCGTGGGCAGCTGACAATAACCTTCAATTAGAGTTCCAGCAACACTTCAAAAGCTTTAGCACATTATGCGATCTCCTAGCAACACCAAAAGTTCACCTCACCCAGGCTGAGTGGACGAATCTAAGACGTGACTTTTCAGAGTTAAGTCCCTCTCAATTACAACAAGTCCTCAGCGAATACCAACTAGGTCCCGGCAAACAGAGGCCGCGAAGTTGGTGCCCACAACCAGAGGAACTAGAAGATGCCCTCAATAATGGTACAATCAATTATATGACTTAGGACATTAATTATTCTCATAATTATTAGAAAAATTAGAAAAATACTTAAGAGTCTTAAAAGATTATACACAATGTCCTAAACAAGGCAGGGGCGTAGGAAGGTGTAAATTCAACACTACGCCAAAAATCCCGCCAAAAAATATGAAACAATTGTGTATGATATTCTATATCAAAACGCCTATATTATGCTCGTAAAACGTCATTTATGGTAACAGAGATTTTAAGCTTGCAATATTCACAACCTAAATGTGAACGGAAATACTTAAGCGATGCATTTGTATGGGCGATTGGTCATACGTATAGGTTGGCGTTTCGATTTCATATGCAAGCTTTAAATCCCTGATACCTTTTTAATGTGCTTTAAAATACTTAAGAGTCTTAAAAGATTATACACAATGTCCTAAACAAGCTAGATCATTGTATAATGAAACAGTGTCTATTAGGCTATATCACTCTCCTCCATCCCAGCATTTAGGAACCAGTTACTACTGCCTTACCATTAAAATCATTCTAAAGAGTATTCGATGCATAATGATAAACACATGGACACTTCAAATCTTTATTCATAGTTATAAAATTATGCGTGTAACAATAATATGTTGTGTTGTAGACGGTGTAATGCTTACATATAACAACCACCCTCCACTTTGTATCCCTGGACATGGGTATATGGTCGATCACACCTGGATTGAGGACTCAGCATTCCACGAGGCACTACAAACTATTAATTCAACATTTGATGAAGCAGATGGTAATATAATTGCTCCTTTAGATGATCTGCTGTACATTCCAAAATCAGTTTCTAACTCATTCATTTAAATTTCAAATAGCATAAATGCTATTTTATGTTTATATTTCCATGTTGTAGACACTTTAAAACGTACACAGTAGAGTATATAGCCTTTTGACATTTTTAACTTTTTAGCGGATTTCCGGATGACGAAAAGCTAAATTTATTTTTTGACTTTTTATTGTTCTCGCACTAATTATTTTAATGGTCAATTTCAATACACCAATTTCAAGGATACCATTTTAGATTTTTACACATTTCCCAAATTTCCATTTTTGGAATTTTCAGACAAAGCCTCATAATTTTGAAATTCCACAACTAGCTCTGTTGATTGGCCGGGAATCTTGGAAGAAATATATATTTTTCAGATGATCATGACAGTGGCATGTGCGCAGTTGATATGAATAATGAGGTATTTGAAGAGCCAGCAATTACGAGGCAACCTCTCGGGAGGCAAGACAAACACCTCTTCCACCAATACAAATACAGTTCCACAGAGTCCTTATCGTCAGACAGACAGCATGGACCTATTTCCAAAACGCCATTCACTCGAGAATCCTTTATTGGCAGAGATGGGAGAATATTAGGCAGGAGATCTCTGCGTGAAGACAGCAAAAGAGACCATGATACAAGAAATAATGCAAAAGTGTACGAAAACTTTCCAAAATCAAGAAGATCCAATAAAAAGCATTCAGAAGATTTGGTTGAAAAGTGGTCAAATGTTACATCGGAATTATCGTTTCAAAAACCCAAGCACCACGTACGGTTTTCTGATGACGTAACGACTGATAGCTCATCTTCTACAGTGGATTTTGGAGATTATCACAGACACAACACTGGTACCAAAAAAAATCACAGGGATTCGCCAAATGCTTTTAGTTCAACCAGAGATGACTATCAATATAATAAGCTCTCAAATAACAATAATAATGATTCATACATGAATTTTCAAACTAGAAACAATGGAAGTAAAACTGTTAGCACGCTTGGATCACTTGTTACGGAACAACTTTCAATTTCTGAAAGGCACAAAGAAATATTAGAGAATGACATGATTAGCGCACCTGATGTTTCTGTAAAAGTTTCGAGCTCTAATGCGCATCTGCCAGAGTCAACACAGATTCAGAAAGATGGAGGTGATTATATTAAATTGTTAAAAGAAAGACAAAATGATAGTAAGGTATTAGCAAGCGACTCTGATTATTTATGCAGTAAACAAACTCCCGATAGTAAACCTGTTCAAAAACAGAAACCTAAAGTTCTTCCGAAGCCGAAAATCTCGCCGAAACCGGAGATTCCTGTCAAATTGAAAAGACTGTCATGGTCTGATGGTTACCAAGCAAGTAGTGGCGGGGAAAGTAGGGGAAGTACTCCAGCACATTATGAAAAGGTAGATCATTGGGGAAATAAATCTGATCCCAAAAGGAGGGTGAAAATCTCTCCATGTTCAGATTCGGACTATGCCTACATTAGAAGTGACAGTCAAGGGAGTACTACAGCCAACAACACTAGTCGTGACAGTAACGAAACTAGTACTTGCAGTGATCCTTATTCGATTCCTAAGACAATTCCAGACTATTTAGAAATCTTGCCAGAGTCAGGTTGCAGACACACCGCGAGGGATTACGTCCTTGAAAGAATAAAATCTGATGACAACATCCCCAGAAACACACGTATTTTATCTGACAGTGCCGCTGATAATATTGAGAATAAGACAATTGCAGACTCTACCGAAACTATAGAAATTAAACTTCCAAGTCAAAATGAAAAGTTTGCAACTATAAGACGTACAACTGGCAATTTATTGAGGACATTCAGTGACACAGGAACATCTCAGGGACTTGACTCATTCAAGATCGACAATGAAAACAACATATTCGAGAACAAAAACTTAAAAGAGGCCACACTTAACAAAACTGCCAAAGAACAGTATGTAGATATTATTTCTTCTAAAGAATATTGCGGATCAAGAGGACTACACGTTTTACCAATCGGTGACACAAAACAGTCCTCTCAACAAGGCGGGAAACATGTTTCTCATGGAGATGACAATTCTGATATGGAAGTTTATCATGTGAAAATAGATGAAGTCGACTCCTCGTCCGCCTACCCAACAGCAAGTGAGACAGATGGTGAGACACAGGGTAAGTCTGATTATTATAACTATATATCGTTGTAAATGTAAACCATCATTTTCATAAATGAATCTTCATGTAAGTATTTCTAAAGTATATTCATTTTGCAACATCTTTATTTGGGAGAGGGTATCCTTACTAGATGCAACCCGGATGTTTTTTCATACAAAATTAAGGAAACACACACATGTCTTCATACTTTATTTTGTACTGTATGTTTCTAATTTACCTTTATATAATGCATTAATCATATTACATAATAGGAGTGACCGAAGAAGACATGGACATGCTGCTTCATAAAGATACAATGACACAAGCACACGTCAGAGCAACTCAGAACGCAGAGAACATGGGCTTTGACGTCACTGACGATGTTCTTATTATTGATTTGACCAGAAATGAGGCTGGATGTGGTTTGGGCTTAATAGATGGTTTGGTATGTACTGTTAATTTTTTTATCATTATTACATTACAATTATCGGTGAACTTTACTAAGTTAGATGTAATGAGTGTAGAATAAATATGAAAAAAATGTCACACCAGTACACGCCACTGTTTTATAGTATCTAAATAAGTCTATACAAGGGTAGTATATACAGGGTGTCTCAAAAATGTACCCAAAAGTATATCAAGAGCACAGACAAAATCAATTATTTTCAGACATTTTTTGCATGGTCATGTAGCCAAAACATGAAAGTTTTCCCCCCAATACACCATTTTTATTTTACACCACATAATCGATGTAACCTCATATTCCGATGACAGCCTGTATCCTTACTGCTACATTGTTCATCGTAGTAAATAATAATTCCTGTGGAATGTTTTGGATTTCTCTTTGGATGTTGCCCTTAAGTTGTTCTAGGTCTTTTTGCTTTGAATAAGCATTAAATCACTCCTTCAAATAGCCACAGAGAAAGATGTTTGAGGATGACGATGGCAGAACAAACACGGATAATCAGGTCAATTATTGGCAAATGATTCAGGAGTTACCTTCCAGAATTAGGCAGGCAGGATATCCAAATGAAAACACAGTGAAAACAAAGGCTACACTGGAATCCCAACCAATGCAGTTTCTTGAACCTCTGGCCTCTCTGTATAAGGCGGCTCTAACATAATGTGATGGCCTCCCTACTGTCATCGAAATATGAGGTTACATTGAATATGTGGTGTAAAATGTAACGGGTTATAGTATCAAAAAGGCAAAACTGAATTAAAAACTGTGTACAGGGGAAAAAACTTTCATCTTTTATCTACAAGGCCATACAAAAAATGTCTGAAAATATAATTGATTGGTTTGTCTATGGTGTTGATATACTTTTAGGTACATTTTTTTGAGACACCCTATATATATATATAGATGTTTACTGCGTTTCAAACAAGATGTTTAACTATATATTTCAGTACACGCCGCTGAGGGCAGCTGGAATCTATGTGCGGGCCATTGTTAAAGGTGGTCCAGCTGATAAAGATAAAAGATTGAGCATTGGAGACAGGATATTGGCTGTAAATGGCACTAGCATCGTAGGGGCAGATTATTCAAGGTACAACGAATAGATCTAACATATGAACACCACTTTTTTCATACTGCATTTGAAAGAAAATGCTTTTATTTATAGTAAACCTAATTGCTTTAAGAAAGTAGGCTACACCCCTTGATCCAGTTTTCGCTTTTCTTTTAGTGCAACAAATGTCATCAGAAAAGCTGGAGAAAGATTGCGTTTCTTGGTAGCAAAGAGCAGCAAAGCAGTGGCAGAAAGTATAACAGCGTCTCAATACATGTGCTAACATTGCAAATGTAGATGCGCCAGTGACACCGCCACAAGATGACGTGAAAGTGCTCGCCCATTTGATATACTCCCACATTTAGAATGTACTAAATACTGACATATGATACTACTGCTTCTTATAGTAACTGATGTGATTACTGCTGATAATTTCAAATCACCAAGTGATTGTGAATCTTAGTTGAATCTAAGATATTCAAGTAGGAAATGTCACGAACAAATTATGGATGTATCATTCACGTGTTAGCTACGACGTATTGAAACCAATTATGTTCTACCGAATGTTAATAAATCTAGGCAAACATCTAGTTTTAGTTTTGAATTGGGAATAACAGAGAGATTTCGCTCATAGGCGAAAGCATAACTTATGTTTATGGGTATAGCTATACGTTATAAGAATAAGGATAAGTGAATTTAATTTTAGAGTTTCGCGAAAAGATTTACTTATACCTATAGAAATGTATATTCCATTGATGAATTCTAATGTTCCAAAAATGAATGTTTTCTCCTCCAAATTCCTTGTTTATAAGGTTGGCTAGATAGTAATGACTTCGATTCATGCCAAATATCAATATGATTCCCTACCGACAACTCTATCTAAACGAGATAAGTATTCACTCACTAAACAATGTTTTGTAAATATTGGCTCGTATAAATAGATAGAACTGTGCGACAATTCCTCACTTGTTACATAAAAGGTATTTCGAAAAACAGTTAAGATCTGCACTTTTAACCCAAACCGTTTGTGTAACTTACACTCCCCTCCATAAGTTTGGCAACCTTAGCTTCTCATTGAACTACTTGTTAAAGCCTCTTTACCTTTGAATTTTTATTTACTTAACCTGCGATGAAAATACTTATACTATTGATGAAAATGGTTTCCGTCAATGTTATAAATTATTTCATCGCCGATTAAGTTAATACAAATTCAAACGTAAAGAGGCTTTAACACGTAGTTCAATAAAATATGTGAGATCTATTGTAGTATGATGTAACCACACTTTGAAGACATCTCTAAATTTTAGCAAATTTCCTGTAGCCACTTTGAATTTTCTGAGGCACGTTAATTGGTATCTACTCTTTTAATTCTTTGAGTATACCAGAATCGGAAAAAACGATACACTTAAGGATTTAAGCCCTGGACTCATTGCAATGCGGAATGACCATCCCCTTGAAGGTGTTACTTTCCAAAGGGACCGCGAGTTGTGTGGATTGGGGGAGTTTTTTTCATGCCATGATTTGCTAGTGTTTTTCATCTAAAGAACATCAATACACAGGAAAGTTAATCATTAATACACACCTTATTGGGTTGTTTTGGTTTATATCACAACCCAATAAGGTGTGTATTAATGATTAACTTTCTTGTTATTTCAAAATCTGCTTGGAACCATACCATTGGATTACTGTAGGAAATTACCCAGAGAAAATTCTAGGGATTAAGGAATTGGTACCATTTACACAATTTGAGAAATTATTGGCATTCAAATTACAAAAAACAGCATTTATATTATTCAAAAGCTATGTAATAATGATTCCCAGCCCTCTGATGTTTGAAAAATTAAAATACCTATGCGTTAATCCATAGATAATGCTTGAAAATGAGAAATATTTTTTGGGATTATATGGTGCAATCTTATAGTCAATAAAATGTTTTAAAGTGTATTGATATTCTTTAGATGAAAAACAAATGCGAAAAACTCCCCCAATTCACTTTACAAACTACTCAGCCTTCGCACGAGATGCGCATCCGAGTGTTTATTTTAGGAAACGCCTGAAAGGAATGGTCATTACACAATGCATTAAGTCTGGGGTTATTTTCACACGTTGCAAAATATTCTCCACCATATCATGTCACTTAAAAGATGCGAAATCACTAAAAGAACATCTTTTCAAAGAAACTCTGCAAGGGTCAAGTTGGCATCGATTTCAATAGTGCATGTTCAAGTTATCATCTTGACAACCACACTTCATAAAATCGCGCCTCCTATATATTTCTCACTGTACCATGGTCATTCTATCAGTTGAGAGCCCATGACCAGGCCCATAGCAAGGAGAGTTCCCCTGGCCAAAAGCATTAAGTATTTAATGATTTCAAGTTAGCAAACCAGTCGCAACCACCCTATGATGGATGATTATAAATATAAATTAGTGGATGGGAGGGCGGGAAAAGAATTTGCCCTCACTGGAATTTAAAAGGTCTTCTTATGAAGAAGTTGTTATTGTAAATGAAAATAGCGTATAATAAATTATGAATATTAAGGTCACATGAACTCAGGTAAGATTTCAATTGTTGTTTTGTAGACTAATTAAATTTGTCACGATAGGGTAAACACACCTTCCATTATGAATACGCTCATCACGTTCCCAGTACATCGAGGAAACCTTCCGCTCTTCATAAATTGATACCCAAAACTCAAATTTTTCAATAAATGTGGGGTAACCACAGAATCCTTATTCAAAATCTATTTTCTCTCCGCGGAAGAATACCTCATTTTAATGCCAAACAACGTAGACAATTGAAACTAGGGGCCTTGCTGCCCGGCTGAAAATGCTTTTTTGATTAACCCCTACATTCTAAAAAATTGGATGGCTGCCAATTTATATCAATTGAATGTTTCTTTGATGTACCGGGAACGCGATTAACGTACAGGTAGATGCGAAAAAACTGCGAAACGTTCAGAATACTAAATAAAACTACACCTTCGAACTAAAATACTCTACACGTTTCTGCCCCCTGATATCAGGGAGTTTAAGCTTGCATATAAAATCGAAACGCCAACCTGTACGTATGACCAATCACCCATAGAAATGCATTACTTAATAACTTTCGTTCACATTTAGGTAAACTCCCTATTTCACAACCTAAACGTGAACGGAAAATATTAAAGCGATGTATTTGTATGGACGATTGGTCATACGTATAGGTTGGCGTTTGAGTAAATAGGATGTTTCCGTTGGACCATATTTGAACTTGAAATACGTTTTGTCACAAAAAGGTAAACATTTCCAACTGCTCTATGCACACTTCATATAAACTTCTCGGACACTTTGAATTTGCCGGTTTCATCGAAAAAACAAAATGGCCTCAAGCTAGAGCATATTTCTATCGATTAATCGAACTAATCGTGTTAAATATGCACTCGTTGGTTGAAATGTACAACATCGATTGACACAGCAATTGGGAACTTGTGTTATCATTTTTGTTTGAACTCCACCCATTGAACTTCGAGTTTATAAATGTCAGCTCAACTATCAGTGGCAATCATGGCAATTATCATGACCGTTAACATCAGTCAGTATGACTGTTGTTTGCATTAACAACGTCTTTACAGTACAAAGATCAATATTATATGTAGTTGAGTACGTTCGTTAACAGTGTGCTGTGAATAAATCCAATATTGTACATTATGAACCAACTTACCTAGCTTTACTTACCCGAGGCGTCGACCACACATGGAAAACTCCCTTGAAAAACGTAATGACTGAGCTAACAATGTCTGTGGGTGAAGCACAGAACGCTCGGCCGATACATCTTTTACGGGAGGCCTCCGGAAACTTGCCAACCCCTCGCACCATTAAGTGATTGCGGGGCCGCAGCGGCAAGAGCACAGAAGCCAAGTTGTTTTTACTCAGAACCCAAACGTTCCAAGAAGCTACGAAGTATGCATTAGTCCAGATGGAAAGGTTTGCACCAAGTGTGACAACACCCATTTCCAATCCACCATTTTGGTATCATGGTCACAAGCGGGAACCTCCTCTATGCTTGGCTTTGGCAGTTCGATTTGTTTAACGTAGCAACCTGTTTATATACCGACTCGGCGATCAATCGGCGGCTATTATTAGAAAATGTCATCATTTTCCTCAGCTGTGATTGGTCAGTAGATATTGACGTCAGATGCTATATTTGCCCATATGGATTAAATTTATCATCTTAACGCTGATAAGTACCTGTGGATATAATTCATTTGAAAATCCATCAAACCCTTTCTAATTATACCCTATTACATTATAGCAATCTTCTGTTTGCAACGTTTGCAGTCCCTAATATAGAAACTAATATAGAAATGAATTATGCTAAAAGCTGCTGATAACATGCAAGTTTGAATCAAGCTTTGGATTCTCTACCTGAACTATATAATCAATAAATCATAATTTCAAGTTAAATCTCATTATTATTCAGGGTGGGCCAAACAACAATGTTCAAACAAGAGAAATATAGCAAAGGAAAATTTATACTTGAGTTTGTTTCGAGCAGGATTTCAAATGAGAATACTTTTCAAAATATCACATGCTTAAAATATCATATACTTATACACAGGGGCTGTACAAAATAATGCGTGACCGTTGAACGGGCGGGTTAAGGTACAACACGAGGGTGGTGAAATTTGAACAAACTGGTGTTTTCATTGTTTAAGAAAGATCTGTTCTAGTTTCTAGATATCTTTATTTGTCAATGTCTGTAAAAATATCTAGACAGAAAACTTTACAGCTGTATAACTGCATGTCAATTTTCCTAAGATATGGTAATAATGCAATTTCAAATTCCATCCAGTTAATTTCCAATAAGGATAAACCAATAATCATCTGGATTCACACCTTTTCTCTTAATCCAAATGAAAAAAAAAACAGTTCTTTTCTAGGAGTAATAGGATAAACCAATTAACTTCTGTATTCACACCTTTCGAAAACATCCTACTGTTTTCCACAATGAGGATGTCTCTGAGACTTCATTATTTAATTAGGACAATATTGGTTCCTTGATTACTTTATATATCATCCTCTGTATCGAAGGTGTATGAGTTTGGTCTCCATTTTGTTTTTTGCAGTTCATTTTAGTAACTATTCTAGTTACCTAGTTAACTCTTTCCTACTGTTTGATATATGTATAATCGTGTGAGTGGCGAATGGTTAAGAAGCTGGGTCAAGAGATTCATTCAGTGATTGTCTTAAGTTAACAATAGTCTGGAATTCTGTTTGGATAGCAGCTAAGCTAGATGATACATCATTTAAAACATCATCCTGAAAAGAACAAGAGTATTATTTCAAATAAATGCAAATATGCATGAGCATGAGTAAATTTTATTTGAAAGAATTTGGAAACATATTTTAAACTTTGATTTTGAACTTGAATCTGAAATAAAATGTCCTTGTTTGTCTCTGATATACAGCCTCAAGTAGACAGCAAATAACTTTGAAATAAAACAAAATCAGAATTATGAACTTTAGAAAATTAACAAAATTGGCTGTGTCAGAATAGTCATAAGTTTGAAAGCATTTTGTTTTCCAATATGGCGGCCACTTGGATGTGTGACAACCCTTACAATAAATCTCGACAAGACACATTTTTAGTCTTCTGTGATATAATAAGGATAATTTAGTTAGATATTCTACATGTTGTGGTGTTTAAATGTCAGCATAAAGGAATATTCAAACAATGATTGAGTGAGTTGGATTAACTATTTAAAAACCTGTCTCCCGGTAAAAATGACTAGCCTTGTTTTTACTTGTTTATGAGCATGATTGTACTGTATACCTTTATGTCAGGGTTTGTAGAAAAAAACGGGTACCGGGTAGTAAATCCTCCATGCTGGGTTTAAACTTGGTACCCGGTCAAAAAACTGGGACCCAAAAAACGAAAAATACGAATATATAACATATTTAGATCATTAGAAAACGTGTAAGATTTGTTTTTGAATTTACAAAAATGTATGTAACTTCCTTCAAAATTGAGCTAGAAGCTTCAAATAAAAAGCATTTTAAGGCTCTTTTCTTCCTCTATCATCATGGTCATATTTCCACTGGTTATGGGGGGGGGTGCGATCGCACCATCCTGGATACGCCTGTGACATTGTAAGACGTAACAATTTACACTTCAGTGGAGTTTCGTCGAAAATTTGGATAACTTAAATTATGATAAATAAAAAATTTACCCGGTTTTTTCTACAAACCCCTTTATGTCAAGATAAATAACTGTATTTTCCTAAACCCATACCTAACATTTAACTGGGACCAGCATATTACTCCCTTGAAGCATTTTGTGCAAGAGCTAGTAACTCATCAGCCTAAATATGTTCAGTAAATTATCAACAAATCGATTTTCAGATTCACTGACTTTCAAGAAAGGAGATGAGACATCAAACAAAAATCCATTTCAAGAAATCACAAGGACACAAATGTGTACATGTCCCCACCAATGGGTGATCCTATATAGATTCTTCACCCTGAATGTGCAACACTAATCAATTGAAGATTTTAGGACAAAATATCCAAAATGGCTGCCCTAACATTTAACGAGAATGCCCAAAAGCCAATCAGTTTGAGATTTTCATACAAAGAAACAACACCTAAAATTTGAAATCGATATATCAAACTGTGTGCCTGGAAACGCATAGACCAGACTTTACAGACAATATTTTAAGATGGAAAATCCAAAATGGCAACCTAAATATTTACTAGGGGTCCCATGATACACCTCTTTGAATATCAATAAGAAGATTTCTTCAATGTATCAAAGTATGCGGGTACAGGGTCATTTAGAGGGCAATTTCTGGCCCTTTTAGGACTCAGCCCAGTGATCTGTTTACTTTGTCATTAAGGTGGCACCAGGGTCCCTGGCCCACCTTTTAGCCACTGCATCAATCCTACACGTATCTATATTTATCACATACTACATGTATGTAAAAGTCCAGTTATCTGATTGGTTGGTTACCGTGTGAGTTTTCCCATCTCACACATTACGAGAGGAAACCAGTGATGACATTTCATATTTTTAAAGAAAACAGTGTGACATCATATTATTTCACAGGCAAGTATGAAAACGGTATGACATCATATAACACACAACACAATCATAATGACCAAATCAAATGCTTCAAAATTCCTGGACATGTGATAAAATCATCATCACACGTTTCAGATTATGTGATACAGGAAATATTCCACTCGGGTAACAATGTATCACCACTCAAGCTTTGCTTTCGTGGATGATACAGTATTACCTTTCGTGGAATATCACATGCTGAAACATGTGATAACTGATAGTCTTTGTGCATAACTGTCACTCACATGTGGATTGAAGTCTGCCATGATGACAACTGCTAGAAATGTGCAATATGGAAACTCAATTTTTTTTTTTTAACTTTATATATGAAAATGTTATGTAACTTTCCATAAGGAACAAAATGATATATGACATGATAGGGTGGCAATACTACATGTATGAGTTTACTTGCTGTTGTTTACTTGCTGTTAGAGTATGAATCCAGGGAAATTCAGAATAATATATCTCACATTCTTTTGATTATTTCTGTTTTAACACCTTTCTCTATAGACCATTTAAGACATTTACTTAGATCTTCCAAATCTATATATGAGTATAAAGTGTCGAAAAGTCAAAAGAGCAAATACTCCTGGCTGGACGGAGAAATGGACGGACTGCAAAGAGGTTTGATGTCTTTAAAACGGAATTTTATAAACCATGTCTGATATAAAGCTAATTATAATGGAAATGGAGCCATTTTCGAATGATAAGGCTGATTGTATTCTTACCAGTTGAGGACTGTCAATGTTCACCCTACTGGCTTCAATACTGTCAAGATGCACAGACAAGTCAGCAAGGACTGGAGCTAACATAGGAAATAGCTCACTCACATATCTGGAAATAACGAATATATATTTTAGTTTGTTTAATTTAAGAGTGAAATTTAGACTGCCATCTTGAAAAACAAGATGCCTGAGGCTAAATTTCCCAAAAATTCAAACACGTCAAATGTGTTTGCTGGGGCATACATTTTTCTACTACTCATCTTTGAGTCAGAATATTCAGTAAATGTCAATGGCATGATAGTCCTTAAGCATTTAGTGAATCCAATCAACCATCAATCTTTTTGGAAGATAATTTCAACCAAAGAGATATACGCACACACACATGTTTGCAGTATCAAGTTATATTTCTCATGAAAACATACAATGAAGGACTAAAAAGACCATTTTTCATTTTAAACAATTTTGAATGTATTGAGATTGTATGTTAAAAGGTTTTACCTCAAGCATGGAATAACAGATAGAATTATATAATTATGTTCATCAAATTAAGGACATAGAACCTTATTGCCTTTGAAATCTCATTTTTCTGTTGGAGATACAGCCTTTAAAATTCATTTTGAAAAGAGCATGGTGACTTTAGAAATTTATTTGAAAATTCTACTTTAACCAAGTGTCTGATATCTAAAGAAAATTTGACTTTTTTTACGTGAAGAGAAAAATGTCTAATACCCCCCTCCCCCACCATTCAAGTACTACAACAATTCGAGACAGGAGTAGAAATAGATAAATAGAAAAGAGTAAGTACAACTAGAAAACAGCAACGCCACGGAGTAGCAAATCCCATCGAACAAAACATGTTCTGATAAATAGCAGTCATCTTGAAAAAAAATTCTTGAACAGAGCCCCTTGTCCCTGGATATCAGCATATAAAGTTTGGACCAAGTATTTACCCACTGGTATTTTGAGTTATCATCATGAAAATGGTGGCCATTTTGAAATTCAGCTGCCATCTTAAAACTTTCTTGAACCAAATCTGTCAACTGGTATTTGGGTTCTCAAAGATTACATTTTAACAACAAATGGCAGCCACTTTGATAAAAAGTAGCCATCTTGAATTTCTTCTTGAGCACAGCTCCTTAATCTCGCCTTTCTTTCCTTAGCTACTGTGTCCCTAGGCATGAGCATATAGAATTTGAATTAAATCCCTTCTCTGGTATTTGAGTTATCAAAGGCTACATTTTTTTTACAAAAAATGGTACCCATTTTGAAATTCAGTGGCCATCTTGAAAATCTCTTTATTAAAGCTCCTTTGTCCCTAGACATCAGCATATAAAATTTGAACCAATTTCCGTCAACTAATATTTCAGTTATTACATTTCTTATGAAAAATGGTGAACATTTTAAATTGAGTGGCCATATTGAAAATGTCTTCTGGAGCAGAGGTCCTACAATCATAAGGCTTAAGCTTATAAAATCAAATCCGTGAACTAGAGTCAGTACGTCCATTTCCAAACACCCCCATCAAAAAATGTAGTTAGCTTGGCTGTACTGCACATCTATGCTATGATTCTATATATATTATGTGTATTATCCACTGTAGAATGCATTTGCAGAAAAAATTACGAAAAATTGTAAAAAATATCTGGGTTATTTCATTTTTACTACAAGGTATTTTAGGGGGGTAATTCCGAACAGGAGTTTTTTTGGGGGGTAAATCCGAACACTTGCATGGGGGTAATTCCAAACACTTAACTTAAACTTAATTGTTTTAATTATTAGATTGATGGTATATCATTATATGATACCCATAACTTATGATACTGGATCCTGTCACCCCTGCATATCAAGAAACCCAAATTTAAATCATTTATTACTAACATCTACTTATTTAAACGCACAGAGTTTGTGGGGGTAATTCCAAACACTAGCATGGGGGTAATTCCGAACAACTAAATCATCATAATTGATTATTTTATTGTAAGATTGTTGGTATACACACAGTCAGCACTATCAATGGTATACTCTACCCTTAGTAATATAAGAGAAGTTCGTAAGCTGTTTGTCACAAGATTTACCGATCCATCCACTCTCTCCGATACGCATGCGCAGCCCGATGTAAAAAATAAGACCGTGACTGGAGAGCCTAAAATTTTGGGCTCTTTAGCATTTTGGTAACCCATTTGGCTAAAGAGCCTTAAATTTTAAGGTTCTTTGGCATTTTGGCTAGAAAGCCTTAAATTTTAAGGCTCTTTAGCATTTTGATTGCCAATTTTGCTAGAGAGCCAGCCTAAAGGAATTCTAAGTGACGGAAATGACAAAATATTGCTTCTGGGACGAGATCAAACGATTTTGACATATTTTTACTCAACCTGTTTTGTAATTTAACAATCAACACAAATTAACATACTATATATTTGAGCAGATACCGGAGATATTCATAAAAATATATTTTTTGATCGATAAACTCACCGATTATTAAACCGGAAGTGTCTTCTCTGAGGTCCGCGAAGAAAACGAAGAAGGAAACACAAAGTTTTTAGTCATTTCAATTTTGCCGTTGATTTGATTTTAAATGCTTCTAAATGATCTTTGAATGCTTACTTTGACTTCCTATAAGAACTGTTTTGACTTCCCCACTTCATGAAAAGAACATTATCACTTTTTACTCGACTCGTAAATTTACTTCCGGTCTACCGAAAAAAGTTCTTACGACCTTTTCAATCCTCATTCTAAATTTGTCTTTTTAAATGTTCAGTAACCTTCGTGGTGCTGCAACTTGGAGCAGTCATATACTTGTTCAATTTTACTAATCAGTAACGATTTTGATATTTAGAATAGGCCCTTGGGAGAATGGTGTTGAGGTCACATTTAGTGATGCCCAATTGGAGGCTAGCCTAAAAAACGTTGATACAAATGAAGGAGGGAAGTTTTTGCAAAAAATTGAAAAAATATTTTGTGCCTCTTGTCATTTGAAAATCCTAAAAAATCGGCATGGGAATCTAATAGGCAATAGATTTGGAAGTGTATTCTCTCTTATGTCCCCGGGCTGATGTCCCTACATTCCCGATAAACTGCATCATGATGTGCTGTATGTAGAATTTAACAAGATCATTTTCTTCATCCCAAAGTCTCCTTCATACTTTTTGCCACCTTCAAATGGGATTCCCCGTATTCTGTAATCTTGTGAATATAGTAAAGCCAATACAAGTGATTAATTTCATTAAACATGGATGGTTGAGCGTTGGAGCGAGCCCATGAATTTTTAAAAATTGTGTACATAATATCCGGACCTCAGAGAACAAACTTCATAATGAAAAAAATTGTACCAACATGGAATCGAACCTGCGCCGTGGGAGTACTAGGCGAACGCCATAACCACAAAACTAGAGTGTGTTTTCTTTTTGTAAAATCTATATTTCAATAATAAAACATATATAAATAATATAATTATACATAGACCCAGTTACATTGTTTAATTTCTACAGTTTTTCATTTTCAAAATATGCATGTATACTTCCAGTTTTGTCTCTATTGAAAATTTGTATTTCCCTCCTGGCTATTAAAACTTCTTTATAATTCTTATACTTATTTATTCCTATAATTTGTTCAAAAGTGATATTATCCAAAAATTTCCATATATCCCTTATTTTTGTACACTCATAAAAATTATGTTTAACATTGTCAATTACATTACAATTTTAAAAAGAAATATCTCTAATTCTAAAACCATTTAAAATCTCATAACATGGATATACGTTGTGTAATGTTTTCCAATGAATAATTAAGAGTTTGGTATCTACTTTGCACTTAAATGCTCTAATCCAAGTTGCACATGAAATATCCTTACCATTATACTGTAGAAACAATTTTCTTTTATCTGTACATATAATCCAAAATCTGATGTTTCATAACATATTATCTCCATACCATTGAAATATACTAGAGTGGCTTGTACATGCATAAACTTTAAGGCTCTTTGGCCGAAGTGCTAAAGAACCTTAAAATGTAGGCTCTCTAGTCACCGCCTTATTTTTAACATCGCTGCACATGCGTATTGGAGGGAGTGGAGGGATCGAGTGTGAGTTTGGACCAACTTTTGCAAGTTTGACCAGGAAATCACCTTTCATTTGGTATGTTTGTAACCTTTTTGATCGTATTGGTATGTAAGAATCATATATATGTCGAAATATAAGCATAAATGTCACAGTTTGAAGGATAAATGTCAGAATATTTACCGGAAGTGTTTATATTTCCAAAGAGCTTTCGGACTTTTCTCTTCTATTACTAAAGGTAGATTGGAAGCCATCTTCTTGGAATAATTTTAGTGAACTTTTACGACTTGTTCCTTCACTTTTATCGATAGCAGGCTGTTATATACTTACTTCAATGTTATCTGTTTGTTCCCATATACTTTATACACCAGACAGCAATACCTTAGGGTCCAATTTATTGTTACTGTCGTCATATTCGGGCATATTCGACAGCAATTTGAAAACTTCCACCTCAAAACTTTTAACCGGAATTTACGTCATGAGGTCATGACTCGCCAAAAATACGATTTAGGGTGAAAAATGAGAGTGCACTTTCGATATCATTTTCTCCATGAACTACAGGTAGGTTAAAAAAGTTAAGCTGACAAAAAGATCAGAAATATCCAAAATAATCGAGAACACCTGAAGGTTAGTGCTGAAAACCCTGAAGACAAATTTCTGCCAACTTTTTAGCGGAAACTTTTTTTTTTTGGAAAATTCTTCCAAAAATATTCAAGTCGGGCCTACACCAAATACACTATTTTATCCCTTATGAAACATAACGATGGCTTTATATATCGCAACTCTCGTATCTGGCATCCTAAAAATTCAAACAGAATCAAAATTGATAATTTATGGGTTGAGTTATGGCCTCTTGATTTGAGGTGTCGTATTTTTCTACGAACTCGTGTACCGAGAAATCGGGACTATATCACGCCACGGCGGAGATAGAAATGTCGCTAACCGAAGCACAATTTGCCCTTTGGATCTCCTGCTGGATTGATGGTGATGACTTTGGGTATACATCATTATATTGTATCTTTCAGGCTATAAATATTATGTAGAGGTAGTAGAGGTACTATTATTCAATTCAATGATCTGCTTGCCATTATTTGGAACCCGTTCGTGTTTACCCCCCTGTTTGGATTTGGACGTATTGACTCTAGTATTTGAGTTATCATCCAGACACACGAACGGACGAATTGATCCTATGCTATAGCATGGAGCCACCCTGGGTTTTTAACAACGCCGTCCTCCCATTATGAGGACGTAAATAAATAGTCATGGACGCAGAAAAAAATTGTTGGTGCGTTCTTGGGACGCATTACTCACCATAGGTTGCAAACAAATGTTATTTTATTTGAAAAACGTCCCTACTTGACGAAAAATTGTCGAATGAAAAAAAAAATAGAAAGTAAATTATTTTTTAGGTCAAACGGCATTTTCTCCAAATTTAACCCAATAAATCAAGCTTATACAACTTAAACTTAAAAAATATAGTATAACTTACCTAATAATACTTATTTTGCTGAAACAATATGATAAAACCGGTACATTTTGGTCAAAATGTGGCCGGTTTTGCAAAAAGATTTCAATGTGAGAAGTGATATAAACACTGCCATCTTTTGGATTTTATAGTTAGTTTTTTTGCTTAGAGAAATCAGTCTACACACGTGCCATCTATATTCAGATATACAGCTGTGGTTACATTGAATTGCATTGACTGGGGTTTAGAATTTGACATGGGATTAAATATGATGATTAGGATATACAAAATGTGAGAATATTAAAATTGAAATTTAGAAATGCATCAAGGCAAGCTGTTGAAAGACTTCCTGGAAATGCTAAGATTGCACAATTTTGAAGGTATAAATATAGAAAATTTCTGTGGGGAGGCTCAGGCCCCTCTTTCATGTCTTTAGAGTTCGCTTCGCTCGCATGAATTCGGTCTATATAATTAATGTTTTTGCAAATAATTTTTAATTTTAGGATAGAATCTGAGTATTATTAATTGAATCATAAAGTCACGAGGTAAAGGGTATTATCATGCCACGCCCTCCTAAAGTTAAGAGGTACCTCCCAGAATGGGAAAACACATACCCCTGGCTGCAGTATGTTGCAGGCCAAGGAATGTGGTGCAGTTTATGCATCAGGGCTGGAAAGAGGAACATTTTCACCAGCCCAAATGGGTGCAAAGACTTTCAAATGGCCTTGGATGTGACATTCTGTAACGCCTTGTGTATAAACGTTACTTATTCATCATTTACCCTTGTACAATCTGACCCCAGGGTCTAAATACATGCAATAAAAACATGATAAAGCAATATAAAGAATACATGTTTATTAAGTGTTTCTCTTTTTTCAATTGGGACCCACTTTTTTTGGGAGGGACCCCAAATTTTTATAACACTGGGTCCCCGGGACTCACTTTTCATAGTCCCTATTGAAAACGCTGGCCTATTACCAGTATGGTCTGTTCAAATACAGTACAAGCATTACCTATGATATATGGCTTCTATCTTCATATAGTCCCCAACATAAGGCTGCTGCAGTCTACCTATTAGTGTATCTTTGTCCTTGATCACATCTTGTATATGTCCACTCAGTGTGTTTACATGGGACACTCTCTGCTCTGAAAAAGTATTTACATTTCAAATAGAAGATTTCTGCAAGTGCAACGATAAAGTCATGTTCATTCAGACATACAAAAATCTTAATCTTTAGTCAATGAAAGCAAAATGGTTTCATGCTCTAATACATTGACTGCTCCTAGACATCAACAGAGTTACATTTCATTATTTTAAAAATTAAAGTAAAAGAAGACATGCTTATTTGAAATAAGATGTTGCAGTGACTTTTAGTAATAAATGTTTGATTTTTAGTTCACCATTTAAAATGTTAATATTCATAAAACATCAGCCTATGACATTTGAAAGAGTTCCTACAAAGACAAATGGAGGAACTGATAGATGAACAGATGGGAAAGATTTCTAAATTACTGATTTGTGGGGTGAAGACTACAGCATTTACCTAATTGGTCTAAATGTGTGATATCTGATGTTTCATTGTCCTGCATTCTGTTATGTAATTCAAGGTTGATCTGAAAAGCAGAAAATACAAATACAGGGGATTTAAATTAATCAAGGACCCTAAGCTCACACAGCGAATTATAAAGACATTATGTTCAGAAATTATTAACTTTGTAGTACTAACCAAAATTTTAAAAAGGCCTTTGTTTATGAGTTGGTATCGAAAAAGTTGTCCACTATGATGGAGCATGCAATTTTTCATGAAACACTACGAAAACTTCACAATTTATTTTTTAATTCATATGTTTCGTTATACCAAATAATTATTATCCACATCCTGTTAGCACCTGTATAGTATTATCTTTTCACAGTATCTTTTGTTGGTATGTTGCCCTAAAGAATTTTTCTCAAATTTTGTCAGCAGGTTTAACAAAACTCTTCTTGGAGCCAATAATGTATCTAAATTTTAGAGGATGTAAATGCATTTTAAACGCAAGGTGAATCCTTGGTATAATATTTTGCCCTTCTCCTGGTTCAATCTTGAATTTTGTTTTCACTGTTTCTCAGATTCCCTCTACTATATCTTCCTCTCCTTTATCTCTATTCTTTGATAGGTGTCGCCATGGACTTTCATGGTGTAGCTTCCAATTTCTTCTTTATGTAGTATTGTTTGCACATAAATCCAGTGTTATTTGCTGGCTTATCAATGGTATAGCAATATGGTCCTTTAGTGTCTGCCTTGGATTTTTTTATGTGCTTAAATTTTGTCTTTTGAAGTAATTTGATCTTTTGGTCGATATTTTCCATTACAGTGCTTTTCCATTCAAATATACTTTTGAAATATTTTCCTTTTTTGTCCAATTTTTTGCATATTCATCTATTCTGGACAGATAGATGCTTCATCAATCCAATAGGCTCGCTTTGTGAGCCAAAACTCAAGTCAGCATAATATTCGTATTTTTTGAAAACATCATACAAATTTCTTTAGCATATATCATTATTTTGACATCAAATCCCAATTTAAATACCCCTGTGATTTACAGACAGTGATGATTTATGGTACTGTACATTATGAGTAAGTACCTGATCCAGAGCTTGTCTTTTGGCTGCAACATCTGACAGGAGCTGGATCAGTTTCAACGAAGGACTATTAATTTGAGCAAGTCTGCTTTCATTGTCTGATGCATCAAACTTCTGAAATTATAGATTTACAAACTAGAAAAACAGCAACTCCACGGAGTAGCAAATCCCACCGAACAAAACATGTTTTGGTAAATAGCGGCCATATAAAATTTGAGCCAAATCCATCCACTGGTATTTGAATTATCAAAGATTGTGTTTTTATGAAACATGGTTGCCATTTTGAAATTCAGCTGTCATCTTTAGATTTCTCCTTTAGCAGAGCTCCTATGTCCAAAGGCATCAGCATATACATATAATCCAAATCCGTCAACTGGTACTTTTATAAACATAAATAAATAAATCAAAGGTTACATTCTTTTATGAAAAATGGCGGCCATTTTGAAATTTAGCTGCCATCTTGAAAATCCCTTCTCGAACAGAGCTCCAATGTCCCTAGGCATCAGCATGTAAAATTTGAACCAAATCCATTCAATGGTATTTGAGCTATCAAAGATGTTTTTTTACGAAAAATGGCCACCATTTTGAAATATGGTGGCCATCTTGAAAATGTCTTCTTGAGCAAGGCTCCTTTGTACCCAGGCAACAGCATATAAAATTTGATCCAAATCCATTCTATGGTACTTGAGTTATCAAAGATAACGTTTTTTTACGAAAAATGGCCGCCATTTTAAAATATGGTGGCCATCTTGAAAATGTCTTCTTCAGCAAGGCTCCTTTGTACCTGGGCAACAGCAAATAAAATTTGAACCAAATCCATCCGCTAGTATTTGAGAAATCAAAGATTATATTTTTTCCCAAAAATGGCCGCCATTTTGAATTTAGTGGCCATATTGAAAATTCCTTCTTGAGCAGAGGTCCTACACCCATAAGGCATAAGCCTATAAAATTTGAATGAAATCCGTCAACCGGTATTTGAGTTATTGCCCGGACACACGAACAGAAATGGCCGCCATTTTGAATTTAGTGGCCATATTGAAAATTCCTTCTTGAGCAGAGGTCCTACACCCATAAGGCATAAGCCTATAAAATTTGAATGAAATCCGTCAACCGATATTTGAGTTATTGCCCGGACACACGAACGGAAGGAAGGCTTTTCTATATCCCCCTCGAACTTCGTTCGGTTGGATAATGATTACAGGGGTTGGATTGAACAATTTTGAATATCGAGGTAAGCGTCACTCAAATCAGAATTATAGTTTTAACATCCAAAATTCTAATAGAAAAAACTGGAATAAATATGCAACTCTACCAAATTGTCTTTCTATCTTTGTTTTTTAAGGTCAGGGTGCATGATGGGAAATTTTCTGCATTCCTCAATTGAGTCACATGTTATTTTTCAAACAAGAATCACTCCTTCCCCACATTGTCTATATCTTCCAGTTTTGCACAAAGAGTGCACTTATGTGCCTAGAAAAGACTTGTGAGAAGAATGTTTTGATAAAGTGTATAGAAAACAAGAAAATTCAGTGAAAAAAATCAGAAAAATTTCAGAAATTTTTTTCACTGAATTTTCTCATTTTTTATACATTTTACAAAACAAACCTTCTCACAAGGCTTTTCTAGGCACATAAGTGCACTCTTTGTGCAAACTTGGAAGATGTAGACAATGTGGGGAAGGAGTTATTCTTGTTTGAAAAATAACATGTAACTCAATTGAGGAATGCAGAAAATTTCCCAACATGCACCCTGTCCTTAAGCCAAAAAAGAAGTCATTTCTCATTGTGCAAAAAATTCAAAAAGGCATCATGATTTTTTCTATTCATCTTAATATAACCTTTAGTCAAAGCAAAGGTTCAACATAAATGCTGGGGATCAACTGAAAACCTGGACATCATGCATTTATCATGTTTCAACAGGGCAGGCCTTCACGTAGAATAATTTGATAAGAATTTTTGTTTTTTCAGATTTATCACCTTTATCGAGACCCTATCTGTTGCAAGACTTATGCCTGGCACAACCGTCACCATGTTATTTAAGTGTTTTTAAGTTTCGCAAGGATCCTGCCATGACCGTGGTAGTGTTATTGTGAAAGCCTGGTATAACCGTGACAATGCTATATTATATTGCAAGGCCTGTCATGACCGTGGTAATGTAAAAGCCTTATATGACTTACTGTGGCAATGGTTGTAAGACCTGTCATGACCGTGGTATTGTTAAAGCACAGTATGACCATGACAATGGTTATATTAAATTACATTTAGTAGCGTGAGAATACTGTAATGGAAAATCTCATTGTTTATCTACCTTAAATATGTAAATCTAAACTACTACTCATAATTTAAGTCATAATTCATTTCCACAAACTGTAATTCTAATCTCATTCAAGAATGTGAACATTGTCACAAGGGGTACCATGATACGAGAAATTGAATATCGATACGTATCTACGATACTGACCTCACAATACAATACGAACGATACGATACAGCGTAAATTGAAGTAAAACTGAACCTTATTCTAATTTTTCAAACTTGTAAAGCCGGAAGTACTTCAGCCGGATCGATTAAAACATCTTGACGACATGTGGTATTCGGGAATTAGCGGGGCAAACCAAGGTGGCAAGCAAGCTATGACTGTCTGTCATCTCTAAGCTCTGAGTTTTTCCCTTCCTTTGGGTAAGTAAGAAGGGACTTCCGTTATCCCGTGCCAAGACTATAGTCCTGCATCGAGCGCAATCTTTTGCCTGTACGATTACAACTTGGGAGAATTATATACGCCCCTTACACTTAAGATACATATACATGTACTTCAATAGATTCCTGGGTATTTTAGCATTCTTTTCGTGTAGTTGAATCCATGGGGTCAACCCAGTTGTCCGAAACCCAGTTCTCCGAAACCCAGTTTTCCGAAACCCAGTTCTCCGAAACCCAGTTCTCCGAAAGTTAGGGGGACCTTATTTGAAAAATACAATTTTTTAAAACGAATCTTGTTGTCGCAACCTCTGCGAATCACAACATAACATTGGAATAACGTTGACATCATTGCAAAATTAGGTTAAATATGCTAGGTCAAGACGTTTATTGTTAAATGTTTAGCCTACGAAAGTTCATATACAGGTGATATAGATGTTCAAACAAACAAAGTTAAATTATGTTATTCTCATTGTAAAATGGCGTTTACACAACATATATAGGGGTCTACAATTTTTAAACCAATTATCTTTATGGCCCATAGGCCTTTTTTGAGAGGGAACAACATTTTTCCAATGGGTGATGGGCGTTCGTAAAAGGAAAAATAGCTTTTCCCCCATTCCTGCCATTCTGGTAACGCGTGCAATGGATGCAATTCAAAGTGAGAGAGAGATCCATGAACATCAGAATGAGTCCATGCCATTAATTTGGCCAAATACATGGCATGAAACTGGCCTAAGCTTAAGTACATGTACGTCTCCCCTTTCTCTGGTAAATTATGATTATATTTTTCGGAGTTATGGGTTTCGGACTAGTGGGTTTCAGCAACTGGGTTTCGGACAGCTGGGTTTCGGAGAACTGGGTTTCGAACAACTGGGTTTCGGACAACTGGGGTGCACCCGAATCCACAATTGTCTGGGTATATCGGCAGAATATATATATATATATATATTCATAATAACAAAACCACGGTGATGGCAGGATCCTTGCGAAACTTAAAAACACTTGATAACATGGTGACGGTGTTGTGCCAGGCATAAGTCTTGCAATAGATTGCATGTGCCTTTATACTTACTTTCAAATGACCAGATTTTTGAGCCAATGTCAGAACCTTGCCAATTGAGCCAAATGCTCGATCATCTTCTTCCCATGGATTCTGTTGATACGATATACTCTGATCTACCATCTTTAGCAAGTTGCTTGTTCTCCCGCTTATTCTAAATATTTCATGAAACGCAGTGAGTTTACATTTTTAGATTTTAAAGATTACTGTGTTTGAATCCCTATTTGAAGAGCTCTCTTGTCATTAAATAATGACGCTATCAACCTCTCACGAAATATGACATACATGCGCATGGATTATTGTTTACCAATCAAAATATTCGGTGAAGCACTCAAGTACCTGCTTGAGGATCAGATATCATGTAGGATCACCATCTATGTCATATTCCTCATGAAAGACCCTACTGTTAGGGTGCATCTGTACATCTCAAGGACACAAACACTGGAGTACATCTATTACATATGTCCACTGATCAATGGAAGCTGACAACTATGGATCCCATGGACACATACAATGATAATCTGGACTTCCCAACTATGTATCTCATGGACATATATGCATATGTCAGTATGTACACTGATAAAAGGAAGCTGACAACTATAGATCTCATGGACACAATCTGGAGTTCACAACTATGTATCTCATGGACACATATGTCAGTATGTACACTGATCAATGGAAGCTGACAACTATACAGGGTGTCAAATAAGTCCCGTCCCCCCATCTACAGCCAAAACCAAGATATTTGGTACCAAGTGTGATATATCATTGGAAAGGTCTTCCAAAGTTACGTTGATTAGCATATACCTGACACATGTCAATCAATCTCACAAATTTTACATTGTATCAATTGAGGTGACCATATGCCTAGAAACATGGCAATTTGGCAGGATTTTAAGAATCGAGTATAAGAAAGGTCAAGGGACCAAAAGATGACTAAATATGTTTATGGCAATGAATTTAACCAATTTCTGGATAGGGTTAGATGTGTATAAAATAGAGGTGCAAGGAAAGTGGTGAAAACCTTTTTGTAACAAGTGGAATGCGAAAAAGATTAACTTTTAGACGTAATTCTGAGGTCATATCCTTGTCCTTTTGACACAAAAAAAGCTACTTAAAGGATGGCACATTAACAAAAAAAATCATTAAATATAGGTAAATTTCATCCAAAATACTTGAGAGTTGTTAAATTAACATAACTTTGGATGATCTTTCCAATGGTATATCACACTAGGTACCATCTGTTGAGGTTTTTGCTGTAGCAGGGGGAAGGGACTTATTTGACACCCTGTAGATCTCATGAACGCAATCTGGAGTTCACAACTATGTATCTCATGGACACATATGTACACTGATCAATGGAAGCTGACAACTATGGATCTCATATACACATATAGTCACACAGTACTAACTTCGACCATTAATTTGAATTTTTGACCTACCAGATGTTTGAAAATCAAGGATTGCGAGTCTCATTCTGCACCGTCTTTCTTCAAACTTGTTCCATTCAAAGCAAAACAAAATTGCCTTTCTGTATGTGCATTGCTTTATTGTAAAGAGTCCCTCGTTTGAGCGGCATTTTGGTCCCCAGCCGCTGGAAGTAGGGACTCTGTAAAACAGATGTACCAACATAATGTACCGACAGAAAGACATTTTTGTTATGATTTGAATGGAACAAGTTTGAAGAAAAACGGTACAGAATTAGACTCGTAATCCTTGATTTTCAAACATCTGGTAGGTCAAAAATTCAAATTAACTGTCAAAGTAAGTACTGCGTGACAGAGATAATTTGGAGCTGATAACTATGGATCTCATAGACATACTTAATGATCATTGGAAGCAGCAAACTTTGTATCTCATTGATGCGAACGGTGTGACCCGTGACAACTATGGTCATGGAAACATACAGTGATCATTGGAAGCTTCTGCCATGCAATCATCAGTATATAATCTTTGCCTTCAATCAACACTTATAATTTTTGCCTTCAATCATCACTATATAAGCAATCTTTGCCTTCAATCATCACTATATAATCTTATGTCATCACTAATCTTTTGGCTTATATCATCACTATATAATCTTTGACTTCAATCATCACTATATAATCAATGGATGGATTCTGTCTTGTCATATGGCCTCACGATTATTAAGTCACACTGATGTAGCTGTTTGAATTTGAGAGATATCTTCTGTATTTTATTTATTTTATTTTACACGAAAATGTGCTATGGTATTTAACTAGATCAACATTCGTTCTAAGCACATGCCAATGCTAAGATCTTTCTGACATGACTTAGATAGCAGTTAGCATCCCCAAATTTGAAAAAATGGAGGGCGATTATAGGCATCAATGTCATGAATGTTTAGTATGAATTTTGTCATTGACATTATACCTGGTAAAAATCCAATCCATAGTTTGCATAAATGTATCAATGAATGTTTCATCTCAAAACTGCCACTTTTCCGCACTTAGTTGCAGTTACAAAAGTGTAATACCATTTATTACAGATACCAACACCAGACATCAGTCACAAAAACCAGATGTCAAGCTAGTGACATAAAAACAAGAAACAAAAATAAGGCTTTATTAAAAACCTCCTACCTCATACCCACCTAGGTGGAACATGATACAGTCATTGAGGGGTTCAATTTTAAAGATTATTAAATCTCAAAATAGCTCAAATTATTAACATTTCTACAATTCCGGCTTTATTTTATGACTAGACAGATGACAGATCAATAAATAAAGGCATATGGATGCATTTTAATGTGTAATGACCTGAGGAGTGCGCCCCAGGGGAATAAATAACTAACAACCACAAGCATAGGTCCAACAAGCCAGATAAAGAAATTGAAAGAAAGTGTGCTAAATTCGATGCTCCGAGTGGGAATCGAACCCAGCTGGGATGAAATAGCAACTTGCTATCAAGGGTCGTTACAAATGCATCTATAATTCATCATAAACTAAGGTTTAATAAACTAAGATCTTTAAAATTGAACCCTTCAAAGACTGCATCATGTCCCACGTACTTGGGTAGGTGGGTATGAGGTAGGAGGTTTTTTATACAAAGCCCAAAAATAGATACTATTCTAGTAGTTTCCATTAATGTTTACTTAAGAGTTCATAAAAATAATTTGAACAACTTTTTACAAGATTGGAAAGTTTATTTGTAGTCCTTTATTTCCATAAATAATAGTTTGTTTCTACCTAATTACTCAGATGCGAGTAGGTAGTTACCAGTTTCACCACCAGGTGGCTGATTCGGGGGAAATAACATGGCAGGGTATTACAAAATTCCCTTAAACTTAAATATGCATCAGTTTTAATGGTTCACTTTTCAAATTACCCTTATGAATGTGATAGATATACAAACCAGAACAACGGCAATGCAAAGCGTAGCGAATCCCATCGAACAGCCATGGCTGGCATTTTTACAAAACAAAGTATATTGCAAAAATGGCAGCCATTATTCAAAATGGCCGCCATCTACCATAAGTGTCATTAGACAGTGTGTCATGCTTATAGTATTCACATACCAAATATGAACAAAATCGCTCCCCTACTTTTCGAGTTATAGTAAAATACGTTAAAATGGCGGCCATTTTTCAAAATGGCCACCTTCTACCAAAAGTGTCATTAGAGACAGTGTGCCATGCTTATAGTATTCACATAACAAATATGAACAAAATCGCTCTACTACTTTTCGAGTTATAGTAAAATATGTTTAAATGGCGGCCATATTTCAAAATGTCCGCCATTTTTCAAAATGGCCGCCTTTAACCAAAAGTGTCATTAGACAGTGTGCCATGCTTATAGTATTCACATACCAAATATGAACAAAATCGCTCCACTACTTTTAAAGTTACAGCAAAAATCGTAAAATAACAAGTAAAGGCCGCCATTTTTCAAGATGGCTGCCATCTGCTTCTTTAATATCTGCATTTCAAGCTTTATTAATGTCCTACATAATTTTTCTTTCATTTAAAACATATTGCTATTACAGTTTTACACATTGCACCTAAATTACTGTAAAATCGGCACTAAAATAGCCGCCATTTTTAAATGAGCGGCCATTTTGAAAATCGGCTTTTGAGCAGAACTTCTACCCCCATAGGGTATATGTGTACAAAATATGAACAAAATCTGACCAACGGTATTTGAGTTTTTGCCCGGACAGACGGACGTACGGACGGACGGAGGCGTTCCCTATATCCCTCTGAACTTCGTTCGATGGGATAATTAAAATATGTCCAGTAAAAGAAAATATTATCTGCCCAACACAAGAAAAGATTTTTCACTTTTTGTAGTTTTACAACATGGGGTCTCTGGGCAATCTCCCCGACCTAGAAGTCACATTTTCAAAGAAAATTAAATTTTCAAAGTTGATAAACTCTTTTCAAAACCACATTTTTGGATGTAATTTTATATGTAGATTGCAAATATGACACCAGTTTGACTGAATTGTGAATTTTTAATGACGTAAATCAAGATTATTTCTACTCGTATCTAGGATATTACATCCTTTATAACTTCCCTAGCTAGGCTATTAAAATAGCTCTATGTTTTAGGAATTTACATAGCAACTGGTTCAGTACATGATTCAACAAGGCATTAACATGAAGAAATGTCAACACCTAGTTGAGGCAAGGAAGAAAAGGTCTTTTTGACCTTGAGGCGGTCATTAAAGGTCAAATCTATTTTGACCTTCAGAATGTCATTTAAGAATCTAATCTATAGTCAGATTTGAAATGTTTAGAACTTGTAGTTGATTTTGAAAAAAAATTGGTCAATTTGAAGCAAGTTTTTTTACCTTTAAAGAGATTGGGTCTCCCAAAAACACAATTTGAGTAACCCCCTGATTTTTTCGTGTTATTTGATGTAAAACAAGTTTGTTTATCAACTTATCAATTCTGAGGCTTGAATTAATTGTTAACAGTATCAATTCGATGATTGGCTCGAGCCATGAATTTCCACTTACATCAATAGAAATTCAAATTCAAATTTAAAAAGCCTGCTCAAATTTGTTCCTGTCTGATTGGCTTTTTGCTTCAGATTATTTTGGCTTAGAGAAGCCATATTTACTACTTCTAAGGGGTAACAATATAGATAAATCCCCAAAAACATTGTATTCTGTTTTCGACTTATTGCGTTCAATTCTGACAGTTGGTTGTTCTTTTGGTTGTCCTGTTGATATCCTCAATATATTGTCGATATCGTGCTTATGATTTGGTCTCAATGTTTTATGAGCAATTATATTGGGACATTACTGATTGTCCAGAATAGAAATCTGGACAACTCGATCTCTTAAAGAAGGTCATTGAAGGTCAAACTTTCAATAACTTATAGATGATTTTGAAAAAAATCAGTTAATTTAAAGCAAGTTGAAAAAAGACCTTTTTGACCTTTTTTGACAGTGAAAAGGTCATTGAAGGTCAAATCTTAAATATAAAGTCAGATTTGAACTTTTGAAAACATGTAGATGATTTTGAAAACAATTGAAGTCCGTCTATACAGTATGTTAAGTTATTGGAAATTGTAAGAATTTGTTACAGACACTGATCACCGATCACCAACCGCCGTCAAAAAAAAACAGAGACCATAACAATATGTCACCACTTTTTGGTGGTGACTTAAAAATGGAAATTGGTGAAAAAGTTTTATTCACCATATTTTATGAGATTGAATTGACATGATTTTATCAATAAAAATATAACAATGGGCTTCTTATGTTCTAAAGCCCATGAAAGCATATATGAGACAAGAGCTTTTCTTGGCAACAAGGGACAGACTGCAATTTGTATGTATGCTCAATATAAAATACTTATGATTTACAAAAAATAACACAATGAAACTAAAGAATGTAAGCAGTGCAAGAACAAAATACATGTGCAATTCTATAATATATTCACTCTTTTTGCAGTGCCTCTATCTTTAACAAGACATCACACTATTCACAAACATTCACAATACAGTTCAATCATATTGTATCAGTTTGCATTTGGCCCGTAGGGTGCACCCCCCTGGAATTCGCACCCCCCTATAACCAATAATAAAAATACAATAGATAGAAGAAAGTAAAATTTTGTAAAATTCATAACAAATCTTTTTTTGACTTGCTTATGCCACTATCGCACCCCCCCTGACTGAAAAGCAAAATGTTGGCGATCCCACACCCCCCGACTGAAAGCTGGCTACGCACCTGTGACCTATTCCTAAGGTAACATGTAGTAACATTCATTGGTATAATGTGCATGGCACACATACACATGGTACATTTACTTCATAATGTGCATATATCCAGTTATCAGACTTTGAAGCAAAGTATGAAGAAATGTTTTTCATAACATCATTTTTACCTTTTATGAGCGCAACAATGTGTATTTCAAAAAATCTAGTTTAACTAATACCGTCTTTTTCTAACGTCACCTTGAAATGTATCATATGTACATTTATCGCATGATACTACAACTTCCCGGTGAATGACATCTGGGAATATTTTTCATATTGAAAAATTGTATTGTTCCCCCATCCTTCTCCAAAAATTGCATTCACCTCCCAATCCAGCTCAAGAAAATGGTAGTTACCTTCCAGGAATTTTCGCCAAACAAAGCTTCCTATGTTATGTATGTTTGTTTTAACCATATGCTACAAAATGCTATAATGAGGGTCTCAAATAGGCCTTATCGTGTTGACTCCAATGCTACAATGAGGGTCTCAAATAGGCCTTATCGTGTTGACTCCAATGTACAATGAGGGTCTCAAATAGGCCTTATCGTGTTGACTCTAATGTACAATGAGGGTCTCAAATAGGCCTTATCTTGTTGACTACAATGTACAATGAGGGTTTCATATAGGCCTTATCGTGTTGACTCCAATGTACAATGAGGGTCTCAAATAGGCCTTATCGTGTTGACTCTAATGTACAATGAGGGTCTCAAATAGGCCTTATCTTGTTGACTACAATGTACAATGAGGGTTTCATATAGGCCTTATCGTGTTTACTCCAATGTGCAATGAGGGTCTCAAATAGGCCTTATCGTGTTGACTCCAATGTACAATGAGGGTCTCAAATAGGCCTTATCGTGTTGACTCCAATGTACAATGAGGGTCTCATATAGGCCTTATCGTGTTGACTCCAATGCTATAATGAGGGTCTCAAATAGGCCTTATCGTGTTGACTCTAATGTACAATGAGGGTCTCAAATAGGCCTTATCGTGTTGACTCCAATGTACAATGAGGGTCTCATATAGGCCTTATCGTGTTGACTCCAATGCTATAATGAGGGTCTCAAATAGGCCTTATCGTGTTGACTCCAATGCTACAATGAGGGTCTCAAATAGGCCTTATCGTGTTGACTCCAATGTACAATGAGGGTCTCAAATAGGCCTTATCGTGTTGACTCCAATGTACAATGAGGGTCTCATATAGGCCTTATCGTGTTGACTCCAATGCTACAATGAGGGTCTCAAATAGGCCTTATCGTGTTGACTCCAATGTACAATGAGGGTCTCAAATAGGCCTTATCGTGTTGACTCTAATGTACAATGAGGGTCTCAAATAGGCCTTATCTTGTTGACTACAATGTACAATGAGGGTTTCATATAGGCCTTATCGTGTTTACTCCAATGTGCAATGAGGGTCTCAAATAGGCCTTATTTTGTTGACTCCATCCAATGTACCTCAAATAGGCCTTATCGTGTTGACTCCAATGTACAATGAGGGTCTCAAATAGGCCTTATCGTGTTGACTCCAATGTACAATGAGGGTCTCATATAGGCCTTATCGTGTTGACTCCAATGCTACAATGAGGGTCTCAAATAGGCCTTATCGTGTTGACTCCAATGTACAATGAGGGTCTCAAATAGGCCTTATCGTGTTGACTCTAATGTACAATGAGGGTCTCAAATAGGCCTTATCTTGTTGACTACAATGTACAATGAGGGTTTCATATAGGCCTTATCGTGTTTACTCCAATGTGCAATGAGGGTCTCAAATAGGCCTTATTTTGTTGACTCCATCCAATGTACCTCAAATAGGCCTTATCGTGTTGACTCCAATGTACAATGAGGGTCTCAAATAGGCCTTATCGTGTTGACTCCAATGTACAATGAGGGTCTCAAATAGGCCTTATCGTGTTGACTCCAATGTACAATGAGGGTCTCAAATAGGCCTTATTGTGTTGACTCCAATGTACGATGAGGTCTCAAATAGGCCTTATCGTAGTGACTCCAATGTACAATGAGGGTCTCAAATAGGCCTTATCTTGTTGACTCCAATGTACGATGAGGTCTCAAATAGGCCTTATCGTAGTGACTCCAATGTACAATGAGGGTCTCAAATAGGCCTTGTCGTGTTGACTCCAATGTCAATAATCTTGTGTTGCTGTTGTCTGTTCTAAGCAACTGTAGCAAAAATAATTACAATTAATTGATAAAGTAAATTCCTGAATCAGAATTGCAGCTATTAATTCAAAGAACATACAGTACACTGTAGCAACAACATGGTCTGACATAGATCTTTGTGTTAATTAATGCAGTAATAACTGTTCATGAAATTATCTTCCTCTAATTTAAAGAAATAAAGACATCATAAGACGTGTTTTTTCGTTCTGGCTCAGTTTTTCTCATCAACCTGCATCACTAATAAACAATCTGTTCTGGCACTTGAACACAATCCAATTTTTTCTTTCTTGGGATTTCAATATTAAGCAATATCACTCTGTTAAAGCAGATCAATTGGACTTATGGTGAAGTAGTCCCATAGGATCTTTAGTGCAGTTCATCATAGCAGAGATGTGGTCTATTTAGTCCTCTGTTGATATGTTCTCAAATAATGTAGACATTGATTCCTGGTTGTTGATTCTGCGTATTGCCTCAGATAACAAAATACTGACATCAACAGTTTTTATTTTGTGGCACTGCATTTTCTGGACATCATGAGGGACTGTGTTTGTCACTACCACCTGGAGAGCAATTGGAAAATCAACTTTAAATTCCCATTATAAAAATTATTTTACTTTGCAAAAACATACATTTGACAAGGTTCAATAACCTAGATGCGAGTAGGTAGTTACCACTTTCATCACCAGGCGGCTCCTTCGGGTCAGATAGCATGGCAGGTATAGTAGAAAGTTCCCTTTATCTTGAATATTCATCATTTTCAATGGATCAAGTTTCATATCACCATTATGTATTTAACCTCTTGACTGCCATGAATGACGAGATTTCTCGTCACCTCAGAAATGACCTTGAAACCCAGAGGGACGAGAAAATCCGTCACAAAACTTTTCACATAAATTGCTCTCATTTGAACAATTTTCATCCAATTTACACAAAAATTGTTTTAAAACGTGTAGAAATGATCTCTGCCATCCAATTTTACTAAGTTGAGCATCTAAAGTTGTATAGGTATGTAGTAAAATGTCAAAAGGTGGCAAAAAAGAAAAATTCTCTGGTTTCATGCCAATTTTAGAGCCTGGGATTCAAGAGGTTAATAGTTATGCAAATTAAGATACGTCCAGTAAAATAAAATATTATCTGTCCAATACAAGAAAAAAAAACTTCACTTTTTGTGACTGTGTAACATGGGGTCTATGGGGAATCTCCCCGAACTAAAAGTCACATTTTCAAAGTTAATGAACAATTTTAGAAACCACATTTCTAGATGTACCTTTACATGTAGATTTCACTTTGACTGAATTTTGAATATTTAATGATGTAAATCAAGATTATTTCTACTAGCATCTAGTCTATTGTGCCAAATATGATTTTGAATCCATGCTGGATGACGGAGTTATTAACATTTGTTATGGTTACCTTTTTTGGCTCACCCTGTTTTAAAGAGATTATTACACTTTTATGTGGTTCAGTTTTGGGCCACCCTGTGTTTTTGATTTGTAACTTTATCAATAACAGATTGATGTAAGGATTTTACATTGTTATCATTTATCTCATCTTAGACTAGTGCATTGTCATTGTTATAATCCAACAAGACTATTAATCTCTACCTCATCGATGGGTGATTCCTCTATCATGGTGGGAGCATCAGATGATAGGATTCCATGTGTGGCCATGGCATATATCTTGTAGGCCCCTCTCTCCTTCAGGATCTCAGCAGCTCGTACAAATGAGTGAACATCATCTATCATATCATCCTGGAACACACAATGCCCAGATTCTGTCAAGACAATATTAAAACAAACATACGAGTATATTGGCTAGTTAATGTACAAAAGTAGAATTGGGCAAATGAAACTGGAAAGTATGCTGAAATCCCCATTTTCTCAGAACTCAAGTTGATTGAGTCTCAACAGTAGATTCATGTGGAAATTATTTCTAAAATCCATTTTCTACATCAAGAATAAGGGTTCTTAAACAGGACATTGGGCTTGCTTTTTAGAGCTTTTTGTTGGCTCTATAGTCACAGTGATATATATGATCTTAGTGTTGGGAATAAATATAAACTAGCAAAATGTGCTAAGTGTGTATCCAGAAGAAGTGAGTAGCTCCCATAATACTATCATATTCTCTCGTATTCTTGTATCCAGAAGAAGTGAGTAGCTCCCATAATACTATCATATTCTCTCGTATTCTGGGATTCCCCTTAGCCATCTATATGGTCATACAACCCTTATATGGATCTATCACATGATATTCAAAATGGCGGACAACGGTCAGTTGGATTCCTATATGGTCATACAAACCTTATAATGGCTTATATGGATCAATCACATGATATTCAAAATGGCGAACAACGGTCAGTTGGATTCCTATATGGTCATGTAAGCCTTATATGGATCTAACACTTGGGTACCACGTGATCGAATACGAAGGCTGAACTTTGGGAGATCTCCCCCCCCTGGTGTGTATCAAAATTATCCTGCTACATTTGTTAGCATATTCCTTACATCTCCCCTTATCTTGATGTAACAAGCTATACTAACTAAAAAAACGGCAACTCCACGGAGTAGCAAATCCCCACGAACACTATAATATATACGAATCTGTATTTGTCACAAAAAATAACATTTAGCGAAATATCAGAAAACAATACTGTAACAGTGATCGGCCCTACATTTCCTTCAATTTGAGAATAATATAGCCATACTTTGAAGAGATCAGAAAATTATTGCGGAATCCGACATAAGGCGGTCATTTTGAATTTTAAAAGGCCCAAATCAGAAAAAACGATACAATATTTGCAATCTACTATAAATTGCCTTTTGTTTAAGTATAATAAACTACATGTATACTTCAGAAATATCTCAAAATTAACACAAATTCCTGTTGGCAGCCATTTTGAATTTTCTGATGCATATATCAGAAAAACAATACCATAATAATGATCTGCCCTAAACTTCCTTCAATTTGAGTATAATCTAGTCATACTTTGAAGATATCAGAAAATTCTTGCGAAATCTCACATAAGGCAGCCATTTTGAATTTTATGAGGCCCAAATTACAAAATATTTGCTTAATTAATTAATCTGGCTTTCATTTGAGTATAATAAAGCCATACTTCGGAAAGATCTCAAAATTAACGCAAATTACTGTTTTCCCAATCCCCCATACATGGCCCCTGGGGGTCATGGTGAAAAACTTGAAATATATATGAAATAGATAGATGTTGTGAATATACTATCAAAATTTCATACAATAATAGTTATTACTTTGGTTTAAAATGAAAACTTTAGATTTTCACCATCTTGGAATTTTTTTTGTTTTGTACAACTATTAAACAATATACATATTTCCACCAAATATGAACAAAATCCATCCACTAGTATTCGAGTTATCTTCCAGACAGACAGATGGACTGATGGACAGAGGGCCTCACTATATCCCAATCGAACTTTGTTTGTTGGGATAATTAACATGCTGGAAATTAACATAATGTTATTTAAAGCGTGTTTGTTAAGTTTTAAAACCGCCATTGATTGATGTCATTTGTCTGGCGATTTGACTCAAACAGTGGTGATCTATCTTCTCAATACAGATTTACATTATTGTCATGTCTTTTTTGAACCCTGGGGTTATTCCTCCTCTTGATCAACAATAAACTCAAGGTTAACAAGTTCTAGAAAATGGCAACTTCATGGAGTAACAAAACCCAAAGAATAAATATAACTCACCACCATGATAGCTATCTTGCCTCCTACATCTCCAACTACATTCATAGGGGGCTTTTCCTTAGCTTGAAGCACTGAAACATAGGATAATTAAACTACATTCATAGGGGGCTTTTCCTTAGCTTGAAGCACTGAAACATAGGATAATTAAACTACATTCAATGGGGGCTTTTCCTTAGCTTGAAGCAATGAAACATAGGATAATTAAACTACATTCATAGGGGGCTTTTCCTTAGCTTGAAGCACTGAAACATAGGATAATTAAACTACATTCAATGGGGGCTTTTCCTTAGCTTGAAGCACTGAAACATAGGATAATTAAACTACATTCAATGGGGGCTTTTCCTTAGCTTGAAGCACTGAAACATAGGATAATTAAACCACATTCAATGGGGGCTTTTCCTTAGCTTGAAGCACTGAAACATAGGATAATTAAACTACATTCAATGGGGGCTTTTCCTTAGCTTGAAGGAAACAAACTACAGTACATTCATTGTCAGGATCGTATTTGGATTGCAACAATGAAACCTCAGCAAACCGATTTACTGGAGGCCCACAAACAAAGCAACAGCAATAACTATGTTCCTATATTAATATATTATTTATGAGAATATGTTTTTGGAATGAAACACTGAAACGAAGCAGCAATTACACTTCAATAAGAGCAGATATTAATTTACATAAATATCTCCCATGATGCATTGCTTTGGAAGGGACAAATCTTCATTGGCCCGCCGAACGAGTCGATTACTCTGAACGAAACGTCCGGAGATTGCAAAGTCAAAGGTCATGATATGCTAATTTCATTGGTCGAGGATTACATCATAGTGTATAGCATCATATTGGCGGAAGATTGCTCAAACTAAAGGATGTGTCCGGATTATGCCCTTTTGGTCCCTCAGTCAAATGTATGTGAAATATGGTTTTAATTACTGTCCTAGTTATATTTGATAAGAATATTTACTTTTCAAGAGTTTTGATGCATAATTAACCCCCTGCTGAGAGTCAGAATAAGTATCTTAACAACAACAAAAAAATAGTCATTATCATAGAAAAAAACACCAATGCCAACATTCCAACACAATTGAAGCCTCAAAACTGGATGCTCAGTAACTTTGAGTGACTATAATCCCTTGATTATCCAGATAGACACCAATTCACTTATCCAGAAATACCATTCAATGTCTATACAAAGAAAGCAAGCAATGTTTGAAGGATATGTTTCATAAATAATTCATTTAATATTTGCCATTGATTTTTTTTCAATTCTGACAAAGTGATATGCACTGTCTTTGGTGCCAATATTCTTCATCAATTGTGATACAAATTGATATTTTTGTTATCTCAGAAGAAGGATAAGATATTGAAGTTTAATAATATGTGTGATTGAGTTGGTTTTTCAGACATTACAATTTTCAATATTTCGATTAAGTCGATACCCAGACTCATTCCCAGACTCATTCTTTCAACAAATCCTGATATAGAGTCCATTTCACTGCTTCATTTCGTCAGTAGGACGGCAAAAATAAGAAATTGGGAGACCATTGTGCAACTAGAAAAACAGCAACTCCACGGAGTAGCAAATCCAACCGAACAAAACATGTTTTGATAAAAAATTTGAGCCAAATTCATCCACTGGTATTTGAATTATCAAAGATTATGTTTTTATAAAACATGGTTGCCATTTTGAAACTCAGCTGTCATCTTTAGATTTCTTCTTTAGCAGAGAATGTCCATCAAATGGTATTTGGGTTATCAAAGATTACTTTTTTAATGAAAAATGGCAGCCATTTTGAAATTCAGCTAATGCCTTTGAAATTTCTTCTGAAGCAGATCTCTTTTTTCCCTAAACATCAGCATATAAAATTGGAACCAAATCCATCCACTGGTATTTGAGTTATCATTAAATACGTTTTTTTTATGAAAAATGGCGGCCATTTTGAAATTCAGTGGCCATCTTGAAAATTTATTTTTGAGCAGAACTTCTTTGTCTCTAGGCATCAGCATATAGAATTTGAACCAAATCCATCATTTGGTATTTGAGTTATCAAAGGTTACGTTCTTTTATGAAAAATGGCGGCCATTTTGAAATTTAGCAACCACCTTGAAATTCCCTTCTCGAGCAGAGCTCCTGTCTCCCTAGGTATCATCATGTAAAATTTGAACCAAATCCATTCAATGGTAATTGAGTTATCAAAGATAATGTTTTTTTACGAAAAATGGCCGCCATTTTGAAATTTAGCTGCCATCTTGAAAATCCTTTCTCGAGCAGAGCTCCTATGTACCTAGGCATCAGCTTCTAAAATTTAAACCAAATACATTCAATGGTATTTAAGTTATCAAAGATAACATTTTTTTTTTGAAAAATGGCTGCCATTTTGAAATTTAGCTGCCATCTTGAAAATCCTTTCTCGAGCAGAGCTCCTATGTCCCTAAGCATCAGCATCTAAAATTTGAACCAAATCCATTAAATGGTATTTGACTTATCAAATATAACGTTTTTTTACGAAAATGGCAGCCATTTTGAAATTTGGCGGCCATCTTGAAAATGTCTTCTTGAGCAAAGCTCCTTTGTACCCAGGCAACAGCATATAAAATTTGAACCAAATCCATCCACTAGTATTTGAGTTATTAAAGATTATATTTTTTACAAAAAATGGCCGCCATTTTGAATTAAGTGGCCATATTGAAAATTCCTTCTCAAGCAGAGGTCCTACACCCATAAGGCATAAGCCTATAAAATTTGAATGAAATCCGTCAACCGGTATTTGAGTTATTGCCCGGACACATGAACGGACAAACGGACGGACGGACGGACGGACGAAAGGACGGACGTCATTTGTTGTTGCTGCATTGGTTTCTTTATTCATTTTCTTCTTTCTTTGTCTTGATTTGATTGCGATGTTACTTATCTTTCTTCAGGGTCCACAGACTTGAGACTGCGCATAGGTGGGTTAAACGTTTTGATCCGGCCGGAAAACTCTCCCCTTCCCCTTACTGTTGGTCTTATGCTGATTTGTCCTCTTAGTTTACCCTCTTTGCGGAGAAGATACTGTTTCATATTCATTTGTTAATGTTCTCTTCTCTCATTAATTTTCCAGTCCTTCATGATGATATTCTCCTGCATATTGTATTTAGTACATATCCATTTATTTCTTGTTATAGCTTTCTTAGTATACGAATTTAGTATGTTGCTCCTGTAGCCTTGACATTGTAGTTTATTTCCCAGGCTGGTAACTCTGTTTGTTGCATCTTCCAGTTGACTGCAGATTCTTGAAATCCTTATTATTTGTGATATAAATATTCCATATTCCATATTCCACGGACGGCTTTTCTATATCCCCCTCGAACTTCGTTCGGTGGGATAATAATATATGGAAAAGTATATTCATAATGTACATGAATGACATTTGTATATCTTGGATTGCTTCTAGTTTGGCTTATAAAGTGTTTGGCTCTTATATTTGGATGTTTCTCTGCCATGTTATTTTCAATAAGATTAACATGGCTGAAATTCTTCAAATTACAAGACGGCACAGGCTTATTGCACAAAAAACTAAAAAATCTGAAATATACAAATGTCATTCATGTACATTATGAATATACTTTTCCATATATTATTGCACAATGGTCTCCCAATTTCTTATTTTTGCCGTTCTACTGACGAAATGAAGCAGTGAAATGGACTTTAACTAGTGTGAATCCGGACAAAAATGACAGTTTCTCAGCCTCCGATATTCCACCAGGGCTCGAGCATAGTTAAATGATCCAATCTATTCAATAATCAGAAAGATAATCGGAAATTCAAAATTACATTATCTATATTTTTTCGATCTTCAATGGCGTCTGAGCAATTTGTGGGAAATCAGTGATGTCACTGGAATTGGAAGGCATTTTCAACTAAAGATTTCTTCGGATTTGGGGATAATAGTTCAAAAAGCCTTGTTGTATATCTTAATATCATATATATCTATCATTTGTGCAAATGCAACACTACATAAATGTTTTATAAAGCCGTAGTGTGGCATTGAAAATCGCACTCCTGTGTAATCCAATGGGAAAGAACCCAGATGTAGACGAAGTTGTACCTCTCATGAGAGCTCTTCAAACGTGAGGTAACTAAACTTAACTAAACTCAAAAATTATCATGTATAGGCTTATTAATAAATTCAATGTGATAAATTCAACTTTTGCTAAACTGAATTTAAAATATGTAGTATGCACGGTGACCAAGAGTTAACAGTGCAAATTGGCCCAGTCGTGTTTTTTCAAACTCTTTAGTCGTGTTTCGTAAGAACATGGGATGCGACATTCGTTAGAATGGAGCAAAAACATAAGAATATTCTATATTTTACAAATTTACATATCTTGACTTCTACCTAAGATGTTCTTCTTCATACCCACGAATCTATTTTGGGGATAAATCCATCATACTTCATATCAATCGCAATTATATACCAAACGTGCCAGAAATATGTACTTCATTTGCATTTAGTGTTATTTAATCAAGTTTAAACAGATAATCCATTCAACAACGTGGAATAATATTCACTAGTCCAAAGATTGTGTAAATATTTTAACTGTATTTATCTTAAAATTGCCATAAATGACCCTAAATGTAGAAAGTGGAGTTAACTATGGAGAAGGGACAACATAACGTCATGGACGTGTCTTATAATAAGCATGTTAACGTTTTGGAATTGTAAAGATAACGTTTTAGACGTGATAAAATTAACGACTTTGAATTGTCTTGTAATAGTGTTCACATTTCACATGTTTTGTTGCTTAATAATTTGTCTGTGCTTCTGAAAATAATCGCATTAGTATTTTGAAGATGAGTGTTTGTACTACATGACCATTCACATATTTTGTTATTTCAGTTCCTCGGAATAAGTGTCACGTGTGTGCTTTCAAAAGCGCCGATAAGAACACGTTCCTTGAACTAGTTACAATTGTTTGCTTTTTAAACTTAGTACTAAAATAAATTGAAAAACTAAATTCTTACTATCTCGTATTTCTGCTAGAAGTTATAACTCAAAAAGTATCTTCTTAATCAATAATATAATCTATAGTTATGTTGGTTTTATAATAATTTGCGGGCCTAATACGACATACACTATTAACCAGAAACAAATAGTATGCATTATTACACAAGCAGATCCCCCACCATCTGTTCATGTATTATTATAAAACACGGGGATATATACATTAGGTGTCACCCGTTTACTGTAATTTGTAGTAAAGATATGAATAAATAAAAAAGACAGATGTATGATTTAACAAGATCATCAGATGTTGTAATTCAATTCGCTAGCAAAGTATGTTACAGTACAGTTCATAGGTCACTCATAGAACCATAGCAGCATATGTAGCGTTTTATACCTATTGCATTGTGCGAGGCAAATTAGGGAATAACATCGAATCAAATTGTTAAAAATTCCGAGGCGAACCTAAGAGATTTTGAGCACTAAATAACGGTGGAGTTATTCCTTATATTAGGTGATCATATATATGCATTTACACGTAGTGCATCACAAACTAAACATTTTCTCTCATTTTAAATAAATCTATTTACGGTCAATGACAGGGGAAAGTGAGTAAAACTTATCTGAGGCAAATTCAAAAATAGCAACGAGCCATTAAATGAGCGACGGGGCAAAGTAAGTATCAAATTCTGTAATGATTCCATAGATCAATCTTGACAAATTATGTCGTACATTTGATTATTGTCAATCATTTAAATTAAGATAGTATTACTCAGACAACAACTTCTTCCATTTTTTGGGAGATTCATAATGTTAATTGTGCTGTTTCCCACTTCCAAAGCATTAAACCTCAATGTCTCTACACGTCTAAATGTTTCCAGTAACAAGTCAACGTCATTAACCGCAATCTTTTGAACACGTCTAAAGAGTTTAATCTAAAAAATATTATTCGGTCAATTGCTACTTATTTAAGCTCTTCTAACTTGTGGTTTTCGCACATATTGTGAATGCTTTCCTTATGAATCGATGTATTTATTGAATACAAGTCAGGCTAGTGATTTTCAGGCAAAAATATGTATAAGACTGACAGAATTGCTTACTTTCCGATACAGTAACACGACTATAGCATACGATTCGTGCAAATAACACGTTTACGGATACCTGAAGTTAAAATATATAGTATAGAAAGGAATGTATATTACTTACTTTTACATAAAGTCAAGTGACAGCAATTTCATGACCAAATTTATCAACCTACCTCTCAAATTTTCCAAAAAACACGACTAAAGAGTTTGAAAAAACACGACCGGGCCAATTTGCACTGTTAACTCTTGGTCACCGTGGTATGTATAGAGTGACATCATAAATAAGCAGGCCTGGAGTCTTTATACTACTACAGTAAACAAACACAATAAATGTACATGTATGCTGAAACTCTAACATGTATAAATAGATAATGACATTGCAGATACAGTGTATTGTGTTCTTGTACAATATTTGATCAAACATACACATCTACAATTGCATAAAGGCAACCATAATGAACAACGAGATTAAAGTCACATAATTCAACAGAAAAACACTACTGACATCTACTTCACTCAGTACCTATATATTGTTCATAAAAATAATACTGGTTATCTGCACTGTAACAACAACCAATCAATGACCTTGAGTTGGTAGCAAACATGGTGCATACCCATAATCCCCCAAAGAAGGGCAATAATGCTGAAGGAGGGGCCAATTGTTGGTCTGATCTTTTCTTGTATTAACTATCATGAATCACATAAAATTGAAACATACATATATGTATTCATGGTTTCATGGCGCCTTTAAGAAAATTTGGTCATGTGACATTTTTACATGTCAAACACTTATCTATCTTGAGAATAAACAATCAAATAGATAAGAGCTGTGCTTCTCAAAGTTTAACATACATAACTGACAATGTCTGGGACAGGGTTGCAAAACAAAATGACTTCTATCCCTACCTTGGATTGCTCTAACATTGCAATGAATCTGAAGGATGAAGAAATTTCAGTAGAAACACTGAAAGAATTTGGGCAGAACTTATTTGAATCTTTTCAAGTGTATGGATGTGCTGTTCTTGTTAACCATGGAGTTTGCAATAAATCTGTAAGCTGCAAGTTCCATTATGTTATTCAGATCTTACTATAATACATATATTTAGATTAAAATTTTAATTTCCATATACAATTTACCAGCAGGGTGTAATCATACATCAGAAACTTGTCTTGATGTATGTGTTTTGTATGCTATGTAGATATCTGATGCATGGGAGGCTAACAAGTCATTCAATTCTCTTGGCTACAAGGAGAAGATGCAGTATGAACCAGGACAAGTAACTGGCTTTCACAATATGCATGGATACCAAGCAATGGGGAAATAGTATGTTTTAAAGGAAACTTTATATAATGCAATATTGTAGACCTTATGAGCTTTGTACAATACTAAACAAGGCATTAACTTGACAAAATGTCAATACCTAGTTGTTATGAGTTCAATATTCTTAGTCAGATTTGAACTTCTAAGAACTTGTAGATGACTTGGAAAAGAAAAGAAAATTGATCAATTTAAAGCAAGTTGAAAAAAGACATTTTGACCTTTTTACCTTGAGAAGGTCAGTGAAGCTAAAGTCTTAAATCTAAATAATCAGGTTTGAATTTCTGAGAACTTGTAGATGATTTTGAAAAAAAAAATCAATATGAAGCAAGCTAAAAACTGACCTTTTTTTGAAGGTCATTGAACTTATGAGAATTTGTGAATGATTTTGAAAAAATTGAAGTCAGTCTAAGTTATTGGAAGTATAGACGCTGGATACCAACCCCCAACCAGCGCCCGCCATAACATAACCATTGTAGACCATAACAATATGTCACCACCTTTATAACAAGCAAGCATAGAAATCATTAAAATAGCTACTAATACATCTACCCACAATTGGCAGACATTTTGCATATTGTAATAGCTGTTGAACTGTTGAAAAGGCATTGTTATAGTCATAAGATGTGTCTACATCAAACTAAATTACCAAAGGCAAATAGGAAAATGTAGGTAGAATGTCAGTAGAAAGCTGAGATAAATAAGGCAACCAATTTCAACTTATGCTTAAAAAGGTATTATTCTAAAATCTTTATTGAAAATTTATTAATTACTCTAATTAGTATTGCTCTTATTGGCCTGAGATTTTTCAAATACATTTGTCCGACTATGACTAATACTAATACACATTCCTACCAAAAATTGGTACATAGAAAAGTCTCATACTCTCATATTTTGACAAAACTTGAATAAGAAATATCACTTTTTAGCCTCATTATAAAGACCAAGATTCTATGATTTATCGCCCCATTCATGTATATGAGAGAAAATTTAATTCTGGTTATTGTTAAAAGGCTGAATAAAATCTGAGATCATTTATTGGCCATAAACAGAAAATAGAGGTCTTTGTTCAGTTCTAATATGATAAACAAACCAGAAAAACAACTATTTGGTTTTAGAAATACATACTCGATGATTACAGACAAGTAAATCAATTGTTCTAGTTATTGTGAAGTCAGGTTTCATACCAAAATTAGTGAATTACATATAATTAACTGAACAATAATCTTATTTGTCTTGCAGTGATGGTCCTATAGACATTGATTGGTGTATAAGGGAGTCATTCAGATTTGTTCCCACAAGAGCTAAGGTCAGGTTCTTTGTTGTATTGATTTTTAAATGTAGAATCAGAGAGAGCAGATATTTTAGCATGTTTATCCCCATATAAATGAAGCCTGTGTGAGGCTATAGCCTAAATGCCAAACTTCCTCTTGCTGAGCTAAAATTACAGATTTCTGCATTTGATATCTAAAATAACCTCAACTCAGACATGAAGCTTAGATATAGTGAACATGTAGTATTTAGAATAATGTTCTGGTGTTATTTGCTAAAATAGTGCTAATAGTGGTTAAATCTTGCTTGCAATTTTGTCATCTATACCAAGTATTTCTGAGCAAATTTGTCATCTATTGTCATCTATACTATGGGCTCTATCAGTGGTAGAGCCCATGTCTATACCAAGTATTTCTGAGAAATTTTGTCATCTATTGTCATCTATACTATGGGCTCTATCAGTGGTAGAGCCCATGTCTATACCAAGTATTTCTGAGCAATTTTGTCATCTATTGTCATCTATACTATGGGCTCTATCAGTGGTAGAGCCCATGTCTATACCAAGTATTTCTGAGCAATTTTGTCATCTATTGTTATCTATACTATGGGCTCTATCAGTGGTAGAGCCCATGTCTATACCAAGTATTTCTGAGCAATTTTGTCATCTATTGTCATCTATACTATGGGCTCTATCAGTGGTAGAGCCCATGTCTATACCAAGTATTTCTGAGCAATTTTGTCATCTATACCATGGGCTCTATCAGTGGTAGAGCCCATGTCTATACCAAGTATTTCTGAGAAATTTTGTCATCTATTGTCATCTATACTATGGGCTCTATCAGTGGTAGAGCCCATGTCTATACCAAGTATTTCTGAGCAATTTTGTCATCTATTGTCATCTATACTATGGGCTCTATCAGTGGTAGAGCCCATGTCTATACCAAGTATTTCTGAGCAATTTTGTCATCTATTGTCATCTATACTATGGGCTCTATCAGTGGTAGAGCCCATGTCTATACCAAGTATTTCTGAGCAATTTTGTCATCTATTGTCATCTATACTATGGGCTCTATCAGTGGTAGAGCCCATGTCTATACCAAGTATTTCTGAGCAATTTTGTCATCTATTGTCATCTATACTATGGGCTCTATCAGTGGTAGAGCCCATGTCTATACCAAGTATTTCTGAGCAATTTTGTCATCTATTGTCATCTATACTATGGGCTCTATCAGTGGTAGAGCCCATGTCTATACCAAGTATTTCTGAGCAATTTTGTCATCTATTGTCATCTATACTATGGGCTCTATCAGTGGTAGAGCCCATGTCTATACCAAGTATTTCTGAGCAATTTTGTCATCTATTGTCATCTTTCCCCAGTATTTCTGATCCTAGTGTATTGTAGGAGACAAATTTCAACCCTGATGATTCAGTGCCTGGTTACACAGAGGCTTTCACAAATCTATGGGAGGCATCATATCAGCTGGCCAAGCGCCTCCTCACCTCCTTGACCTTTCCTCTGGCAATAAAGAACCAGAACTATTTTACAGAACTGTTTGAGCATATTCATACACAAGGATGTAACGCCACTGGGTTGAGAGGGAATGGTTACCAAGCTGTTCCTGAACAACTGAAAGATGGTAAGCCACTACAACATTATAAACACAACCACCAGGAGGGGCTAGACATGCTTAACATAATATTAGCTCACCTATGACCTCAACTAATACAACACATCAAATCCTGAACATCATCATTAATTTTCAAATCTCCAAATTATATCAGTAACATATATACGAGGGTTGTCCAAGAAGTAATGCACTATATGCTCTAACTTAATCAATACTTGATCTTTTTCCATGAAATTTGCAGTTAATATTCCTTATAGATATTTTGATCAATCTAGAAAGTTTCATTTTGATTGATAATACAATGTTGATACTATAATAAAATCAAGCTGGTGAGTTTGGGTAGAGCGTGGCAGGTTCTTTGTCACGTCAAAAGAAATAAAAAAATGAAAATATGAAAAAATTAATCAACAAGTACCATTTTGTGTAGCTATAAGAAGTATGCTAAAATTATATTTTAAGATACTAAATTACTAGGAGCACATCCTAGATTTAATGGGCGTTTATTGTAAACTGACCCATTTCACATTGTCTCAAAATATAGGCCTTTAATATACTTTTGAAATCAATGCCTTCTCACTCAGTCCTGGTACGCTCTTAGCAATTTCTTCCACCGTGACAAAGTGAGGTGTTTGGCCTCCTAGGTTTCGGGTTGTCATCCAGGGTCCAGTCATCATTTTTAGATCTCTTCTGCCACCTCTTGATTTTAATTCTATCTGCTCTAAACTCCCTACATACTTTCTTCATGGTAGCATAAGTTTGTGTGGCTGTGAGTCCAAGTGAATTATGAACTAAGGCCACCGAACGCACTGCCTTCTTATCAGGTTTTAGAATTGCAGCCATTTTTATGACTTCTTGATTGTGACTGGATTTGAATTTTTGACTATTAAACTGTGGCATTATGCAATCACAATACTAAATGCCATTATTTGTGCTTGGTAAACACCATGCTGAATTTCCCAATTTTCCAAAGATTTTGATCATTTAAAAGAAAGAGATATAAATAGAATAACACTTTAAAGCTTTTCGTGATTAGAAAAATTGGTACCTGCCCCACCCATCCCTACCACCGTGTTGCTATAGCAACCATTTTATTATTTAACATTGATGTTTGATGCTAAAACTTCAGGATAGGTCAGATAAAACTTCAATTGTACATAAAATTTCAGCTGAATTGAAGAATATTAAAGAAAGTTAGAGCATATATTGCATTACTTCTGGGACAACCCTCGAACATGGATTCTCATATTCATTTGCCCATTTCTGGAGAACTACTTTGTAAAATTAATACAAACATCTGAAACAATTTAAGAAATCATATTGATAATTAAAGATTGCATTTAATTATAGATAAATTTGCTAAGAGTGATAGATTCACTGAGCACACAGATAAAGGAATGTTCACTGTGCTCTACCAAGATGTGGTCTCTGGACTTCAGGTTTTTATACACTTTTATTATCGTTTTAAATCTAGGCTGAGTCAATTATCTGCTTCAGATTCTACAATGTCTTTATAAAAATATCTACTGTAGCTAAGTACCATGATTTTCATAAATATGCTGTATAAAACATAACTTAAGTTTTTTATGCTACAAAACCCTGCAAATGTAACAGCTTGAAACAAGGCATTAACATGACAAAATGTCACCACCTAGTTGCTCACAATATTATGAGTTCAATCTTAAGTCAGATTTGAATTTCTGAGTTGAAAAGGACCTTTTTTACTCTGAGAAGATCATAGAAGAAGAAATCTCAAATCTAAAATCAGATGTGAACTTCTGACAACTTGTAGATGATTTTGAAAAAAGGTCAATTTGAAGCAAAATGAAAAAATACCTTTTTGACCTTGAGAAGGTCATTGAAGGTCACATCTTTTTTATAGCCAGGTGTGAACTTCTGATAACTTGTAGATGATTTTGAAAAAATAAATTGGTCAATTTGAAGCAATTGAAAAAAGACCTTTTTGACCTTCTAAAGGTCAAATCTTAAAAGTAAAGTCTGATTTGAAATTCCGAAAACTTGTAGAAGATTTTGAAAAAATTGAAGTCAGTCTAAACGGTATTTGTTAAGTTATTGCAAGTTGTAAGAAGTCAATTTGAAGCAAGTTGAAAAAATACCTTTTTTGACCTTGAGAAGGTCATTGAAGGTCAAATCTCAAATCCTAAGTCAGATTTGAACTTTTGATAACTTGTAGATGATTTTGAAAAAAATTGGTCAATTTGAAACAACTTGGAAAAAGACATTTTTGACCTTGAAAAGGTCACTGAAGGTCAAATTTTAAATATAAAGTCAGATTTGAACTTCTGAAAACTTGTAGCAGATTTTGAAAAAAATAGAAGTCAGTCTTAACAGTATTTGTTAAGTTATTGGAAGTTGTAAGAATTTGTAACAAGCGCCTACTGCCAACCACCGACCGCCATCAAAAAATGGAGACCATAACAATATGTCATCATGACATAATAAAAAACCACAACCGCCATAAAATAAACGGAGACCATAACAATATGTTAACACTTTTTGGTGGTGACATAATAAAAACAGTTAATTTACAACTAAATAAAATAAAATATACCCTGATTCCAGGATATTTTGATACTGGCAGTTATCAGTTTTCCCATGCATTTCAGCACCATTTCAGTTGATCTATGGACCTCAGGTAGAGATAAGCAGATATATATATAGATATCATGTTTATATAACATTGCTTGCTGTCAATGTCTTATTGTTGGCAAAACAAGTACAAAATAATGTTTTAACGAGGGTTAAGAGTTGATTGAGATTGGAATTGAGAAACAAATAATTATCTTAGCCTTACCTCTTAATATGACATTGGAGGAATGTAATCTTAGTCTTAGCTCTCAATGTGACATAGGGGGAAAGTAATCTTAATTTGACACCTGATGATGAGAAAACATGATAGGCAACATTAAAAATATAATACTTTTACATGACCATCTACTAGTATATGAGAAGAGATAAAGCTAAAGACGTTGTTTTAAAGATGTTAATTTAAGAGCAAAAAAGGCTCCAAAACTTAATGAAATATGTAGTTTGGATGTTCATTTATGTCTGTGGATTATATTTTATACCACAAACACTTTATAAATACCTGAAATTTGCAATAAAAGTGCCCAAAAATTGTTGTTTCGAAATTCCCCATTTTTCCTGTATCGTGCTAGTCACGTGACCATTACGCGTAGCAGGCAATGTACAGATATTACAGTACATATAATATGTTCAATATGGCAAACATCAGCGATTCTGATTCCCGAATTCTGGGAAATGGCTATGTAAATCGGCGAGAGGGTGTAATTTGAATGAAGACAATTTAAGGAGGGGAAATGTGTGCAAGTATGGCAGTAAGAGAGCAGATATGGGGACTTTAGACAAGAACTATGACGGAGAATCAACTAAAAATGTGAGTTCTGGAATGAAGACCCGTTGCCATTGACTGAAGATTCCAGCGATCCTATTATCATACTCAGTTTGAATCTAGACGCGGAAAACAGATTATGAAAACAGGTTTTCTGCAAAGTTATCAAATTTAGAAAATATGGATCTTGTTTTTGAGTGGATTAACAAGCATTTAGATACAAGACTTGGCGCTATCTCTTGTCAAATACATGCACTGGACTTGCAGTAAATTGGCCATTGCAAATTGCAAAATCAGATCGTCAAATTAATCGCTTCGTTTTTAAACCTACGCTTCATATCTTCTTCCAAAACTATAGGATTCGATAGAGATAAGTTATAACTTGTACAGGAAAAAATGGCAGATCCTACCTTAATTTAGAATCGCTGATTTCTCTGGACAAATTCCGAGAAGAAATTGTTCAACATCGCGATCACCTCAGACAACATGTCGCGTGCGTGTCACTCTGAACTCACTCTGAACTCACGTGATAAAATAAGGCATCTTGATTGGTTACTACTCGTGTTGTCATGACGCGAAAAGCAGTAGTAAACACTGAATATGTTAATGAACTGCCATATATGGAACATTTGTCTTTCTGATTGGTTAACTTTACACGCGTCCTAAATGAATATAGTAGTCGTAGTAAATGATTCATTGATAACTCTGAAAGTGGGCGTGACCAGCTTCATTTTGACACCAAATTCAAGATGTTTCAAATCAAAATGGCCTCGCAAGACGAGGTTGAAATATCAGCAATTTGATACTGATATGGTCTACGATAGATCAAAATTGCCTGCCCCGCGTCACATGTCACGTGAGCCTATATTTGTTGAAAAGTGAAAGAGATAGTGACACTTTTTAATCTTAAAGGAATATTCCTTTCCAGACTATTTATCTCCTTATATGGTAGCTATAATTATATATATACTCTCCATATTTAGCAAAACACGAAAAAAAAATTTTGAAATGGTCAATATTGTTAATTCAAAATTGTATTACTCATTTCCAGTGAGCTGCCATCTTTTAAAACTTCATTAAGGAAGTGATGTCATCGACTCTCACCTGTTATAACCTTGTCTATTACAGTATAGGAAAGAAGCACAAAATTACTTCTTGACAAGAATCCCTTATCTTCTGTGCAAAAATATTTTCAGGGCTTGTCAACCCAGAATTAAAGAAGAGATCACCAGAAGGATTTAAATCATAGACCAAATTGAAAAAAATATTCTACTGGTTTTGTAATTCCAATAGCTCTTTACCTACTGCTATATGCAAAGTTGGGAGTCGATGACATCACTTCCTGAGTGAAATCTTAAAAGATGGCAGCTTACTGGGATTGAGCACTATATTTTTAAGTTATCAATATTGACCATATCAAAACATTTGTCCATGTTTTGCTAAACATGGAAAGTATATGTATGGTTATAGCTACCATATTAGGAGAGAGATGGTCTGGCAAGGAATATTCCTTTAAGTTTATACCAATATTACAAACAGATATCTATTTTTTTCATTATATATTTATTTCTTCATTATACATACATTTGTTTTATACTACATTGATTTATTTTTGCAAAACCTTTGCTATTAGATCTTTAATGAATTTGTAGGTGCAAGCTAGGAGTGGGGCGTACATAGTAGCTAAGCATGTGCCTGGCAGCATTCTTGTGCAAGTGGGGGAGATCCTACAGAGGGTCACTGCAGACAAGATACCAGCTACAGTAAATGTTAACTCAAATACCATAAATGTTTGCTTAGCCAATTCAACTCCTACATGACGAGAAACCATTGCTTGGCAACCTCAAGCCCTACTTGTTGACTTTTGTTACTTAGCCACCCCACTTCCTACCTGGCAACATTAACCATTGCTTGGCAATCTCACCCCATACATGGTGACCTTAACAACCTCAAACCCTACATGATGACCTTAACCATTGCTTAGCAACCTCAAACCCTACATGGTCAACTTACCACTTGCTCAAACCCTAAAACCATGACTATTTCATATTTTGTACCTAACCAAAGTGTTTGATATTGCTCTTGTTACTCATAATTTGTGACTATATTGCATGGTGACATCATATAAGTATAGTGTAGCCTTATTATTATATGAATATGACTGTATTGCATTGTTACATCATATATTGCAGCCTCACAAAGTGGTTGTGACTGAGGAACAGAAGAAACAGTCAAGACACAGTCTCGCTTACTTCTTGTTTCCTGACAAGGATCAACTTCTAACATGTTTTGATGGCAGTGACACCTATCCTCCAATCAGAACAACACAAATGACTGACACACCTGATAAACTGCTACATTTTGAAAAGGCAGCTTAAAAACAAGTCACCGATCAATTAGTGCAGCCTGTGTCTAATCATGGCAGTGAGATTTCAGGTTTTAAAAATGAAGAAATGTTTGATAAACTGCAACTAGATAACAGCAATGCCAAAGCGTTGCAAATCCCATCAAATAGCCATGGCTGCCATTTTTACAAAATCTGTTACTTTTTCATCATAGCAAAAATCGTAAAATAACACACATATAAATGGTCACCATTTTCAAAATGCTCGCTCACTAGCCAAATTGTCATGAGAAATGTTAATATGGTTCTAAGTAGGCACATACAAAATTTCAACAAAATAGCACACACATACGTGCTACTAGCCAAAGTAAGACAGAGTATAAATGGCCACCAATTTTAAACGAGGGGCCATTTTGAAAATCAAATTTCGAGCAAAACTTCTATCCCACCGGGAATGTGTGCACAAAATATGAACAAAATCAGGCCTATGGTATTTGAGTTATTGCCCAGATAGACATACCAACGGACGAACTGATGTTCCCTATATCCCTCTAAACTTCGTTCCATGGAATAATTAAGGATCTTAGTCATGAACTTAGGTTAAATACACCCACGTTCAGTTCAGGAGCTGTTCTTCTTCATTAAAAGTGAATGGTTTGTGCTCTTGAATGCATTCTCCATAATGAATGTGGTTAGTCTGTATTATGGAAGAATTCTTCAGATGTTACATGTGACTTCAAAACTATAATAAAACAGACACTTCAATCTATTCAAAAAGTGGTATTGTGATTTATAAAATAGCCAGAAAGGATATAGGCCTAACTAAAGTTGTATTTTGAACATTTTGGAAAAGAAAGAAAATTGCCAAGTCATTCAGAAAAAATATTGTTTTGAAATTTAGAACAAGCAATCTCAGAATAAGACAGTTAGATATTTTTGCCTAATAATATTTCTGTAAATAACTTAAACATTAAATTTTGGTCAGTTTATGGTAAGAACAGATAAAAGTTCCTAGTTAAGCTAAGTTTATTAGTGAAGCAAAAACATTTCTGCTAAATGATTCCTTAGTTTCTGTCAAAACATATTATACATGCTACTCTTAAAGTATCTCAAGTGTTCTTTAAATATGTTAATTTGACTGACTTTGTCCATAACTTTTTATTGAACTGCATGTAGATTGCATGGGTTGTAGTTAAATATTTAAAAATGTAGATGTTGTAATTTATAGTATTTTTCATATACCAAGATTTGTGTGATGAAACAAACTACACCTGTAGCATAATTTTACAAGAATATATGAAGAAATAAAGTTATGACAATATGTATTACTCATTAAGTCTTAAATTAGTAAGTCATAAATCAATAGCATTTTACTCCAAATGTAATTTATCTACCTGGAAAGATTTCTAGTCCTAAAGCCATTGATCGCTTCTCAACAGATAATGGTGGGGGAGAATTTCTTCCATCATCTCTCTCAGATTCTGCCATTGTTTCTTTATCCTCACCATGGATGACAGCAATTCCGAGACGTAATCTTTCAGCATAGGACGTTGCTCGCTTCACTGAGCCAGGGTTTCTTGCAACTATCACAGCATTCCTGTAGTCAGGAATCTGAAATAAATCAATATCTTTGTAAAACAACCTAGCACTAACAGTTGTACTGGCATTGGCGATTGTTAACTGAGCTCAATCTCACTGGGGATCAACTTGAAACTAAGACAGGTTGTCTTCATTTCAACATGTCTGGACATCTTGTGAAAGAATTTGATAAGAATTTTTGTTTTCTCAATCACCTCTATTCTTCAAATTTCAACTTCCTATTTGGCCAATATGCAGTGCATTGATTCTTGTAATTATTTCAATATTTACAATTCAGTTCCCTTGCTGAGGAAATGAAGACAGTTTCTGTTTTGTGGCAAAGATACGAAGACAAGACATTCATTTTTATTATATGTATCAAATTATCAATGTAGCAATCTCCCTGTAGGGTCAAATTTTCACATGGAACTTGGAAGCACATTGTACATGACTTGGAGGGATTGAACTCTTTTTGTGACTCTACGTGACCACTACACTTCAAACAATCAATTACTTCATCCAAACAATCACTGGATGTATTCTCAAGGTGTAATCATATTTTGAAACTGGAATCTAGAGACTAAATACGTGCCAAATATTCGGTTGGAATTTGAAGGAGAAAAGTGATAAAACGAGAAAACAAAAGTTCTTGACAAATTGTTCTACTGGAAGTTCAGCCATGCTGAAAAGAAGACAAACTTTCTTGGTTTTGATCCTTGGTGAATCAAATGAAGTTGAACATTACCTAGACAACAAGGTTATATGACAGAATATGTGAAAGGTAACTAAAAGTTATTCGTTTTGGAGAACTGGTGATATAATAGAAATACTGTTCACACGGGCTCATGCACATCTTTGTCTAAATTAGTTACCAAAATATATCTGCCCTGGAACTTATTTAATTTCAATTGGTAAATTCATTGAGAACAATGTCCATGACTTCTAAAACCTATGTTTGCATCTGCCATATTGCAAAAAGGAGGACCTTGTTAGGTTTGAATTGTATAAATTATTCACCTGTTCCTTGATGTACTGTATGAGGAAGGGGGATGCCCTGAGGTTATCTACTGGAATATCAAAGAAGCCCTGTATCTCTTTCTGATGCAGGTCCATTGTGATAATATGTGAGATCCCTACAATAAAACATAACATTCAATTGATCATAAACAAGTATGAGTGATTATTAACACTCTTGATTTTTGTTCTTGATCAAAAGATAAAACATCATATAAATTTGTTTAGAGCTCAAATATTTCAACCTGTTAAGACAGCAATTTATTTTTGTCCTTACCTAAAATTACCAGTTTAAACTTAGTGATTATGCTTCAAGTAACAGAGTAATATAATGTATGGAGAAATATCTTTCATAACAAAAAAAATTAATATTTTGATTCTGCAATGATTTGTGTTCTCTTCAATATGATTTAAACTTCTATCAGAGCAGGAGTGGAACAAGACAGATAAACATGCACAAATAAGCACAATGAAACAATACACCAAAACTCAAGGCTAATAAGAATTCAAACATGCAGCATCCCCTCATCCCAGGCAATCATAGAGAAATTTTTAATTCAGTTAGACTGAACACTTTATCAAAGATATATCACTATGTACAAATTTTGGGAAACATGATTCATTCCAATTCAAAGTATAAGTCAAAGTGCAAGTAATACACAGCTATACTATCTGTTCTTATATCTTTATTCATAAGATTTTAAATATACATTTTATATTGGTATAGAGAACACATCAGTGTAGAGGCAATCAAATTTTTCAGAAAGGCCTCCTGTTTTAAGAACTCCTATTCCAACCAATTTGAATTGAAAATACCCAATAACATTTTACTGGTTGAGTCTGAATCAACCGTGTCCTTCTGAGATAATGAGGATTTCATGATACTCCAATGATGATAACATGGGGATATAATGATATCCCTACTGTATGTTAAGTCAATGGTGCATGTCCCCAACTAGAAATTGGCAACTCCCCGGAGTAGCAAATCCCAACTAACACTATCTTGAAGAATGGCCACCTACTTGAATGGCCACCTACTAGCCAAAAAGACAATGTGCCATGCTTATGAGCATTCATATATCAAATATGAAAAAAACCTGGGGTCAGGGTGAAAAACATGGAATATATGTGAAATAGATAGTTGTTGTGAATATACAGGTACTACCAAAATTTCAAACAATTATATTTGTTACTTCAGTTAAATATGAAAAACGTAAGATTTCTGCGAAATATTCCTGCTAATTTTAAAGCAGCAGTCAAAAAAATTGTTTTTGTGGTAACTATTTACCAATATTCATCTTTCAACCAAATATTAAGAAGATCCATCTACTAGTTATAGTATTCGAGTTATCTTCCGGATGGACGGACTGACTAACAGACGGAGGGACACTGCACAGAGGGCTCAACTATATCCCTACCGAACTTTGTTCATTGGGAAAATAAACTCCATTCATTTGGATAATTAATATTCAACAACAGTTCCTCAAACTGGAAATGACGGCAATAACAATGCAACAAAATCAGCCATGATCATGTACTGCAGCACAGCTTTAACTTTATCAAGAAAGATATGTGGCAAATATGCACTTTGAATTTTCTATTATGTTACATTTAAAACAAATACAATTTTTGAGTTCATATGTCATATTCATCTATTTAACTTTAGCAGCATACACATGTCCACATAATTGTCTACAAATACAGGTGATCATGAATGATACAGTAATAAGAGGCTTTTAACTAAATGCAAGCATATTTTGATAGAATAATAGCAGACCTTATATAACATCAAGCGATAGTGCCAAATTACTGAGAATTCAATTGAAATAACAAGTTCTAGATAAAGATATGATTTAAAGAATCATATTATACCATGAGGTAGGAATGGCAAAGTATGCTATGAAGCACAAAGCTATCACTATTTTTCATAGAAATACCAAGGCATGCTCACAATACTTTTTAAAGGCTGAACTATATCTACACAAAACATTTGAACTGTATTTTTTAATCTTTCACACATCTCACATGATAAAGTAGAAATATTAAAACAGAAGTAAGACTCTTTGATGCAAAAGTTGCCAACAAACATAGTGTATATTGAGAAATGATTCACACAAATAATGTTAAACATTGTAAGTACAACACAGCATCATATTTTTAGTTTTCTAAATTCAAAATATAATTTTTGTTATTTTATGTTACAGTAGTACTAGAGTTAAAAATTAATATTGTAGGGTTTTCTTAGTATTTCCAAGAAAATAGCTTGCTTGGTCATGGCAGACTCAACTATTCCCACCCCTTGTATGATGTTTAAGGAATTGTCAAGGGATTCAAGTGCATATTTACCAGATTCTAAGCAAAGCGTACTGTTCTCCCTTACCATGTACTTTAGTTCAATGTTTGGGTTGAGAGACTAAAATGAAGCTATTGCTTTGTCATGTCTAGTTTGTGAATGGTGTGGCCATGAGAGATTTCTGATATGTCTTTGTAGGAGTAATGTTAGTATTATGCACCCTCTTGAGTGAATAATAAACTAACATATTTTAATAAATTGACTGATGCTAATCTTTTTCAATTAATGAAATGTAAAAGATACAAGCCCTTGTGACCCCCTGCCACTACACACCTTCTCTGTGTGAGAACTTGAGAAGGTGTGTAGTCAAGTAGAGGGGGGGGGGTCTCTCATCCCATTATTGAACCAGTAAGACAAGGAAAAATGAAAACTTTCTCAGAGATAAATGCAGCACATAACACCATTGTTAAGTTGGAACATTTCTCCCTTGTGGTATGTGTTTACACTGGCATACATCAGGTCATGTTATTTAGATACCTGATTGGCCAATCATTGTAGCTAAAAGTTTTGAGACAATACAGCCCCGTTTACGCATTTTACTCTGTTTACAATAAGGCAGATAGGGTACTACTGCCACAATTTTTCTTGCTGCAGATGTCCGACTTGCATAAGACGTCGCCATTAGCTCAAACATGTCATTATTAACATCCCTGAAATGATCCAAATATTTTGAATGCTGGATTTGATATATTATAAACACACTCCAGATATCATGGAGATATTACTATGGTATTTTAACAAGATGAGGTCCTGCAATATGGTTGACAGAACTGATTCTGTCAATTATCTTCCTGTTATCTGCCTGTTCCAACTTTATGTTACCTAAATGTGAGAAACAAATAGTAGTATTCCTACCTAAGGCAATTGTGCATGTATGTACAAAAACATTTAAAACAGAAGAGAATTGGTTTTTACATGCAGATAAGAACTTCAGTCAGCTATATAGAAAACCACAGAAAAATAAAAAAAAAAACAGGAGAAATGTCAAGCACAGTGTTTGATGAAAAGAAAGTGTCATAAACCTGACCAATATGTTGACAGTTACAGCTTTAAGCATGAGAAACAAGATATTCATAATTCACATGAATGCCAAGTCTCACTTAGGAAGTTCCACTTTGAAAGCAGCAAATAATGATGATCAGCTTTGAAAGCAATACTAGACAATCACAGAAAGGAATACTCTTTCTAATTTCCATTTTTATATACAGGGTGGGCCAAAAGATGTTACTGATTAAAGTATAATAACTCATTTATTATTGGCATGATTGGTCTCAAACTTTCTGAGATGACTAAGAATTGATGCAAGTTTTGTTCTATATAACTAGTTTTTATGTATGTCTCTGCATTTTTAGGTGGCTGCCAAAAGTAATCACATGAATAGGCGTCAGGAGAGCATGTTGTCCATACTGGGGGTCCCACGTGAGATAAAAATATCAACAAGAAATATCAGTTCATTAATCAAATTCTGGTGCATTTTGGAATTTACCAGTACGGGATTTCTTTGGGCATCTTCGAACCAGAATGGGCACACCATGCCCTTCAATCCTATAATACACCATACTGTTACTTTCTCAACATTGAGTGGCCTATCTAGTGTCTGGTTAGGGTTATTAGAACTCCATGCTCTCCATTTGACCTTTGACCTTGATTGATCTCATTGGCAGCTCAGAATCTCATGTTCTGCTTGATGACATGTCCATATAGGTGAGAGAGAGCTTCATCACACACAACATTCTCTAAAATGGACATGATGATTGGCAGCGGCCTAAAAATGCAGACGTACATAAAACCACTAGTATGGGACAAAACATGCACCAGTTCTAATAATGAGATCAATCATGCCAATAATAAATGAGTTATCACACTTTCAAATCAGTAACATATTTTGGCCCACCCTGTAAATGCAATTATTTGTTTGTACAATGATTCAAAGGATGCCCTTGATTCAGCCACTTCAATATACACAGTCACAACTACCAACATTAGGTTTTCAGTTTCACTCTCGCTATCATTCAATCAAAATCATAGTGTTTTCACTGGTGATCTGGTCGATTACGCTGGTTACCGCTGGTTCGTTTTGGTAACAAAATGTCGGAACGTCAAAGGTACGATTTTTCTCTTTTCCTTATTTCACGCGTTGTAGGCAGAATCCCAACAACGTTTTTTCTCACTTTGAGTCACATAAACGGTTTGGGTTAAAAGTGCAGATCTTAACTGTTTTTCAAAAAAAACGTTTATGTAACTTAAGTGAGGAATTAAATCGACGATTCTGTTGTCTTCTGAACTATTTGTTCGCAAATATGTACATTTTCTTAAACATATGATACTGGTACACGTTTGAGTTAAAAATGTCGTGGGAATTCTGCCTACAACGTGTGAAATAAGGAAAAAAGAAAAATCGTAACTTCGATGTTCCGACATTTTGTTACCAAAATGAACCGTTTCGGTAACCAGCGTAATCAAGTGGATCACCAGTGGGTTTAATGTACAGTGCATTTCAACAAAACCTTTGTGAGTAAAGCATGTAGTGTTGAAATGCAAGTTGTACGAATTCTGGACCAATCAATTTGTAAAACTGTCTACATAACAGTGCAGCAGGCAGGATGAGTAGATGACATTGATCATCAAACAGCAGCTAACGCCTGCGATGTATGAAGAAATTCTTGTGTTTTAAGAAGCTACAAATATTTTGGTCCAGTAGTCTATTGATTCATTTAATCACCTGATTTGCTAAGCATTCTGGCAATTAATTTTGAAGCAATGCATCCTCGTTTCTTAAGTTTGCTTTGTTTACAATATGGTAGGTAAGGGAGTACAGCGACAATGTGGCGGGCAGCACTGGTACGCAAGGCATAGGACATGATCATTAACTCCATAACATCATTGTTCACATCCCTGAAATATGGTAACACATAGCAGATATATACAACACAATGAAGCATCACTGCTAGATGCGAGACTGAGGCCTTCTGTGGAGAGACAAAAATCATTGAATAAACATTGGATATCATGATTGAGTGGATTTTTTTTAATCCATGAATGAATGTGATATTTTCAAAGTGAGAGAGTGCATATTAATATCAATGAGTGGATAAAATCATGAGTAAATCATAATATAATTCCACAGTTAAGAAATACAGATCAAACTTTCAAAATGACTTATTATATGGCCATTGTTACTGTCATCCTTCTTTTGAGTCAAGCAGCAAAAATCAGTTAACCATCAGATAATATGCCATATGTCATAGTTTTAGTGAAAATGATTTAGTGAAAATAATTTTCCATGGTCACAAAAATATCATTTCTATTTTAACATAATATCCTATGAATATCACAATGACTGAGATTCTGAAAATTCACATTATTATATGCACAACATATATTAATAAAAAGTACCACAGGGTGAAACTGCATTCAAAATACCAATTGAAAACATGATTTAATGAGAAAAAGTGCTGGCCATCTTTATTAAATTTTGCTAAACATTCTAGACATTATTGTTACTTAGCTGCTTTACTTTATTGTGAAACCTAAAATTCCTAAGATAGCTGTACAATTTCAAACGAATTGATTGAATACTTTTGAAGTTATGAACAGAGCCGAAAATGTGACTTTTTCGATAAAAGTGGCAGCCATTTTTAAATTTGGCAAAACATTTTATCAAAACTGCTAGACCTTATTGTTAACCTATAGACTTCACTGCCTACAAAAATTTTAATCAAATTGATGTAATACATTTAGATAAAAAGTGATATTTCAAAAATAAAAGTGACAGCCATTTTGAATCTTTGCAACGTTTTTTGCCAAACACGTTAGACAATATTCTTTACTTAAAAAACAAGGTACCTATACTTTTAAAAGCATATTGATGGAATACTTGTGGAGTTATGATCAAAAAGAGCTGAAAACCTTTTTGGCATAAAAAATGGCCACCATTTTGAAATGAGCCAAGCCTTTTAGAAGATACTTATGGGACAATTGAAGGTTTTATAGATACATTCTAAAAGTAAAACCATTTCAATTATTGCTAAGGATTTCAAATCAGCCTTCTATGACAGACGGACAGACATATGGATGGACAGTCAGGCAGACAGACAAGTGGGCAATCACAATAGCTCAAACAATGTGAGCTGATAAAAGGAGCTTTAACATGTATGACTTCAAGATACATGACATGTTCAGGTTTAACATGTATGACTTCAAGATACATGGTATGTTCACTTACAGGGTGGGCCAAAGGATTCTTATTTTTCTTATTTCTTATGCAATTTCTTAAAAAACATGACATGTATATAGCTGAGACATTTCGAGACAATTTAGTTCAAAAGAATTGGGCTGATTGTTTGGCTGTTTGGCTAAATGTTCAATGTCCTCCTCATTCCTGCATGATCAGTTTTAGTCTATGACGTCATTTATTTATCACTGCATCAATAACTCAGATGCGAGTAGGCAGTTACCAGTTTCAGTTTCGACCAGGTGGCTCGTTCGGGTCAGATAGCACATTTTCAAAAAAATTAAATTTTCAAAGTTGATAAACAATTTTTGAAAGCATTTTTCCTAGATGTAGTTTTACATGTAGATTTCAAATATGACATCACTTTGACTGAATTTTGAATATTTAATGAGGTAAATCAAGATTTCTTCTTGCATGTAGTCTATCAATGATTGTTGCATTACTTTTTTCTCAACATATAGTTATTGTTTGTTGGAGTTCTTGAAAGAAATGGATGAGACCACTTTGTACATGTTTTTCTAGTTCACCCCACACAAAATAGTCCATAATATTGAATTCAGGGCTATTTGGGGGCCATAAATCAGGGGGAGGATATCAGTTTTCTTCATTAATCCCAGTCTGCACTCAATTCTTAAAAGGTTGCCAAATGAATCTGAGTAGTTTCCCTGCACTAAAACATTAAAGCAGAATTTGAAGACAATTAATGAAATTGTACAAATTATAATATTTAGAATTTATGGTAGTATCAGATGTTTATTAGAGCACTTAATAGTTTAAAAAGGTGTTTATCATAAACTCTGACTATTTATTTACACTCAACTTTGTAATATTATTGCATGGATATTGACATAAAAATCATATTCACCATTACTTCTTTTCAAATTTCCTTCCTTTTTGGATGAAATCAGCCATACCTGCCATGCTATCTGACCCATATGAGCCACCTGGTGGTGAAACTGGTAACTACCTACTCTGAGTTATTTCACTCAAATCTTTACAACATTTACAAAAAATGTCTCAGCTATATACACATCAATTTTTTAACGGATTTCATATTTAAGGGATTGAGATTAAAATGAAAAGGTGGAACTTTTTTGGCCCACCCTGTATACATTGCATACTGTTCTGTTTAATATATCTTATTGTTTATGATACAAACATTTTTTTTATATTCTATTAGTTATTTCTGATTGTACCCTTTTAATGAATTTTCATACTTATGTCTTTAAATGACTTACTTTGTTCCAGTTTGAATAATGTAGACATCTTTCCCTCTTACTGACTCACCCATCTCAACACATGTTTCTGGAGAAAACACTCCTCACATTTAGATATGTAGAAAGATAGCAGGATAATAATTAAGTACAGGGTGTACCAAATAAAATGCAACCAACCTATAATTCATATCGTTTTAACCAATAGAGTTTGACAAATCTTATATGGCATACTAGCTGGTCAATCTTCTTTAAGTTGACAAAGATTCAACATTGTAGCCTGTATATGGCTTATTTTCTCACTATGAGCTGACCTTCACAGTGGTTTTGAAGCCACTCCATAACTCCAAGGTGTTGTATTGAATGTGTGCAGTATAGCGCAATCTTGGTGAAATTATTGGATAGGCCTATCAACACCATTCATTCATCCCAGTAGCCCTCCAAAGCTTTTGAAGCACAGCAATGTGCTCTGTGTTTATGGTCACAGCTCATCCTTCCTCTTTTTCAATGAAGTATGGGGCAATAATTCTAAGTGTATATGCAAAGCACACCATACAGGGCATCGCACAATATTATATTCTCTGAGCCACTTCACTAGGAAATATGTTACCCCAACAAGGCACAGTGTGAACAATATCATACCTAAAACATATGAGTGTGGGCTTGATGACCCAGATATAGCAAGATGGCTGCTGAAAAGTTAATCAGTTCTAGAACTTCTTACCATGTGACATGTGTAAAAATTTGAAATAAATCCGTTAAGTGGTTTTCCTGGAATCGCGATGACAAGATTTACATAAAAACTTCCAAGATGGCCACCAGAATGCAAGATGAACACTGAAAAGTTAATCAGCTCTAGAACTTCTCACCATGTAACATGTGTGAAAATTTAATGTAAATCCATCAAGTGGTTTTCCTGGAATTGTGATGACGAGAAAGTGTGAAGCCACCCGCCGCCCATCAAGCTGACGACAATATCGTACCTTATTAGGTACAATATACAACACTGTTCTTGCTATTAACTTGACTGTTCAATGTGCTGTCAACAACTTCACATGACATGTGCAATGTGCATGTCTGTCTGCAGAGAGGTGGTAGCCGTTTGGAGCACATCCTTTAAATGGCCATCAAATGGGCCATACACAGGCTACAGTGATGAAAATTTGTCAACATTAGGTGGGTTGCTTTTTTTTGTACATCCTGTATTTTGAAAATAGGCAAGTTAAATAGTTCAAATTGGCATCAGTTGCATTAAACTCAAGCCAAAGAGAGTATTCTACTTCTGTAATAGACATTAAACTAGAACTAAAGAAGACAAAATATGTATCTTATATGTATGTGAGTGTGGGACTAACTTGACCCAGTACTGAGATTATTTGTGTAGTTGCGCATAATACTGTAATTCTGTATGTACTGTATTCTCTCTAATAAACACACAGCGGGGCTCCCAAATTCTCCTAGAGGAGATATCTCAAAATCTCCCAAATTTGACAAAATCCCCGGGGATTTATGAAAGATGAATATTAATAGGCAATAATAGGGTATTTCATGATTTCCATCTTTAAAAGTGGACTCACTCCAACTAGATAACATAATACCATACCTTGATGTTTTCCTCATGCATTTATCGATCGGCTGAATGTGTTTTCGTGGGTTAATTGACATAGTGTAAATTGCTTTAATTTGACAGCCGTTTTAATTTGGCTGATGTGGCGGATTGATACAAACTGCCAAATTAAGTGTCCGGCAATTTTTTGAAAAAATCCCAGGAAGCTTAAGTGTGTCATTGAGAATTCTTTCAATATTTTGATTGTAACCCCATTTTTATTACTAAGGCTTTCTGTTACTGACTGGACTTCAAAGTCAGAGAAAATACTTACTATATTCATTAATAATACTACTTCACATTTAAAAGGGAATGAATGTTTGTTTTTGTGGGAAAATGTAAAAAAATACTGTACGCTCGGTATTATTCGCGTGCGATTTAGTTTCGCGCTTTTCGCGAGGGTGTTAAAATCGCGAAAAATTATCGTCTGAAATTGCCAATTAAATCCCCGGGAATTTGTTTTTACCCGGGGCTCTGATGCATTTCGACAACTTCTGATCCCTCCATTCCTACATCTGTAAGAAGAACTACAACATGCATTTCGTTTTGTGTAAAACGTTTCGTCTAGTGTTATTGGGCAATAATTGGATGATTTCCACCAACATGTCTATTTTACGTTGGCTAGTCAGGCCAACTACTACCAAAGGGCCTAGGCTTAATAATGACATTGACGATATTACAGAAACTGAGTGTTTTCGCAAAATTCGCGAAATTAAATCTTGCGAATAATACCGGGCGTATAGTATTTCAGCATCGGAAGCTCCCATGATGCACTGCGAGTGTCAATGGTCACCGATACGCTTCGGTCAAATTTGCCTTTATTATAGCATTTAACTCATCACTACAAGGTTATCATAAACATACTTATAGTTCTAAAGAATCCCGAGACCTGTTTGTACCATCATTTTGAAAGGAAATGGCTCAATCGATGGTGGTAAGTGAATTAATGGAATTTACTATATAATCACCCAATTATATTTTTCGATTTTTTTCTTGATTTTTGTTACTCAAGTTGCAAGAGTCTTTCATAGAAAATTCAAGTGTGTGTTTATTGGAGTATGTGTGAAAATATGGTAACTTACCTCTGTTAGATTTGTGGTAGGATGACACATTCATCAGCTGCATACCAAGCTTCCTGCAACATCAAGATTATTTTGAGAATCAAAATCCAGCAAACAGTGTCTACTTAGCAGTTTGTTCTATGTCATCCATCCTGCTAGGTTACATTGTGGAACTCCGCCAAACACGACACTGAAGGCAGTATTCTGAGGTTATAAAATCTAAATCTAAATAATTTCCCATTTGTAGCCCCTTGGAGATTTCCGGAATTGAACAAAGTAGCGAACGTTGCGATCTTTCAACTTTAGTTCGTTGTTTTTCACCACTTTATGTGTAGTGTTTTCATTTAGGAGGCGGTCTTATTTGAATGCATCATTTCAGGTCTTTATGAATCAATAGATCAATAAGCAGACTAAAAATTCAAATTTAGAAGTTTCGTGACACATGATCAGTCCTGTGAGCTTGCAAAATGGATGATCTAAATTTCCCAAAATTCTGCTAAGATCAAGATCGATATGCTGTTGCCTTCAGTGGCGTGTTTGGCAGAGTTCCACATGTAACCTAGCAGGATGGATGACATACTGTACTCCAGGTAATTTTCGACGCTATAAAATTTCGTGATTTTTCAAAATTGCAATTTCGCGGCTATTTAATTTCGCGGATTTGAGTTGATGGCATTTTGCAAATTTGCACAAGTTGAATTTTTTCCGATTACCGTGAATCAATGCGTTTTTGGCTATTTTAGCCCGTTCAGAATCCGAATAATCTTTGTATTTCCCACGTTCAGGGCATTTATTTGAATATTCTTGAATGGCTTTTTCAACTTCAATTTGTAGGATATAATTGTCGTCAACAGTTCTTGCCTTTGTTGGCCTAATAAGCCAATTCAAAATGTTAGACATTTTAGGCCTTTTTTGAATTATCGCCCAACAACACTGGACGAAACGTTACACCGAATGAAACATATCAAAAGTCCCGTGTCAAATCCCGGGGATTTAAAAGACAAATTTCGCGACAATAAATGTTCGCGATTTTACTACATTCGCAAACAAAGCAAAATTAAATCGCACGCGAACAATACCCGGACTACAGTAGAACAAACTGCTAAGTAGACACATGGTAACATTTCATTATTTCGTTATTTTAACCATATGAACTGGTTCACAGAATAAAAAAAAATTAGAATGTAGGCCTATATCACAGATCCGGAGCCAGATCCAGCCCCTGTTGGTAGTAGGCTCAAAGGATAAATGGGAAGATCAAAAAAATGACCACTCAAAAATATGACCCTCGTACTGACCTTTATTTTTTCCATCTGTCTGACATTGATTGATCAATATTTACCCTGTAATCTCTTCTTTACGTATTAGTTTGAATGGTTGCATGATATCCATTATTGACGCTGTAATTCGACTTTCCCGGGACATTTATTTCAAATTTTCAGAGCGTAAAGATAATGGAGCACTTCGGTAATTTCCGGCAGTGTCCGATGTTGTTCGTCTCTCAAATTACGTCACATCGCAACAAACAGCCAATGAAAGTAAAGAATCGCGTAGCCTAATAAACCATCATTATTGTTTCTACGGGAGTTTAAAGAAACATCATGGGACTTCTCGGTAATCTCTGATGTGACATCAACCGGAGTGGCGTCACATTCTCAGAAAAGGCATACTTCGGGAATAATCATTTGAACAACAGAGATAGCCGGAGTGCTCCATTAAATATACGCTCGCTTATTTTATGCTTTTATCAACAGACGCTTTCTTGGATGTTTGGCTTTAGTGATTGGAGTTGAAGCTAACAACAGTACGCATCGTTTGAGGTATGGCATGTGATATTTATTGATAAACTGACTCCAAAATCAAGGAGAAAATAAATTTTCCAAGATGGCGTGTCTTGTCCTTGAGTATATATATTGAGCGTAGACACAGAGGAGCTTATCTGGCAGAGGTCCGTGGCCTACATGTATAGACTATCATCAAACAGTTTTGATAATCAAAACTATACGATGAGTTTGATGCATTTTCTTGTTGCGGGGTATTATGAGTTTCGATCCTCCCCGAGATTTGGACCTGAACATGTGCAAATATTGACTTGAGAAAAATAAAAACTGTAAAAAAAGAAAGGAAATCTTACTCTGCGATGGAAGCAGCCAATTCATTATGGGAATTCCCAGCCAAGAGGCGCATCGGCACCCTTTCTCCTTTGTTCATCTTCTTGTACTTTTATGTGAGTCTCTAAGCAGGGTAATAGTTAGAACAAATGAAAGATTTATTTTCCAAAAATGATATGAGGTCAAGGTCACTATTAGATAGCCTCGTTATGGGGTTTCGAAGCCACGTGCTCATGTTTACAATTTTTTAGCTCACATTCCTTGCTGGTACTCGAAGTTCAGTTTGATGTTGAGATCACCATATAGATGTATCAATATACAAAGAGCTGTTTTGCAGAAATTAGAAACGTTTGACATGTCAGATTCAAAGTACTTTGAAGGTAGAAGACAAACTCGTTTGTCAAGCAGAAAGAGTGGAATTGTTTCTTTAAAAAATCCATCATCCCCATCTTCAAAACTAAGTTCAGTGAGAAGAAATAATCCAGACATTGATACTAATAAAGGAAGAAAAAGATCTTATCTAAAAATTGAATATGAATCAAGAGAGTCAGTGAAAACTATTGTTTTAGATGGCGAAAAGAAAAGTGAAGATAGTGAAAAGCGTGAAAATAAAGTTTGGCAACCGCAACATTGGAACCAAGTATTGACTAATATTAGAGAAATGCGAAAAGAAAGGGATGCCCCTGTTGATACTATGGGCTGTGACAGAATTGCAGACCAGAATGCCTCTCCACCCGTTAGTATACATGTAGTTGTTAGATCTGCACACTTTGGTTTACGAAAAACACCACCGACCAGTCACTCTCCAAAGTTGAGTACACATGGTCGGCTGTCGGTCTTTTACATAACGTAAAGGCTAGAGTACCGACAATTGTCGGTACTCTAGACTCTGATGTGGTGGCACGCTAGAGGACCGACAAATAAATTGTCGGTACGGGAGATATGCTGTGTTTACACGCTAGAGGACCGACAAATATTGATTTTCGAATTTTCTGGCGCATGCGCAATGCGCGGGGGGATATTTCAGATATCATACGGATATTTTGGGAACAAGTGCAAAACCCGGGGATTACCAAACCCAGTCAAAAGATCAGGGAATGGTAGTAAACGTTGAAAACCCAATAAAAAACATGAACAAGTAAGACGTTAGAGAGCTATTAATGCAGAGTAAACGGCTATATATATTCTAAACAGACAGGATATTTCTCCTGAGCCGATCAGGCGTAGAAAGGGGCGTTTGCAACCCATTAGATAGAAGAAAATAGCTAGAATGTTTTTTATTTGAAGCTTATGGTATGAGGTTCCATATCCATCCGCCAAAAGGTATGACCCTTATATAGTCCATTTAAAAACCTGTGGTGTCGTTCTAAATAACCCATAGTTGTCTTCTAGGGTACCTAGTATGCCACTATTTGGTATCAAAATAAAGAGGAGTTCAACTTTCATTTGAATTACGAAAATAGCGATGTAGGTCAAAATAGTTCCGAACGTGAGCATGTTTACTACGCGTTTGCCCGTCATATCAGAATTGAGGAAGTGGTAGCAAACGCGAGTTACAATAAACGGACGCTGATATCTCAAAAAGTAACCTGACTCCCTATAATTTGATGTAGGTCAATCGAACCCCTATATGGACAGGTGCATTTTGATATATAACACTATGGGGGGTAAGCGTTTCATAGTTGGTCACGAACGCCATATGTGCAAAGTATTGTTATGAATTTTCGAATTTGGTGTTGGATTACGGTACTCCTACCTTATAGCACAATTTTTGATGGAAGTTGCATTTGGCTCCCTTAGTTAATGGCCACGATTCCATCTCGCATGAGAGAGCTACCAAACGCAAAGTAAACAGTGATATATTCCAAATGAGATATTTCTCCTGTGCCATGGCGTAGTAAGGGTACAGGTCGACGGGGTGAAAGCATCCCCTCCCCTAATTGTATATATCGACCCATTAGATAGAACAAGAAAAGAGCTTTAAAATGTTTTTTAATTGTAGCTTGTAGGACAATTTTGATGGAAGTTGAATCAATTTTTGTCGAAATAAATTATGGCTCACTACAAGTTAATGCCTGTACGATTCCATACTGCAAAAGAAGCACTATGCCCCCCCCCCCCCCTCAAAAGAAAAAAGTAGGTCCTGCCGGGGTTCGAACTCGGGACCGAGTGTGTACGAGTCGTGCTCGCTAACCACTAGACTACCAGTGATGAAGTTATTTCTAAAATAAAAGTAGTGGATTTATTTATGAAATTGTCGGCTCTCTAGCAAAAACACGTAGCAGCCACTTGCGTACCGACAATTGTCGGTTCTCTATCTGACACTACTAGGTGACGATAGAGTGCCGACAATTGTCGGTACCCCAGCAAATACCCCTGGACAGTCTCCAGTACCGACAATTGTCGGTCCTGGAGCCACTCCGTTTACATAAAGATGAAAAGATGCAAAATCAGGAAAAAGTAAAACTAAAACTGGGAATCCAATGGCTATAGTATACCTTTACTAGGTTGTGATTTAAAAATGTATATTTAATCATTTCAAATCACGATGAAAAACGTTACATCATCGTGGTGTGTATATAATGTCATATTTTTAAGTGATGGCTCAGTTGTTAGAAGACCAATTTCGTTCTGGTTAGTCACATTGGATTATGATGAGAAAACGCACGTAAAAAGATATTGTTCACGTCGTAACATAATGTTTGATTTCTCAATTGTTAAACATCAACTGGTAAAAACTACATTCAATATGACAAAAAAGCTTTCTAATGTAGGCCTGTCAACTTGGGACCATCTAGCATGAGTGACTTCCAAATGTTGAACACCTTCCTTCAAATTTTGGACACCTTACTGAACAATGGTCAATTTTGGACACCTAGGGGGGGTAGGTGCAAATAAAACAAATGCACATATATGTATACACATATAAATTTACACATATTTTGTACCAAACAAATGTGTGGCATAAACAGCAATCGCGTGCAAAGACCGAATGGAATGCGTTCGCTTTTTTCGCCGTTCGGTATTTTCCAGTATCTGCATTTTATAAAAAACAATTTTTAAAAGCGTGATTTGCGTGATATTTGATCATACACGCTAAATTGATGCGTGATTTCTATTTTTCCAGCAAATGCGTGACAATCACGCCTAATGCGTGAGGGTTGACAGGGCTGCTAATGGTGTACTTTTAATCCCTATACGAGAACGCATGTAACATTATATCATGTTAAGAATTCAGTTGGCTATGACGATTTCAAATCATTTTTATTTCGAAATTGTACATTAGATTTCAGTAAAATATTAGGATAGATTCCCATAGAAACAATAGGTTGGTTAATGATAAGTCAGGAATCTAATTAGGCAGGACAATTAAATCGAGAGGAGACAGTCATGCCCAATTTGTTTGCTTGCCTTTCGTTGAAAGGTACATAATCTGTAGAAAAAGTTGCCTTACGATTGACATTCAAAATCAAATTATTAATATTTTAAGGCTACAAATATGGTCGGTCTTACATGATATGGTCGGTGGTCGGTGGGGTCAGTCTTTTTCGTAAACCCGCACACTCGAACATATAAAAGGGATCGAAAAACAAGGACTGGGCTGGGTATTGCAGGGAGTGAGTATAATTTTGCCAAATTTTCCATGAAAGGATGAGAAGTGTAAAAACGGGAACATATGGGGAGAGAAGAAACCATGCAAACATGAGTATGACATCACAGTTTTACAGAACATCATGACAGGGCTGTCAACTTGGGAACACCTAAGATGAGTGACCTAGGAGTGACTTACAAATGTTGAACACCTTTCTTCGTAATTTGGGCACCTTGGTCCAAATCTGAACACCTTGGTCCAAATTTTTCTTGCTAACGCTTGCATCTCCATTGAAACTCCATCAATAGGGGGGGGGGGGTAGGTAAAAGAATTTTTCAAGCAAATGCGTGACATATGAAGAAATTTCGAAGCAAATGCATGACATTTGCGGGATTCGTCTGAAAAATCAGAATGGAATGTGTTCGCTTTTTTTGGCATTCGTTTTTTTGGTGTATCGGCATTCAATTTTATTATAAAATGCAGATATATGCAGTATCAACCATACAACACAATTGTGTGCAACCCACTAGATTCAACATAATGGGGCATAACCCAACACCAAACTAATATAGGCACAACCTGACACACAACCAATACAACACAACCCACATTAAATTAATACAACACAATCGGACACAGCCCAACACTAAACCAACACAACACAATACACTACCAGGCACAAAAATGTTATTCTATATTTCCATGAAAATATGTAAAGTTATATAATGTTTGATGTTTTCAGGTATTCCGGTATCAGGTACTACTCTCCCTGATGCTTTCTAGTCAGACAAAGGACCAGATCACATCTGCAGCTATGGAGAAACTACGTGTACATGGCTGTAACATTGAAAACATACTGAAAACATCAGACCAAAAACTTGGAGAACTAATTCACCCAGCTGGATTCTGGAAGGTATTTAATTATGTGGAGGAGATTGTGATAGTGAATAATCTATATGTATATTGATAAAAGTAATTTAACATGTACATGTGACCAATTGAGGTTCACTTCTATAAATATTTTTTAAGTGCTGTATTGTCCCACATCATTTTCTCTTATTTTTTTGTTTCACAATTGGATTGCACTTGCTACAAAATATTGCACAATTTTACAAAAAGCCCCAAAAAAGACATTTTAAAATTGGCTGCAATAGATTTAAGGCCAACATAAAGATGGCAGTCGTGTAGCTCATATTAGATATAACAGGTTGATCACACTAAGCCAATGGTGACTTGATCACCCGATAAAGGAGATTTAGTCATGACCATTGATGTATAAAATCAGCTTTTCTATTTGTAATGCCTAGGTCACATTTGCTCTGATTCATCGGCCAGCACCCGATCGATTGCAGTATTTTGTTTAAAACTGATTCCAACTTGCTTCAGATTGACCCAACTATTTTACACAAATCATGTAGGGCCTACAAGTTCTCAGAAGTTCACATCTGACCTCAAATTTGAGATTTGACCTTTAATTTTGAACAAAATACTCCATCAGCCGGGTGCCGGCCGATGAATTGGAGCAAATGTGACCTAGGCATAAGTGGTAAAATATGTTTGATAGACCAGGGTCGGTAAATTGTCGATCATTGATTGATATTGAAAGAGGAATGCATTCTGAAATGATACATGTATGGTACTTTTTCAGAAAAAAGTTCAATATATCAAGAGAACCAGTGAGATGTTGAGAGATATATATGATGGAGATATTCCAGACTCTGTTCAGGGACTGTGCACGTTGCCAGGTATTATTCAAGGTTGTAGTAACATGAATATTTGTATTCCTGATTGCGTTTGAATAAAAACTAACCTGCAAAAGGTCTTGGTTAAATCACAGTAAGAATTTAAAGGCCCCATATAAAGTTTAAACCAGTTTGGCTTATATTGTAGTTTTACCCAATGTTATCAAAGTGTGATATGTGAAACTTTTTTTTCAAATTTCAAAAAGACTTTCTGCTTGAAAAATCATGAATTCATTTAAAACTAAATTATAGAGGTCACACATATAATATAATTTAACTTATAATAAGCGATAATTCACACCAATAGATAGCAGTCATCCTCACATGTTTTTGTTGAAGAAAATCAGCTGATAAATAAGCAAGCAATGAATTCATACATGCATGAAAGTGATTCAGAAAAAATGCATTTTAAAATTTTAGTTCTCAAAGAAACCAATCTTCTTTTCAACCTTAATAGATTTTATTTTGAAAGTATAGGGCCCGAGTCAATATTTCAGTGTTATCAAAAAACATAATTAATTATGTTAGAGGGGGGGGGCTAAAACGCTATTTAATTATAGTAGCATAGCAGTAGCATGTATTGTATGCTCAGGGGTTAATTAAGGATTTAAGCCCTGTACTTGGTGCAATGTAGAATGACCATTCCTCGAAGGTGTTGCTTTCCAAAATTTGCAAGAGATGCTTGCATCGAATGTTATTTTAGGAAACAATGCCTGAAAAGAATGGTAATTCCACAATGCATTGAGTCTTGGGCTTAAATTCATTTCGCACATTGCAAAATATTTTATACAATATCACTTATTAATAAAAGTCTTCCATTCTGTGGTGTAATGGCCTAGTCACATAGCCCGGCCGATGAGGTTACAATGAGCCAGCGATGCAATTTTCACCGAACTCAGCCGAACACCGGCCGGACATCCGTGGCGTTTGTTGCTTAAAACCGCATCGGTGGTAGCTCGGTGAAATTTAAACTTCGGAGTTAAATTTCACCGGGCTCTCACCGAGCTCCCTCATCATGTCATCGCAGCCCCATCGTAACCACATCGGAAAACACGTCGGCCGGTGCACGGCCGAGTATCGGCCGGTGGCCCGTGCATCTGAGACAACCAGAAGACGAGGTTTTTTAACGGACAGCGGCCGAGCTCCGTCCGAGCTGCGGCCGATGTGGGACAGAGCATCGGCCGGTCACTGTTCAAAGCCCGTTAACAACCCGGCCGGTGAACGCACGGTGTCCTGTTACCTGCTCAGGTACCGGCCGTATTCCTTCCGATGTCCGGCCGACCTCCGGCCGGTAGTTGCTGCCACATCGGCAGAAAAAAACTACCGTTTTGAGACAGACTCCGTACGGTCACCGGCCGGTGTTCGGTCGGTCGCCTGAAGATATCCGGACGGAGTCCGTTCACGTCACCGAGCTCTGCTTCCGATGAGGAGAGCTCGGTGGCACCAAAAAAATCCACCGAGCTCTACCGATGCCGGACATCGGCCGGGCTATGTGACTAGGCCATAAAGGTTAGCACTCTGGACTCTTGGTGCCAAGATCCCGGGTTCAATCCCAGCTTGCGGCAACAGGAGCCAGTTTATGCTTACTAGTACACCAGAGAAGTTGATTACTAGAGTGATACTAACCCGATAAAAGGCCTGTGCTGGCTTGAACTGTCTATGGTTCTAGCCAGGATAAAGATACCAGTTCCTGTCAGATTAATAAGGGGAGCTTAGGATATCAAGTTACATTATCCTACCACACGTATGTGTCTGTGTTAGATATGTAACTCAAATGAAATGACTTGAAATGAAATGACCCAAAAGAATATATTTTCAAGGAAACCTTTTGCAGGGTCACTTCTGTTTGTGTAAGTTGGTATCATGGATCATCACCATGACAATACAGGGCGTATCAAAAAAAACGCAACAGGTAGATATCTCATAAAATCACAAAACTAGTGATGACTACATCAATTTCATTCAATGCACCATAAAGCCATGTCTCTCCTCTTTGCAATGATATGTCATTCATTCACATGTGGTAATGTTTGGGTGAGTAATCCTTCCAATTGCACAGTGGGTCAAGATCGGCTCTGCACCAAGTTTTAGATATTGAAAAAAATCAGTGCAAGGGCTAAGTGCCAATGGAAGTTTCCCTGACTTGTTGTGACTTTTTCTTTTGGAGATATCTCAGGAGCATCTGTGCTCACAATTCCCCCACCAGATATTGCAAAACCTCGAGTAAAAATTGCCCATGGGCTGCTTTTCTCTGTTTTAATCCAGAGATGATTCAGGGCTGAACCATGCATGACGTGGACAGATGAGCACATCTTCATGTGCAAGGAAGTGGCGGCAATGTGGATGGGTATAGGATGTATTCTTGCAAGAGTATGAATATGAACACTTCACTGTCTATGCCACACCTGTCACACCTTCTCCCAATAGCCCCTATGCCCCTTGCACTGACTTTTGCAATGTTTAAAACTTGTGTCCGAGCTGAATTTTGCCCCATTTTGCAAAATTAATGATTATACGGCCAGAGATGACTCCCTGTGAATGAATGATATTCCATTGCAAAGAGGACTAAATTGGATTTTTGGTACATTGAATGAAAAGGATGCAGTCAGCATTGGTTATATGTTTTCTTCCAATATTGCATTGGGCTCCGAACACTGACTTTTGCGATGTTTATAACTTGGCCCCAAGCTAATTTTGGCCTACTTTGCAAATGGAATGATTACTCGCCCAACCATGACCAAATTTCAATGAATGATATATCATTGTAAAGAGGAGACACATGGCTTTATGGTACATTGAATGAAATCAATGCTGTTATCACTGGTTTTGTGCTTTTCCGAGATAACAATCTGTTGCCTTTTTTTTTTATACGCACTGTACAACACTTAACAATTGACCTGCATTAGCATGTGGCTTGTTATATTCCCTATAATACTTTTTTAGAATTTTACTCAAATATGAACTTATCAGTTTATTGGTTTCATCGAACAAAGTTCGGAGGGATATTGGGAACGCCTCCGTCCTTCCGTCCGGGCAATAACTCAAATACCATTGGCCCCATTTTGTTCATATTTTGTACACATATACCCTATGGGACTAGAAGTTCTGCTCGAAAGCCGATTTTCAAAATGGCCACTCATTTAAAAGTGATTTAGGTACAATATGTAAAACTGTAATAGCAATATGTTTTAAATGTAAAAAAATTGTATAGGACATTAATAAAGCTAGAAATGTAGATATTTAAGAAGCACATGGCAGCCATCTTGAAAATTGGCGGCCTTTACTCGTTATTTTACGATTTTTGCTGTAACTCGAAAAGTAGTGGAGCGATTTTGTTCATATTTGGTATGTGAATACTATAAGCATGGCACACTGTCTAATGACACTTTTGGTAGAAGGCGGCCATTTTTCCACCATTTTAACATATTTAACAATAACTCGAAAAGTAATGGAATTTTGTTCATATTTGGTATGTGAATACTATAAGCATGGCACACTGTCTAATGACAGTTTTGGTAGAAGGCGGCCATTTTAACGTATTTTATTATAACTCGAAAAGTAGTGGAGCGATTTTGTTCATACTTGGTATGTGAATACTATAAGCATGGTACACTACACTGTCTAATGACACTTTTGGTAGAAGGTGGCCATTTTGAAAAATGGCAGCCACTTAAACGTATTTTACTATAACTCGAAAAGTAGTTGAGCGATTTTGTTCATATTTGGTATGTGAATACTATAAGCATGGCACACTGTCTAAAGACACTTTTGGTAGATGGCGGCCATTTAAAAAAATGGCCGCCATTTTAACATTTTTTACTATAACTCGAAAAGTAGTGGAGCGATTTTGTTCATATTTGGTATGTGAATACTATAGGCATGGCACACTGTCACTGGCTGTTTGATGGGATTTGCTACGCTTTGGCGTTGCTGTTGTCTAGTTTTACATTAAATCTCTTCTCAATGTATATATTTTAAATTCTTATTTATATATTTACAATTCTCTGTGATATTAATACTGGAAATGATGATCAGATACAGGCTATCCCTAAACACATGTTATATATAAGCTTTAAAATTGGAACTCTATAATTCAGAGGACAATTGTCAAAACTTGATTCTACCTGTTGTTAACTGGTTGTTTTTGTCTCTCAGGTGTTGGCCCGAAGATGGCTCACATAGTTATGATGGTGGCCTGGAATAAGGTCACTGGCATAGGGGTGGATATACATGTACATAGGATCAGCAACAGGTTAGGCTGGGTGAAGAAGCCAACAAAACAACCAGAAGAAACCAGAGTTGCCCTTGAAGACTGGCTTCCAAGGTAAGCTTTTTTCAATTCTAGGCGATTGGAATGACAAAATATTGCTTCTGGGACGAGATCAAGCGACTCTGACATATTCTTTACCCTACCTATTTTGTAATTTAACAAGCAACACAAATATACGTACCATATTTAAGCAGATATCGGACAAATTCATAAAAAAAAGTTTTTGAACGATAAAATCTTTAATTAAGGTGGCAAGGTGTGTCCGATTACAGCCAATCCGAACACACTATTTTATATAACTGAAGTGCATTATATAGCTATTCACAAATAGCTAGGCAAGGAGTGTCCGATTCCAGCCAATCCCAACACAGTATTTCATATAACCGCACTGCATTATATATCCAACAATCGCAACCCAAGGTAATTCGTTGAATGGATGTGAAGGTGACAACTTGTCTCTTCAGATTAAAATTGATGGTTTGCCAACTTAACCTTTGAACAAAGTTTCATTGATAATATGTTCTTTTAGCAATTTCGTAGAAAATATTTTGCAATCTGTGAAAAGAATTTTAGCCTAAGACTTGAGGCAATTTGGCTGATTCATTCCACTCAGGTTTATTTCCTAAACTTCACTGTGCATGCTGTGCATCTCATGCAAAGGTTGAAATAACACCTTTTTGAAGAATGATTCAGTCCACATTGCACTGAGTCCAGGGCTTAAATCCTTAAATCACCGCATCCAAGGTCATTCCTTATGTGGTTGTGAAGGTGACAACTTTACTTGACTACAGATTGAAATTGATGCTTTGCCAACTTGACCTTTGCAAAAAGTTTCATTGAAAGTTTGTTCTTTCTTCTGATTTCTTATCTTCAATGTGTGAAAAAAATTTAAGCCCAAGACTCAATGCATTGTGGAATGACCATTACTTTCAGGTGTCATTTCCTAAAATGATCACTCGATGTTGCGCATCTCATGCAAATTTTGGAAAGCAACACCTTCAGTGGTCATTCTACATTGCACTGAGTCTAAGGCTTAAAACCTTAACTCATTGCTGGCCAAAGCTACATATTTTGGAGGTTTTCTGTTGGTGACCGGCCATTTTGATGAAAAATTTAGCAAGATAGAATGTTTTCATATTAGCATAAAATGGACTGTATTAACACCCTCTGTGCTATGTGTTATGCCATTGTGAAGCCAATGACAATATATTTCAATTGCACCCAACCATATTCCCCTAGTAACCGCAACAATATTTGTCAAGATTATTGGTACAAATTGTGTGACAATTATTGGACAGCACCCAGAGATATCTCGGGGTTGGTCAGCAATGAGTTAAGCAATCGTTTGAAGCTTTTATATTTCAACAAAAGGTCATTTGACAGTGAATTTATTTTATTGTTGACCATTCTTTTGGTTTGTCCTTCTGTCTTTCTGTCAGTCAGCAATAGGGCTATGTTTTAAAACCTGGGTCGATAGGATTCCTGTCTAAGTTATTTTGGTTCCTCTTCTAATCAATGCTGAAATCCCTCTATGAGTTCTGGTTAAAAAGCTCTCCTATTTTCAGTGGTTTTATAAATAATTTCAAGTGTCCTGCATTCTAAAAACCTATGTCACTGTTAACAGAAGTCTTGTGAGATAATCTTGTTTTGTAAATAATGGGAAAGATCCACTAGTATATCGTCAGCCATTTTAGTTATCACATTAGTTGTCCATCTGTCTCTCTGTCAGACAATAATAGTGCCACATTTTAAAACCTGAGTTGATAGGATTCCCATTAAGTTATTTTGTTTCTGATTTTATTTCCAGAGACCTTTGGAGAGAAACTAATGGACTTCTGGTGGGATTTGGCCAACAGACATGCCTTCCTGTAAACCCTAAATGCATAACTTGCCTAAACAATAGACTTTGTCCTCATGGTAGAGCTTCCACTAGATATAATCTTGTCAACAAACAATGAACTCTTTCATCATGGTACAGCTACTTTTAAATATAACTGTAACAGTCAACACAATGAGCTTTGTCACCATGTTATTGCTGCTGCAAGATGCAACATTGTGACATAGTCAACAAATAATGAACTCTGTCACCATTGTAAAGCTACTTCAAGATATAACACTGTAACAGTCAACAATGAGCTCTGTCAACATGGAGTGCTGCTGCAAAAATGACTCACTGACAAAAAGTCAACAAACTATGATCACTGTCAGCGTAATGTAGTGCTACTTCTAGATAAAGCATTGTCAATATTGCCAGTTTTCTTCTTAAATCTACCGATATGGTCAAAACTCAAGATCTAGGTCAAACCTTGTGTTTTCACTTTTTCTGCATTGTCCTTTCTGCATTTTTTCTCAGTTTTTATCACACCATCGATGGGATATAGTTGTCATGATGACAAAGTGAGCGTTGTCGTGGTTATCCCATTTTTGTCATTGCGATTTCAGGTAAACCGCTCATCGGATCTTCTCCAAACTCGCACACTTTATTGAGGATATCAAGTTTTAAAGCTGATTAACTTTTGGGTGGCCATCTTGTTTTACTTCAGCCAATTTGAAGGTTTTTAGATAAATCTTGTCATTGCCATTTCAGGAAACCTGCTCATCGGATTTTCTCCAAATTCGCACACATGATAGAGGATATCAAGTTCTAGAGCTGATTGCCATTTCAGGAAAACCGCTCATCGGATTTTCTCCAAATTTGCACACCTGATAGAGGATATCAAGTTCTAGAGCTGATTAACTTTTAGGAGGCTATCTTGTTTTCTGGTGGCCATTTTGAAGGTTTCTCAATAAATCTTGCCATTTCAGGAAAACCGCTCATCGGATTTTCTCCAAATTTGCACATCTGATAGACAATATCAAGTTCTATAGCTGATAAACATTTGGGTGGCCATCTTGTCTTCTGGTGGCCATTATGAAGGTTTTTCGATGAACCTTGTCATCACCATATCCGGAAAACCGCTCGTCAGATCAGATTTCACACACATGATAGATATCAAGTTCTAGAGCTAAATAACTTTTGGGCAGCCATCTTGTTTTCTGGTGGCCATTTTGAAGGTTTTTCGTTGTTGCGCTCTCATTCACGTCATGACCATGTGCCTTGTTTTTATTGTGTTCCTTATAAAGACCATTTTTGGTTTCTCGTACCATTTTTCTGTTTTTCAAATATAAGTGTCCAAAAATAAGAGCAACTCCACGGAGTAGCAAATCCAACTGAACAAAACATACTTGATATTTAGTGGCCATCTTGAAAATTTCTTCTTGAACAGAGCATATGACCATACAAACCAAATTGAACCAAATAAATCCACTGGTATTTTTTAAAAAATGGCAGCCATTTTAATAAAATTTGATTGCCATCTTGAAATTTTTCTTGAGCAGAGCTCCTTTGTCCTTAGTTCAGTAATTAGCACCATATAAAATTTCAACCAAATCTATCTACTGATAGTTGAGCTATCAAAGATTACATTTTTAACGACAAATTGCAGCCATTTTGATAAATAGCAGCCATCATGGAAATAACTTCTTGAGCAGACCCCTTTTATCTCTAAGCATTAGCATATAAAATCAAATCCATCCACTGGTATTTGATATATCAAAGATAACATTTTTACGAAAAATGAGGCCATTTTGAAATTCAGCTGTCATCTGCAAAACGTCCTCTCAAAAGAGTTCATTTGTCCCTAGGCATCAGCAACTAAAATTTGAACTAAATCCATCCACTGATATTTTAGTTATCAAAGATTACGTTTTTTAAACAAAATGGCAGCCATTTTGAAATTTAACCGCCATCTTGAAATTGTCTTCTGCAGAGCTCCTCTGTTCATTGGCATTGACATATAAAATTTGAACCAAATCCATTAATTGGCATTTGAGTTATCAAAGATTATGTTGTTGTTTTTTCGAGGTCTCCTCTGCCGAAGGCAGCGCGAAGTAGGAGCGTAGCGACTACTTTGCGGGAGACCTCGAACCATTGATCACGTTTGCTCCTGTAATTATTCACTTCTTCACCTCTTTAAAATGTGATTTCAATCAGTTGATCAAATTTTCGAACTTTGAACTCAAATTCAAATATTAATATTTATTAGAAAAAATACTGACTCATTATTATATTTTTAAAAGTCTTTCAAATAAAGTGAAATGAAGCCAAAATCAGCTAAAATTATGCAATGTCGTAAAATGGCGTGACTGGAATATGATGCAATCACCTGTGACGTCAGACACGTATTGCCGCATCAACAACTAAACAAACAATTAACATAGACTTCACTGATTGGTTTAAAGATTCTTCGCATCATTTGTGACGTCATAAACATGTTACCCAACCAACAACTAAACAAATAACAAATTGACATATAGGTTCGTTCAGTGCAACGCTCTTGAATCAGTTATAAACAGGATAATCAACAGATAAGAGGGTCGGGGATTTTTTGACTTGGAGACCTCGACTCGAGGAGTTTTGCTGCATTTTCTTGTTACGAAAAATGGCGGCAGTTTTGCAATTCAGCCACCATCTTGAATATTCTTTCTTGAACAGAGCTACTGTGTCCCTAGGCATCAGCATCTAAAATCTGGGCCAAAACCACTCACTGGTATTTGATCTATCAAAAATTATGTTTTTCTACGGAAAATGGTGGCCATTTTGAAATTTAGTTGCCATCTTGAAAAGTACTGTGTCCCTAGACATCAGCATATAAAATCTGTTCACTGGTATGAGTTGTCAAAGATTATCTTTTTATGAAAAACGGGGGCCATTTTGAAATTCAGCTGCCATCTTGGAAATTCTTACTTAAACAGAGCTACTATGTTCCTAGGTATCAGCATATTAAATTTTAACCTAATCTGTTCACTGGTTTTTGAGTTATCAAAGATTACTTTTTTATGAAAAAATGGCGGCCATTTGAATTAGGCAACCATATTGAAAATTCCTTCTTGGGCAGAGGTCCTACACCGATAAGGCATAATCTTATAAAATTTGAATCAAATCCATTAACCGGTATTTGAGTTATGGTTCGGACAAACAAATGGACGAGCGAACACTGATGGACGGCTTCTCTATATCCCTACAAACTTCGTTTGGTGGGATAATGAATCTTGTCAAATTAATCTGCTAGTATCAGAATTGAAATCGAATTCCAATGTACATTCTAGTATGACATTTTGAAATTTAAAAAGAATGAAATGATGATTGTTAATAATTATCCCAAGAATGTCTGTCAGTCTGTCCAACCAGAAAATAACTTGAATACTAGTGGATAGATTTTCTTTATATTTGGTTGAAAGATGTATGGATATTAGTAAATTGATTTATGCAAAAATATTTTCGAAGATGGCCACTGCTTTATAAATGTGTGGACATTTTTTCACAAATATTTTTCATTTCCAAGCAAAGTAATAAGAACATACTAATATTATTGGCAGATTAGTGTCTACAACTGATTATGTGCTGAATAAATTACATGATGACCATTAAACATGCAATTTATGTTGTGTGGCTTGTTGAACTCTCAAGGATAAGACAGTATCAATCTAGTTGGTGTTTTGCTCTTCAAGTACCATTTACTGCGTGTCTTCTAGTTCCTTGAGATGGAATTTTCATTCGACAATTTTTAAAATCATCCAAATGAATCAGATGCCTGATTACTTGAAGTGTACTTGAAAAAATGAATAAACACATACTTCAATAAATAGCAACAAATAGTTTATTATGTTATCTTTGCAAATGTTTAATTTAAAGTTTTAATGTGGAAAACCAAACATTTGACACATGGTATTTGCTACATAGTCAGTGTTCTATATAACATGTATAATGCAGTGTGTTGATTTAAAATATGTCACTAAATATGTCACAGCAAGGTAATGGCATCCACAGACTGAGTTTAGTTCATCTGTCCATCTTGTATTGTGAATTGCTTTCATTTGGTGCTATTGAATTTGGAAAATTGGGCAAATTTTAGCTACTATTCAATTTGGATAATTTACCATCATCAATTGTAATACTCACTTCACAGCTTACCACCGATAACACAATTTCATCTTTACTGGTATCAGATTGTTTTATCTAGACTACTATCTAACTCTTTAGATCTTTGTAAATAGTTAAAAATTGACAATATAGCCATGATATAATCAAGTTTTTAACCAAAGTTTTAATGTTTAAGGCAATGCATGAAAAAGGCACTGGACGAAAATTACTGGGCATTTCATTTTCAAAAGTTGGCGGAGATTTATTTTGAAGGTTGTTATCAAACCACCAAATTAAAGCAATTCACAGAAATCCTTATGCCAATAAATAGTTTTTCATTTGGTGTAATTTAAAATTATGAAATGTCCTTTGAAAAGTAAAACAACACTTCTTTTATACCATTACTTATACAGCTCAAGTCATTGATTTTAACTTAAATCTTTGATGTTGAGGATCTGGTAATACATGTACAAATGTCTTTTTGATTATGACACCATCTTTAACTGGCTGGTAAAGAGGACTCTCTGGATAAGGATTGACAAACTCTGTAGACAGCTTCACTGTACCAGGAACAAGAGCAATCAATGTAGCATTCTTAGCACATCCAACCTGTAACATAATAACATGAACAATCAATATAGCATTCTTAGCACATCCAACCTGTAACATAACAACATGAACAATCAATATAGCATTCTTAGCACATCCAACCTGTAACATGAACAAACATCTAACCTGTAACATAACAACATGAACAATCAATATAGCATTCTTAGCACATCCAACCTGTAACATAACAACATGAACAATCAATATAGCATTTTTAGCACATCCAACCTGTAACATAACAACATGAACAATCAGTATAGCATTCTAAGCACATTCAACCTGTAACATAACAACATGAACATTCAATATAGCATTCTTAGCACATCAAACCTGTCACATAACAACATGAACAATCAATATAGCATTTTTAGCACATCCAACCTGTAACATAACAACATGAACAATCAGTATAGCATTCTAAGCACATCCAACCTGTAACCTAACAACATGAACCAGAACAACGGCAACGCCAAATGAGCGAATCCCATCTAACAGTTATGGCTGGCATTTTTACAAACAAAGTATATAGCAAAAATGGCAGCCATTTTTCAAAATGGCCACCTTCTACCAAAAGTGTCATTAGACACTGTGCCATACTTAAAGTATTCACATACAAAATATGAACAAATCGCTCCCCTACTTTTCGAGTTATAGTAAAATACGTTAAAATGGCAGCCATTTTTCAAAATGGCCACCTTCTACCAAAGTGTCATTAGACAGTGTGCCATGTTTATAGTATTCACATACCAACACATCCAACCTGTAACATAACATGAACAATCAATATAGCATACTGTACTTAGCACATCCAACCTGGAACATAACATTAGCAATCAATATAGCATACTTAGCACATCCTACCTGTAACATAGAAACATGAGCAATCAACAGACTTGCCAACCCAAAATGAAAAATTTTTGGGGGTTTAAAAAAAATTGCGGTACTTTTACGGGAGATTTTTGAAAAAAACGGTAGTTTTTATGGGAGATTTAAAAAACGGGAGTTTTTGCGGTAAATTTTGAAAAAAATGTGTATTTTTCGCGGTACATTTTAAAAAACGACTTTTTTTAAGGAAGATTTCATTAAAAATGGGGAGTTTTTGAGGTAGGTTTTGAAAAAACAGGAGTTTTTGCAGTATATTTTAAAAAAAACAGGAGTTTTTACGGTAGATTTCTGAAAAAACTGGAGTTTTTACGGTAGATTTCTGAAAAAACGGGAGTTTTTCAGTAGATTCTGAAAAAACGGGAGTTTTTACGGTAGATTTTGAAAAAACAGAAGTTTTTACGGTCGATTTCTGAAAAACTGGAGTTTTTACGGTAGATTTCGGAAAAAACTGGAGTTTTTACGGTAGATTTTGAAAAAACGGGAGTTTTTACGGTAGATTTCTTAAAAAACGGGAGTTTTTACTTTAGATTTTGAAAAAACAGGAGTTTTTACGGTAGATTTTGAAAAACGGGAGTTTTTACGGTAGATTTCTTAAAATACGGGAGTTTTTACTTTAGATTTTGAAAAAACTGGAGTTTTTACGGTAAATTTTGAGAGAACAGGAGTTTTTACGATAGATTTCGGAAAAAACGGGAGTTCTTACGGTAGGTTTCGGAAAAAACGGGTGTTTTTACTGTAGATTTTGAAAAAATATGAATTTTTACGGTAGATTTCTGAAAAAACAGGAGTTTTTACGGTAGATTTTGAAAAAACGGGAGTTTTTACGGTATTAAATCTTGGTTGAAATTATTATGACGCATACGCAGTTAATAAATTAATTAGAACTTATAATCTAAGATAGATGTCACTTACGTTCATTATTTCACAGCAGTCCCTACCCATAATGCGCCTTATATTGCGGGAACATTTTGTTTAGCGCCCATATAAAAAAAATGTATTCTCCCGACAGAAGTATGACAGAATATGAACTGGCCCGTTTGTGGACATTTGGTGTGCAAACTTATACCGAACTGATCGCAGAAAAGCAATTTGAATCATGGGAATGAAGTACTTTAAGTTATTTATGAAAGTGCCAATCCTTCTTGGAGTAAAAGAAAGAAGCGTGCCTGCAATAATCAAGGTCACACATTTGTCAAATTCCTTTTAAATACGGTAGATTTCGACAGCAAAAAAAACGGGGAGATTTTACGGGAGTTATACCAATAATACGGGAGATTTTACGGGAGTTATACCAGAATACGGGAGATTTTACGGGAGATTTCAGCAAAAATACGGGAGATTTTAAGGCCATATATTTTTTTTTTAAATTACGGAAGATTTTAGTAGAAATACGGTACTGGAGTTTTTACGGATGAAAACGGTACGGGAGTTTGGTATTTTTTACAGAAAAACAAAAAATTTACGGGAGATTTCCGTAAAAAACGGGAGGTTGGCAAGTCTGAATCAATATAGCATTTTTAGCACATTCTACTTGTAACATAACAACATGAACCAGAACAACGGCAACGCCAAAGCGTAGCGAATCCCATCGAACATTTATCAAAACGGGCACCTTCTACCAAAAGTGTCATTAGACAGTGTACCATGCTTATAATATTCACATACCAAATATGAACAAAATCGCTCCACTACTTTTCGAGTTATAGTAAAAAACGTAAAAATGGCGGCCATTTTGAAAAATGGCCGCCTTCTACCAAAAGTGTCATTAGACAGTGTGCCATGCTGATACGTATTCACGTACCAAATATGAACAAAATCTATAAACACTATAGTCCTCGACTCATCGGGTTGTCGTCTCACCCCTATACAACATTTATAGTATTCACATACCAACACATCCAACCTGTAACATAACATGAACAATCAATATAGCATACTGTACTTAGCACATCCAACCTGGAACATAACATTAGCAATCAATATAGCATACTTAGCACATCCTACCTGTAACATAGAAACATGAGCAATCAACAGACTTGCCAACCCAAAATGAAAAATTTTTGGGGGTTTAAAAAAAATTGCGGTACTTTTACGGGAGATTTTTGAAAAAAAACGGTAGTTTTTATGGGAGATTTAAAAAACGGGAGTTTTTGCGGTAAATTTTGAAAAAAATGTGTATTTTTCGCGGTACATTTTAAAAAACGACTTTTTTTAAGGAAGATTTCATTAAAAATGGGGAGTTTTTGAGGTAGGTTTTGAAAAAACAGGAGTTTTTGCAGTATATTTTAAAAAAAACAGGAGTTTTTACGGTAGATTTCTGAAAAAACTGGAGTTTTTACGGTAGATTTCTGAAAAAACGGGAGTTTTTCAGTAGATTCTGAAAAAACGGGAGTTTTTACGGTAGATTTTGAAAAAACAGAAGTTTTTACGGTCGATTTCTGAAAAACTGGAGTTTTTACGGTAGATTTCGGAAAAAACTGGAGTTTTTACGGTAGATTTTGAAAAAACGGGAGTTTTTACGGTAGATTTCTTAAAAAACGGGAGTTTTTACTTTAGATTTTGAAAAAACAGGAGTTTTTACGGTAGATTTTGAAAAACGGGAGTTTTTACGGTAGATTTCTTAAAATACGGGAGTTTTTACTTTAGATTTTGAAAAACTGGAGTTTTTACGGTAAATTTTGAGAGAACAGGAGTTTTTACGATAGATTTCGGAAAAAACGGGAGTTCTTACGGTAGGTTTCGGAAAAAACGGGTGTTTTTACTGTAGATTTTGAAAAAATATGAATTTTTACGGTAGATTTCTGAAAAAACAGGAGTTTTTACGGTAGATTTTGAAAAAACGGGAGTTTTTACGGTATTAAATCTTGGTTGAAATTATTATGACGCATACGCAGTTAATAAATTAATTAGAACTTATAATCTAAGATAGATGTCACTTACGTTCATTATTTCACAGCAGTCCCTACCCATAATGCGCCTTATATTGCGGGAACATTTTGTTTAGCGCCCATATAAAAAAAATGTATTCTCCCGACAGAAGTATGACAGAATATGAACTGGCCCGTTTGTGGACATTTGGTGTGCAAACTTATACCGAACTGATCGCAGAAAAGCAATTTGAATCATGGGAATGAAGTACTTTAAGTTATTTATGAAAGTGCCAATCCTTCTTGGAGTAAAAGAAAGAAGCGTGCCTGCAATAATCAAGGTCACACATTTGTCAAATTCCTTTTAAATACGGTAGATTTCGACAGCAAAAAAAACGGGGAGATTTTACGGGAGTTATACCAATAATACGGGAGATTTTACGGGAGTTATACCAGAATACGGGAGATTTTACGGGAGATTTCAGCAAAAATACGGGAGATTTTAAGGCCATATATTTTTTTTTTAAATTACGGAAGATTTTAGTAGAAATACGGTACTGGAGTTTTTACGGATGAAAACGGTACGGGAGTTTGGTATTTTTTACAGAAAAACAAAAAATTTACGGGAGATTTCCGTAAAAAACGGGAGGTTGGCAAGTCTGAATCAATATAGCATTTTTAGCACATTCTACTTGTAACATAACAACATGAACCAGAACAACGGCAACGCCAAAGCGTAGCGAATCCCATCGAACATTTATCAAAACGGGCACCTTCTACCAAAAGTGTCATTAGACAGTGTACCATGCTTATAATATTCACATACCAAATATGAACAAAATCGCTCCACTACTTTTCGAGTTATAGTAAAAAACGTAAAAATGGCGGCCATTTTGAAAAATGGCCGCCTTCTACCAAAAGTGTCATTAGACAGTGTGCCATGCTGATACGTATTCACGTACCAAATATGAACAAAATCGCTCCACTACTTTTCGAATTATAGTAAAATAAGTTAAAATGGCAGCCATTTTTCAAAATGTCCGCCATTTTTCAAAATGGCCGCCTTCTACCAAAAGTGTCATTAGACAGTGTGCCATGCTTACAGTATTCACATACCGAATATGAATAAAATCGCTCCACTACTTTTCGAGTAATAGTAAAATACGTTAAAATGGCGGCCATTTTGAAAAATGACCGCCTTCTACCAAAAGTGTCATTAGACAGTGTGCCATGCCTATAGTATTCACATACCAAATATGAACAAAATCGCTCCACTACTTTTCGAGTTACAGCAAAAATCGTAAAATAACGAGTAAAGGCCGCCATTTTTCAAGATGGCTGCCATGTGCTTTTTTAATATCTACATTTCTAGCTTTATTAATGTCCTATATAATTTTTTTACATTTAAAACATATTGCTATTACAGTTTTACATATTGCACCTAAATTACTGTAAAATCGGCACTAAAATGGCCGCCATTTTTAAATGAGCAGCCATTTTGAAAATCGGCTTTCGAGCAGAACTTCTACCCCCATAGGGTATATGTGTACAAAATATGAATAAAATCGGGGCGTTCCCTATATCCCTCCGAACTTCGTTCGATGGGATAACAATCAATATAGCATTCTTAGCACATCCAACCTGTAACATAACAACATGAGCAATCAATATAGCATTCTTAGCACATTCAACCTGTAACATAACAACATGAACATTCAATATAGCATTTTCAGCACATCCAACCTGTAACATAACAACATGAGCAATCAATATAGCATACTTAGCACATTCTACCTGTTACATAACAACATGAACAATCAATATAGCATTCTTAGCACATCCAACCTGTAACATAACAACATGAACAATCAATAAAGCATTCTTAGCACATCCAACCTGTAACATAACAACATGAGCAATCAATATAGCATTCTTAGCACATTCTACCTGTAACATAACAACATGAACAATCAATATAGCATTCTTAGCACATCAAACCTGTAACATAACAACATGAACAATCAATAAAGCATTCTTAGCACATTCTACCTGTAACATAACAACATGAACAATCAATATAGCATTCTTAGCACATTCTACCTGTAACATAACAACATGAACAATCAATATAGCATTCTTAGCACATTCTACCTGTAACATAACAACATGAACAATCAATATAGCATTCTTAGCACATCCAACCTGGAACATAACAACATGAGCAATCAGTATAGCATTCTTAGCACATTCTACCTGTAACATAACAACATGAACAATCAATATAGCATTCTTAGCACATCAAACCTGTAACATAACAACATGAGCAATCAATATAGCATTCTTAGCACATCAAACCTGTAACATAACAACATGAACAATCAATATAGCATTCTTAGCACATCCAACCTGTAACATAACAACATGAACAATCAGTATAGCATTCTTAGCACATCCAACCTGTAACATAACAACATGAACAATCAATATAGCATTCTTAGCACATCCAACCTGGAACATAACAACATGAGCAATCAGTATAGCATTCTTAGCACATTCTACCTGTAATAGGGGTGAGACGACAACCCGATGAGTCGAGGACTCGCGGGTTAGGGGCTTCGAGTCAAGTCGAATCGAGTAGAAGTTGATGAATCGAATCATTTTCGAGTTGAGAAAAAAATTCGAAAAAATAAAAAAATTCAGAAAAATACTGTCAATATGCATGTTTTTACTCGATATTGCGTTGAATATATAAGTTTCAATGACTTGGATATGCTTGTATTAAATTATTATATTGTATGTACACATAAATGAAAGAATATATGTAATAAAATCAGAATAAACTTACGACGAATTGTGTTTGTTTATATTTCCGGCTTTCCACCATTGACGCATTAAAAATACGAACGGTCAAAAGCGATGTTGTTCGCACTTCGCGCGACTCGAAACGGATTCGAAACTCGAATCGTCATTTTCTGACTCGAATCAGATTCGACTCGAATCGGATTTTTTCGACTCGTCTCACCCCTAACCTGTAACATAACAACATGAACAATCAATATAGCATTCTTAGCACATCAAACCTGTAACATAACAACATGAACAATCAATATAGCATTCTTAGCACATCCAACCTGTAACATAACAACATGAACAATCAGTATAGCATTCTTAGCACATCCAACCTGTAACATAACAACATGAACAATCAATATAGCATTCTTAGCACATCAAACCTGTAACATAACAACATGAACAATCAATATAGCATTCTTAGCACATCCAACCTGTAACATAACAACATGAACAATCAGTATAGCATTCTTAGCACATTCTACCTGTAACATAACAAGATGAACAATCAATAAAGCATTCTTAGCACATCCAACCTGTAACATAACAACATGAACAATCAATAAAGCATTTTTAGCACATCAAACCTGTAACATAACAACATGAACAATCAATAAAGCATTCTTAACACATCCAACCTGTAAAATAACAAAATGAGCAATCAATATATAGCATTTTTAGCACATTCAACCTGTAACATAACAACATGAACATTCAGTATAGCATTCTAAGCACATCCAACCTGTAACATAACAACATGAACAATCAATATAGCATTCTAAGCACATCCAACCTGTAACATAACAACATGAACATTCAGTATAGCATTCTAAGCACATCCAACCTGTAACATAACAACATAAACAATCAATATAGCATTTTTAGCACATCAAACCTGTAACATAACAACATGAACAATCAATATAGCATTTTTAGCACATCCTACCTGTAACATAACAACATGAACAATCAGTATATCATTCTTAGCACATCCTACCTGTAACATAACAACATGAACAATCAATAGCATTTTAACACATCCAACCTGTAACATAACAACATGAACAATCAATATAGCATACTTAGCACATCCAACCTGGAACATAACAACATGAACAATCAATATAGCATTCTTAACACATCCAACCTGTAACATAACAACATGAACATTCAATATAGCATTCTTAGCACATCCAACCTGTAACATAACAACATGAACAATCAATATAGCATTCTTAGCACATCCAACCTGTAACATAACAACATGAACAATCAATATAGCATTTTTAGCACATCCAACCTGTAACATAACAACATGAACAATCAGTATAGCATTCTAAGCACATCCAACCTGCAACATAACATGAGCAATCAATATAGCATTCTTAGCACATCCAACCTGTAACATAATAACATGAACAATCAATATAGCATTTTTAGCACATCCAACCTGTAACATAATAACATGAACATTCAATATAGCATTCTTAGCACATCCAACCTGTAACATAACAACATGAACAATCAATATAGCATTCTTAGCACATCCAACCTGTAACATAACAACATGAACAATCAATATAGCATTCTTAACACATCCAACCTGTAACATAACAACTTGAACAATCAGTATAGCATTCTTAGCATGTTCTAGTATGTTCTTAGTATGTTCTACTTACATTCTCTCCAGGATAGTATTTCAGGCCTAGTTGAGTACATAAGATGTTCCCTTGCTGAGCAAACTCTCCATCTGACAATACCAGGCGTCTATGTTTACCAGGTGTGTTCTTACGCTTGTTCCTTGATGACCCACCAGCCTTTTTAGAGGCATTTCTCACTTGGATGCCAACATCTGAAACCACGCCAAAAAGACTAACAAGGATTGCCGTGATCTGTCTTTAGGTAGATGTGTACTTCAGGCCATTTTGATGCAACCCTCATATAGAGTGACATGTTATTCTTATTTTATGAGCTATTGCAATCACTCACTTGTCCGTTTGTCTGTCCGTCCATCTGTCTGTCTGTCCGTCTGTCAACAATTGGCTCTTTTTAAATCCTCTGTCAATCCTCTATCACTAGGATTCCTGTTTTAAGTTATTTTTGTTTAACATCAATACAGAAAAAACCTATGACTCCTGGTTCAAAAGTTCGCCTATTCTAAAAATGGCCACACTCTATTTAGCTCCCTTCACACCCTATTGGCAAATCATGACTATTTCCATAGTCTAAACTTGACTGATTATACAATTATAGCATGTAAAAAGGATTAAATATAAAATAAATATGATTGACTGGTTATTCTATAGATGTAAGCACCACACCCTAAATATTTCCTCAGAAGAAGTGAGTAGCTCCCATAATTCTTTCATATTCTATCATATTCGGGGATTCCCCATTATGTCGTCTCCTGCATCATCTCCAATCAAATTACAGGATGCGATCACGTGAACAATCATGAGCATGTGTTCTCTCAGGGCTGCACATGCGCAAAGTAAAACTTGAAATCGTGGAAATGGCGTTAACATCAGTTCAATATCATCATTTTAAACCTACGATAATACTATTGAAGTTACTCGATCCAAACTTGTAGAGAATACTCATAAAACTACAACGCACATTGGGAGATTCAGTTCAGTTCGAACGTGCCAATATGAAAGGTCATCTTTGGGAAATCTCCCCCCCCCTGTATTTCCTGGTGAGGGCCCTGTATATGATGTGATATTTGGTATGGTATATTGTGATATAAGTTATGATATATGATATGAATATGATATGTGATATAGTATGATATATGATATGACATGATATATGATGTAATATGACACATGATATGATATGATCATGATATATGATATGATGTGCAATGATAAATGATTCAACATGATATATGTAATAAGATATTATACCATATCATATTATAATGTAATACATACAGATCATACTTAGGTGGTTCAAAACGTTTTGCAATTGATGCCATAACTTCAGGGAAAATAGGACTTTTACAATGAAACTTGGTACACATATGTGTTATACATTTATACATTATATGTTCAAATTTGGGATCTCAATTTTGATTGGTCCTGTGATATGGTTGCTATGGTAACCAGAATGGTGGGTACCATGTTCAACCCGAAATTACGTTTTTACAAACAGTTTTCTTGCTTGAATAAACTCTTTGTAAAGTGGCAATTAGCAGGTGTAAGTGTCTTTGGGGGGGTCAACCCAGTTGTCCGAAACCCAGTTGTCCGAAATCCAATTCTCAGAAACCCAATTTTCCGAAACCCAGTTATCCGAAACCCAGTTCTCCGAAAATTAGGGGATATTATCTAAAAATACAATTTCTTAAAACGAATCTTGTCGCAACCTCTGTGAATCACGACAACATAACATTGGAATCACGTTAACATCATTGCAAAATTAGGCTAAATATGCTAAGTCAAGACGTTAATTATTTAATGTTTAGCCTACGAAAGTTCATGGGTAACTTGTAAACTACAAAATACAACCAAATACTTTTCGAACGTACAATAGCAATATTTCTCACCTAACGTCTTCATAGGTTTAGGAACGTATTTTAAACGAATGATAGCCAAATATATCAAGATACTATATCTGCCTAAATGTAGTTATCTAGTATTCACAAAGTTTTGAAACATATTTTATCCAGATCCATCAGAAATCAACTTATCCAATAAATTACTTTACTAGTTCTAGTATCTTGCATGACTCGTTCATAAGAATTCTTTAATTCTACCTCATTCTCAATACGTCCTCAGACAGACAAGAAATTGAAGTCACGCCCATTTTTTTGCGTGACAGAATATGCCACGCAAATCTATATGTATACGCACTTTCTCTGATTATTGTCAAACAAATCAGGAGAAGAACATAAAAAACAAATGCCGGAAACGAATGCTGAAAAATAAATCCTTGGAGATGATTAAGTTTAGAATGTTTTGTTCTAGCTTTTACGATTTGATAGAGACAGAGACTAAGAAAATAAATGCGACGAAATATTTTGACACTGTTTTATTTTTAAAGTTCTATGCGTTAACTTATTTTATCTGTTTCAAAATGTTTCATTTTATTTTGCTTAAAGAGATTGAAGAAGATAAGATAAACTGTTCCGTAATATATATTGTGTTTTATAACCTTTTTTAGAATCACAATGTAAAATAAATCCCCCGTTCCTGCCATTCTATCCCATTAATTTTGCCAAATACATGGCATGAAACTCTCCTTTCTCTGGTAAATTATGACTATATTTTTCGGAGAATTGGGTTTCGGACAACTGGGTTTCGGACAACTGGGGTGTCTTTGGGTGGCTATTTTTCTTCAAATTCTTCAATTTTTCTAATTGTCTCTATGACATCATAATCGACAAGTGACACGATAAGTTTCTTTGTGATGTATACTGTCCAAAACCCAGTTGAAAAATTGAGATGGAAAAGTGAGGAAATTTACCAAAATGGCAGATGTTTCCACACCAATCAAATTGATGAAATGGAAGCATAGAAATCTGATACAGTGCATGGTTCAAAATGGCAAGACTAAGATAAGATATAACGAAACATATGAGTTAAAAAATAAATCGTGAAGCATTCTTAATATTTTTATGAAAAATAGCATGCTCCGTCACAGCGGACAAATCTTTCGATACCAGCCTGTGATTTAGAGTATTAATCGCGCTGCATCGTCAATTTTGTATCACACTCTCCACACGACACAGTGGCTGATGTCAAACTTAAATGTTCACACCCCTTTTTGTACCCCTTTATTTCTTTTTCAGTGACATCAACTACAAAAACATCATGCAGTATAGGCCTATTACAACAACAACAACAAGTGTAACTACTGCGAAGGCCAAAGTAAGTAGTATTTCCATTAACCTATTACACTCAGAGCAAGTGTAAGTTGTCACTCGTTACTTTTTCTTGACTGAAATTCCCTACAAAATTTCCATGGTCATCACCCTGATTTCCTGATTTTGAGAGAATACATCGTCGCATGAAAATAACTTTGTACTATCTCACATTTTTACGGAACTGAGAAATCAAGGTTTGAAAGTTTAGAGGTCTGTATCTTACTTAGTATTGCTATGTGAAACTTGATTTTTTGTATGTCACCTGGTCTCACCCTAGATATATCTTATATGAAATATCATACCTCGAAACAATTTACAAGATCCTTTTTTAAAACTATGGAAATGGAGTTGATACAATTTCCCACCGGAATAACAGCTTATTTCTAATTTCAAATTGTCATATCTGATATCAACTGTTTCAACCAATCAACTCTCTAAGAATTGGTCATGTGACTTGCAAAACTTGGAGTTATAACAATCTTATATTAAAACAAAGTATGCAAATATGCATGTTATTGTATCTAGAATGAAAAATAATGTTTTGCTTCGTAAAAAAATCTTCAAAAACCAAAGAATATTATCTAATAAAATAAAGAAAATTCAATTTATAAAACTTTAAAATCAATTTCTCAAATAAGTACAATTATTTCTTAATTTTGGAATCTCAGGACACCCTTCAAAAAGAATTTATTGCCTTTGCAACTAAGGCAGAAGTACAATGCATTGAAACCAATGATGCCAATACGGTCCCCCACATATTTCCCTCGGTATAAACCCTGTAGCCTAAACCTCCCAGCACATTACAATGTAGCCCCTAAGGGCCGGTCCGCTGGTTATTATCAGGTCATTTTTGATAAAGACCAGTTGATTTTTTCACTGGGTATAGGAGAATAACATTGCAACTGGTCTGTAATTCCATTTTTACCAGCAAGTTTTACGATCCTTAGGGCCTAAGACATAACCAATTTTTATTACATGCACATGGAAGAAATTTGAAAATAGAAAAATAATTTCTAATTCATTTTAGATTAGTGAAAGTGATGAAACCTCGATTTAGGTAATCACATTTTGTTCATTGGAATGCAGCTATCATTATCCATTCATTTTCTGTTGTTTGCTACTCTGTGGAGTACAATTGGGAATTGAAGCAATTGTAGAAGTGGAGACTAAGAGTGGCTCTTTGTAAAGAAATTGAACCAATTTGTTACTTTTCCAAAATAAAATATAGATGATCTAAAAACAATGATCCCAAAAATGCAAAAGAAAGGACAAATCTGAAAAACATACTAGTAATAAAATAACTTAAAAGATCCCAGATGTTCAGTGAAAAGCGCAAAGTAAATCATAGATGAAGAGAAAATAAAATAAGTGTTTTAAGGGACTATACTAACATAAAGATAACTCCTTATTGATATAGTGTATGGTCAGTAAAAGTTAAAGCTAGTTTAAATAGATTTAGCTTTTTTCCACAAACTATAAAACATCATTTTGAAAGAGATTTCAATAGCATACAGACAGTGATTGCCTTTGAGCAATGTAGTGCAAAATATGACAGTTACTATTTGTTTTGATTACTATATCTAGTATATAACCTATTACAGGGCTGTCAACTTGGGACCACCTAATATGAGTGACTTCAAAATGTTGGACACCTAAGTCCAAATTTTGAACACCTTTGGCCAACTTTTAAACACCTTTGGCCAAAGTTTGAGCACCTTTGCCAAACTTTGATCACCTCAGATTTTTCGCGCTCGCTACGCTCGCGATATCGTCAACGAGGGGGGGGGGGGGGGGGGGGGGGGGGGGGGGGGTAGGTACGAAAATTTCCAATGAACATGCGTGACATATACGGGATTCGCGTGACAAATCCGAACAAATTGCGTTCGGTTTTTTCCGACGTTCGTATTTTTACCGTATCGTAAACATATTTCGAAAAATTTTCTACAGAAATATTTTTGCGTGACAATTACCAGGTAAAATGCGTATTTGCGTGACATTTTCTGTCACGCAAAAAAAACTGGCGTGACTTCAAATTCTTCAGCAAATGCGTGACAAATACGCAAATTGCGGGACAGTTGACAGGCCTGCTATTATTATGTACTCTATTTGAAGAAACAAATAAGTAGTCTTTCATTTTCAACATTTAATGATGACAGCTTCGTATATGCATTTCTATTGCATTTTGCCATTCAAACCCCTATAAGACCTGGTAGCAGGGAAGATAAAGGGTACTTTTGACTGCTCACATGATCTAATTAACTGGTCATTTGTACTTTTCATCTTCCCTGGTAGCAAGGATTTAGGTTTTCGAGGAAATTAGTAATTCTATTTCATATCATGTGGCCATGAATGAATAATCCAATGAGCATCCATAATACAAAGAGTAATTGAGGGCATATAATTTGAGTATGCATGGGATTACACATACTGTATCATTGTATTTTTTTGATCTACTTGTAATAGTTCTAAAACTAAAACATGAAAGGCCAGGCATGCAAACTGGCATGGTATTGTGTTACAAAACATTATTTCATTCTAGATACAATAACATGCATATTGGCATACTTCGTTTTAATATAAGATTGTTATAACTCCAAGTTTTGCAAGTCACATGACCAATTCTTAGAGAGTTGATTGGTTGAAACAGTTGATATCAGATATGACAATTTGAAATTAGAAATAAGCTGTTTGTCTGGAGATGGTACAATTTCACACTGAATTCTAGCTTAATGAGAGGAAATTGAGATGGGGCATGTATCTACGATGAAAGCCTGTGTTTCAAATAGTAAAATTCCATGTCTATCTCAATTTTTTTGAAAATGGCAGTTAGTACAAAGTTATTCTCACGCGACGACATGTATATTTTCGAACGAAATGATAAGTGTACAAATAAATGTATTGACAAAGGTCATAAATATGCCTTTCCGTCCTTTACATTTCCAGGGCACACAAGGTAATCACAAAGGTTAACAAGTCCAGAATGACATACAGTACCTGAGGATCAATCCAGAATCTCCAAAGACAACTACCAAGGGCAACATTGAGGAAAAACCAGTGTCTAGAAGTCATCTACCAGGGTTTAAATTGGACTTTCTGAAATTTGTTGTCTATTTTTGGGCTCTATGATACCACAATATATGTGCTAAAGTTAGAAGATTTTTTATGTCACCATGTAGAGATCATGAGATGGTGACATATAATGTTGAAGTTTGTAAAGTTTATAGTCCTATTCCTGTATTCATGCAAGTTAACAAATGCAAGTCAATGTAAAATTTTGTCAAAGTTTTAAATCTGATTTAAAACTAAAAAGGCCTAGTACAAAATGTAACATAAGGTAAAGGAGCGTGCATTCCCGTCCAGAACAGTATACAAGTATAAATGGGACTCCTGTGGCAATGTAACCATTTACTTTGATTCCATTTTCAATTCCCTTCTATCTTCGGGTCTTTGTATTTTTTCAGTGATTTCACATGCTATCTATTGCAAGACTAACGCCTGGTGTAACCGTCACCATGTTATTCGGTGTTTTTTAAGTAGCGCAAGGATCCTGCCATGACCGTGGCAGTGTTATTTTGTAAGCCTGGTATAACCGTGACAACACTGTATTATATTGCAAGGCCTGTCATGACCGTGAGTGTTTTCGTGGAAGCCTGGCGCGGCCGTAGCATTTACGTTTAATTTAAGAATTTTTTATTGTTGTATGTTAGTGATTTGTTTACTATCCACTTTTAAATAAATTGTTTATTAGCGTGACTCAAATAACTTGTCTTATTCTGTGTAAATGATTAATTATTTTAGAATATGCGGAAATAATGTGAATATAATGTCTAGTAGTAATTTTGATATTAACATAATTAAGGTAGTTAAACACCTACATCACCACTCTCATACCTGAACTTGCAATACTACATTACACTGCCACGGCGGTCATACCAAGCCTTGCAATACTATATTACATTGTCACGGTCATGCCAGGCCTTGCAGTACTATATTACATTGTCACGGTCATGGCAGACCTTGCAATACTATATTACCTTGTCACAGTCATGCCAGGCTTTGCAATACACATTGTCACGGTTATAGCAGTAGTCCTAATCATAAATTTCTACATCACCACTTTCATACCTGAACTTGCAATACTACATTACACTGCCACGGCGGTCATACCAAGCCTTGCAATACTATATTACATTGTCACGGTCATGCCAGGCCTTGCAGTACTATATGACATTGTCACGGTCATGCCCGGCTTTGCTATAAACATTGTCACGGTTATAGCAGTCCTAATCATAAATTATTGCAAGGCCTGTCATGACCGTGGTAATGTTAAAGCCTAATATGACCGTGACAATGCTTATAAGGCCTGTCATGACCGTGGTAATGTTAAAGCCCCGTATGACCGTGACAATAGTTGCAAGGCCTCTCATGATCGTGGTTGTATTTTAAGTAGCATGAGAACACTGTAATGACAATTTTTCTTCGTGTTTAACTACCTTAAATATGTAAATAAAGACTACTAAAAATGTGTATTAATTTCACAACGAAAACCTAATTTTTACTCATAAATAATTTGCGAACAAACTATATCTCTACTCTCATTCAAAGAGCTTCAATTCGAAAGCATATACTTTCTATAATGATCAATTGATAAGATTTATTCATAAAAAATACCAACAGCAACGGGTCATTAATGTCATATAAAGGTTGCGGTCGCGCCAGGCTTACACGATTACACTACCATGGTCATGGCAGGCATTTTAATATAATACAGCATTGTCGCGGTTATACCAGGCTTTCACGATAACATTACCACGGTCATGGCAGGATCCTTGCGCTACTTAAAAAACACCAAATAACATGGTGACGGTTACGCCAAGCGTTAGTCTTGCAACAGATAGGGTCTCAGTGATTTTTCACTGGATTTTCTTGTTACGATACAAATCATATGTAAAAAGCTCTCTGTGGACTAATTGGGCGACCAAAAATAAATACACAGAAATACAACAGCATTTTGTTCTAGTAATATATGTATAATAAGTGTGCATAAAAAAAATAGACGTACCTTGTATTTTGAAAATGTTTGAAAATAATTTTAAATTTTTGAAAAACATGGGGGCTGCCATTTTGAAAGTAGTACAGCCGGATATCAGTACACCGAAATATAGTTCAGAAGAATGAAGACCTATAATCCTGCCTATTGTACAATAACCTAAGTCTGTTACCAATCAACACCTCAACACATAGATAGTCGTATAAAATTTAATGAATATATAATTATATCGTGAATTTCTTGTTCTTGATCGAAAGAACTGCGGATGAATATTGCAAGAACCCGAGCGCGCAAATTTAAAATTGAACAACACAATTTTAGCGAGACCATGATCTAAGTCAAAGCTGTGGAAAAATGGAGAATGATATTCATAGAGTACGCAGCGTTTGTCCCGATGTTGCAGAAGAAGACATCTGTAAAGATCTCGAGTTGACTCAAAACGTTGAGGAAACAATCAATAGGATCTTTGATGGAACTGTGAGTAGATCTAGTCTAGATTTAGAAAAAAAAGACTGAATTTCCTAAGAATTTTCCAAATTTCCCAAAAATTTCAGACTAGAGGATATAGTCTAGAACTGTGAGTGCCACAGACATGGGAACAAGAGTTCATGCCCTCCAACCCAATATCTATTACTTAGAAAAAGTACATTATACAGTGACTGAGTGGGGGGGATTAAAATCTTCCTGGGCCTGTGGTGAGTGTCACGTGTGAGTTCTTTCATCCCGCAATGCATATAGCGGCTACCGGATTAGGTGCCGTGGTGCTAAGGTGCCTTGGTTATAACAGGAAATGACAAAACAGGAAGTGACAAAACATGTGGCTTTTTATCGCACCCTAAGGTGCTATATTGTAATCAGTTTGCCGGGCAGGCGGGCGTCCCGAATAATCTTGTCTACAGGTTTCCAGCCAAACCGTTTGAGGGATTCATTTGAAATTCTCAGGGATGTTTCTACCTATGAAAGTTTAGAACTGACTAGTTTTTTGGCATTCTGGGTAAATGTTAAGGCGGCCATTTCGTCCTAAAATCATGTCTGTGAAGGCTTGTTATAAAAAATAAAATAAAATTTCCCATTGAGAGCAATGCTAAATTAAGGTCAGGGTGCATGATGGGAAATTTTCTGCATTTCTCAATTGAGTCACATGTTATTTTTCAAACAAGAATCACTCCTTCCCCACATTGTCTATATCTTCCAGTTTTGCTCAAAGAGTGCACTTATGTGCCCAGAAAAGACTTGTGAGAAGGATGTTTTGATAAAGTGTATAAAAAACAAGAAAATTCAGTGAAAAAAATCAGAAAATTTTCAGAAATTTTTTCACTGAATTTTCTCATTTTTTATACATTTTACAAAACAAACCTTCTCACAAAGCTTTTCTAGGCACATAAGTGCACTCTTTGTGCAAACTTGGAAGATGTTGACAATGTGGGGAAGGAGTTATTCTTGTTTGAAAAATAACATGTGACTCAATTGAGGATTGCAGAAAATTTCCCAACATGCACCCTGTCCTTAAAACATTTTTTTAGAAATAACTAAACGGTCAATCTTTCCAATTTTCACATATTTTGTAATATCTTTTACCAAGATTTTTTTCAGGAAAATCTGAATTGTAGAAAAAAAGCTGATACACTGTGAAGTAATACTGTATAAATAGAGGATATCCTATGATTTATGAGTGATATGATTTTTATCCACGAATGGATATGATATCTGCACGAGCGAGCGTAGCGAGAGAGTACAGATATCAATAACCATGAGTGGATTAAAATCATATCACGAGTAAATCATAGGATGTTCTTTTTATTCCATAGTTAAAGTCATCATCAGAATCGTCGGAAACTAAGTCATTTAATTCGAATTTTCCAAACGATCCGGCGATGTTGACACTTAGCCTCGTTTTGAGTCTGAAGTAGCAAAAATCCATAAACCATCGCATACGACGTCGTATGTCATAGCTAAAAAAACGTATGCTATGGTTAAGTGAAAATTTGTCAAAAATATCATATTTTACCACTGATTACAAAAATACAGTTTTTATTTTCACATGTTATCCTATGAATATCATGCTAACTATGGAATAACATGAAATATTGCCATGGATCTAAAGTTGCCGATTGCCGAATGTAAAACAGAAACGGCAACATAAAATTTGAACCAAATCTGCTTGCTGATATTTGAGTTATCAGATTAAATTTTTTACGAAAAGGGCAGCCATTTTGAAAATTCCTTCTCGAGCAGAGGTCCTACACCCATAAGGCATGAGCCTATAAAATTTAAATCAAATCCGTCAACTAGTATTTGAGATTATCAGCCGGGCAAATGAACACCCGGGTTCTCTATATCCCTATGAACTTTGTTTGGTGGGATAATTACACTGTGGCAGAAGAATGAGATTGATATATAACACTATCCAAAAAGTTATTTCATCATGTTTAGGGTCATTTTGACCATGTATGTGGAATTAATTAAACTGACTGGAGGTCAAAACAGAACTCTGTTATATTGGTTCAAAAAATGTTTGAAATCCAGCATGGCTTTGTCACTTCCTGTTTAGTCATTTTAATATAATTTATTCACTTTACTAAATCAATTATCCCTTGTAACTTTGTAAGGAATGATAGTCCAAAAGAAAATGAGAAATACATATTGCAAAGGTTCTAAAAGCTTTAAAACTTACAAACCTGTTGTGCTAGGAAAACTCTCAAAATTGTGAGGGGTGTCAACATTTCTCATATAATCTTAACAGAGGGAGGGGGTATCTGAGAGTTAATTATTAAGATAGTAGTTGGCTCTCTGACATTGAACTTTTGCATTGGTCCCTTGATCCTAGAACACAAAAGTGAAATTTTTACTTCAATATACTGTTCAATGACCTGTGTTTGCAGATACTTCAAGCAGTGGATGAACCTGACTCCCCAATACATATTTTCTCCAGTCCTAAGGCTGAGAGTGACAATATCAGTTCAACTGATGAAAACAGTGACATGGACCTCCCATCTGCAAATCATATTTTTGGATATAGCAGTAAATTAGCTCATGGAGATGGAACAAAGAATAAAGTACATGTAGTAGCAAAATCAGGTGATATCAATACTGAACAACATGGAGTAAAAAAAATTACATTTAAATCAAGGATAAATAATGCAGATAAAAAACTAATTCAAAAGGTTGATATGATATCTGATGATTCTGATGATGGATGTAAAATTGAATCAAAGGACAAAAGTTCAGATAAATCTTCAACAAATCCTGAATTCAGTGAGAGTGACAGTGACATAGAACTGGAACAAATGCCATTATCTTTTAAATTGAAAAGCAAAATGGGTGTTTGGGGGGATAAAGATGGAACTAGAATTGAAAAAGGAAGCACAAGCAGCACATTGCTTGATCGTAGAACTGGAGAACCAATAGAAGAATCAGATTACCACAGTATTCCCAAGAAAAAGTCAAGAACAATATGCAGTACAAGTAAATCAAGGTATAGCCCAAAAAGTGACCTTGATTCACAAGGGACCTCAGCCTCCTCCTCAAGTACTCTAGCAGTTTCTAGCGATGTAGATAGCCAAAAGAGAAATGGTAATAAAAAGAAGAGATCACCAGAAGAGATTGCCGATCAAAATAGGATAAAGGAAGTAAGTCTCAGAATGGTCGGGAACTGTACAATTGATCATTTTGCCATCAAAGTCGATTTCATCAAATAAAAAGGAGAATTATAGAATATGAATCATATTTTATTTGTCTGTGTTTGCATTTATTTTATTGATTTACAGTAAAATATGATATGTTTAATACAATAGAGGAGTTTCTATAAAGCTTTGAAATATTGCAAATTCTCGTTTTGTGTTGGAGGATTTACTCAGAAAAATCACTAAAAATAATCTGGGTTTGTTTTTTTCAGAAAAATATGTGCATTTTCGTGCCATATATTTTCATAATTTGACTGTCAAAATGGCAAAATATGACATTGTAAAGAAAGATAACATATTAAGGTACAATATATATATAAAATAAATGAAGTTTTATGGGTTTTAAACCCTGACCCATTCCCTGCCTCATCCTTTTGGTATTTTAAAGACAAGCATATTTTAATGAGACATTTGACAATAGGCTTCTGCATTATACAGTCTTGAAAAGTGCAGTATACAATGAAGTATAATTGGTTTGAATTCGAATAATGACTTGTTTAATGTTGTAATTTGCGTTTTCCCTCCTAATGCTTACTTGATACCTAAAATATTAATGTCCCAATGAACAAAGCTTAGATTTTATTCATAATCAGTGGGCAGATGGATATTGATAAACTTAAAAAATTGTTTTAAGATCGCCACTGAAAATTGTAGAAAAGTTTTTCATTTCAAACCAAAGTATTGAGTACTACTGTTGGTATCCATAGAATATATCTAATCTATTTGACATATGGAGAAAGGAAATTTTGTTATCCTTAAATTGGTATCGATGTGGTGAACTGAATTCAACAATGTTTTTCTCTTAAACCAATTATTGAAAACATTCTGTAAAAAAACATGGTCCTTTGTGTAATGTTGAACAAGCAAGCATTTTTTCTGTCGATGTTTTATGGTTTTGGGAGGATTTAGGTTGATTTGATTGTGAATATCGGCAGAAATAAGGTATGTTCTGGGGTTTTCTTTGTAGCTATTGAAAATAGATGTTAGCCTTGATGTAATTTGATGAAAGTATCCAAACTTATATATTTTGACACTTAAGGTCCATGATCGTCCATGATCATTTTGACAAACATGGCATGAAGTATTCAAAATAAGTACAATCAATACTTTGTTCCAAGACATTGTCTATCATTGTAGTTCAAGAAGCTAGAAAAACAGAAGCAAAAAGACGCATTGAAACTTCAAAAACAGAAAGACAAGGAAACCCGGGTCAAAGAGAGACTTGAGAAGAAACTCAGCAAGGACAAGGATAGTGCCCAAAGAAGGTGTCTTCAAGAGGCAAGGAAGAATGCAAAACCAGGAGAATGCCTGAAGGTAGTCAAAATTCTTAAGTTCATCTCATTCTGATACTCATAGCATCTCTTTCTGTTGCATCGCAGATGCTCTGATATTTCGAGGTTGAAATGCTGATCAAAGGGGCGGGCCCAAATATTCATAATATTGATTTAAGTGGTGACTCCTAAATTGCGATAAGAAATATATATATCTTTTATTGACTCTTTAGATGTCATATCATGACATATTAGTTACTAAGGTAGAGCAGTTCTTCCAATTGTCGAGTTGAAGAACTGGTATCTTTATCCTAGCTTGAACCATAGACAATTCTAGCCAGCGCCAGTCTTTTATCGAGTTAGCAGCACTGTAGTAATCGCCGGTATAGGTCAGCAGTCATAGGTCATAGACAAATCACAAGAAGTGCTGTGACCTGGGTTTGAACCCAAGACCTCTACTTTTCAGCATGAAGCCAGACTTCCTGCTTTTCACACCAATGCCTTAACCACTGGGCCAACCCGGCGACCAGATGTAACTGTATGATTTAGATGAAGTTAGACCGGGATATTTAAGTGCCGCAAAGCTGTTTTTATTCAACGTATTTTTTTCATTTCGAGATTCAACTTTCCCTAAGCTTAAAGTTAGTCTCAGTTCAAAATGCCACCAAAGCTCAAGTTTGAACTACAATCCCGACTGAAATTCAGTTTTACGATGGGATAGACTCACTAGCGATGCCATTCTGTATATTGTGTTAGACTGAGGTGCCGCACCTACGGCACCCTTAAATCTCATGTCAATCAACATATGTCATCGTGTTTCATGCTTCTGATTGGAGAGCTCGAAAAAGCTTGATTTGAGGATCGCAGAGATTGAAACTAAGTCCACATAAGTCCACGGTCTCTCCAGAAGGATAAAGATGGAAAGGGCGTGGCTTACCACGATGAGTTCATCTTAACTATCAAGTACTAATAACTGTTTACTGCAGGTGGGTGCATTTTTCAGAAAATATAGGTGGCACAGGAACTAATTATGTGGCCTTCCGGGGGGGGGGGGGATTTGGGGGCATTATTTGGTGCAACTGAGCGTTTTCAAGGACTATAAATAGTTCTTTCCTGATTAAACTAAATCAGTGATATGGTTTATTTATCATATTAATATTGATATTACCCGTTGGTACCTACATAAATAAATAATATCCCTGGTCATCACTTATTAACCTGTTCTTGTTAGCAGATACTTACCTCATAAAACATTCATTTCTCTGTTGCTCAATCACAGGTAGGGATCAAACAGCTTCTCCTGTAAAAAATAATTTTATTGGTATATTTCACCGCACTATTGGGTAAAAATCGCCCTCTCGGATACAAATCACACACAGGTAGGCCATAAAACTGCATCTAAATCACATTTTACAATAATTATCTGATCTGTATTTTGCTATTTTTTATAGCCAGCTTATCTCAAATTTCTTCATATACTGGCACACAGTTGAGAAAAATCATAAAAAAAATTTCTTGTGGCTAGCTGTTTAGGTCAAAATCTGAGGCCTTATTCACAATGTGTCGCATCCTATGTGATTGCGACATCGCAATCGCCATTGCAAAAATCGCTAAAATTCTTATTCACAAGTGCGATTGCGACTTAGCAATTCAATCACATTAATAACGTCATATAATTGCGACTACCCTCTACCAGCCGCAATACAGTCGCAATATTAAGGGTTGCTTTATGTTTTAATTAAATGCGTTTAGCATTCTCAGAATCATTTGCTATTTTAATACAACGTTTTTCGGTATACTAACCAACATACAATTTTAAGATAATCATCATTTCATGTGTTCTGAGAGATACTAAGGGTCTAAAGTCGTCTTAAATAATGGAAGAATATTTTCTATATTTCATCTAAAATTGCTATCAATGAATCGCAATGTTATAATTCCCGCCATTATCAGTCGTCTGAGACACTGTAAAACAAAATGGCGTGATAGCTGTGAACCGCAGACAGCATCTAGTAAGACCTAGATTATTTCGCGACAGAACACATCCATTGGATATTTACGATGATCATGAGATGATCGAGAGGTATCGTCGTTGTATGAGGGAATGGACATGAACTTTAGTTCCATTAATAGATAAAGAGTAAATTGTAAAAATATGGAGGAGTGAAAGATTTGAGGCAATGAAGGGAATTGATTGAACGATTATTGGAAAACAGCTAACATAAACTAAGTTCCTAGAAGATATGATATTGAGAGGGTCCCCTCCCATACCCTTTTAAAATAGAATTTAGAAATATATCTTGGGATAGAATCGAATAAACTACATGTACTCAAATAAATGGAGTGTTGGGTTTATAAATCATTTAAACACAACAATTTTATTTTATTTAATCTTAGTTTTTATTATTAACTCCACAGACAGTCGTGAATCAATTAAATACCATTGGTTTCAACCATCCTATGTTTGCTTTACTTGTTACAGTAAAGCTGCTAACACATTGCTATCCTAATGCGATTGCTATTGCTACACGATTGCGATATCACGTCATTGTGAATACCGCGCCAAAATTGCTATGTCGCAATCGCATAGCAATAGCAATCGCATTCAAATTGCGATATTTTGTGAATAAGGCCTCTGGTTTGTATTACTTCCCCCATATACCACAGATACAGGGTGCTTCAAAAAACGGAAATTTTCCTTACATCTTTGTCAGTTTAAGGAATTATTCCCTGATATTTCACACATTTGTACATCATTCAATTTCCTACTACCCTACCATATTTCATGACCATCAGACTGATAGTTTTACACAATTTTACAGCACTTTGAACAACATGCTTCAGGTTTGGCCATCATTGCGCTGTAGGAAAACCTGCAGTTGTCATTATAATGATCCAAATGCATTCCTCAGCAGGTATGGCCTGAATGAAACAGATGATCTCACTTTTGAGGTCTGCAAGTGTCCTGAGGTCATTCTTATACACTCTATCTCTGCCATATCCCCATAGGTAGGGACATTTTGGACGACATGTATGAGTTGGTCTACAGTGCAATAGTGGCCACAGGAAATGTTCTTTTAAGTGCTGTAACACTGTGACTATCAATCTGATGGTCATGAAATAAGGTAGGCAGGTAGGAAATTGAGTGATGTACAAATGTGCGAAGTTATTTCTTAAAATGACAAAGATATTAGGAAAATGGTGTTAGGGTTTCCAGTTTTTTTGACCACCCTGTATTTAAAATGTGAAATGTACAGATAATAGGGAGTTTTAGCTTGCATATAAAATTGAAACACCAATCTATACATATTTTCCGTTCACATTTAGGTTGTGAAAAACATTGCAAGCCTGAACTCCCTATTAGCAGTTTTTACAGGAGAGTGCTGTTTGATCCCTACCTGTGTCAATGCAGCATTCTTCTGTTTTGCTACATGCAACATTTTTATGTTTTAAACAGCTGATTCATTTAATTTTTAGTCCAATAGAACGTACACATATTTCCAAATTAAATTATACCTAAATGCTTTCAAATGAAAATACTCTACGCATATACTAGAATAACAAAAAAAATTGAATACAATCTTTTTCATTTTGAAAATCTTTCAATGATGGCATTGGTACAATGGAAATAACTGTCTGCAAGCGGAAATTATTGAATAAATAAATGCGAGAAATTTGAAACTCCCAGAAAGTAAAATACTGCACTTTTGCTGTTTCAACAATCCCCCCCCCTTCTGACGCCCATGAGCTGACAATTTGTACTTGATCAGGGAAACTAAGAAAATTATGTGAAATGAGAATTTTTGAGTGAAGCGTTTATGTTGTCTGGAGCCCCTACATTCATAGAATCAGGAGAATGACAGCTATAAGTCAAACTTTTAATTCCTTTCAGTTCATGAGTGTTGTATTTGACTCTAAGATCCTTGAGAGCCCTGGTGGAGCTGCAGCGCTAGGTGCCCTTCAAGGCAATGATGTGAACTATCTCATTGAATCTCAACCAATTCCAAACTCCATCACTTGGGTTAGGAAAACCTATCATTATGACCAACAGAAGGTAATTTTTACCACTTTTATACTTTTTATCCCATCGAACGAAGTTCGGAGGGATATAGGGATTGCCTCCGTCCGCCAAACACGGGACACAGTGGTTTGATATGGCACATCGGTGAGGTATACCACATGGCTAAGATTAAAATAAATACCAAATAATAGAAGAACAAAGAGTAAAAAGAATAAAGATATTCTCAAGCTAACACAATACAAGCAGCAACCTAAAGACGTCCGTACGTACATCCATCCATCCGTCCATCTGTCCGGGCAATAACTCAGATACCGTTGACATCAGTTTGACTGAATTGTGAATTTTTAATGATGTAAATCAAGATTATTTCTACTTGCATCTAGGATATTTTGTTCATATTTTGTATACATATAGCTTATGGGGGTAGAAGTTCTGCTCAAAAATCTATTTTCAAAATGGCCATTTTAGTGCCAATTTTACAGTAATTTTGGTACAATATGTAAAACTGAAATAGCAATATGTTTTAAATGTAAAAGAATTATATAGGACATAAATAAAGCTAGAAATGTCAAAGAAGCTCATGGCAGCCATCTTGAAAAATGGCAGCCTTTACACGCTATTTTATGATTTTTGCTGTAACTTTAAAAACTGCGATATTGTTCTAAATTGCCACAGTTGGCGTCTTGCAGAGCTGTCAAGTGTCCCGCGAATGGCGGGATTTTCCCGCGAATTTGATCAAAATTTGGCTAATTCGCGTGTCCCGCAATGTCCCGCGAAGTCCCGCAAATGTCGGCTTTAACCTCCGCGAATTTTCAAAATTGTAACAATCCCCGAGGCTAAATAATTGTGACTATCTTGTGATATAAGAAGCTAAGTTTTTTCGCTTTTGAGGAGTAAAGTTTACCTAATATGAAAAGTGCTGGAAAACTCCTAGTGCGTCGATCATCGAAGACTGCTTTTGGAAAGGGCATACATAAAACTGTGATTTTGATCCAAATAACACCATAGTTGGCTTATCAAGTACCTAGTATAATTTTGCTCACATTAATATCATATCTAAAGAGTGTTTAAGAACAGTTTGAGGAAAGTAATTATATTTGGATTATACATGAAGTTACAGAGAACACATTGGACTAATTAAAACAATAGTGTGGACATTAGCTACAAGGAAATTAGCAAGAAAAAGTTCTGAGTTTTAACAAAGGAAAATTTTTTTTTTTTTTTGAATTTTTTGGAAAAACTTTTGAAAAGCATAAGATAAACATATAAGAGGACAATATGGAAACAATAACCTGGAATAAATCTTTATGTTAATGACAGAAGGAAATTTAAGAAAATATAATTTAGGAAGTATATATAGTGAGCAAAATATACATGAAAAAATGTGTAAAGCCTACAGGGAGTGAATGGAACAGCCATTCCATTGTTTTTCATAATTGGAGAGGAGTAAATGGAACAGCCATTTAATTACTTTAAGTATCTAAAAATTTGTATATAAACTGAGGGAGGTGAATTGAATAGCCAAATATACAAACATACCTACATATTGAACTTGTAAACATACCTATATATTGAACTTGGAAGAAAGTGAAACTATTTACAACATTTGGATATAATACATAGTATACAGGGTGATCATAAATGTATATAAACTAACTTATCTCTGAGAAAAATGGCAGACCGAGAAACTCGACGTACATGCACTAAAACATTCTCAACACCTGATGCCAAGGGCAAGAATAGAAGGAATACAAAGAAGCAAACAATGAGAACTCTTAAGAAAAACCCAGAGACATTGCATGAGAATTTTGAATATAAGGATGTGGAAAACACAGGTGTACTTGTTTTAGATGATGAGTTTATGAGTCTGGTATTCTACACAGAAAGAACACTTTTGTGGTTAGAGGCTTTCAAGCAGTTCTATCAGCGAAAAAGTATGAAAACAACAAAAACACGGATCAAATATGGAACTAAAATAACCGTATTAAATCATGTGACAGTGGAAATTGGTGATTCGGGCATTATCACTGTCTTTGGAGAAGAACTACAGGATTGGAGAGACAATGATTTTGATTTGATCAAAGGTACATTAATTTCATTGAAACGAACTCCTACCTCTGACTCATACTCTACATCTCTGCCATCTACATCAACACCATGTAGAACATCACCAGCACAGACGCAAGAGGATATTTTCATTAGCCAGTCTGAGGAAATAGACATTGGTGAGGACAGCATTATCTTCTTCTTGGGTAATGATACTATACCCAACACTCAAACTGACACTGATGAACCCATCCCAGAACCTTTATCTCAGTCCCTTATTCAGCCTACTGTTATTCCAGAAACTCAGCCAGATATCAAAGAACCACTTTCTCAGAATGAACCACAACCAGCAACAGTCAAATTGTCAAATAAATCTCCTACTCAGACAGAATCTACTTCAAAACCTGAAAACACGGGCATAACACTAGAGTTACAAAGTGAAAACAAAAAACTTAGGACGAGGACTATATCTCTTGAAAAGAGACTTGAAGAGAAGTCTGTGGAACATAGTCGACAAATAATTCAGCTGAATGCCAAGTTGCAGGATCTGCACTATAGGCTTGAAGCAGCTGACAAGAAGAGTGAAGATGACATCAAGATGGCAAAACAACTTCATGAGCAAGAGATGAGAGATATAGCAACTAAGCTAGAATGCTATGAGTTAAATGAGAAGTGGCAAATTACGACAATACAGGGGTTAAAAGCAGATCTTGCAACCCAACACAGAAAAAATGTCGCTCTTATAGAGAGATTTCAACAGATGGGTTGTCATGATTTCAATCAGTCACTCCCACAATCAATGACACCCCCAACAGTTATTCCAAAGGGACGACCAACTTCAAAGACCAGGACTTCCAAGACCTCTGTCACTAAGAATACCTCATTGCCTGTCATAAATACACCCCCAAACTCTGCTTCAAAGGGATTACCCACCCATGACAAAGAAGGTATCTCACCAACTACCAACAAGAGACCCTCTAACAAAGCAGCTAAAGTTGCTCCAAAGAACCCCCCTAAGCCAACACCAAGGGAATTCAACAATGGTCACAAGCAGCTCCCTACTTCTGTCCATATAATGTACTCTTCAAATGGGAAGAAATTGGCGGGTATTATGAATGCTAGATCAAAAGGGAAAAGCATGAATGTGACTTCATCAGTATATAGTGGTGCTAACATTGAATATGCAACCCGAGTCATACAACAAGGTGACATAGGTAGATCAACAGATCACAAATTCCTCGGTTTTGGAACAAACAATGTAAAAGATGACTCTGCACAAACCATTATTTATGAGTTAAAAAACCTTGCAATGACAGCCAAAAACCAGCATCCAACTTCTAAAATAACCTTGTGTGGACTGCATCACCGGGGAGATCATGCCAAACCACAAGAAGTCAAACAAATGAATATCAAAATTGACCATGTCAATGGAGAGATGGAGTCTTTTGCCATGAAAAAAGGCTTCCATTTCATTAATATCAACAGAATAAATGATTCAACATCACAGAACCCCAACATGAACATACTTTTTAACGACAAACTCCACTTTAATCACACTGGAAGAACTCGGTTGGTAGATGCGATGTTGTCTATCATTAATTCAACACACAACTCCTATGCAGATGCAGCAAGAATTGGAAACCCTCACTACCCTCGAACTGGGCTCAAGTTATAAACACTGATCAGTGTGATAGTATCATAGACACAGAATGTATGAGTGACTCTTGTAATGAGATTGAATGCAATGCTATTCATTTCCATGAATCAAATCATATGATGATAAATGAAGCCTCATTATATATAGATAATGAGACTGTAAATAATTCTGATTCAAACCCTCACAATATGCAATTGAACACCAAATCAGGTCAGATTTCCCATAATGTAGATAGTATTCAATCTTCTAGTCCTGTAACAACACAGTTGAATGCCAAGTCGCAGGATCTGCGCTATAGGCTCATATCAACTGAGAAAAACATAAATGCACATTTGAACCAAACAAATGATAATACAAGTGAAGGTGATGTAAACTTTGATTTAGGCCCTCACAATGTACATTTGAACACCACATCAGGTCAGGTTTCCCAAAATGTAAATAGTATTCAATTTTCTAGTTCTGTAACAACACAGTTGAATGCCAAGTCGCATGATCTGCGCTATAGGCTCAAATCAACTGACAACAACACAAAAGCACATTTAAACCAAACAAATGATAATACAAGTCAAGAAGATATAAATTTTCTATTTTGGAATATTAACAGAATTTCTGATAAATTATATGATGGATGTGATATTTATGAGCTTTTCAGTAAATATGCAGTGATCCTGTTAAGCGAGACATGGTTAGATCCATGTGACAGCTTATCATTTAATGGTTATACTGTACATAATCTGGCAAGAAAGTCTAAAAATAGTAACTCAAATGTTTATTCTGGAGGCATTGCTGTCTTCATAAAGGATGAATTGTATAGTTCAATTGAGGTGTCAAAACAGACTCATGATTTCTTTGTATGGATAAGAGTTAAGTCTTCTTTATATAATTTAGAGAATGATATTTATATATGCTTTGTTTATATGCCACATAAAGGTTCAACTTATGAAAATTTTGACAATTTTGACATCTTGGAGAAATCGATTGCTTCTTATCAACTATCTGGTAAAACAATCATATGTGGAGATATGAACGCTCGTACTGCCCAGTTGTCAGATTTGAATATTGATGTTCATTGATCAAATGATCAGTTTACCAATTCTTATTTTTTAAATGACCACCATATAAATAATCATCATGAATTAAATGCCTCTCTTCATAATCGTGTCTCAATGGATAAAAATCTAAAGGCAATAAGCCAGACACATGGCAATGAATTCATAAGTTTATGCAAGGCATCTAATTTAAGAATACTAAATGGGAGATTCTTTCATGATAAAAATATTGGTCACTTTACATACTATAGATATATAAATGAAAATGATTTAGATCCAAGTAAAGGGAAATCTGTATTAGACTATGTTGCAGTTCAAGCTGATATTCTCAACACAATTTCAGACTTTAAAGTACATGAACGGCATCCGGATTCTGACCACTGTCCTATACATTTTAATTTCAACCTAGGTCAGTTCAAAATTAAAGATAGAGCCAGCAAAAACATGCAGAATTTACCTTACTCTTACTTTAAATGGGATCCTACATTAAAGAAACAATTCACTGAGCTATTGGATGCTAATATTAACAATGGTTTACTTGAGAAATTTTATGTTGATGTTGGTTCAAATACCAACTCAGATTGTTTACTACAGTCTCTTAAGGTCTCATGGAAGTTAACAGGAAATGACAAAACAAAAAATGACAAAGCCATGCTGGATTTTGAAAATTTTTTGAACCAAGATAACAGAGTTCTGTTTGGACCTCCAGTCAGTTTAACTTGTACCAAATATCATTTACATGACCAGGAACACAATTGAAAGGGTCAGAATGACCATAAACATGATAAAATAACCTTTTTAGCCCTCTGAAAATGTGACTGAAAAATAGCTAAAAGTAGGTGCTCAGGAAAGGTCAATGAACAGAATCTTTTGATTTTTTCAGAATATGTGTCCAATATATTGCTCTAAATGACACAATCTTTGAAATTTTAAAAAATCGTCTGAAACAATAATGGCTGTAGTAAAAAGGAAAATAGATCGATTTTCAATTCAGTTTTTTTCAATTTTTTCTTTTTCTAAGAATGATATCAAATTTTTTTGAATTGTATCATTTAGAGCAATATATTGGGCACATTTTCTGAAAAAGTCAAAAGATTCTGTTCAGTGACCTTTCCTGAGCACCTACTCTTAGCTATTTTTTAGTCACATTTTCAGAGGGCTGAAAAGGTTATTCTATCATGTTTATGGTCATTCTGACCATTTCAACTGTGTTCCTGGTCATGTAAATGATATGTGGAACTAGTTAAACTGACTGGAGGTCCAAACAGAACTCTGTTATCTTGGTTCAAAAAATTTTCAAAATCCAGCATGGCTTTGTCATTTTTTGTTTTGTCACTTCCTGTTAACTTCCATGAGACCTTAAACATGAGTA